CCCACCTTCAATCACTTGAGAGGCCTAAACCACGGAAAACAACAGTCTCGCAGCGTTTTAAAAAGTCCAAGACATCAGCTTCGGTGTGCCAAGCGTCGTTGAACGCGGCGCTGAGACAGAGCTCGCCCCTGAACGTACCCAGGAAGAGACCCAGGCCGTTGCCCAACTCCTCGCCGGTCACCCACGGATCGTAGGCCTCGATGGCGCCCGTCTTTGGGGAGATGATGCCGTCGACACGGCCCATGCTGGAGATTGATACGGAAGGATGTTCTTTGGGGGGCGGCACGGGGAGGTGTTCGGGTGAGATTGGTACTACCGGGTTTCCGGCGGCCCATATGGTGGGCGCGAGGGCGTAGTGTTCCTTGTCGTCCTTGACGCCGTGATAGAAGTCCTTCATCAGCTGGACGACGGGGAGGAACTCGTCTTCACGGGGTGGCCTGGCATCGTCGCCTGCGGTGGGAAGGTCCATGTCGACGACCAGGCTCTGGCCGGGGACGGAGTGGTACAGCGCGGCAGGGTGCTTGGCGGAGTTATACGGCGGCTGGCAGCTTGCGCGCTCGTTGCGAAGGATGTAGTTGACGTAGCGCACCCGCTTGGGCTCGGGACCGCGTTTCTGTCGAGGCTGGAGGTCGCGCATGACGAGGGCGATGGCGGCGTGGAAGGCGTGCGTGACGGTCGCGTCGGCGGACTTGCACGCCGCGGTGAGGCGGGCGGTCTGCTCTCTTGTGAGGGTGACGGCGACGCGCTGGTGGCGGCCGGGAACGAGTTTGCCGCGTCGATAGGGCATGTCGATGATTTCGATGCCGGCGGGGGCGTTCATCGCGGCGGATTTCTGGGCGGCCATGTCGGCTAGGCGCTGGTTCTGGGCGTCGGTGAGGGTTGGTGGGACGTTGGCGGCGATGCGATAGGGCGGGCTGAGGTTTGCGGCCTCGGAGCCGTCAAAGGTGGGGAGAATGTAGGCATCGCCTGAGGAGAATGCTGTTGAGGCGCGGGCGATGAGGTTGTTGATGAGGGTGAGGGTGCCGATGCCGTCTATGATGTCGTGGGGTGAGCGGAGGACGAGGTCGCGGCGTATAACGCCGGCACCGTCAGACAGCGGGCTGAGGACGAAGAGGGTTGGAACCTTTGGTGCTGGTGGCTGTGAGTTGGCCCATTGCACGCCAGTTTGTCCGCTAGAAGTGTGGACAAGGGTCTTGTCGATCCAGGACTGCTGATCGGCCTTGTCTTTGAAATACCGGTAGGTCTTTGTCCATTTCCCTGTGGCAAGGTCCCGATTGACCTGCGAGGCGATGGTAGGATGGTCATAACGCAGAGTCAGCCAGGCATTCTTCAGAGCTTGGTCAACGCGTCTACTGGCATCGGAAAGGTCGCTGATCCCGGTGATGTCAAAGGTCAGGGAGACATGGCCGGTGATGGCGAAGAACATGAGACCGCTGCCCCCGTACAGCACCGGCATGGCGGAGTAGAACTCCTCGACCTCGTCGATGCTGCGCTGCCATGTTCCAGGCGATGTCTGATTCCAACTGAGTTCAGGATAGGTTTGATCCATGGCTCTAGGATAGAGCCTTCAAGATATTCGTGTCTATAATTGAGATGAACAGATGATGAGTGACAATAGCGTGGGGTAATCAGACTGTCAACCTGGTAAAGTCAGCTTCCTCAACGTCGCTATTATATGAACGTGGACATACCCGTACCCACTACATTTAGAGCCGCGATGTAGGGAACGCAGCCGGTGGCCAAACTCATCGGATTGGCGTGAAGGTGCGTTGGATTTTGAGCGGGATAGGCTGGTGAAGTACGGATACTCGCTTGGAATGTCACGCAGCCCAAGTTGCTGGCTGTGATGCCCGAACGGGAGATGGCGCCCGCGGACCCCTGGCCACGCAGAACTGTTCCATTGATCGGCATTGCCCCGAGGTTTAGCCAAGGCGGAAAGGAAATCCCGCTAAGAACGGGGCGCCATGAATGGCACAAGAATGGCTACAATATCCAGGGTTCACCCGAAGACAACCTCCGGTAATGGATCCTTAAGATAGTTGCTCTAGGCCTCGACATATCAGATTTTCTATGGACGTTTAACTGCGAATGCGGCAGCTTGGATTTGCCAGCCTTGTGAGGGCGTTTAGTCCGAAGTCATAGTTGAATAGGCAACAGGGACTTGCCAGTCACCTGGCGCATTGCGACGAAATGCAGGGAACAGGCGATCACAACGCAACTCCTTAGCCCATCCCGTTCTCTCAGATTTCGATGGCGCTTTAAGTCATTACGATCTGTCAATTGATCGTGGGGAGAAAAAATAAATGAAAAAGAAAAGGGAAGAAGGGGGAAGGAGGGGAATCACCATGTAGATGTTCGAAAGCAAAAGCTCCGGCAGCGTGGTAGAACATCCCCTAGGATTGGGGGATTCACCAGCTTAAGCTTCTAGGCAACTTTCCCTTGACCACTGGAGAAATCGAGAGAGATGAATGAGGTCATAATGAGCTCCCATCAGCACGCGACTAGCCTCTGCCTTCGTCTTCACCTTCTCGGTAAGTACCAATTGAGATATGAAGGTACCTTCCTCATCAGACTCCATTCACCTTTGGCAATCTTACCTCGATTTCTTTTTCGTTCTGTAGTGAACGACTTCGCATAACTCATCTTTGTTTTGCTAGCTTCAATTCCTGATCAAAGTCTCACACGACCCTCGTTGTACTGGGCTCTCTACCGCAATGTCTTGAACCATGGAGTTCACTCTCCCACTGCGTGTAGGAGAAACTGGCAAGATATAACGGTAGGTCTTTTCTGTTATCTGCGACATAATAGATAATCTGATGCCAGATGTAGCCGTAACGAACTGGGGTATGGTTGGATTGACAGGTAGCAACGATGACGCAGGTTCGACTCATGATTGAAACAGCGTCACCTCATAATAGATCACTTGTTCCAAGCCAAACATTCCCTTATGGTAGAAAAAAAAAGTTTGGACCCCCAGCCTCGAGCTTCGCAAGATCACCCACCACCTGGCAGATTTTTGCATTCCACTTGAAAACACATCTACTGACCTTAAGATGAATCATAGACGTAACCCATTTGTCACGATCACTAATATGGAAGCTATTACAGTCCCCTGCTTGCTGCGTAACAGTCCTTGGCATCTGATCAGTTATTACCGTATACTGTGTTATCAAGTTACTTGTAAATGAATGCAGTCTCCTCGAAAATTACCCATTTGTAAAGTGTTTAGCTCGATGACCTCGTGAAGTCAAGTGGTCTGGCCCGAATTCATTCAATCTCTTCGATGAGAAAATGGCTCCTCACTGCCCCACAAGCACCATTTTGCTATCCTACACAATTGCATTGGCGTAAAAACGCCCCTATCATAAGACGATAGCTTAGTACGTCTCGCACCTGCTCACTCTACGGATATTTCCTCCACGTGACTTTGCTCCTGAACACCAATCACGAAATGATTGATGTCCCATTCGCGTTGACATTCTTAACGGCCGCACCACGTGGCTTGCAAGCCCTCGATGAGACGGGGAATACACCCATAACTGAGAGCCTCCTCCATGGAAATTCGCCGAAATGATGCTGAGAATCTCTTTCTGAACAGCCGTTCTCCATGGGAATCGACGGCGTTGGACCTCCCTTCTCCCCAACATGCGAACATCGTCATTCATCTAATTATTTCGGCAAAAGCAATCAACCACCAACCGCACGCTATGGCAGCCTTACGCATGGTGCTTCCACTACGACCGCTTCATCATCCGCCAACCTTCGTGCCGTGAGTATTTTTTATCTCATGAAATATAAAGTTTTGCCATCCGCGAGCTTTCTGAAGTCGCCTCAAGGCTTTGGACAGACCTACTTCTCGACCGTTTCGTGACAGATTTACTCACAAAATCTCAACTTTGATTAAATTCATCTCAATTTCATGAATCTTGTGCATAGACTAACTCTTTGCAGTGAGAAAGTAGCCGAAACTCCCACAAGCCCCGTTGACACCGCGAGTGAGAACGAAGAGGAGGATGAATCTCCTACTACCGCTACCAAAGACAACAAAGACAAAGTACACAGCGAGAATCCCACAGATCTTTCCTCCTGAAAGAAAACCTCCCTGATCTGAATCTCGCCTCTCATCCCAACATTAAGTGCCTGCCTGGCCTCGATTTCGGCATTGAATTTGGCGCCCCGATTCTTGGACAGAAGTACTCCGGCCTTGTCGGAAACGTCCTCCTTCCCTACGGCCTGAAAAGACACAGCCAGTCCCACCGCGGACTTATGTATGTTGCAGATATCAAGCAGGTACTGGATGTTGCAGTTCGAATATTTGAGGAGAACCACGAGATTCATACGATGCGTGATGTCTGCGAGCATACCTTTGCGGAGCTTCGGGACATAGATCGTTCCTGGAATTTCCTCTCTGCTTGGCAAAAGACTCGCGCCATCATTGAGAGAATTGTCGCCGCGCGAGAGCGTCATCTCGATAACCACAACGGCATAACCGAGGCTCTTGAGGAGTTCTTCCCATTTTTGAAGTCCATTGACAACTTCCGCAAGAAGGTATGTCATGTCTTGAAATACAGAAGATAGGACGCCCAGGCCAAGAGTAAGCCCCCAGAGATACGAATTGGGAAGACCAATTTTGAAGCTTGATAATGTTATTAATAGAGGACGCAGAGTCCAGCAGTCTCAAGCGTTCCCGCCTTGACTTTGACTCCGATGAGATGGTTACATCCATTAAAAAGACGCGCCGGGAGAAGGAGAACGACGAACTCTCAGCCAAGCCTCTTGAAGAGCAGATCAAGATCTTGAAATCCAAGAGCGAGGAACTCGAAAACAAGCTATATGAGAACGAGTGTAATTACCGTCGAGAGAGAGATGCTGGTATTCAGAGGGGCCTGCAATGGGGACACTATGTTGGTCAGATTTGGGATGTGGCTCGTCCTTCTATTAACAGAGATTTGAAGATCCAGGGCAAGGAGGAGTGGGAGAGAGATGAATTGCACGATTTTCTTCGGGCGAACGATCTTCATGATGTCACCAAAGCTCTGCTTGGGCTTAAGCCTAGCATCCAGTGACAGCTTGGGTCGTCTGTTGTCTCCGAGGGGAATTGAATTTCGTACGGTTTAATAGTTTTCAGCTCAATTGCTACGAATTCATTGCAATAGGAATTGACTCAGTAACCGTGGGTCATATCAAAATTTCATGACATAAAAATTTGTCCTCACTTCCTCAAGCATTCTCAGTACTTACGTCGTGTTGTGATGTGTTATGATTAGTAATGACACTGGAGAAGGCGGGACAACGGCACAGTAGGGGAGGTACGTCATCAGACTGCCGCATGGAAGCTCAAGGGCGGTGGGCGGAAAAGAGAACAAAAGAAAAACCAGCTCGGCTATATGGAATCGAACAAAAGGTTAAGCGATGGTTGACAGTGGCTCGAGAATCATTGGGTTAGTCTATGACCGCTCCCTCAGACCCCTCGGCCGCTTTCCCCTAAACGCTTGGTGACAGGATCGAAGGTGGAGGGACTAAAGAACTCTTCTCCATTAGTGAGAAGAAAAAAAATTGTTCAACCAGAGGGAATCGAACAAAAGGTTAAGCGATGGTTGAGTTTGGTTCCAGAATTATCGGGTTAGTCTATGACCGCTCCTTCAAACCCCTCGACCACGTTCCCCAAACGCTTGGTGACAGGATCGAAGAAGAGTAGATCTAAGTACCTTCCTCCTGAGGCAGGGAGCCCCTTTGACAGCACTCAGTCAACGGCTCACGTCGGTCACCATCTTGTGACCTAATTTCATCATGGCTTTGCCCTGCGGACATCGTTTTGCCTTTCAAATAAAAACCAAACCAATTCTATAATAACAACTCTATTTAATCTTTAATTGACCGAATGTATACAATTCTTAATCATTGTCCAGAAATTAGTGCGGCATCATAAAGCCATGGATTCGGCTCTTTTTTTGCAAGCAGAAGAAGTTTGTGCGCGCGTGTGGTCTATTATCTAAGAGTTTACACATTTCCTAACAGATAAAAATAGGAAGGGAAACAGATCGACGCTCCAACGAGTCTAAATAGAGCTCCTCCTTTCTTCTGCGAATCAACAGCGTCGCCAAAAGATCCGGCAACAGAACCATGATGTGAGGCATCGTCTGCGGCTTGAAGCCTTCGGGGAACTTCCAGTCGTATCTTAGCAGCAAGTGAGCCGGCGTAATCTTGATCTCGTTGACGGCGAAGAAGGGGCCGGGGTAAGCGTCTGTCCGTGGCCGAAGCCGGGTTGCTTCGCGCTGGTGCTCAACAGATGGACGTTCTTCCCCTCGTCGGTACCACGCATGGTGAGGAACCGGTAGCCGTCGTACTTTGCGGTGTTCTCATAGTAGTTGACGTCCGACATGTGAATGTTTGTGGCGATGATCTTCTGGCCTTTGCGAAGGACGACGCCGTTGAAGAAAATGACGTCTTTCTTGGCGAGTCGGCGCCAGATAGCTGCGGATGGCGGTCAGAAGGATCTCGGGATAGGTTGAACGTGAACAGGGGGACTTACAGAGTAGGACAGGCTTCCTGCGTTGCGACTCTTTGATGACGCTGTCCATCAGTTTCGGTTTATAGAGTGCCATCATCTTAAATCCCTCGGCACCGAGAACGCGAGAAAACTCGCCACGCAGAGGCTGGAAGAGCTTGGGGTACTCCGCCAGATCGACCATGGTCTGTGTGAGCCAATCGATCGTCGTGTGGATCGCGGCGAGTGACAGCCACTGGCCGACTTTGTAGCCTACAGAGAAGGCGGCGGCGGCGTATTATGAGGAGACGCGGTTCATTCTTCCTCTCGGTAGAGTTTGTCGCCCATGAAAACTCAGAAGGAAAGTCGCGAGACGATGCGCATAATGTCTTACTGGAGACTAATCTCATGCCATTCTGTGTACAAGTCGAAAGTTATTGATAGCTCGGAGGTAATCCTTTTTGGCAAGAAATCCGGGATATTGAATCTTCAGGACGATCATTGAGAACGTGGCAAAGGATGATGGTTGATCTTTCAGAAGTGGAATCGTAAGTTTGGCTGTCGGACCATCAGATTAGTATAGTTTGCAAAGTCTTTGTTGTGAGAATGGAGACCTACTCAATGCCTTTGTCAAATACTATGTGACCACCTTTCCAGTCGCATCATCACCAGAAAAGGGATCGAAACCGGGGAAATTGGCAATGGAAATCCTTTGGAAAAGTCAATTCTCCAGGTCTCATCATATAGATTTGAAGTCTTGGCTCACATCAATGGCAGGTTCCTCGAAAGCAAGGTTTGGGTCACTTCGAAGTTTGCGGATGAAAGATGGGGGCAAGACCAAGACGTTGCTCGATTCCGTCATAAGCTCAAATGGTTTGTCGCCATAAGCGGCTGTGCCCTTGATTATCAGCTCCTTGCTCGTCTGGAAGAACTCGGTGATTCGGCGTGATTGGGAGAACTGGAAATTCATACCGATCGAGGGGGTTATCGGGTAGCTTACTGCTATGGTCGCCAGGGCATACTGTAAACGGACGATCAGTAAGACAGTGGCGAGATGGGCGATCGGCTTTTCTGTGGGCGGCGGGATGGTGTTCGACGCCCCGCCCAATTGAGAGGAGAAATTGGATGACATTCTGCGCCGAGGGCGAATTTTCGTCTTTCGTTGGATACGGCACGAAAGCGTACAATGTGTGATGTGTTTTTTCGGTTGTTGCTGTTAACAAGGGTGGCTGTTTACCTAAGCTTTGATCATCCAAAGAAGGGACGAACCATCCGGAGCAAATATCCCATCCCATCTTTGCGACGATCGTCGTCGTCACGGCGGAACTTGGCGAGTCCGCTAGAGTGCGAGAAATGCGAGCGCGAATTGATCCTTTGGTAGAGTACCTGGACCAATTAGACTATTAATACTCATTATCATTGTACGGACTACTAGTTAATAACCCAGTCCTCCACCACAACGTCGCACAGCTAAGCTTTTGGGCCACAAAGCGGGTACGCTAAGCACCCCGCGATGCCGCCCGCCTTCCGGAAAATTGAGCTGTATCACTGCAAACCTATTCGGGAACTCACTGGTATTGTTGGCGTCCTTATGTAGGTCCGCGGCTTCCAAGCGGAACGCCTCGTGAAATGGCTTCCGGGACCCAGTTATCGGCACTCGGACCTTGGCTGCTGCGGTTCAACAGCAGGTATGTTCGTATCTTGGGGGCAGTTGCGGGCATCGCAAATGCCCAACTGTGGGGTAGACATGTTGATCTGCCGCTGTTTCATGGTTTGACTTGCGATTTACGACGCCTCTATTTCTATACTGGCCAATCCAGGTGTTCTCATCTGCAGTTTTTTGATGCAAGCTTTGTTTAAATTTGTGGAATTTCTGCACTGTCTTTGAAGATTATCCTAGCTCGTTTGAGTTGATAGCGACCAACAAGCCTGCTTGTCATTAGTCGAGGGTATAAAGGAGCCAGGGTCCAGAGTTTTGGACCTGAATGGCTTTCGGGGTTTAGAAAGACGGATGTCGTGCAGCCGGGTGGCTAGCATGGCTCTATCACACCCCCAATTGAGATAAGTTGAGATTATAGACTTTTGCATTAACAACCCGAAGTGCTACATCTTGGTGGTGTAGGTACTTCAGAGTGTCGAAATCGGAATCGAGCAAAAGCAAAAGTCCGGTATCGCTCCCGGGCTGGACCTCAATGATTCAAAGCGTAGTAGCAGCGACGGCTTCAGGAAGGTGAGCACCCGATATTGGTAAGTTCAAGCCGGCGAAGACCATACGAAGTATGCTCTGAATAAGCGCTTATGAAAGTCTAGCACTGCATGCGTCCTAAGGCAATGAAGCATTGGGACTGGGATTCGAGAAGAACACTACTGTTGGACTGGCCCGTCAGACAGTCAGACGGTCAGACGGCAGTCTAATTCATCCTTCCGGCACTTGAGCGGACAAGGACAATGTGCATCCGTACAGGAGTTAATTATGCCACTGTGGACTTTGGCTGAGGCACCTACCACCATGCAGTAGCCACCCGGAGCGAGGAGGACATCGGTTCTGTAGGTTTGCGAATACGTCGGCATCGGGAGAGCACAACGTGTGGTGGACTGTGGTCTTTCACCTCGGCTCGAAAGCCACTGCAGTGAACCTTGCCCAGCATGCAGATGGGAACTCAAAGGCTCAATGGTGCATTGCATGGCCTTGGAAGTCTCCAAAGCAGCCTCCGTGACGAGCCGCGAAGACGTGGAACGGAAATTATCGATGAAGTGGATTTGTAATAGACTACCACTCGGAGGGTGCAGGTGGTGCTTGCTTCTTTTCCGAGTTTGATCGGTCTGAAGTGGTGTGTGAAGCTGGCGTCATTGGCAAGATCAAGATGCAAAAAAAAAAAAACGGTCAAGTCACGCACCGAGCAGCGGCAAGGCTTGAAAGCGCACTAGAGATGTCGGAGCATGCAATTGAAGACATGCTGTTTGCGTAGTGCTCAGAAAAGCTCTGTTCGAAATGGCAAAGTTCGGACCGAACTGATGGGCAGCAGAGTGAAGATATTGGCAGGCCGTACTAGGTAGGCCCATGCACGATGTTCTGTGGCTTGGGACGAGCCACACATATCAATCAGGCAGATGATCCTTTGCTTGATTATGATTGGCGTTGTCGCGATGCCAAGCATGAGTTTCAGAGAAACAAATCGTCGCATTTCCAATTTTCGGACCCAGAAAACACCATATTTTTTTCAAGAGTGCCTTGCCATTGGCGAACATTTGACATCAAAAACGTGTCATACCGTCACTTGACGCGCCTTCCCAACAGTGAGCGGTAAGCGTAAGCCATGCCCACCTTACCTTAATTCCTCGTCGAGGGTGTTAGGTGACTCCTAATGCCGCGCAAGCAATTAGATGTGGGGACGTCAGCACTGAGAATCCGTCATGTAAGGTAGGAGCCAGGGCGATGCCTGGCTGGGTCGGAGGAACTTTCCAGACCGCAGCAAGCTTTCTGACCACCAGGGTGCTCAAGGCGCCATTGGCAATCAGGTATCGATCACTTGCGGCTTCGGCTTGCGGCTTACGACAGGTTTACGTAGGGAAGGGTTGATGGTGCTTCGTGTGGTGCTAGCGACGGTTTGTGAAACGTAAGCAAGAGGAAATTAGGCCACCAGGGCGTCATTTCTTACTCTCTGCAGCTGGGTTAGACGACGCGCAAGTAACTTTAGGCTAGCCTCAGGAGCTTGCACGTAACACAGAACTAACTAACGCTCGAGCGGAACTGGCCAATGCATTGATTTGAATGCTTGCACGGGTTTTCGATTGCCTCTTCAGGTACTGTTTTTCCCATGCGCAGAGATGACAGCGCTAGTGCGGCCGTATTTGCTTTCCCGATTAGGCAACGGCGAAGGAGTCACTGGGTGTGGATCACAGGCGCATCTTGCGAGTGGACCATCTTATCTTACCTACCTTACCTTAGTCAAGCCGGGCCCGCGAACTTGGTCCGGTACCCACACCGCCCGGTCCCGGAGAACATTTTCCTTTGCGTTTGATTTCCAAGGACTGGAGGTCATCAGCTTGCGATGCTTTTTGGGATTCTGATATATAAGGTTGCGCATGCGCGCTCGCCTCGTCCGAGATGGCCGAGAAAAGCTGGCAACAATTTCCACCGTTCCCGCGTCAACGCATCATGTCTGTCAATACTGCTCTACCTCCGTCGCAGCGGGGCCAAAAGAATATCCCGTCGAATTTGATGGATGACCTTAGCAAGCGGCTGGAAAGCAACCCATACGATGCGAAGCGGAATCCCAAGGGAATCATCGACCTTGGGTCTGCCGTCAATGAGATAATGTTGGAAGACTTGGCGTGTTGGACAAAGCGGAATGTCAAGAAGACCCAGCTCAAGGAGAGTGAGTAGTTCGTCCGAGGGCGTCGTCCAATTCCAACCTGCTGATGTCATTGATAGCCCTTGGCTATGGTGATACACAAGGCTCTACAGAACTACCGAAAGCAGCTGCAGCGTTCATGAACGAACACTTCAAAGTCCGCCTCCCACTGACTGCCGACAACATCCTTGCGGCTAATGGCGTCTCGACGTTGCTGGATACGCTCACATACAATATCACCGACGAAGGCGATGCTGTGCTACTAGCGACTCCAAGCTACGGCATGTTCGCCCGTGACGTCTGGGCGAGGAACAATGTCCGCGTGGTAGAGGTGCCCTGTGACGACATACCGGAAGAGCGCTTCTGGGGTGAACCCCCACAAGAAGACGGCTCTATGCAGATACCCGAGCTGGTTGTTCGTCTCGAGAATGCGATCCAGGTCGAGCTGAGTCAAAAGCGCAAGGTCGGCGGCATCCTCCTGGCCAATCCCGACAACCCGATGGGTCGGTGCTACGCCGCCCATGTGCTCCTGCAGATCTCCCAGCTCTGTGCGCGGCACAAGATCCACCTCATTGTCGACGAGATTTACGCAATGAGCGCCGGTGACCGCTTCTCGAGTATCTTGAGTCTGGGCCTCGATGTCAACTTTAGAAACATTCATGTGTTGTGGGGGTTGAGCAAGGTAAGCAGCTACCTGGCAAGGCCCTTTCGGCCGTGACGACCGACAGTGGGGCCTGGCTGCCCTCGGCTTCGGCTCAGGCTTCGGCCTCGGATGGATGGTGGATCACGACTGACTCTCTCCCCTGTGTTGCAGGATTTTGGCCTCGGTGGACTCAGAATCGGCTTTGTGGCGACGTACAACCAGCAGATATACAATGCGATGCGGGCGTCAAGGTGAGTCACTGCCTCGGTTTACCAATTGCAATCTCCTTGGGACCAGGCTAAATCAATCGACGACAGCACATTCGGGTGGGTCCCGTCACCCAGCGCGTTGACAGCCGCCAAGCTCCTGTCTGACACGAAGTTCCTCCGGAACCAATACCTGCCCGTGTTCCGTCGTCGCCTAACCAAACGGCGCACCTTTGTCGAGGAAGAACTGGAGAAGTACGACATACCGCACGTCAAAGCTGAGGCCGGCTTCTTTGTGTTTATCAACTTGTCGGTGTGGGTGGATCTCTTGCTCGAAAAGCACGGAAAGGAGGGCGACTTGAAGTTTCTGGAGTACTTGATGAAGTACCGCGTCTATCTCGAGCCTGGGCAGGTGAGTTTCACATATGTCGTGCTGCGGAAGCGACAGGACCCCACTGACCCCATTGATGCTAACGATGGGTGATGCGCCGCAGGCCTTCTTCTCCAAACGCCCCGGATGGTTCCGGCTCAACTTTGGCGGGGAAAAGGAAACGTTCAGACTTGGCCTCCAGAGGTTGTTCCAATGTTTGAGGTTGCTCGACGGCAAAGACCACATTGACCCAACAATTGCACTGCCCGGGATCTATCACCCGCCGCCGAAAGGCATGGGCCATCTCGTCAGAATGTGAAGTTATCCCGGTGGTATTGGTTACAAAAAGTCGCCGGAGGAAAAGATATCCCACTGAGAATTATCCCCGAGATTCCGATTATGTCGGGTACCGTATACCTGGCGGCGACATTAATCGGTGTTTTCTTAGTCGTGGCATAGCCGCCCGCTGGGAACAGCCGGGTAGAACACTAGACTTGAGTCCAAAATGAGGCAGGCTTCATGTCGATGAGACACCTGCCAGCTGATGTGCACACACACACACACACACACACAGTCATCCTGACATTGCGCTTTAATGTCATAGAGAACGATTGGTGGAAGAGAGTCTTGCGGATCGACAGCGTTGACCGAAATGCCGGGTGTCTGGAGAGTTCGTGGATCGCCTGAGGGTTGTCCCATATTGTTGCATTCGTTCTGTTATATGTCAAAAATGAATATCGGGCTCAATGCCGGCTGCGTGATCGACGTCGGAAGCGCCTTCTTTGGGATTTCTGGGTCCAGTTTCAGACAGCACGGAACCGTTAGGTTAGACAGCCTTAAATGTTGTGTCTTTTTATAGTAGCATGGGAAGAAGTACAATCCGAGGCAATTTATGTTGGCCAATTCCCTATTGGTAGAGGTCTTCACCGTGTCTCTCGACTGATGAACCCAAGAGTTTTGAGATGCATATTGCCATTCTAACGTCCTTGTGAGGAAGGATTTTGATCGCATTGGTCAAGTAGAAGTACAAGATTTAAGGTTCGCCCTGATATAAGGTGACACCCTGTAGTTAATTGATTGATGCCTGAGAAACCCAAGTTAATGTATCTGTACATATACCCGCGAGTTGGTTTCAGCCAGGGAGTACGAGTCAGAAATGCTCACCGGCATATAAGTCGAGTCTCTACTTTGAGTCAACAAACGGTGGTTTGGTATAAGTACCAGACGCAACGAGTTGGCAGCACTTGAGAATCGACCTATCCACGTTCAAAATCCATCAACTGCTGGCATTTGAGACCATTTTTACACATTTCGTTCTGCGACAAAACAGCCATCATGCGTTCCCCAACCATCGCAACTCTTCTTCCATTCTTGGTTGCAGCTGTCGTTGCACAGCAAAGAGGTGACAGAGGTACGTTCAATTTTCATTCTATTAATGATGTACTTGCCCTCATTCAATATGCAAATGATGTATTGACGCTGAAATTACAAAGGCGAATGTCGAAGCGATGCCGACTGTATCAGATGCGTCGATAATGTCACACCACTTTTTTGCAAAAGTAAGTAGCACCATGCTATCATATTAGCGTGAGGCACACTGATTGAATCGACTAAATTGCTGGATTACTCTGTGTTAATGTTTTATGTAGCTGATTCTTCCTCAAAAACTGGCAAAAGATGCGCAGTTGCACAGGGCCCTTGTCGTGTTATCACAATTCAGCCTGCGCAGTCTGGGATTTGATGGATAAAATATGGAGAAAGCTGATCTATGAAACCGAGAGGCTTTCTATAATTGTATTCGCACGAGTTTAGTATGAGAAAAGGATCGACAAGGGCTGAATAGAAACAAGGATTTGTCACACCCGACACTCCACGCTTGGAGGAAACCCCTCGTCACACAGTGATAGAAGCCATGTTCAGAGAAAGTTTGTCTGTGTTGGAAGGAGCGTAATAGAATACAGACAGTCTGAATCAGCCGCCCTTGAATGTTCCATCCAACCTTTGCCACAGCTTTCATCAAGGAACTCTCCCCTCCATCCAGCCATACTATTGTTCCCTTTCTGAAAAAGCCTTTATTCCTGTTTCTAATGATATATCGGATCATCTCTGGGGTATGTCCTTAAGAGTGAATGATCATCCCATCTAAACTAAAGAGGCATAAGGAATGGCGATGTGATCAATTGGTAAGTGCGCTCATCTATGTGTGAGTGTCACCATGCTGTTGAAATCCGCTCCAGAGAGTGCCGACCTGGGACTTCACGCTGTTGTAATCAGTCTGCAGCTGTTTGTGAGTGGTTCTCAGGCGGTCGAGCTCTTCCTGCAGTGCAAGTACCTTGGTACGGTTGGCATCCCTCTGGGCAAGTAACTTGTCACCCATGAGCTGTTTCTCAGCCTGAGCGTCCCGAGAAATTTGAAGCTGGTCGGAGAGACTCTTGGTTTCTTTCATGTTCTGGTCAAGCCGAGCATGGAGCCTTTAATTCTCAATGTCGACCTCTTCCCTGGTGAGTCCCTGGAGCCGAGGTGGGTGAACACGTACGGCCGCCGTCTGGGTATGGGCAAGAAGCTCTTTGTTCTCTTTTTGGGCCGCTTCAAGCGCAGAATGAAGCTTCTTAGAGGTGGTCTTGAAATTGGCATTGCTGGCTGTGAGGTTCCTGTTTCTGCTTGAGATCTCCTAATTCTCATCACGCAGTTTCTTCAGCTCTGCATTGAGAGCCTGGTTCTCAGCTGCCAGGGCCTTCCTGTTCTCCTCAGAACACTTTACTTCAATATAAGGGGCTCTCAATCCGTCGTGGTGACCAGCTGCCTGTGAGTTGGAAGGGCCTTGTAGCTCCGGGATATGGGAGCTACCTGTGTGGGGGGGTCTCACATCAGTGTCTTCAGAAACCGTTAGCTAAGACATCTAGTGAAGCTGCCTGTAGATACCACATTAGAGGGGCTTAATTACCCGGAAACGCACCTGGATTATCTCGGTGGTGGACTTCGGCTGGGAAGAGATTGCCACTGTGGGAAATTGTCGGTTGTCGATTGTGATTACCATGGGGATAATTGGTAGTCGCAGAGTTAGCAGATGTCTTGGCCACTCCGAAGGTCAACTCGCTTTGGTTCTCTTTCCTGACCCCCGTATTCTATGAAGGAGCACTGTTCTGGCGCTGAGATATGTTTGCCGCATCCGCTCGACTCTTGAGTTCGATCCATTGGTCAAGAGCCGCTAAAAAGCCATGGAAGCCTTGGAAATACCTGGTTGCAACGGCTGAATCTGCCGCACTAGCAAGGAACGCCTTGCGAGCCCGGACGATGATGTCAATGATCTTGGCAACTTTGTCTGCAGAGGTATCCAACTTGAATTGCATCAAGTACCAAGACCAGCGATGGCGGCGAAGTTCCGTCAAGGCATCGTTCCAGATGGCGGACTTGGAAATGTACGAATGAGTGGGAGGGCGGTCGGTTTGAATCAGAGAGATGGCCATCTCAATGATGGTTCTCGCACGTCGAGCCGCAGAAAGGCTATGGTCAAACTTGGACATCTTCTTGGGCTCGTCATTGATGTCGGAGAGCAGGTCGAGAAAGGTTGGTCTCAGTATTGGAATGATGAGCGGCCCACCGCCGTCAAATTTGAGGCCTGGGATGGCTTCGACGGCTGCCATACAAGACTGCTCGCGGTCGCCCTTTGCGATTTTTCTGCCATTCAGAAGGTTGGCGGATTGCTGTCGACGCCGCTGAGATCTGCGAGTACCACCGCTTCGCTTACTGGCGTCGCGGTTCATCGCTGCCTGATGTCGAGGTATTCGCTAGAGAAAGCTCAGAAGAGAATGAGAGAGTAGAGGATGAGAGAGTAGAGGATGAGAGAGAAGAGATGGAAGTATGGAAAAAGAAGTCTAGACAACTGCGGTTTTCTTGACTGAGGTGGTATAAGACCGCTGTTGTGGTGAGTTGGCGGAGGGGAGAGGCAGAGGGTGAGTGGCAGTCGCGGCCAGGACAAAAGAATTAACGTCACGTGGGCCCACCTAGAATCTAAAAGAAGGAACTAACCCTCTAGTTTGTAGTTGAGTAGGTTCCGAATTCAAATTTGAGACTTCACCTTGACTGAAGATCGCAATATGAAATGGGAGCAATCGTATTACCGCAGTCCCATTTACTATCGGCCACAACTTTGCAGAGAGTTGGGCAGCGACCGGGCGGTGGGAAAGAGTCTAGTTGATCACTAGGTTCGTAACTAGTTTTATTACATCTCTAACTCTATCAATGTCACTAAGCTACGCATAAGGCAGGTAGGTGCGATGAGGAAGATCCTGATGATACGTCAAGTTCTCAATTTTAAGAAGACTTTCAAACCATCGGTTGGCGTACCGTTATCAACATAAAGTGTACTAAACTGGAGCTGCAGATGGTTCTCGTAGGCCGAGCTCGGGTCGTTGCTCAGAAAAAATGCGAGGGTCCTGGACGGACCTAGGCGCCAGGTGGATACTTATGAGCCTCGACGACATGTTCTGGCGAAAGGAACTCGAGACAGCGTCTCAAGGGAAGACATGAAGCGCGAGCTCAGTCGATGGCGGTAGCTTCCTACGGCTCGTTATTCTTATTGGACGGGGTAAAGTTCACCGGGAGGCGTTTATCTTGAGGTTTTTCAGGGCGTCTTTCACCCATAATACCGATGATAGGTAGACATGTTTGCGTGCAGGAGGGTAATCTCATTTGATGGATCAATTTATCAGAGCTATGATTCTGCCTCCATTCTTAATCTTCCCATTCTTTATGTCACTCCACTGCACCATCTGCCTTGAAATGGCTGTCGCCCCTTGTTCACCAAATTCTTCGTCGGGCATTCTGCGCCTCAACGAGCTCCTCGCGGAGAGTCTCATGGGCGGTTTCGAGAGACTCCTTCTTGGAGCGATGGTCCTCAATATTGGACTCAAGGTCACGAATCTTGGCCTTCATCTCCTCAATTCGGCGCTTGTCTTCCTAGGACTCCGCCTGAGAAAATCGGAGCAGGGCTCGCAAGTCCGCGATCGTCTCCTTACTCCCATCGGGGGAGCGGATCTCCTGAGCAAGCTTGACCTGCTTCGGCTTGGCTTTGTTACGTCAGCGCATGGCTTTGAAAGATAGCATAGTTATGTCAACGTGTAGTTTGTTTTTTGACTCACCTGACTCAGAAGCCTTCGCGGGGTTGGGGCGATAAGGCAGCGAGAACTCGTTACCGGGAGGGCGCGTGTCGGAGGCAGTGGCAGCCTTCTGCTCGCCCGCATCGATGACTGCGATCCACTCATCAAGAGTGGCAATGAAGGTGCCAACGATGCGAGGAGGCTCCTTGTCATTGGTGGATCCCGTGACGTTCAGGTACTGGATGCGCGCCTGGACGATGATATCCATGACGAGAATCAATGAATCGTGCTGGACCTCGCCATTCCAGGAGGCAGAGAGGCGCGAATCTTCAGCGAGGTCGGTGAGAGTAGCAACATAAAGTGCACCGCGCTTGGTATGCGAGCCCGAAAGGCTAAGCTCAATGACGCGGCGAAAAAAGACGTTTCCGCGACTGGCGATGTGCTCCTGGATTTTGAGCATGGCGGTGTTGCCGGGGTGCGTTTTTTTGTTCGCAAACATTTTCAGGTAAGCTGAATTAAGGCGGCGATTGAAGAGGGGGGCATCATCGTCGATCTTGAAGTCCAGGCCAGGGAACTTCAAGAGGGCCTTGGCCCAAGGCTTGTCGTTTGGTGCCATGATAGTAATTCACGCTGGCTGGCTGTGGTTGGTTTGATCAGCTCTGGCCGTTGGTTGAGGAGGAAAGAAAAGAAAGGGTGGAAGAAAAAATCCGACCTCAGGCGGTTTTATTTTTTTCTTCCACCTTTCTTCCCAGTGAGTAGCCAGAGATGCCTGAGATTTTCGTCGCGTGGATGGCTGTCGGAAGGGCTACGAATATACAGAAAACGAAACTGAGGCTGCCAGCAGAAATCCTTGGACACAGGTAAGTTAAGTAAAAGATTAATGGTATAGACGCAATGCTCAATAATTGACTAGACACGCATTTTGCCTGTATTCCAATGGTGAGGAGTAGACTAGACTTCATAATTGCAAGGAGAAAAAACAAGAAAAGCATAGTTTTTAAGAGGACTCGAACCCAGGACCTCAAAAAGAGATTGCCAACGGGGGACGTCTTCCTTTGTGTGTGGTTACAGGTGTTCAGCCGTAACTACTGCGCCAGAAGTCTCCTCATCCGATGGTGATAGATTCAGAAAGAAATTGACCTATAGATCATAGCCCGCGCCCAGCTGGGCTCCTTCCTCGAATACTAAGCACGTAGAGGTTATTAGGCTTGCTTACTTTTACACAAAGACGAGGGCCATATTTAATGTCTTCCAATACTTTTTTGTTTATAGAGTGAGTATATTAATTACAGATAGATAATAAAAAGTATAATAAGAAGAAAGTCGTAAGTAGAACTCGAACTCAAGACCTTAAAAAATGAAAGCCAGCCGGGGTAGAGCTTCTGACGTGAAGGGTATAAGAGTGGGCAGTCTTAACTACTGCGCCAGGAGGTCGCCTAGTCCGATGGTGCCAGAACCGAAGAATCATTTGTCTATGTAGTCTTGTGGTGTTGCAAGACTCCTGCTGCTAGTTACCTACCCAGTTAATGCATTACTGGCATAGCATTCTCTCATATTAATGCTTGCAGGAACCACGCGATTTGGAAAATCGCAACCTATACTCCCCGCATTAGCTCCGTGATTTACTTTCTAATGTATGGGTTCTATGTTATATGGTCCGCTGTCAAATTCCGGTCTCGTTCCGAACATGAGTTAGTACTTCAGCATACCCAGCGCCCGGGACTCCGTGATGGTGGATCATCCGGAGGAGAAGGTTTGCGGGGATGATTAGGTAATGGACCCTGATTCTTCAACGTTATCCGAACTGCATCGCTTTTGTCATTTTCTTCGCTCCTACCTAGTGGAGGTGTTCAAACATTTTTTAGCACTTGAGTTCTCTATACGAAAGGATTGAGGATGGTGTAGTGAATACATGTACTGGCTCTGATTGCCACGGTGCCACTGCCTCCCCTCTTCTTTGAGACGTCTGCCAGGGCTCGCTATTCACGATGCCGAGACCTGTCCCTGTCCCGCCAAGACGCTGCCGAGACCTCCAAGTCTCCCGTCACCACTCAAACATGATTCCGCATCGCATACATCATGAGGCACACGACACGCTAAGACGAAGGATGGGGACCAAGAATGCCATTGCCATGTCACCAACGACAAGATCCTTGGCAGTGCGGGGAAGGCAGTTAACAATATCTGGCTTGCGAACGCGGCACCAGATGAGATTAGGTGGCTCAAGATGTCCTTGATTTCGTGGCAAGTGACAGGCCCTCCAATGCTATAAATGGTCGTCGCCTCCATTTTGGTGTGCCTGTCATTTGGCTTTCGGGAAAGGTAAGCTAAAGCACACTCCCAAACATTTATCTTTGACGTCTCCAGAGCTTTCGCTGCGATAAACGCCGCAATGAAAATCCCTTCAATGAACCGAAAGACTGAAGCGGATACAAACCCCACCTTTGTCCCGGACGAGATAGAGGAGGCCCTCAAAATCGCTCCAGAAGTTCGAGACTATGCTGGAGCGCATGCGAAGCATGACCCAGCCGAGATTGCCCTGGTGCGTCGTCTTGACTGGATGATCATGCCTATATTGTGATGAGACGCTCCCCCGTATTTTGCGTTCGCAAATTCCTGGCCTTCAGGCGTTCTCCGCCCGGAAGGCCAATAGCTCTCAATATCCCTTGCAAATGTGTTGTCCTCGAGGACCTTTGTCTCACCTGCCATGCCCTCGCTACTCCTTCTTTTCATCTGTACTGACGAGACTTCAAGGTTTATGTACTGGCTCAAATATTTGGTGAGATACTCCAGGCCTCAACGCCTTCAAATAAACATCTCTGACATCATGGTCAAGGACCGCAACGCCATCGCCCTCGCCAGACTCAACACCCTCGAAGAATACCTCAACCTTTCGTCCACAGAATACCAAACATGCGTCTCAATTCTCTTCGTCGGATACGTCATCGTCGGCATCCCCGCAAATATGGTGGTAACGCGAGTCCGCCCAAGCTTGTGGATGAGCTCCTACATGGCCGTCTGGGCCATCATCAGCGCCCTGACGGCAGTGAGCCAGAACTACACGGGCCTGTTGCTCACTCGCTTCTTCCTCGGTATCACCGAGGCACCCTACTATCCCGGAGCGCTTTACGTTCTCGCCACGTTCTACACGCGTAAAAAGTTGGCGACCAGGATCTCTATCCTGTACACGGGTAACATCCTTGCGACGGCCTTTGCTGGCTTGATCGCTCTTGGAATCTTCCAGATGCACGGCATGGTTCGTCTCCATCTTTCCATGGTCAAATGAAAATAATAACATATGACTAGGCCGGTATCGCGGGCTGGAGATGGTTGTTCATCATCCAGGGCGTAGTCACCCTCATAATCGCCATACTAGCTTTCTTCATCCTCCCCGACGAACCTCTCACGACGCGATGGCTCGGACCCGAGGAGCGTATCCTAGCCAACGAGCGCATCCTGAGAGACACTGTCGGAAACGCCGGCCAGACTACGACGTGGTCAGGCCTCCTCGAGGCTGCCAAAGATCCCAAGGTCTGGCTCTTCACCGCGATGCAGCACTGCCATCTAGGCGCCCACGGGTTCGAAAACTTCTTTCCTACAGCAGTTGAGACGTTGGGTTTTGATGAGACCATTACTCTTGTGCTCACCTGTCCTCCGTATCTCATTGCTGGGATTATCTCGATCGCTTGGTCTTGGTCTTCAGGAAGATTCAACGAGCGCACGTGGTCAGTGTCCCGATACATCTCTCCAATTGAAAGGGGGTGCCAACCACGAGTGCTAAATTGCTGATTATGAACAAAGGCACATCAATGTAGCCAAGGCGATTGCGGTATTCGGCTTCATTCTCGGCTGCGCCACCCTCAACACCGGTGCTAGATACTGTCAGTTCATCTCCCCGGGAATATTTTGAAAGCTTGCTAGCATGTCAGTTTCCATGGTCGTCTTCTCCGTGGGCACGTACGCGGTGAACTCCATTATATTGGGGTGGGTCTCTGCGACTTGCTCGCAGACCAAAGAGAAGAAGGCTTCCTCTCTCGCCATCGTCAACTGCATAGCCGTCGCATCCTTCATTTGGACCCCGTACATGTGGCCCAAATCTGACGAGCCTCGATACGTTATGGCGATGTCTTCGAGCGCGGCGCTTAGCGTTGCAACTGCCATGGGCGCATGGGCGATGCGGCTCTGGCTCATGCGTGAGAATAGGAAGATTCGGCGATCCGAAAACGAGAGGATTCTATTTTATGCCTACTAAACACTTGATCACAGAAGGAGCCCTTCTTCGACGCTCTGTGGTCTCTTCAAGGTCAACGCAGTAATAAAACTAAGGGATCAAAGAGAATTTGGCCAAATATTTGAGACGTCTTTCACCCGAGACACTCAAGGACATAGCAATCCCTAAAGTAACCCTTCCCATTGTAGTCCCCAAAGGCAGCGACTGGATGCCTGTGCACCAGCTGCCACAACTCACAGTCCTCTTCGACTCCTTCGATGGTCATTCGAATGGCCCGGCCCTTTCTCCTCTCCCTCAGCTCGAGCTCCAACGACGACTTCAAGTAAACCCACGCAACAATATCGGGCCCAGTGAGACCCGAAGATATCAGCCTCGGAAGCAGATAGTCAAGGATGGTGGTTATGAAATTGGTGCCTTCAGATAGACCTGCAGCCATTCTGAGCAAGACGTCGACGCGAATAATTGTAAACTGCTGCCGCTGCTGCATGTTCATGCCGCAAACGATACCAAGAATGACCTTAGCCAAGGCATCCGTACCCGACGACTGAGCGGATGGATCGAATAGAGAGCGCAGGTAAGTGCAGGTCATCCTGCATACGAGGTAAATCATGTACTCGAGGGCTTTCCGCTCGTTGGCGAAACGGTAGGTGACAAAGGTCTCAAACGTGGCCCCGCTGATCACGTCTGAATCCGTGCCGAGCTTGACGACCGGCATGTCTTGGTCGCAGAGCCCCTTGTGCCAGTTGTCCAGCCGACGGGCGAAGACGTCGCATTGCCGCAAAATGGTTTCCGGTGTCAAGTTCTCCTTGTAAAAGTCCTTGAGCCTCACATTGCGGCGGTCACACTCGCGCCCGAGGACAGACATCAGCCATAAGGCGACCTTTTCCGACGCGCTACCGCCATCGACACTGGTATCATGGCTGAATGTGGCCTCCATGGCGTAACGTGCATACATACCATGCAGCCTGGACAAAATATCCCGGATGGCCAGCTGCGGGTCGAGGAGGCTCGAAACATCGTAGCTGTCCACGGGGTTGCAAGTGGCCCGTGTCGGTGTCATTGTAAATCGGATATCGTATCTTAGCATACGCCAGGCTTTAAAGAGGTCGGGGATTGACGACGCGGCGAAGTCGAGCTTCGAAGCAATGGCATCGAGGCCGGCGGCGTGGTCCCAGATACCACGAGCGGTACCGGCCTCCAGCTCGTGGTACGCTAGCAGCAGGGCAGCACCCGCGAGCTCCTCGCCGCGGTGGTTTCCCACATTCTGAAGCTGGGCTTGGAGCCCCTTCACCGCTGTGTCGTAGTAGATCCAGATGCTGCTGTCGTCGCATACCCGGCGGAGGACAAGCGGGTCAATGGGCAATGGTTGCGTCAGCTTGATGTTACTGGCGGAGAGTGCCAGTACTGCAGACTGGAAACAGCTGCTCTGGCGGAAGAGCTTGGGGAAAGAGAGAGCAACTGGTATGGACGGGAGGACGTTCCTGTCGAAATGCTGAATTAGAACCTCCTCTAGAGGTATTGACAACTGGCAGTCGACAGTCGGTTCCCCTAAAGGAGATGACCCGGACGTGGAAGACCCTGAAGACGAACCGTCAGTGACGAGAAACTCGTCCCAACCATTCGTCAAGATAGGGCTCGGAGCTCCCACGACCGGTGTTTGACTGTTTGGTTCTCCGCTTGTCCACATCAAGCGGTTGGCAGAGCTCTCGAGCGATGGAGGTTGCCCTGATTCACTCGAGCCATTTCTTGGATTGGCCGTCCTCTGGTGTTGTTGAGCTGCATCTTGGAACGAGGAAGAGCCATCGAAAGTGTCGGTAAGCGGCCATGGCAAAGTGAAAGTTCCAGCGAGCCAATCGGCATTCGTCATTTGCCATGGGGGTAGCGGCGCTGGAGCCGGAGTTGTCGACAAACTTTGTTTTGCCGGTAATTCTGTGACATCTTCGGGCCTCGATGCTTCCTGCGAGGCAGATGCGGATCCTTGAGTTGAGCCGAGGCTGCGTCGTTTCCTTCGTTCATCCTCAAGACGTAGAGCTGCCCACCTCGCCTCCTCAAACTTCCTTGAAGACTCGGCGGCCCGCGTAGTGACGTCCCTGAAAGTCACAGAGCGCTCGTAGCCGCTGCACTTGACTCCTCTTCTCACGCAACCGAGGCATTCCGGGCGCGTCTCATCGCACTGGCTACGAGTCAGTTGACTAGGTCCTTCTGACGGGAAGAGGGCGTTGTGCGCATGTGACCTTTCTTCTTTTCTTTTTGCAATTCTGACATCCTGTTCGCTTGCGAACAATGTCAGTCTTTTTGGGGCGGGAGGAGTGGGATTCCATGGGAGATATCGCGCCAAGGGTAGTGGCTGAGACTAAAATCGTTGAAGCGCAAGCTCAGACGGGCCGTTAAGATCAACAGTGCTGATTACTGCTCAAGGCGCTCGGGCGGTTTTCGGGACACGACGGAGAAATGACATTGATACTTCCAAGACATGCAAGAATCATGGTGATTGATGACGAAGAATGCCGCTGAGACGGAGTGATGCTGATCTAAGAGACAGAGAGCGATCTGGAAAGTCCCAGATTGGGCAGATAAGAGGAAGAGAGCCACCTTCCCTAATCCAGTAGACGGGTGCGCCGCTAAGCCCGTTACGATTGCACGGAAATGAAAAACATCAGTACGTACCCACGGAACTCTTTCCACCGGCTCCGTTCCGGCGTTCGGCGGTACGCTCAACCCACGCTGGGAGATGAGCCGAAATCTTTATGCTGAAATTCGCTCCCTCTCCATCCATCCCAAAAAAACTCTCAATATTTTTCTCATCCACCATCCAAAAAAAAACTAAAAAAAAACTTTGGAAATCCGCCCCATTGTCATAGGTTTCTTTAACCTGACTTCATCATGGTCTTTATCACAACAGCTCTATGCAAACTTTGTGACCAGTGATACCAAAGAAATTAAAGTTTGCCAAAGACACACGAGTTTCAGCGACTAGGGCTGATGAAGCAAATGACGGAATAGTTGGACAAAGTTCTGCCTGCACATAAACCTTTGCTCCAGAATACCGGCTTGGAGTAAAGCCTTAGCCGCTTCTAAATTGCTGGAATAAGTCAAAAGCTTCAGACACGAGGCTGCGATCTTGACTCGAAGCCAATTGAAGTCCAGTCACCGAAGACTTTCCGAATCGGGACCAGGAGAGCGGGGCTGCGGCAACCATCCCTGTTGGGCCATCACCATAGCTGGCGTCTCCTGCTTGTTGTTCAAGACACTTTGATCCGCTCCACCCTGGTTCAATGTGTCGAAGATTGCCAGCGCATTCCGGTGTCGTTTCTCTAATTCCACGGGTTGACGGAGGAGCTCACAGAGGAATCCATCCATAGTATCATGGCCCAGAGTAAAGGTACCCAAGGCCCAACCCAGTACGAAGGCCTGCTGCTCATCGATATCCCAGTACAGTACCGAGTTTGTTTGTACGCTGGGAATAGGGCTTGTTGTCGAGAGGGAGTAGGCAATGTGCATCGCGGTCTGCCCCTCTGCGTTCGTGCTGTTAACGGGTGCTCCGGACTGGATGAGGAACTCAATCATCTGTCGATCTTCGTGAAGAATACCAGGGGTCTTCTTAACCCGATGCAGAACTTCCACCAGCAGAGTCGTATCCTCGCTGAACGGGCCGAACACGTCGTAGATGACTCGCAAGACTTGATACTGTCTGCTCGGTGTTGAAACTTCCAGAGCGACCCTGAGCATCAACTCCCTGTCGGCGCCATGAGGAGCTGCTCTTTTGGTGACCAATGCTTTGAGCTTCGCAATTTGTAGTGACAGTCTTTCTTGCTCAGTCATATCAGTGGGGTACAGCCTTGCCGACGCGGCCGACAAGCCAAGCAGGACAGGATTGCTTTGCTCTATTGGTAGACCTGGGAATGGCGCGTTGGGGTCCGCTCCAGCGTCAAGGAGAAACTGAAACATCTCGGCCGATACGTAGTAGATCAACGCTTCTAGTACCAGGGTGACTCTGTTTTCAGCCAGTTGGTGGGAGCGGGTACCGTACGGTGTGTATCCTGTCCACTCAATGTACTCGCGATTGACATCGAAGCCGCGGTTGAGGAGTAGACGAAAGATCTGTTTGCTGACTTCTAGATGCTCCGGTTTGTGTTCCAGGAGGAACAATTTGACCACTTCATGCAGGCAGGTTAGTTCGCCTTCGTGGGTGGGCGGGGACTCCATAGAGGCTCCCCACTCCAGCAGAAGCTCAACGGCATCTCGGTCCAAGTTCCACACGGCGGCTTCGAGCGGTGTTTCGTGATCTAGGAAGACGTGAAGCACACCCTCCTGACACTGACAGAATGGGATTCGCCGTTTTGCTGGACGCGCCCCATCCACATGAGTGCCGGCCTCCAATAATCGGCGGAGCCCGTGGACGTCTGTACCTCTCTCGACGTGCCAGAGGAGTAGCGGCTCTGTGTGCAAGAACTTGTCTTTGTCGATAGCTATGTTGGGAGCAAGCTGCAACAGGGTCTCGATCATCGCACCGCTGCTCGCCAGGTGCAACACACTGATCTGATGATTCAGGTCTACCAGCTTGCCACTGTACTCGAAAACCTGCAGCGACAAGTCCTCAATGTCCGCGCCATACCTGTGCAGCAGTTTGACGATATCGACCTGGTCCTCCAAGATGGCGTGCGCCAGGACGGAATAAGACATGAAGATCTTGTGGGTATCGCATTCGGGGCGATAAAGGCGCTCAAGAATGAGGGAAACCACGCTGTCTTTTCTCAGAGCAACGTTTAATGGCGCTTGAAGAGTCAGGTGATCAACCGGATACTCATAATCGGCCAGGCAGGGAAGCATGGAAGATTCCAGAGCAAAGTTGGGGTCGTATCCGAGTTCCAAGAGCGACTCGATCCGGTTGACGTCTTTTCTGAGGATGGCCGACATCATTGCATGGTACGTCTGCAATGCTAGATCGCGGTGCAGCAGAAGACTTCGCTCAAATGACATTGCGAAGCGTTTCTGGACGAGAGTAAGTTGGAGGATCTCATGGGGGGTGAGGTACTCGCAAATGCCGTGCATGATGTCTTCCGCTAGAGTGGAAAGTGAGGCCATGATGCCGGATGGACGGATGGGAGCCTTCTTCTTGGCTAATTGCAACCAAGAGCTGACAAACTACGCAATTCGGACGGAACGATGATTGCGCACAGTCATTGAAATATAAAGAGGTCGATGTCGGTGAATAGGGACGATCGTGATGTGGCAGAGGTGGGCATAGCGCACATTCGGATATCGGCATGCCTAAGGAATGCAGCAAAGAGCGGCTGAGAGCCTGACTCCTTACAGGGAATGGACCAAGAACGGAATCGCCTGGGCAGCTGAATGCAAGTCACAAGGCAGACTGGCAGACTCGGCAGAATTTGTCTGCCTTGCCCCACGGGACTGGGAACCCGAATCGGGAGATCAATCGCAACGTCGAATCACCTCAAGTGAGCTTTTTTAGTTTTTGGTACATGTATTTTTGAACCCCTCCGCTCGGCGTCCATTTTAACATTGCCTCCCGACGGGTCCGTCCACACCAACGAACCAAATCAGAGACATCACAAGGTGATCTACGCAATGGAAAATTCATCATGTTTCCCTTCTTTTTTTCTTCCCTCGGTGCATCGCAAACCAAGGTAGGTTTGTCATTCTTCCATTTCACACCTCGTCTGCCGATCTTCGTCTCTGACCTTTCCCGAATCATTGGCCCACTTCTTCGCCGTGCTCACTCGCAACATCAGGCTACACGGACATGAAAAAGATCCACTCACAAAAAAAAACAGCGTCAAGCCTCTCGCGAACTGTTAGTTCGACGAGAGTAAAATTCGCGGTAATGTGTAACCCGCATAATTCCTTCCTGCAGCCTAAGGTGCCGTACTAGCTAGTTGTTCAATTCAGTCGCGGATATCGACAAGGGTGCCTACAAAGGCTACGCTCATCGAAATTCGCGAGATTTCACCCATTGAGTGTGCAAAGAATGGGATCAGTCCGAAATCCCTTACCTGATGCTAGTTTGGCATCACTTTGTGCTCGTCGAAGCCAGCTTCACACCCGTCATGACATGATCCCCGGCGAGTAACGCGCTCTCGCCTGGAAAGAAAGAGAAATACTATGACCAAGCGACTGCATGACCTCGAATACATTGTAGCCCATACCGCAGCTCCTCAGAGTAACACAAACCTTAGTTGCAAGACGCTTCCAGCATTTCCGCCACTCTCAGCTGAGCGCTGGGTCTCGTCTCCAATCGTGAAGGGAAATCATTCCTACAGTGGCTTAAACGTGGAGGGGTCCAAGGGGACCAGGGTGTATATTCCTTCTTGACATCAAAACGCATACGCAAGATACGGGTCTCACCTTTTGTCGATACTCAAAGAGCTGATGAACTACGCTACATATCATCATAGATCATAGGTCTTCATGTCTCGATCATGTCGGCTGGCTCTCTGATGCTGTTCCGAGGTGATAGGAGCCCGCCCAATGCTTGGTATCTGGATATCCTATCAGCCCCAGGCCGAGGCCTGCAGCCCCTTCAGGCCCCGCATCCCCGTTTTCAATGTAACACCATATCCTAGAAGTGGCTAGTCCACCTGAATAGGAATTGGTAACTCGAAGAAATTGGATCGCAACTTTAGGCAGCAGACATGTTGCTGTGCCACAAGGCACCAAGGCACAGCAAACAATGGTCCGTCAGCAATCATTGAAACTCGAAGGAAGAAAAGGGAAATTTTGATGGAGTTTGTGCTTTGCCGCAGGATGCAGATTTCCAATTGTGGACTATTTAAATGAAGTGATGTTCCGCTACGTCCCACGTCTCTGCCTCTGTTGTTTTTGAGATTTGAAGCCACCTCAAAGCCATATTTCACAACCAGGCAAAACATAGCCATCACGAGCTGCAAAGCACCAGTGTTCAAGTCCAGATTCTCTATTAGAGCTCACTCAAAAATGCATTTTCTCAAGCTCATCTCCCTCACTACGGCCATCGCGCCCACTGCCTTCGCCCAGCTCTAGTACGGCACCACCCTGCCGACCTCGACAGCTGCCGATGTCTACCTCTCCCAACACGTCAAGTCCGTCCCGAGTACCGTTACCGGCGCTGTAGCGACCTCTCTTGCAACCGCCCTGTACAGCGTCGACCAAAAGTACTTCAACGACAAGGAGTGGACGACGGTCTACTCGCACATGTGGTCCGCCGCCGCCAAGGCCACCAATGCGCCCGATGTTGTTGCCTCGATGGCGGTGAATGGATATAGCTTGGATGACCAGCAGGAGGCCAAGTGGTGGAAGGACAACGTGCCCGACAAGGACGACAAGTGGGTTTCGTCGTACGTCTCCGACTGGCGGAAGGCGTGGCAGGATAATACGGCGGCGACGAAGACTTCAAAGGGCGGCGCGCCAAAGTGTACTGGGATGGCCATCGCTGGCGTTGCTGCCGGTGTGGCTGCCGGGGTTATTGTTGCGATATGAGGCACAGAATCAGTTGCTGTGATGGTTGTGCTTGCCGCTGCGCATGATATTTATTAGTAATTGATTTTGGAGATGAATGATGAGGTAACTCACTCTGCTTCGTGGGCCTCGATGATCCTGTCCGTATCCTCCATCATCTTTTTGAACTTCCTTTTCTGGACATTCGCCTTGGCGCATCTCTCCGGAAAACTATCCCTCTGGAGGATACACTCAATAGTCACATCATGAAACTTGGATTGAGCAATGTCGTCTTCCAGGAGCTGGATTTCCGCCTTGTTCTGGTCGATTTCCCGCTTCAGCCACTGGCCCTTCTTGACCAGCTTGTTGTGCCTTTTGGGGGCTTTGGTGAGGCTCTTTCCGAATGAGGTTATCTCTTGACCCAGTGACTCGAAGCGAATTTGGAGGTCGTGAGCTTTGGCCGCGACATTCTTCACATCGTTGTCATGAGACAGGATTGACTGGACATTGTCGTCAGTGCTCGGTGGAATTCCCTCCTTGTTCTGCTGTACAATCGCCTCTGTGAGACTGTCGAGGACGTCTGAAAGCACTGGATATGCCGCTTCCGCAAGCTCCGCTTCTCTTTTAGTAGTCATGTTGATTCTTTCAGGGTTGCTCTAGTCAGCGATCAAGTGACCACTCAGGTTTGCTGAATGAAGAGGGTGGGAGCCGAAGAGGGAAAAATAAAGGAAAAAAATTAGAATCGGCACAAAAATCTTTTCTTGTTCGCCTACATCTGTATGGGGTTTTTTGAAATTCAATATTGAAGTGAAGGTTCAAGTGGAACATGGTTCTGTGGATGGACTTCAAGGTTCTCGATCAGTAAGGTGCGAACTGAGTGCTCCTTCCAACGCAAACCTGGCCAGCCAAACCTTGTCAATCGATAAATTCAAAAAGAAAAAGGGTCTATAACAAGCAGTATTAGTGACGGCTGAATGAATGAAAAGGCATAGTGAGATGAAATGGGGCATCTTGCATGAGTTAAGCACTCGATGAGTCCCGGAGGACTTCAAATTGCGAGGACAGGCGCGAAACCGCGTCGTCGGAGATCGATATTTGATAAGCATTATATACTGCAAGATGTAAAATTCATCTAGTACCTATGAGCATTGAAAGTATTTGAGTTCGGGAAGGAAAGGGGAATTCGATATGTAAGATAGTGGGTAGTAATTCTGCTGACATGAAAAATATTGAAGAATTGGGGGGGTTCACCAGCAATGAAACCGTAGCTGACCCAGAACTCATGTTTTCGAAAGGAGTGACAATTTACCACCTGCAACATAATATCTCGCACTATCTACATTCTGCAAATTTCTTCTCATGTACTTCCATCGGCCCAAATCAACTTTTGTAGCTACGTCCCAGCATACAATTCACACGCGCCAGCGCGTCCCTTTTGCTTCTGGCAACATGCATGAATCCAGAGATGTTGAAAGGCACTCGCGCCAGTCGACCTATCGCAGTTTAGGCCTTAGTGGCGTGCTCGGAAACAAGTTCGGTACCGCCGCTGTGCGCAGAGTTGACAGGAAGAGCTGGGTGAAGAGCCTTCTCCATGTCGTCGTCCTGTCCGGGGTTGGCAGTCTGGTACTCGAGCCACTTGAACAGGGCATACACCAGGAAGGACAAGAGAGCACCTGCGAAAGGGCCGATCCAGTAGATCCAGTGGTAGTTGACGAAGCCGATGATGACAGCGGGCCCAAATGAGCGGGCGGGATTGATTGAAGTGCCAGTCCAGTTCGTGGCCGTGATGTGAGCGATGAAGACCGAGATACCGACTCCGATGGGGGCAAGGAATGTGGCACGATGCTTCTCGACGGCGAGGAAGTAGACCGTCAATACGAGCTGCGCGGTCAAGAGCATCTCGATAAAGAAGCCCTGGGGGACGGTGGCGCCGCCACCGAGGGTGTTGGCGACGCGGAGCGGTCCAGGCAGGACTCCGTATACCACGGCGGCGGCGGCGATACTGGCGATAAGCTGGCTGGGCACAATGCAAAGAGCTCGGAGCGGCTTGACAGCTCCAACGAGAACGAGACCGAGGGTGACCTTTGATAGGGCGTATCAGTGAGTGTCCGAGGTAGAACTGATGGGAGATTACTGGGTAGGACAAACCGCAGGATTGAACATGCCGCCGCTGACGCGATAGAAGATCCAGACATTGGCGGTGATGGCTGTGCCGAAAGCTGCAGCAATGTACAGCAAACTACTAGGGGAGAGCGTGGCGGAGGGATCGTCGGGGTTGTTGGTGACGATGGCGGTCTGCGCGCCGAGGAAGGATAGGAGAAGGAACATGAATGTTCCGCAAAACTCGCCCAGCACGATGACGAGCAGGTTGCGCTGAGGCAGCGAGAAGGGGTACCCTCTCTGTCCCGAGGGAGGATGAGTGGCTTGCACAGCGTCGATGGCCTGCTTCACAGGCGTGTGGTGGTTGATGGAGGATGACATCTTGGAAGTGATGGTCGACGAATGTGTTGAGGATGGAAGAATGACTTTGAGATGATGTTGAAACTGGATCGATTGAAGGCTTGAATGAGAGAGGTCTTTGTGAGAGTCGATGCCATCTATAAATACGTATCACGATGGTAAACGATGCTTGGTCCCGAAATGTGAGGCGGTCGTTGACCTAGCTTGTGATCCACGCATCTGCTGTGACCTTCGGCGAAGGCGAATTCTCCTACGATCAGATGCATCATCGTGGGTCAGACTATTTGAGTTGGGCACCAAGCGGTAGGGACAGCGTCAGTACAACAAGGAGGAGGTTGGAGTACACGAGCATAGACTGAGGCCGGCACGAGGAATGTTGTACCACACAGAACCGAGGATCTGTACCCTCATATCGACGACCACAGGGTTCCAATGCAGATGATGTACTTGTGAAGCTGGTGATAAGAACACGGGCTGCACTATCACTTTAGACGGGGCACCGACATGCCGTGCTCTTACGTTCTCCTGTGTTCCTCTTCTCGAACGACTTCAACCATCCTAAGGCCAGGTTGTTCCCATGCTCCCATGCTGGGCCCCAATATGTGCGTTTCGCTGTCTCGGTCGTAATATTTGCCCGGCCACTCCTTGTTCTGATGGACCCGTTGCCACGATGTTGGGCTCGATGCTGTGTGTCTCGCCTTGAAAAATGAGTTGACTACCGAGATCGAATGTATGTCCTGTCAATCGTCTATCCGATACAAGGTCAAGGATGGAAGTAGTTGATCATGAAATTGAAAATAGACGTGCGATGCCCGATACTTCCGCATTGGTCTCATCTACAACGGGAAGCCGAGTACCGGCCTACTTCTGCACTCTGCACAGACGACAGTCTACAGCGTTGTGAAAGGATACTGTAGTCCTACTGATCTACGTGCGTAGTCAAACGGCACAACTTCCAACAACGTCCCTCCGCGATCGCTTTCTGAAGTCCGATCTCCCTCTCGGATGCCAAGTCCATGCGGGCACGAGAGACGTGCACCGTTTGTCTAGAACCAAGCTTTTGGAACCCTAACCATGTAAATTACTGCTGGGATTGGGCTCGAATCTGTATGTCTTGCTCTCACAGTGATGATCTTTACAAAGACTTGTCCTGTCCGACGGACGAGGTGCTCCGATGTCAGACCAGTACCATGCGTCTTGCCGCCCAAGTGGGGGGAACAGGAAAAACGGCCAGGGAAAAAAACGGTCAGCCTCACCAACCCCTTTCCCCATGAAGTCTCGGACTGTGAAGCCGAGCTTTTGAAAAGAACAGAGGCTTCAATATGGATACAATCTTCTTGATGCTTCGAATACTGCTAGGGCCGAACTTCGCTCCCTCGGAGCCGACAATAAGGGCCGGACTGGCTGTTCTACTTCGCACTCGACGCCACACTCTCTGTCAACTTCAAGCAAATGCACCACAATGGTAATGATGGTGATGATGATTATGGAGACAAAATCTTCCCAGTACCGGCAGGCTTGGCTCTGAGTGTCTTGCCATCGTACGTTGCCGTTGGGATTCTCGCTTCCTGATTGGCAGATCCCTCCGATGTCATGCTTCAGTTTGCATCTCCCGCTAGTGCACGTTGTACGGATTTGATTCGTCGGTGGCATGCACAGCGGTATCACTATCTGGGTTGACAAACAGAACGCAGCGTTAGGTTCCTCTGAAGTTTTCCTTCGTCCGACCTGGTGGCCTGTTCAGGCTGTCCTGGAGGCTAGGTTTGGCAATCGGGCAGGTTTTCGCGCCCATGTCGTGCCGCAAACTCTTCGCTGCTTGTCCCACAGAATCTAGACGCTTGCGCACCCTGCAATCTTGGGCAATGTTACCTTTTTGGCCTCCACGTGAGATTTGTAGCACAACAAGCTCTTTTGGGACCTTGACGAAATTTTTGATGAGTTGCTGATGTCGCGGTGGTTTGCTTCCATCACCAAATGTTGAAGGGCAAAAAAGCACCCAAGGGAACCACTTAACCGTCCAACCTCTCTCCGAAATTCCTCCGCTGCAACGGTCTTGTTTTAGGAAAAAAAGTCATACTGCCTATCCATTATTGGCTGGAATCCCCTGCTGCTCTTTACTTCCTGCATGTGCGGGGGTTTCAAGTATGGCCGGCGGGCATGAGTGACACGCGGGGCGACGAACCAAGGTGGTAGCGCAAGAACGGTGGAGCCTGGGATCGTGGTCAAGTCTAGCCTGATCGACATGCGGGCCGGTCCCAAGCGCTAACGTCACTTGGGACAAGATCCGCGGTGGAAAATTCAGGCATCTGCCGGCCGGGGGCCAACCTCCCGGGAACCGCCTTTCACTTTGCGTGGTGGTTTAGGCGTGAGGCCATTCTTTTTGCTGTCTCGTCCGTAGTACCGAAGACCGGCATCAATCCTGTGAGAGACGCAAGTGCGCAGGGACGGAGTAGAGCTGCCACCAGACTGTTTCAAACTTGACCTTCACCCTGGAAGCCGGAGATAAGCTACTCGCGGCAAACTAAGGGATTCCATTGGCAGCTGTTAAACTCAATGGATAATATCATGCAATCAAACACTATAAGACGGCAATGAGGAGCCTATACCCACTTCGTTGTTTCGAGAGAGCGAACTGCAACGTGAAGACCAAGTCACGAACATTCATTCTCTCAACGGGGAATTCGGGCGCTACAACGAGGAAGGGGGGGACGGTGAGACATTGAGCGACATATGGAGCGGGGCCTTCGGCGTTAGGTCGCAGAACGTCTCAAGCTTGACCGAAGCCTCGGGCGAGCTGCTCAACGTTTTGGGAGTCAGAGAGCTACAAGCTGAAGGGAGACGAACTCTACGTTAAGTCTTTCGGCTCTTGCAATTGCAGGTAATAAAGCTGTAACAATACGATGTACACATGTTTCTACACTTCGATGAGCTACACCAAGTGCCTCTCTGCCTCTCCCCTCGACTTTTGGAAATGCCTCGTTCCACCGTGGCAACTTGCTGGGCTAGGCTTCTGCAAGAAGCAGGCTTCAACCCTGTGCTAGGAGACGGATGGCAGGCGCGGTTGGTCAACACATTTGGTCAATGACGAGATAGACAGTGGTGGGAGCCGTGGTGTGGTGCATTACGGATGGGAGTTCCTGCTTTGAGACTGGGTGGCGCTTGACCTCGAGGTTGATCATTTCGAGACAATAAGGCTGCTGGGCCCAAGAGCAACGGCACACTCGGAACGGCTAGCCGTAAGGTGGAAGTCGTAATATGAAAGCACGTGAAACTGAACAGCAAAGCATCAAGTGGATCAAGCCCAATTCGCAGATATTTTCCATAGTCGTCAGGTTTCTCAGAAACTCCGACCTGACCATCTTGGGATGATACCTATCGCCTCAAAGTAAGTTTACGCCCGAAAAATCACATTGAGAATCTTCATCTCACTCACGTGTCGGGACAAGTGCCCAAATAATGATAGGTGTCAGTCAGTGAGTTCCCCGGCGACGGCGGCGATCCAAGAGTCGACATCCAGTGCGATTCAAATGGCAGCGAGATCGGCGCGCAAGAGTCCTTAAGCGACAAAAGGGTGGGACGAAAGCCGGTGGATGTATTTCATCTACCTTAGGTACCCTAACCCCATATAACTAAAACGCTGCCTCGCACATGACTAGTATATTCCTTTTGCTATGGATTAAACGGGAAAAAGAACGTCCGACAACTCAGTTTGGACTGCGTGATACAAGGAGTTACATCAGAGCAGACTACTTGAGGCTCACAGGCCCTACGGATGGTAATTTCAGAACTCTCAAGGTGATTTGCGGGAAATAGTCAGGTAAGTCAAAGCATCGTCATTGAATTGCGATTACTGACTGAAAACTGCCAGTGATCTTATTACAGTCAGTTCTTTCGGTCATTCTTACAACTGAGCCTTGCTTCCCAGTGGAGCGGGGTAATAAGGACTGAATTGTTCACTTTTTTTGTAGGCCATTCATGGGCTCATTATCATGCTCCTGCTGTATTGCAGTGATATCCTCTGGTCTCTCCTTTGTCCTTATTTCTCTCACATGACTCTGACTTCTTGAGAAGTAAAATTCCACAGTCGATGCCCTGCCGTAAATTTTAACCCATCACCGCGTTACTTTGAGCGGCCACGATACATGAGCCATTGACCTGAAACTTAAGTTCGTTTTTCCTTTTTTTTTTTTTTAAGGTATTTTCTCTCCGTCAGTAATACATTTCATATCTCGTAGATGTTCTCAGATATGACATGTCTGAACAAACCAGAACATAGAGACTCGCGGCAAGCGAAAAGAGGACCCATTTTGGGCAAACTCGTGAGTTTCCTTGGGGAGATATGTCCTACCAATGTCTAGCAACGTGTTCAAGAAGCAGTACGTTCATTCTGTGGAAGCTTGAAATAGACATAATCAATGACAACAAAGAGTTTGGCAGCGATTCCTCTGACACTCTATACTACAGTAAGGTCCCTCGTCCAGAACTTCAACTTCCTTTGTCCAGCTTTGAGACTCATTTATCATATGCCATCCGGGATTCACCTCAGCCTTAGACTTCTTTGAAGCTCAAATCGTCAGGTCAACGACTTCATGATCGGTTTGTCCTTGTGAAGCAAAAGTGTAATGCAACTCCCCGGTGCTTCTTTCCAGTCTGTCGGCCGCCATCTGCTTCTGCGAAGCCTCATACAGATCATTGAGCTCCTTGTTGAGCTTCCGAAGTTCAGAGATCTCTGCGGCCAGTTCTTCGCACTCCTTAATGATGCGCGTGTTCTCTTGTGCCACCTGTCGATTTCGATCCATTGTTGTCCTGTTCAGTGCGAACATGTCGGCTTCCTCCTTGAGTCGCTGTGCCTTCATTTCATGAAGCTTGGTCTTGTGGATCCGTTCAGCGTCACGCTTTCCCTTGTCATAACCCTCTGTGTAGGGGAGATCTATTTCCTTCTGGCAAGCGCGGTATCCAGCCCTGAAGTTTTGTTTGGCGAGTTTGATTCTGCTTTCTGAGCTGCGCATGTTTCGAACGTAGTCGTCTGTTGCCATCGCAAGTTTAGTCTTGGAACGGGCCTGAGCTTCAGTAGCAGGTTCAGTGCGTGCCATGGTATCTTCCTATGCACACATGGCTCGATGCAGCTGGTGAATCGCCCTGCTCTCGGCACTGGCAGTGAAGGGTTGCTGGATGAGCCTGCGAGACATGCCGGGATTCCGGTCCTTGAACGACACCCATGCTGAGTAATATCGATAAAGAATATTGTCTAGCTTCATGAAGTCGGAGACGAGACCCTCTCGAAAGGTTTCATCGTCAGCCAGGATGTCCTTCACCTTTTTCCAAAATCCTTCATCACGATCGCTGCCATTGGATTCTTCGACGCACTGAGCAGCAGCATAGATGATGGTGGAAAGACGAGACGTGGTCGAGGTCATGCTGGGATCGGCTGTTGGAAGAGTCAAGTCGAGGTGAAGAAGTTTTAGGGCATCCCATTCGGTTTCGGCGATGGGACCTGGAGCAAATGTCCGAAAGTCAAATCCGGTCGGGCGAAGGCAAGTGTCGATGACTTTCAACTGATGAGCGGAGAAGCGCACAGTGGACGCAGAGGCATCGGCAGGCTCGATCGTGGCAGAATTAGACTGCCTTCCATTGCGCGCGGAAGACATCTGTACACCGTTAGCGATGCTCCCAAGGCATTCTCGTGGTCACAGTAGGATATGACAACTCTGAAAAGGGCTACCCTGGTGACAATGATGGTAACCCAAGGCATCAGAATTGCTCGATTCTGAGCCTCTAGATATGCCAGCGGCTGCTCCTGAGGATAGAACTTGTATGCAGAGGCTCAGGGCAGTGACGCACTGGTGTCTGGGCAAGGGAGGGCAAGAGTGGGAAGCTCGAAACACTGCTTACCTTGAACGATCGAACGATGAGGCTCTCGTAGATGGATAAACATCCGAGCCTCTAAGGACCTTTGTTGTTCTTGATATCCGTTCTTGTCAAGTTGAGCCGAGCGAGCTAGGCTCAATCTCAAGTAGAGGTTGGAGGGAGGGTGAAGTAAACAAGGGAAGACGCGTCTTTTTCGGACGAGGCAAATTATTTACAAACTCAACCGCGCACTACATTTCTGGTTGAAGCAGGCGCTCTTTCCGATTTGGGCCGCGGGATTACGGCCCGGCCGCTGCCTGATTCAAATAGAATATAATTATGGCAGCTCTATGAGATAGGTATAGCTAAGAGGCAATCATGGAGGACATATGTGAAAGGTAAAAGGGTCAACCAAACTAGACACGGAGAATATGATGCCACAGTGTCTGGTGGTGGAGACTGAATAACGTTGGCTTTTGTTCATGAATCCAAAGTCTGAACGTCTTTTCTTTCTTGAGAGACCATGCCGCATGATTGCCACAAAAATCTCGACAAATGGATTCTTAACAGAACTGCATGAATATAGTCTCATGCTTCTCAATTTATCCGCAATATTTGGCGTCTAAACCTTCTCTGTTCCGTTTGAGCTACTGTGCAGGTTGAACCAATTCGAAAGCTGTTTTGAGGAACGAGCCTTATATTTTCATGAAGAGAGGAATGAAGGAAGATGCATAAATAGTAGTAAGCGGGCTGATTTGGCTAAAAGCAGCTCCCACACGGAGTAGTCTATATATACGCCGCACGGAACTAGGCCATGGAACGGATCGTTATATGTTGATCGGTCTGATACGGCGGTATACTAGGGACAGTCACGCATGGTACTGCGATGTATCTCTATGTGCTACTTATGCCATTAGCTCCGTGCTCAAGGTATGGACAACATAGGTATCCAGAAATGATGCTGTGTTGGCGGAGTTCTCAAGGGGAGCGGCCTTCTACGTTGGCTAGGCTTTTTCGAGCCTGGACAGGGTTGGTGGCATCTCGATATTGCTTGATCTCAATCTTCATGGTGCAATTGAAAGCGTGGCAGAAGCTATTTAGCGAGCGGAGGAAGGCATATGAGGCGCTTGCTGTCGGCAAGGAGCACAACATGGCCAAAATGAACGAGACCATCAGCACCCTGCACGATATGACACGCCAGGTTTTCGGGCGTAAGCTTGAATTTCTCACCGTCCACCGTCCCGGAGCCCGTTATTTTTGGTAGGTCTCCTCCTCAGCCACTGTGGCGGGCTGGCCTATGCATTTGCGCTATCGCGCCGATGAATCTCTGTTGCATGCTGATATCATGAAAGCAGACAGTCATTGGACCAGCATACCATATGCCACGGATGATATCATCATAATGTTTTCCCCGGGATATCGGGGTCGCAGGGACATAACTCCACGACAGTGTGGCTTGGAAGTCCGACGTGGAACCAAGCTACGCGGCGCTGGTTGTTCACTCAGCCCCGGTCGTGAATGCTGAGTATGAAAAGGTGAAGGAACTTGTGGGCTTCAATTCGGTTGATGTTCTGAGATACAATGACGATTCCGAGGAAGAAGATGAGAGACCTTACAGATCAGACCCTGAGTATCTCATCGATGACTCGGGCTAGGACTGAGGGGCATATAGCTCGGGTGGTTCGATATTTGGATGGCCTAAAGTTCGAAATCGGGTCGAGAATTAGTCGTGACTTCCCTAGATGATGTTTCAAAATAGTAGAGTTCAGATCGATGCGCTTCTATGTTATTTTTCTCAAGATCAATCTACAGCCTTGAAGGCTCTCAAGCTTGTTGGCCTGGCAAGACGGTCGCCTAAGTGGGTTTCGCTGGTCACGACGCTGTGCCAGACTAAGCGCAGTGTTTTTGTTGATTGATAACGATAGTATAAAAGCTACAGACGTAATGCGAATCATCTGAACCAGCGAGCAGTAAAACATAATCTATTGCTTGTGGTTACAGGGGGCCCTGTAGAACCTCGAATATCCTAATCGTGACTTTGTAACAGAGACCCATGCTTGACGCTAACAAATTAGTTTCCAACCAACGCAAGGAGAATGAGAGTTCCGTAGACTAGTCGAGCAGGTTGATCAAGGTACCTTGAGATGAATTGTTGATAGACTGGTGTGTTTAGTGGTCTGCGAAGCTTGGTGATCCGGAAGAGGAGTCATACCTTTAGCTCGGCGTTCTCTTGCGCCAAACGAGCGATGGTGGCATTCTGAGCAACCGTCAAGGAAATCAAGCGGGTGTTCTCCTTCTCCAAAGCGCGGAACGTATGAAGTTGAGAATCGCAAAGAGCTGTCCCGAGTTCGAAGAGGGCGTTGTCGAGGACGTCGACGATGTGGAGAAAGGCAGCGGCGGCGGGGATGTTGGTAGTTGTATCCTTGTATTGACGTCCCTCATCCTGGGTTTCTGCCCAAATACGAGCCTTGGCCGCGTTCTCGTCAGTAGCAGCAGTCTCCAGTCTGCCATTTGCCATGGAAATCGCCGACTGGACAATTCCGATCACCTGATCAATGTCCTTCTGCGTGATCACGGCCAAATTTTTGATCTCGTGGAGCTTGGTGACGACCGAGGCAAGAGCTTGGATGTTGAAGCTCGTCTCCGTAGCAGGTCCTCTCTGGAACTTGATGTACGACTCCAACTCAATGACATGAAACTGGATGAGATAGCCCATGCGTTGAGCATCTGTCAGTCCCGAGCGCTCCATAGCACGACTAGACCGATGTATGGAAGGAGCGGATGGAAGTCCTGGGATGGAATTATCGTGGGATTGCATAACTGCGCATGGGAAAGAATTAGCGTTTGAAAATTACAGCCAAGGTGGTGATACGAAAGCGACACACAGTTGAAGTTTGATTCTAAAACAAATTGGAGCAATTTGAAGCGCTGGTATTTTGGACGGAGGAGAAATGGTCGATGCTCGGTTGTAATTGATGGCGATGGGAACGATGACGGCGATAGTCACTTCGGGATGATTTGAGCAATGCTTGTTGGATGGAAGAAGTCGAGAGAGGGAGGGAGGCTGGTGGAGCCTTTGAAAGTTGAGGTAGAATTTGAGATGGATTTTCGATCCGGGCCCGGCACTGAAATGAGATATGTCTCGCTGAAAGCCTCCCCAGATGAAAAAAAAAATAAGGGGGTGGAGATGGTAAAGAAGGAAGGGGCAGGCCGGTGGCTATTTCTCTTGTTGAGACGGGTGAATTGGAGGTCGAGGTAGGTTTTTGAACACGGGAACCCCGTCAGGTAAAGGTAAAGTGCGAGGCGCCGACGCGCATGTCGGAAAGGCATGTCAAGTCATATTTAGGATTAAGACGCACTGGGGCTTGGGGGGGCACACCAGTGAGATAATCTAGCCCGACTTCGACAAGAACCAAGAGCGCATCACAAAGTGCACCTGCCCAGAGGCCATACTAAAGGGAAAAAAAAGGAAACGAAAAAAAAGAGATGGGAAAATCTTCCCCCGAGCCACTATAGATCATGGCCAAGAAGCCTCTGCTATTCAAGATTGACCATGACGATGCGTATCCTGATCTTTTTGTCCTCAGTAAAGTCGAAGATATCCCAGAAATTTGAATTGCAAGCTAATATTGGCCAAGTCCAGGAGAACAAAATCAGGATGCATTTTTCAGTCAGTTCACGTAGGTCGTACAGAATCTGAATATTTGGCGACGCACCTATATACGCTGAGTGCCGCAGCTCAACGCCAATTGAAGAAAGTACTAGAGTCGGCATATTGAATTTCTAGTTGAAAATCACAAATAAACTGGTCATGATTGTTCAAGACGTAATGACAAATGGGGAAGTCTGCAGAGTTGAGAAAAGGGTATTCAAAAACAAAGGTCATCTGGCAACAAAGGAGCGACAATCAACGCCGCTTGGCTTGGTCGATTGCCCTGGGAAAGAACCTAGGTGTCATCTTATGGAAATGGGTGGCTTATGTTTCGACCAGCCACGTACTCCACCAAGCTATAATGATGATAATCAACCTTCCCTTGCCTAAGTTTGGGGAACTAAAACCACCTTATATATGGTGAAGATATGTTCTCCATACATCTCAATCAGTCGAAAGGGCGAGATGAAAAGTTCCATCTCAGGTTCCGGGCGTCAGCACAGATGTTTCTGTATCTGACTTTGAACAAACTGCCCTCCGAAACCCGCAGAGTCGAAATTTTCTGCTATCTCGCACTCCTTTTGTCTCTCTGGCAAAGCGTGGTTGAAGTGATTGAGTGGGACAACTAGTGAGAACAAGTTCTCCATAGCGTTTTCAAACTTTGTATGTCGCTGTGCTTCTGTTGCGTCTAATAGAACAAATAAAAAAACGGCATGAAAAAAAAAAAAAGAGTAATTGATTCACAACTTAGGTGAGGCGAAGGGAAAACTGACTCGAAAACTTAACTCTTTTACACAGATAGTGGTAATAAGCACATACAATACTTGTTGTGATTGGGCACCTACAACTACACCACTTGAATCTAATCTGTACATGTACCTATTCCGTGGGTCGCGAAATCCCCCTAGTCATCTGAGCTTCTGTATCTCCCCTCAGGCAAGAGCCCCGCCACAAGGGTGAGCCGATCTTACCTTGCCTCACCTTCTCTTGATGCCTCGATAGTACCTCATCTCTTATGCAGGCATGGAAAGCTCGAGAATTATCAAGTGAAGCAGAGACTTGGCTTGCAGCCAATCAGAGGGATTCCTACCACGGTTGTCTTTGACGTTCTTTGTGCCTGCCATTGAATCTCTGGGCGACAAGGCGCATTGCACATGGTGGGTCTGTGGAATTGACGAGGGGTCGGATACTCTTTTGGGATGTGTTGAGCCCGGCTATTGGGGCTGGGCAAGGGGTGGAGCTGCCTCTACAAATTTCAATCCGGCAATTTGATTCACCAATGGAAAGATTTAATCTGTGGCCTTTGGAGCATCAACAGTGGCATCAGTCCTTCAAGTATTGGATTCGACGATGTAATAGATTTCTGTCACACATGTTCTTGTCTGTTCTTCTTGAAATGAGAGACTGGCTGCCATTTTGAACGTTCCTGGGTTCCCCGAATAGTAACCTTACTTTGCTTTGGCTTGAACATTGGGTTCGTATCCGGCTCCGCAAGAGGCATCTGGACGCAGCTTTTTGTTTCCGATCAATCATCGCCAACATATGTAAGAGGCACATATAAACTCCGTGCCATACGTCCGAATGAAAATAATGCAGACGGGGGAGAATGGAATCGCATTCGTCAATGGGGTACGTAGGATACACCATCTGTTGCTTTACGTATCACAGGTGTGATTGTCCGAATTGAACCGTGGTGACGAAGGGTCAATTAACTGTATATTGATCTCTGCGTGAAGTGGAAAAGAGAGGTTCTAACCGGAGTTTGGACCGTCAGTTGAACGCTGATATAGAGACCCTCAGATGGCCCCTGCGCTGGCGCTGACTCGAGGTCGAATTGGGCTTCCAATCCGACATAATCACGCGTAACTTGAGGATAGGGTATATACCACGGACAACATGGCAATTGAATCTAGAGTTCTGAGAGGTTTCAAAACAGAGATTAGACAAAGAGAACGCTCCAGTGGAGGTTCTAACCCGATCTTTTTGTTGAGACAAAGTGGTACTTGGGGGCTACAGGCGCCGGCAATACATGCAGTGGGGCCCTACACTGCACCATCCGACTCTAACCTGCCCCCTTTCCCCTGAGTTCTGCAATTTTCTCGATCAACTGGATATATGTACCCCAGACTCCATTCATTCATGTCTCTACTACCTTAGGTATCAGTCAGTCACGTGTACTTCAGTCAACATCTTAGAATTCGGCGAGATGTGTTACTCGTACCTTGGGTCACAAGCATCCTTCATCAAGACCTTCACTGCTTGTGCATTTCCACCAGACTGACTAGTTATTAGTTGGGCCTCTATACGAGTCCAACATCAGTCAAAATGACCTGCCTTACTTTGTTGGAGGTTGTTCAACACTGGCAATGACGTAGATACTAGGCTTTAGCCACCAGTACTGATCACTTGTTCTTGTGGTTGTACATAATAAGATGGCATGGTCAAGTTAGGCTCGTAGAAAAACAGCTGGTTTCAAGACGCACTCAACAATTTGACTGATAAAAGGCATTGAAAAAGTGCGCAGAGTATCTGGGTGTTTACATGCTGGAAAACTTATATTAACACCGTCCTCCAACACGAAACGTGATGATTCGATCGGTCAATTTACATGTCGCCAATATGTCTGCATTTTGTATCTTTTCAAAACGAACTCCATTTGCCTCCAATACCATTAGTAGGTGTTGATGTGTAGGTACTCGGCCAAGTCGCTGTGCTTGTGAGTGCGTAGGCCGAGGATTTCCTGTCGCTCGTCGCCAACGGGTCGGACAATAACCCAGAACTGCTTCGCCACAAGAGAGTCTTCATCGGAAGAATCCACTTCTGAGTCTTCGCCTTGCTCCGCGGCAGTATCAAGAGCTTGATAGTGTCGACTGTGGCATCGCTGGCGACAGCATCTTCGACAGGGGAGGCGGCTCGGCCGAGGGGCGACGGGGCGAAGAGGAGATCACAGTCCTCAAGGATATCGTGGAGAAACCCAGCCAACTCGGCCTTGGATGCGATCTAAACATCCAATGCTTCGAGCATAGGGCGGAATACAGGATTCTTGGTGTCGTCATCCTCCATGTCGCCGGGGGTACGGGCAAGAAGATAGTCGCGGCGAGCGACGCAGAAACGATCGAGAAGGGCCTCGACCTATGTTCCGTGAGGAGTGAGGACCTCCCGCTTGCGGTTCATACGCAGTAGGATTAGAACTTGATGTAAAGTCGTGGTGTTGCCAAAAGGAATGTCCCCTCGGGTGTTGTTGAGAAAGGAAAGTGAACAAGAAATAAATTCGTCCTTTCCTTTTCTCCCCTTTTTTCCCGGCCTCCAATGTGACTTTTGGGGTACTGATGAGCTACATAGGGCCTCAATTGGGAGCCAATCCCAAGGTGAAGTTATATTCAGCTCATCCCCTTCATGTATTTGTGTGTGATCTGGAAATATAAATGTGGGATACACATCATTTTGGCGACACTCCATCTAGGCAGCCTAGGGATAGGTTTCATGCAATTTAAACGAGTGCGTTTCGCGTGTTTACTGTCTCTCACGTTTCTGCGCTATTGACGGGCACAGGGAGATCTGCTGGTATTCCCCGTAGTCCGGTCCCCAGGTGCCACCGAATCTCTCAGACTAATGAGCTCTGGAAGCAGAACATGTGCCAGATTACCTGCCCTCACTCAAACTTGCCTCCTATCGAAAGGTTGGTATTCAAATGGAGACAATACGTAGTAGATGCTGACTTAATTCTACATCAAACATAAATGGTGAAGTGCAAAGCACCTTGCGAAGCGTAGCAGGTCGTATGGAATAATCTCGGCCGTTAGGAAGATGATCAAATGTGGCAGCCACATTGGCAACGCGAAGCACTTATCTTAAATGAATTGTTTCTTCATTGGCAACAGAACATACACGATTGACGTGTCGAGGATGAGTAGACCTGAACATGCTCGGAGGCCCTTTTTTGGTGGGAGATGTCGCAGGCGCGGAAGGCCACAAGCAACCTAAGAACCACGGATCCAGCGATAAGACGTACGGCATGATAAAATGCCATGAATAAACATAGACTCCATAATGGGTTTCAATCACTTTTGTCGACCAAAGGAAGTTTGTGACAAATCCGAGGATGGACGTCGCCGATCTCCTAGCCTGCACTCAGCAGACTCAGCAAGGCAAACTGTTTCACTATTCGTAGACAAAATCAGGATTTCAAAACGCAATGAAGAGTATACCCTCTTTCTTCCGGGGTATGCTGAGGGTTGTAGTTCGAGATGCTGCGTCAATTGAATTTCCAGCAAATTTAGCATTTTTGGCGTGTCGTTGTCGCCAAGTCTTGGCATTCCTTTTCACAGAGAATTGGGAGAAAGAAGTTGATGAGTGTTAGTAAAACAATCGAGTCCTGACAGTTATCACCGGCGACCTATCGCGAGAGTCGATGTCGAAATGCCTCATCGGTGACGTTGATTCTTAGACTGCGAGTAGCCAGCGGCCAAGGCGGCTAAGATTTCCTTTCATCAACACCTTCAGAATGTGGGGTACCGAACCCATATGCATCACCTCGTAGCCTTGAGGCTTCCTGGGCCACTGCAAGGGGGATAGCGGCGGGAGACTGCGCGTATCGACCAGCGAGCTTCAAGTTCGGCAAGCCTTGCACAGTCCTACCACGAACTCCTACTACGAGAACTTCCAGCCTAGTGCAAAGACTCCGTGATCGAATCCCTTAAGACCGTCTCACCGAATCTTTGCCCGTCGCCAAGACCCCGGCCGCACAATTCCGCGTCCTTTAACTCTCACAACTCAGGAAGTAGTCACCGGAGAGCGCCTAGTGGCCTATCTTTAGGGACTCACGACATGAAACGAAACAGACGAGGTCCAGTCCTCAACTTCCACACCTGAAGGAAGGAACTGAAACGGGATAAAACCCCCAGCCACAATCAAGGGTTGGCCCAGCGTCTATATCGACCCACCGAAGGAAACTCTCCCGTACACGACGGCTAGCGGTAAATAGATGGAAAGGTTGACCCGCAGGAGCCCCACAACGGGAAGAGGGCGGATGCGTTGCAAGCTTATTTAGCGCCAAGAAACGCCCAAAGCTTGTTTTTTTCACGCATGGGGGAGGACAAGGGGGAGAAGGGTTGGGAGGACAGGGGACAACGTGGTCCCGGCTTGCCTTTTTGTTTGACGAGTTTGCTTTTGAAAAGCTTCTTCACATACGAATGAAAGGGGTAAGGGAGTCGAGACCACTTCCATGGACCTCCACTGTGGCGCGATCGACGGCGCTGACGCCAAATTGTTAATCATGGAGGGTTCCTGAGCCCTTTCCAGGGATGCTTTCTTTTATCACGCAAGAGGTGGTGTTGGGGTCATCCCTTCTTGGTTAGGAGGAAGTTGAAACATGAAACAAGGGGAAATGCTTCGGAGATGCGCCAAACGAGTCAAGCATTGGCAATTCCCCTGATTCAACATGGGCGTGAGGCGGAGTAATAGCCCGAATGTCCGTCACGGAGCCAGATTTTGATGAAATAGAACCCCAGCCAACAGAATGCCACGGATCGAGTCTCGTGATGATTGAATAGGCTTTCTAAGGTGCTGTTAGGTCAATATCTAGTTGCGACATTGTGTGTGGAGTAAAGATTCCCCAAAAATCTACACATCCGCCTGGGTATGTTCTGCCCACCGTCAGAGAAATTTTCCACTCGGGCAGTATGCTTCCATAATGCCAGAGGTACTCTCAGCTTATGAAGTTGGATGTGCAAAGATGTGCAAAGACAGTCCATTTCCTTCTGCATGATCCAGTCCGAGCTCTTCAGCGCTTGCATACTTGCACGTCTCCCAGAAGTCCAGGCGAGACGCCGCACGCACTCGTGTCTGTCAAGCAATCATCGAGATGGGATGTGTAGTTACTGACTAGTAAATCAGTCATCACTTCTGCAACGCTGTTGGCGTGTGGCGGATAGGATGATGCTGAATTCATTGGATGGAAGGGTGGACGGATGGAAGACGAGGTGGATGAAGAGGTGGACGGAGAGGGGGACGGAGAGGGGGAAACAGGGCGCTTTGGGAAGAGCAGGTAAGCGGACAGGAGGGAGGGTCCCAGCACGATATGCAGCCCAGCCAGGAAACGCGGAGAGACCCGCCACAACCACATGGATCGTCGAAATAACCTTTTGTCGGCCCCGCTAGCCAAATTTGTGGCTCTCACTCCTGGGTCAGCCCTTGTAACGTCCCTAGCGGCGTGTCCGCCAGGCTTCTATTCATTCAAACACACACTGACAAATTAGCCCAAAAGTCTGCTCTTCCCTCTCCGCGGCCGCAGAGATGAATGAGATGTTTTCATTTCTCTTCGTCCTGTACTGAAGAAGTCATATGGGCGTGTGTATGGGATACAGAACTCTGCTCATCTCGTGCGCGGACGGTGTAGCCTGTCACCGCAGGCTTTTTCCGAGTTTTGGCACGTCGATTTCAGGAGTTGTTCTTTAGCTGTTACTATCGAAAGTGTGTTTTTTTTGGATGCTGACTGTCAGCATCCCCAGCGATTGGTTGGATTTTTTGCTGTTCCTGAAGAGCCGCGAAGTTGTGCAAAATCGCCACTTGCATGCAGGTCCCACCAGGCGATGTTCAGCTGGCCCCCGTATGGTTCGTCGATCACAGGATCATAGCATGATTTGGCAACGGTTCCTCAAGTTGTAAATAATGATATTGGTATTTCCATCATGGTTCATAGTGTACATGGTGCAGAAGTATGCTTGCACCTTAATGTCTGTCTACTTTGACGGATGATCCGCCTCTTCGTGTGTTGCTGTTATCGTGTTTGGCTTCCGGAGCCCATGCTATTTTCTCCACGCAAAGTACGGAGAATGTGGAATGAGCTCAAAAGATATGAATAAAAAATTCAACAGACGTGCTCGCTCTGTAGCCCGATTCATATCCGATCTTTCTCCTTCACTGGATCCTCGAACATCCAGATGTTTGTACTTTCTGGCCTAGCTTTGCCTTTGCTCGGTTGCGCGTCATTTTCCGGATTTTGAATCTCCTTGAGTTCCAATCCAATCACACTCTCGATATCCTTCACCTTGAAATCCCCAGTCATCGGCGTTGGATGTTGTTGCCATGGTGGTGTCTCATACCACAGATCTGGGTATACCGTAGAATTCCGCCTGCATCTGTTGAACAGTTTTGGGAACCACAGCTTGAGCCTTGCGACCACTCTGTTGAAGAGCTCCTCCGCTAATGGCCTGAAGCCCGGTATGGACAGTGCAACAAGCGTTGCGCCGATCTCGGCTACCTCAGTCGCGAGGAGTGGGCTGTATATCCACGACTGGTCTGGTTGCCATTGCCCGTTGATGACCAGAATAAGGCGGGCAACTGATATTGCGACGACGCTGTAACGACTTAGTTAGTGCGCATTCGAAACCCCAATAGGTAGCCGTGACTCACAAGATTCCGGGCAGCAGAATACAGGCAAGCTGAATCTTTCTCTTCCGTGTCATTTCCAACATCCACAGCATCGCAACAGGTATCCCAAATAGTACAAAGTCGCAAAGCAGGGAGACGGCCGAATTAATTCCGTACACGAAACCCCAGGGGAGACACTTGAACTGGTTGAACTGCGACTGCCATTCGTAGGGCCAAAGGGCTGTCACGGGCAAACAGTGGAACACGATGAGGAGCATCTGTGTGATGTAACCGGCGATGAGGAACAGCGCTGCTGCTTTGATGGCGACGAGAAAGCGGCTGTGGACGCCGCATACTCGGTAGTAGAACGCCAGACCCGAGAATCGACATACGAATAGCGCGCTCGTGTATATCAGGTGCGCGGTGAAGTCGAGAACCTCGGTTTCTTCCAAGATTTCCTGGGTCATGACAAACTGGATAAATTCAAAATGTCGGCCAGAACCGATATTGATGAGGATGAGGCACAGTGGAACGAAGGCTATGAACATTGCCTAGCGACATTGGTTAGCCCTCCATGTTTCCCTCCAGGTACGCCCGTGCAGCAGCTTACCATAGATATCACTGCTAGCGTGTCGTCTATTCCAAAGCTTTTCCGTAGGAACAATCGTGAAAAGGCGCGACCGTTGACAATCACCAACGTGACGGCAAACATGAAAATGGACGCATTCATCGACGGCCCATCTCGGGTTTCTTCCAAATACGCGAGGCTGATTTCTGGCGGTACACGACCGGCCGCGACGGCCGCGGAGGCTTCTGAGTCGCCCAGCATCGTGATGGTGACCGACGAAAAGTTCACGATCTGGCTGAAGGTGTCATGCGGGAAGGAGAGATGTGCATCCTCAGCAGATTTTGACAAGTCTCGGACGACAATGTGTTCCCCCCCAAAAGCTTTATGTTCTTGACCTCTTCTTGCAGCGCAATAATGCAAGTTGCATCCGAGTTGGAGTCTGGATCGGATGACACAGATTCTCAACTCTAAACACGACATGGATTGGCAACGATGTGAAGTGGTGTGGGTGCCTTGGAGTGAGGCTGCCAAGAAGGTTGGCGCTTGTGTATGGACTGAAGAACAGCTCAGGAAAGCTTAAATTGTGCGTTTGCATTCAACGTCTGTGCCATCAGCATTTGACGGATACTTTTTCTCGATTGAGCACAACGCCGATGCGTGATGCAAATTTTTTAGAACAAATGGAAAAGATGGACAAGCCAGATTATGCTCGGCACGTCGAGCCTGCTCGTACGAGGCTTTTCGGTAGGCAGGTAATGCGGATAGGAAGAAGAGTATCGTAATGTAGCAGGTAACAAATGGGCCATATCGCATTGCTGAAGGGACACTTCATATCTCATGAAAGGTCTCAATTTGTGGAGAAAGAGCGGAAGCCAATCGGGGGATCACGTAGGCGATCTCTTCAGACATTCCGACGACGGGGGGGTGACCTTTCAAGTATTCAAATCCCGAGTCTGAGAGCTTGTCATTTGCAGGGGTCCACCCATCTTCTAGATCGAGTGTTCATTACACGATACGGGGTGTTGTCGAACAAATTAGCCGGTACGTACAAGAGAGCACGGAAGCTTTATTTTCCCTATTCAATCTTGTCTCACTGGCCAATCTACGTCGGACATTACGGGCGAGCCGTCGCCGCGAATGATTCTGACATGCACGTTTGGTCTTTACGATCGCGTTACGAGAACGGTCCCAGGCAGTCTGCGCTACATGACCTTTTCCTCTCTTGTGGGATATCAGACGAGCTAACATTTCCGCTCGAACGTCTTAGACGAACAGCGCTAACGCAAATCGCATCAAAGCAGAACCGGACAACGAAAAACAATGCCAAAGGCTGTGTTTCCCGTCGCCAGAGTTTCCAAACCTTTTTATGAAGCCCGAGGTCGCCGTGGCAGGCGGCGGATTGTCAAGATCGAGGGCTCCGAGCCGGCCATCATCCGATCTCATCGGGCAAGAGAGAAACCTGTTTGCCAAAACACCGAAGCTGAAAAGAATCAGGCTTCCGAACACGGAGAGTCAAGGCCTCTTGACTCGAGACTCAAGGCTGATTTTTCCGGGAACGGTGCAGACTTCCGCACAACAACATTCTGACAGCCTCATCTTCGGGGGGAAAGGCCGGCAGTGATTTTTCGTTCGGTCTCCACGAAAGTCCGTTGCTGAAGTTTTCGGGCGACTGAAACCTAGGTGGATATCTCAAGTCCGTATCGCGCACTTAGGAATGGGGACAGTTTGAGGCGCGTCGCTACCAGTCTAGCCTGTCCCATCCAGGGGGTGATACATGGCTTTAGGCAGGGCCGGAGGCATCTGCCTGTTTCTAATGAACATTTCGGGAATCTTCTGATGGATTCAAATATTATATGAAGTCTTAAGACGAATATCCGCGGGCTGAGTCTCGGTATGTTGTCTAATCTGAGCCGGGTTGTTATGGTTGTGTGCTAAATTGACAAAAGTAACGTTCCTGTCTTGTATCCTGGCTTTCACAGCTATTAGTCAGCCACCTGTTGACCTGGAGTTGCTGATAGATAATTTTGGCACTGTTTTCTGTCTGTATGTTTGTTGAGCTAAGTTGCGAAGGAAGATGGGTGAAATGCTTTGGAAAAAGTCGAAGTCGGGGACTGAGGTGTAGCGAACGTGAGCAAAATGATTCAAGCAATTTTACTACGTGAATCCAGCCCATTCAAATCACCTTTTACTTGAGGTGGTTTGTCAGTTGCAGAAAAAATATGAGGGTGATGGCTGCATGTGGATTGCTCAAGGGCAGGTGCGACCCAGTTCCTTCCCGCTCAGTGAAGCTGTGGATCTCATCGCGAGCTCGTCCATGCTTCTCAACTATTGCTGTCATTGCTCATCCTTCTGGCCAAGAGCTCACCGAGCAGCCTTTCACCCAAAAGGTCAAGCAACGTGGGATTTTCTTTCTCCCTGTTGCCTTGATTGAGGTTGCTTCAACCGAAACCCTGCATCCTTTCAACCTTTTCTTTTGATTTCTCTTGCTTACCGTTGCCCATTCTCATTGCGACCAACGGAGGCAAAAGACAGCTCACACAAGGTGAGCTCCCAAACCCTGAAGTTAATCAAAGATGATAAGTTCATCAGGTATTTTCCAGATGGACCAGATAGGGTCTTCCGGTATGGATCTCCGGACCTGGGACTATTTCGATTTTCCAAGTCTGGAAATGACGCTGCCATACCGCCCAAACCCAGCTGTAAGTTCATGCTTTCCTCATTGAGCTCTTATACACACACTAATTCCCATGAAAGCCGTCCAACATCTCCTCCTCTGTGACCGTTACAAAAGTCACCAACAAATCCATCAAAAGAGCCATCAAGAGAGGCCCCAGCAAAGCCCCCAACAAAGCCACCGTCTCTCCAGAGCTCCTGCGCATCCAGCCGTACCTGAAATTCCCCGGCTTCGACCTGCCCAAGGTCATAATCACCGATCGAACCAAGGGATTCGTCGACATCCTGGGCGCAGACCAGGACCTCCCTGATCCCGAATCTGCAGACCTGCCCATCAAGGCCGATGAGATGCCATACCATGTCTGCTTCAAAATTGAGCAGATGTTTGCCGCTGTCATTGGAGTTCTGTATGCAAACAAGGGTGAAGGACTGAGCCATGATCAGTTCTGGTTGAAGGTCCAGCGTGTTCTGACCAAACGAGACCCAGCTTGGAAGCACAAGGTCGCCGAATGGAAAATCTGCGAACTCGTCGACCTTTATGCCATCGCGCGCAAGCATTAACTTGCCGACGAATCCAACCCAAAGTTTCCAAGCTTGACCGATCGCCAGAATTGCCGACTGCTCAAGGCAGTGGACCGATGGATTGCCATGTGTGAGGATGAATCTTCCGTCTCAGACGTACTGCAATTCGGGGCAAAAATCAGATGGATGAAAGAACATCATCTGAAGAAGAGGACCCCAAGAGCTCCTCACGATTCGCACCAACCTGTCTGAGCCGCCAATAATTCTACCTGCAGAGGTACTTGCAATGCTGGGCCCTGGCAACTCGCCCTGAAGCCACAACAGGCCGATCTGAAAAAGTGGTAATATGACAGCTCGTCAAATGCTTTTTGCGGCGGCTTGCCTGATGGTGGTTTGGACTTGATTGAGGGCATCCGGTGTTAGACCACGGCTTCTCTCTCATTGGGCTTTTCTACACTTGCATCCATCACTTTAGTTGTTCATGAACGGATACCACCTCAACCTGCAATAAATGAGTTTCAATCATACTGCTTGACGTGATAATTGAAATTTAGTTCTGGAACCTCTTGGCTGGTAAACTTATGTCTCCTGGCGAGGTTGCGAAGAGTTTACGATGGGAGCGTCGATCATCCAGATTAATATCTTCTTTAATAGTGTCCACGTAGCTTCCCTGAAAGTAATGTTTTCCTCTGTCTCTATCAGTTGCATGTTATTCATAAGCCCCGGAAAAGCATAGCAAATAAGCTATATACAGATTACCTATTAAAATTACTTCCAATCTTTTGGCAAAAGAGTCCAGCACAATATACGGACGATGTCCGTCACCGCTATCACAAGTCTCGTCCACAAATCGCAAAGTTCAGACCAGAATAAATGCTGCGACGACCCTAACCTGTCAATTAGGAACATTACTGGCAGTAGCATATTGCCAATCTGTCAACAGCGAGAGATTCAGGGTCCGTTCTATCCGATCATCATAGATAGCATAATGTATTTCTAACATATAAATAAGTCTGATTAGGATCTTCGTTATTCTTCTTTACCATTCATCCGTTGAGCATTTTCTCAATGAAGAGAAAAACTTTCAATAAGTAAAAAAATAAAAAAAAAAGAGTTCTAGGTGTTGTCAATACCCAGTATTGAATCTAGGCAACCTACACTTGGAAGGGTAAGATTTCAAGAAGCGTTTGCAAATAGCCGGCTTCGAACCCTGACCACATACACCTAGTAGGAGTGAGATTTAGGAGGCGTCTATTTCAATGCCTTTGCCTATGCGGGCGCGCTACCGCTAGACCATTCATATAGCTTACCTCCCTCATCTCGCACTTGGGTGGAAGCTTTGGTGAATCAGGTGCCTATATACCTCACTCACCGCGATATCAAATCCCGGGTGTTGAGGAAGGAGACAGACATCACACCCACAATTCACGTGCTACCGGCACGACCTAGGCCTTTCCGCTTCAAGTCGACCTACCTCCTGTCACTGATTAAAATACCTTGCCTATCTTAAGCTACCTAGCATGGGACAGCTCAGACGCATGGGATTGAAGTTCTACAGATGCCCTTTCTTCATTTCGACTGATACTTGCTCAAGAGTCCCTTACACAGCTTGAAGTTGGCGATTTGGTTCTGACCCTTAATTCATTGTTGCCTGTTTTCGTCTCGGTAAAAGTCTTTGGGCTCTTGAGATAACCACCGCATGGGACGCAACCCGGCTGTACCTGCTCAAAAGCGTGTTGAGCTAGCATCAAGCTTTCACGTATACAGCAGGAGACAAGATCTTTGGTCGAACTAAAGCAGCAACCGAAGCATCATCCAAAGCGCTGACCGAAGAAACCAACCAAAGAGCCAACTGAAACACCCAAGAGGGTATTCGATCGAGGCGTTCGCCCAAGCATAAGTTGGAACTCGAGACAATGGGGCTGTTCATTTCTTTACGGATACTGTGCACACAATATTTGTATGTCAATGTCGCTGGGTCAAGTTCAAATTGAGCAATCACGTCATTCTTGGTAGCAAACATCTCAAAGCCCGGGCTCTCACCCTGTGAATGGTGGAAATATGTTCACCCAACGACCAACAATAAGTTAGGTAATTGGTTTCGCGGAAGAGGATCACCTTCCCCGGACCCCCACAGCCTTGATCCACACCCTCTCCGGATTCTACTTGTGGTGAGTACCTATTTAAAGCTCCATTGCCAGAATTAGAGTTGGGGCAAACAAAGTATCCCATCTCGCCGGCTTTTTGGGGGATGCCGCAGTAGACGTTGTCCGGAATCCCCCGCGTCCATTCACGCTGCAGATGGAGAAAGCCGCTTACTCAGGACCAGGGCCAGAGATCGGCCAAGATGCCTTGGGACGCCACCAGCCAGGCGAGTTTCAGCATGGGCGGATCTCCTCCGCCTCTCACCCCCGCACGGACGTGGAAGCCCGTCCCGAGCGCCTCGCCGCCACTGTACAAGGTCCCTCGACGACATCCGGAGCCAACGCCGGCGCGAATCCGGATCACTATCCCGAGGGTGGAAGGAAGGCCTTGACTGTGCTCTTCGGGACGTGGTGCGTTCTTTTTTGCACCTTTGGCCTGGGTAACAGCATCGGCGTCTTCCAGACGTACTACGTCAACGAGGCCCTTCGCGAGTACTCATCGTCCACCATTTCGTGGATCAGCAGCTTCATGCAATGGACTCTGAACTTTATGCCCATCATTGTACGTCTTCTCCCGAATCCACTGGAGCGATGACCATCTGACTTCGAATCCAGTGGGGGTTCGCCTTTGATAAATGGGGTCCACGATGGCTCTTGGTTGGCGGAACCATCGCCTACGTCTTTGGCATCATGATGTTATCCCTAGGATCCGAATACTACCACTTCTTCCTCGCCCAGAGTATCGCCTGCCCCATTGGCGCCAGCGCTGTCACCAGTGCGAGTATGTCGTGTCTCGTGACATGGTTCCATCGACGCCGTGCCACCGCGTTCGGCATCATGATGTCCGGGTCCTCCTTTGGCGGTATCATCCTGCCCATCATGATCCCTCGAATGATTGACAGCGTCGGATTCCCGTGGGCGATGCGCACCGTCGGCTTCCTGTTCCTTTTCCTTCTCACAATCGCGTGCTGTACCGTGAGATCCCGCCTGGAACCGCAGACGAAGCCCGTAGATATGAGGGAATACTTCCGGGGGATACGGGAGCCGATCATGATGTCTACCGTTTTTGGGTTGTTCTTGGTCTTTTGGGGATTGTTTCTCCCATATGCCTTTGTCATTTTGCAGGCTGAGGCGCAGGGTATGGACGATGGCTTGGTCATCTATTTGCTGCCCATCATGCATGCTGTAGGGTGAGTAACAAAAGCCCCTCGAGGACCGGTGTATACCTACTAAACTCCAAACCCTAAACAGACTGATCGGGCGCATCATACCAGGCCTCGTCGCCGACAGAATCGGACGCTACAACATCATGATCATCCTCGCCACCCTCGCCGGGATCGCTTGCCTGGCACTCTGGATACCGATCAAGAGCGACGCCGGCATCCTAGTCTTCACAGCCGCCTTCGGCTTTCTCTCTTCGGGCCTGACGTCGATCGGGCCGACGTTAATCGCCCAGATATCAGATATTAGGGAAATCGGCGCCAGGACCGGCACCGCCTTTGCGTTCCAATCCTTTGGCGTCCTCACTGGGAGCCCTATCGCGAGTGCCATCGTCGACGCGCGGGGAGGGGACTACCTGGGTCTTCAGCTGTTCTGCGGGTTTTCGATCCTAGCGTCGGCGGGTGTTTTTACGTCGGCGCGGTATGTCCAGGCTGGTGGGTTCAAGCTCAAGAAAGTCTAAGAAGGCACAGCTGGTATTCGTCGTTCGTCGGGAATGATTATGTAGACAGCCCAAGGTGGAAGATTGAGGCCATGAAACCATGGCATGGACAGATGTACTGAAAGACACCTGAACTTTTGCCACTTACTACACTCATTAACTCCAATTACAATAATCCAGGCGGTTGGCCAACTTTTCCCAAAGATCTACTATCCCCGGCCCGTCATTTCCTCGACTTCCGCCTGCCGTAGGTCCACTTCCCGATGATCCCCCTCCCGCCTTGGCGAGGGCACAATGGAACGCCTTGCTAAGTGCTCCCTCCCAGCAGAACCCGACAGTCTGGATGGCGTATCGCGCCTTCGACATTCAAGCAAATGCACGGCAACAGCAATAGGCATTCCCGCTGCACCCTCGAAATGTCACCTCCACGGACCCAGGCACTGGCCCTTGTTAATCGCCATCTCCACGGATCCATGCCGCCAATGTAACCACATCTCTGCCCCTTGAAGAATTCGTCGAACCAGCAATCTCAACAAATGGAGCCTTCAAAGAGTCTCGATCTTGGGGCGGCCGCCCTTGCTCATTCCGGTTAATAGGTCCTGTCATCACTAGATACTTGAGCGACAGCCCCGGGCTCTCTGCCGCAGCGTCGCAGTCGACCCGCCTTCCGCTCAACTCCGTCAACTCTCGGCCGCCGCCCCCTTCCCTCTGCAAAGATGATCCGCCTCTTACTCGCCCCCGTCTTTTCGCTCGGCATCTTTCCCGCGCAAGCCCTGGTCATGGGGAACCGCACCGGTGTAGACGCCATCAGCACCAAATGCGTCTCAAAGGAAGCCGCGCACATCCGCGATTTCTTGTATGTCGAAGGCGGCTATATTGAGGGCATCTCGGACAACGTCACCATCGACCAACTCTACGCTGAAAAGATAGAGACCAAAATCACAAAATTCACCATATCACCGGCACGACGGTCGGGGGCGTGGAGAGAGGCTTCACCCACGTTGAGGCGTACAACGCGTATCCGCAGGCGATCTTGCATACACAAGGGCCCGATACTGGGAAAAAGGGCGATGCCAGCTCTGAGCAATATAAGAAGACGATTCTTCCTCTGACCACTAGTTGGGTTCCGCAGGAACACACCCTCCGCTCCTCGGGCTGCGAGCTCCTGTCCATGCTCGGCGAGAAAGCCTACGTCGCTTCTCACTCTATCGCTGCCTGCATCCTGATTCTCTTGTTCAATGACTGCCCGGAGTACATTACCGGCAACATCAACCTCAAGGGTACGACTGTACCGTTCTGGTCGTTTGAGAGCCGCTCCGCGACGAACCTCTGGGGTCTCACCAACACGCCCATCGACTACGACTCGCCCATTGCCGGCGCGGCCGAGCTCGAGACCGGGGTCACTGGAAACGATACCCTGGCATACCGAAGTTGCTACCGTCAGAAGGAAATCGCGCGCCACTTATCCAATGCTGTGAGCGTGCCGTATTTAATGGTCACGACTCAAGCCAGCATTCACGTTACGTATGATGACTGCACGGTGGATTAATTGAAGCAGGTTGGTGGGCAGCCGGACTGGATCAAGCTGGGTGAGATTCGCATCCACGGAAACGGACACTTCATGCACTTGGAAAGGAATAGCTCGGAGATTGCCGAGAGAGTGAACAATCTGATCCAGGAGAATGAGAGCGCTTCGTGTCACAAAGAAGAGAGCTTATTAGCTCAGGAGAGATGAGGGGAGAAATGGTAGACGATGGGGGACGGGGACAGAGTCGACCTTACTACACCACGACGTAATTCGGACTTGCCTCATGCGAAGTTCATATATGTCTATGAGATGCCAGGATAGAGATCACTTGGCGTCCAGGATGTTGTGACAAAATGAGGATTACTGACAAATGGCCAGGGGTTTATTGAAGGCAGTAGAACATAAGCCACATCTGGACTGAGTCTCTCCTCGAGCAACGCTCCTTCTGATAGAGAGACCATCTCGTAAAAATCGCTTTTACATCATGCAGTCACTTTGATTCTCTGTTCACAGTGGTGTTGTACGGCAGCCCGATGTCGTTATCTTTGGACTCAGTGCTTTTGGCCGCGGCTGGGGCGCAAGGAAGGTGCGTCCGGGGCCCTCACCTTGCGCTGTGCTCTCCTTCCCTCCTTCCCTCCTGCATCACCTCAGCCCTCACAAATTCACCCGCCCCTGAGTGCTTCTGCTCGTGGATCCCCTCTTTTGTACATCTGTTTTCGTCCTGGAAGTTCCTCCATACCTACCTACTGTACCACCAGTTGCCACACATGTCTCGAAGCCTTTGTTCGAGCCTCCTCCTTGAAATCAAGCGAAATCAGGGGTACTACATCGAGAGAAGTTTACTATGGGTCATTAGCACAAATCACTATTTCGTCAGCCTTACCTACGCCTCATGACTGCTCCATCACTGACAACGGGGCTAAATAGTCAGCAGCGACAAGTGAGACCGGACCGAGAAGATGCCCAAAGATGCCCACGGGCGACTAAAGAACTGCAAAATCATTTAGCAGAACCTGAACGCTTCTGGCTTAGCACTACCCGTCGTCGAATTCGGTTATCCCAAGGAGTGGTAGAGACCTCTGGGAGTCAGTCCCTTCTACGAGAACGACTACGGTCACGTCGAAACCGGCCACAGGGACCCCGCCTCGGGCGCCGAGCGTCTCGGCGACGCCTTCGAGGCTGCCGTTGCCGAGATCAAGTTGAATCCGCCCCTCGGCCATGGCAGCGGCAAGATTGAGACCGTAGACGTTCTGATACCGGGGCTGAACAAGAATATCCTCTGAAGCCTATTTTTTATCGGGTCTCACTGGGATCACCTTCGCAAAGATGAGGGAAATCACAGCTTACCCTATGGTTTCAAGGCCTTCGCCGACGGCCGCCAAAAGTCCTCAGTAATCCGAGAGCACCAGATCTGGGCGAGGCAGCAGGTTCCTACACTAGGCTCTCTCTGGCTCCTGGTCGACAGGTGGATTCGCCTTACCACCAATGGAAAGACGATGTTAAAGTTCAACAAAGGCGCGGCCGCTGTTTCTGCGGGTATAGGGCGTCTCCCGCTTCCTGTTGCCACGTCGCGTTACACCACCTCAGCTCACGCCGCATATCTCAGCTCCCGCCAAAATGCTGTTAAACATGCGACTCGCGACGACTCCCAAGCCGACCCTCGATGAAACCATGGCTTCCGTGTATAGTAACTCACTATCCGAGTCAAAGACAACTCTGAGCCTGCGAGAACGTCTAGCTTGCACAGCGAATCAAGGAGCTCGACCGAGAGGTCGAGCAGATGAAGCCTCTCTAGACTTGGAAATTGGGTCCCCATGCCCCCCCCTCCCCCCGCCCCAAGGATACCCATCTTTTTGGGATGGGTAATTTAGGCAGCCCAAAAGCCAAACCAATATACCCATATTACCCATGAGTCAGCGACCCATGAGTATGGGTAGCCCAAAGTAGTGTCCTCATTAGTCATTAGAAGTAAATTGGGTTAGCCTGAAGTACCCATGATAGCTCTATGGGATTTGGGCTGACCCAAATTACTAACGGGCTTTCCCCACAAGCGCTGCCCAAACCCATTCTCTACCCATTGGCCCATGGGCCCTTCCAAGCCTGAGCCTCTCCGACTGGCGACGATTCAGTATCGCCACCAGAATTAGCGCAGTGTCTGGATGCGGGAGTTGTGTGCCTACAGAGGTCATGAGGGAAACCCAGTCTGGGTTACGGAGGCCATGTGGGGTCTCTTAGACTAGATTGAGAATACAGAGTCTGAAAGAGAGTACGCTAGGCGCGTCAAAGTAGGTGAAAGAGCTAGCCGGGAAATGGGGCTACTCGAATTGAGGCGAGGTCAGGGACGCTCAGAGATCTTGAGAAAGCCAGACTGCTGTGTGGACGAGGGTATTTCTGGAGCTGCGCAGCTTCGGTCTAGCTCGGACTTATACTGATGTCATCATACAAGTCATTGTGCGTCACCTTGTAGTGGCCGATCATCAAAAAATGACTGCTTTGTTGGCCCTTCATCATCTTGGATGAGTAGCAGCTACTCCATGGCCAAGCACGCGACTTGTTGCCAATTCTACGCTTCGAGTCAACCGACGGTACAGAACTTGACAGAGGCATAAACACTGTCGATGCAGGCCCATTAGGACTCTATTGGAGTAAAATTTTGATTCGATATTTGCCACAATAACCCTCATCTCTACTAGCATAAATGTATCTCACCGTCCGCCAGACTTCGAATGCCTTGGTGATTAGAAAAGGAGTCAATGAATGGACAAAGGAAAACAAATCAATTTTTGCCACCCGGGATATCAAACGCTAGATCCTGAAAAAAAAACCCTCACAAGAGACCCCCATCATTGTACAATTCGCCGACGACAACTTTCACATCCTGTGTACCACCGTCTGTGACCACACTGGCAGGAAAATGAAGATCAACACACTCAAACTGGCAAAAATCGCGCCGCCGACCATGGCCTGAAGGACAATCTTGTGTTGCAGCCTGCGCAGATGAATATCCTTGACGCGAATCTTCCGGTCAAAGATCATCATCCGCGACACGAACTTCATGATACCAGAGCGTTGCGACAAAAGAGAGGCGCTGTCATCGAAGCGTTCCCAGGGCAGGGGCTGACGCCTGGTGAAGAGCAACAGGAAGAAGCAGCTGCCTCGGAGACCGGAGAAGATGAGAGACATGCCGACGAACCACATCGGCCAGGGGGCAAAGGCGTTCCACCGGCTGTTGGCGCCCATGAAGGGCACGAAAGCTTTGAGAAGGACGCAGAGGAAGCCGCCGATGGTGAGGGCGATGCCGACGCTGGTTGCCATGCATAGCGTCTCGAAAGTCCCGTTGGAGACACCGAGTCGGACAAAGTTGCGGTGCGAGCAGTTCTTTAGCAGGCCGTAGACGTGGTCTGCGATTGGCTTGAGGTGAACCGGGTCGGAGGAGTGCTGGAGATTGAAGAGGGCCGCGTCGCGGATGGCAGGCGGGATGTTGAGCTCCTTCTCGGATCCTGGGACGAGGAAGGTGTTGACAACGGCGTTGAGCTCGACACGATACGCTGAGTTGGGAGCGATGCGGTTCGGGAGAACGGCCGGAACGTTGTTGGAGGCGATGGGCTTTGCACAGGCATTGGCCCAGGACTTGATTCGATCACGACCGTTCGGGCCGACTTTACTGTTGGGTCTGCAGGCGGATTCTGGGGCAATGAGGTTGACAATGTTGGTCATGGTATCGTTGGCTTGGGAAATGTTAGCTATTGTTCATGATGATGGAGGATTCAAGATGAAACACTCACCTGCTTCGGGGTCACACTCAAACTCAGACATCTGGATGGAGGGAAGCTTCTTCATGCCCGCTGCATCCACAGCACTGTCTGCCATGCTGTCTCGTGATGAGGACGACTGGTCGATATCCTTCTCGGCCATAGGGAAGTTGTTGAGGCTTCCAGTCTTTGCATATGATGATTCGTAGTTGCGGAACCTAGCAGGTCGGTCAGACAAAAGTTCATGCCGTCGTGTCTGTGGCTTGGGTGCTCCTTACCAGACGAAGAACTCAAGGTTCTCAGGAGAGAACTCAATGTACTTGAGGTACATGTAAAAGTCGTACAAGGACATTGGTGAACCTTTGGGAAAACATGAAAGTCAGCTACCGACCACATGGCTGACGGCAGCGATGGCCGAGAGGTTGAATCGCTGCGTGGGATGACATGCTTACAGGTCTGGTTGTTCAAAACCCTCTCCAAACTCAATCGTGCTGGGATGGGACTCTTATCCCGCCCGTCCCTACTCAAGGGCCTCCTTCCAGTCCGGATGGCGGTCGCATACTCCTTGAAGTCCCTGTACTCCGGCTTCTTGTACCAAATCAACCATTCTGGAAACAAGCTTGTGAACTTGGATGGCTGGTTTATCGAGTCCTCCTCCTCTCTCCTGATGTTTCTTTCCTTGCTGGCGTCCATGTCGAAGAAAAACGTGCTGCAGGGTTCACAGGTGACGTGTGTAGGACCGTAATGTGTCGATAGAAAACTGATATGAGCAGAGACAAGTCGATGGCGGACGAACATACCCCATCATATATCAGTGTCTTCTCCATCTTAGCGCCATTCTATATCTGCATGTGCCACGGGGCGCTCGATGCAGGCTTGCAGCAGATCAGACCGTGGTCCATGTCAGAGCCATTCGCCTCCACCAGACCAAGAGATGCTTAGCTCCATCTGCTCCAGGTCTGCTGCAGACATACCACGCACGATGCACAGATAGACCCGTTGGTACCTCACCACTGGAAGAGAGTCGAACGGGACGATTTGGTCAGTAGCATCCGTCAGGGCGGTTTGCAGACACCCAGCCGGCACCGAAAGCCTCTTGCCTCTCCTCCATTCAGTCATGTCTCATGATGACTGTCCAATGGCGGCGGGAGCGGAGGAAACGCCACGGACAGCTGGTCTTGAAAGAGGCTTGCGCCCTTGTATCCAAACTCGGGATGCCTCGAGACGTAGGGGAGTTTGGACGAGACGGCGAACCAACCGATTCCATCGTGGACGAGCCAAAGCGGCTTGGTGCAAGAGGTACCTCTCTTTAGCATGACAGTTAGCGCCTTGTACTACTCTTAGTTGGGTTGGAGAATTATTGTCCTTGGGTCAGGATTTGTCCAACTACTACTGGTGCTACTGCTCCATGACAATCTGGCAATATACTTGTGGAGGGCACCGTCGTCTTGTCGGGGCGCGACCCTTCGGTCCATTTCTCGGATGCGGTAAGACGGGGAACCCGCAGCGTTAGGTTCCTCCGTTGGTGAGGTCTTGCTCAGCCTATCCTGGCTGATCAGAATCTCGTTTGTCTCGGCCACTCGCTTTCAGCAAACAAAGGGTTTGAGCCCCTCATCCAATCCCAAATCCGGTCAGGGTCGCTACCTATACGTCAGCTGTGAGTGGGCTGTGCCGACCCAGTAATCATAGTTCGAGGCCTGGTCGATAACCGGGGGTGCCAGAGTCATTGTCAAAGGACGAATAGATTAGCAGAGCAAGGGTCGGAAATTCTTTCGCCATTGTTCGCATTCTGTTCTTTGGGGACGGGATGCTACAATGTACATAGTAGCTGGTGCAGGGTTTTCTTCTGCCCCCCGACGACGATCATGGCAAGGACGATGGCGAGAATGTGACAGGACAACGTACACATTGCAGAGAGAGCATGGCTTCGAAAGATAATTCGTGCTCCACGGTCTACGCACACGGAGGGCCGAAGAAAGGATTGATAGGCGCGGCTCGGGCGGGACGATCCCCTCATGGGATTTCTCAAACCTGAGCTCAAGATACCTATGTACTCAGTAGAAGTATCGGCGCCAGGCGCGATGATGTGGAGAGAAGCTTAGGAAGATGCAAGGCCTCCACGTGGGCGAGAGACACAGATGCTAGGACGCAGGGGTGGGAGATGGTGCATAGCGCGGTGTGGCACTGGGGGCAAGCCGGCGAGTAAGGGAAGGTAATCAGCAAGCACGGGAGATTTGGGGATGAACCTGCGCAAGGGCCTACCTTAACATTTTCAGCTATGGTTCATACCTACCTAGGCTGTAGCTTAGGTGCCTTACTCCGTAGACACCTCACGTACCTTACCTTAGGTATGTAAGGTACTGATCATAGCCTACATTCCCTTATACTGTGTACGGATGAGGTGCCATAGGTACTTTGGTTACTGTACCTGAGGCATTTTAGCTATTGCCTGAGGTGCAATCACTCAGATCGGTACCTGCCGTGCTGCCTTATCTCCCATGATTGTTAGCCCCCAGACCTGGTTCTTCCTCTTCATCGTTTCATTTCTTTCTTCCTGCCTAAGCGTCAGATTTCCGCTGACATCGCCGCTGCAGTTGATTATCAGTGCCGTGCATTGGAATTTGCATTCGCGTTCTCTCAGACTTAAGCACAATCCTACCGCGTCCTCGCCACTGGTTCTGGTCCCCGGACTGTACCAACGGGGTATCCAGTTCATTGCAGGTCCCGACTTTTCCACACATACATCGACGGCCATCCCATCAACTTGGTCCGAGCAGAGCAGAACGGACAACAAGGGAGCAAGCAGAATGCAGTAAGAGCGTTTGCTACTCCCCCGACCAGATCAAATAGGGATTAGCACCGGCAAGGGACATGTAGCTATCGTACGAGTGAGACACCAATTATCGATTGGCACCCAGTTATCTTCACCCTCTTCTTTATGGCACTTCGAGAGTCATGCAATCTTGTCGGCACTACTGTTTGTTCACCCTTTTCTCCCACATTCGCGCTCTCCCTGAATACTGATTACCTCCCTCCTCGATGGTTCCCCAAACCCCCTTGAAGACGTCTCGCCCTACGTCTAGCTAATCAATATCCTACCTCTGTTGAACTAGACCGCGCACTTCACCTGAGGAGTGACACCACTCTGCAAGTTTAGCTTCAACTCGCATGGGCTGACAATCGGCGGCCCGAGTGTTTTGGTGTGTTCAACATTAGCCCCAGCTTTCGCCTTCTCCAGCTTTCGCGTCGCTTGATTATTCTTCAACGACCGGCACGCACGTTTTCCGGAGCCCTAGCTCGCGTTCGCGCCGCGGTACAGATTTATTTCCCTCATCAACTCAAGCCACACCTGTGAGCTTTTCAAGTTCCTTCACCAGCAGCGGTTTGAGAGCGCTGTGCTATTACAGCTAGCGCAGGTTTGACAACTCAGTCACATGCGTAGGTGTCACCGGCCACTGCGGCGACGGGATGCCGGGCTTCCGTAAAAGGTTCAGACCTGCGAGCAAGCCGGATCGGTTTGGGCAATCAACTGCTTCAGCCCTTTTTCTTTGCTTTTTTGACTTGGCTCTGCCTTGTCTACCTTTGTGGTGACCACTGACTGGGGATGGTGCCCCAGATCCTTGCCCTATTTGATCTGTCGTTTGCTACCGCATCGGGGATGGCGTCTGTGAGATGGCTTCAGAAGAGTTTGCTGGTTTCTGACTGAGAATAGTAATCATGACGTTCGAAAGCCACCACAAGCTGAGCTGACCCTCTCATCTCTCTCGGGAGTCGGCTGCTGTCAAACTGCATGAAATCCCCTCGGAGATTGTGCGATGCCCGGCGCCGCCACCGCCGAGAGACTAGTACGCCAAGCGGCTCCCCTCGTTGACCTTTTTGCAAGCCCGTCTCCTATGCAAGTGCGTAAGCAGGCCTGGTAGGCAAGCAAGTTGATGCAATATCTCCAAGCCACTCGGATACCGAAAGATCTTGAAAACCAACGGTCTCTTGAAGCCCCCCGATTGCGGCAATCGGGTGAATGGGTTCCTGTTCTCTTTATTCATGTTCGATGCTTTCCCTTTCTTAAGGGGCAATACAGGACAAGTCGGGGCTTGAGTGAGCTCATCGACAAGAGCTCTTGGCGGATTGCTGAACATCCGGATGCGTCCTGTCATAGTTCGCAGTCCGACTTGGCTGTCAGCCACGGTCGGTGGCTGCAGCATCATAATCTAGCATGAATCTCAAACCACATCCGTTTCCATACTACCGCTCAGACCTTATGCTCATGGGATTGTTCGTTATTCGTCGTTGGCATTTGCATCTTGGGGAAGCTGAATGATTGGATACCAGGATATCAATCCCCCCATGCCACCCGACGCCGTGGTCAGTGGCCCCGTTGAGACAAGACAGGCTGCATGATAGTCGCAGATGTCCACGAGGTTCAAACTGTGGTCCTGTATGCACGAGGCAAGCGGCTGTTCCTCATTTCCCTTCATCTGTCCCACATCCGTTGTGTACTCACACATGATTTGAAGATGTGTCGTCTCTGCAGTCTCCAGTCGGCTCGTGAGTGATCCCAGCGCCCAACTTCATCTTCCGTTTGATGTCACCAATCCCGGCCGGGGCTCTGAGTCTATCACCACAATCACATGCGCCTAGACCTCATTTATGGAATCACGAGGAGGCTCGACCATGCATTGAACAGCATCCTTCGCAACGTCGCATCGTCCCGTATTTTGGGCAGGGAATAATGGCCTTTCTAGAAAGGACTGAGCCTGTTGACGCTTGGCTTGGGGACCATCACGAACTCCAGCGCGACTGATTACGGAGCTGATACTTAAGCCAACATTTTGCTACCTTCCGCGACCACAAAATCTTTGAGACCTTTCAATCTATTAACCACCAGCATCATCGTCATCATGAGATTGTAGCTCCTACTCATGTGCTTCGCCAACTTCGCGATGGCGCCACTGGTGATGGCTCAGGAGAAATGCTGCTCCGGGCAGTCAGGGCCCGAAGCTTATGAAGCTGCCATATCTCTCTGTGCCTCTCAGCGTGCTGAGGGGTTGTCGTCTTTGTTCCTGAAGAAGTGCGTGGAGGGTCTGCTTGTGTCGACATACTTACGTGTCGTCGCAGACAAGGCTCACAGGGGATGTGTTACTGACAAATGATCAACGATCAGATGCGCCGCGCGCTCATCCCTCCCGCGTCAACACAGCCGGCATTTTATCTCGCAATGTTACTAATCTTTGACTTCAGATGAGAGTTCTCAACGGGACTTTGGCTCCGCACAACATTCAGTTCCTCGTCAAGAACCTCACTCCCACGGTCAACGACGCCTGGACAACGCAGGCCCGCATCAAGGAAAAAGCAGAGGCCCTCAGAGAGGGACCTTACCACGATCTCAACATCTACTTCGAGACGGGCATGAAGGGCACGTTGCGGAATACCTATGACGGCTGTCACGTCAGCGTCAGCACGAGGCCCGGCGGGCCCGGGGTGCTTTGGGTCCCGGTCCCGGAGGATAACCTAGGCAAGACGGCGACGCACGAGGTCGGGCATCGGTTTGCACTTTTCTATGTCTTAGATGGGTTCGACTATGATGGCGAAGGAGACTTGATCGATGGCACGCTGGTAACGAAGGTGGCTACTGTTGGGTGCCCTCCGAGCCAGCATTCCTGTCCTGATCAACCTGGGCTGCATCCGATTCATAAGTACATGGACCACGCTAAGCACACTTGATGAGTTGGGCTCACTCGAGGCATTAGGCTTGGAAGCCGATAATGAAACAGCCTTTCCGAGTTTACTCCTTTGCAGGAGGAAGGTATGTATCGCTCTTCCAATACCCTGTGGATAGGTAGATAGCATTTGTGGGCTGCACCACACAATTCTCCACGCCCAACCTAGCAGTGTTCATTCAAAGTCCTCAGAGGGCTCGATCCCTCGTGGGTAGGGATGGGTCGTGATTTGCGCCTCTAGACCGTTGATTCCGAGCACCGTGGAGATGTCCCGAAACCTTCGGCAGAGACATTAGTTTCCAACTATCCACTGACATGCCCTGGTAGCTGGAAAGCCACGTCGTAAGCTACCTATCGTCGCGACACTCTTCTCGGGAAGTCTTACACAGAGGTCTTCCAACTCGACGTTAGGATCTTGTCACCATTGACACAAACTTTGAGACATTTTCCTTCTGTGGTCTTCGAGGCTTGAGACATGCACTCAAGCTGTGCGGAGGTGAGATGCTTTGGCAACTGACAACAAACCTCGTCATACGAATGAATCCCTGCGCTCCACACCTCCAATTCTGGGTCTGATCCAACTTTTATTCTGACTTGTCTCAGTCCTCGATACTCAACCCAATGATCCCATAGCTCCTAAAACCCCAGCGGAGGCAAAGAAGCTGCTATTCGCTGACTTGCACTGGCTGGAATGCAGCCATCCGGCAGGGTGTGCCATCTAGTGTCCTCTTGTGTAAAGCTGAACTCGTGTTCGGAGAGATGTTTGGAAATCTTACTCAATGGCAAGCCACTTACACAGAAAGACGTTTCACTTCAGCAGGACACAAGGAGCTTCAAGAGTGCCCAGAAGGAGTATAAAGCTGGACCACGATATTGGAAGAAAACAGGAGCAAGTCAAGTTTTTACAAGCCCCATCACCTATTGAACTCACTCAAGCCCCCCAAAACATCAACAGACAGAATGTTCATTTTAACAACCCTCTCACTCTTCTTCTGCGTGCTCGCTACCGGAACCCACGCCGCGACAACTCTAGCTCGATGCAACGCAGACAAGTACTCCGTGCCCTCACTGCCGTTCAACATCTGCAGTGCCATCATGACTAACACTTTCAAGCTGCTATCGCGCTCTGTTCCCATGCCCCTCGCCATCCGCAGTTTCCGCCGCGTCTGCTTTCTGCGCAACCATCACGGCCGGCGGCACAACGGCGACAAACTTTCCCACCCGTGCAACCTCCGCCTGCGGCACCTCCGCCTCGTTGTACATCTCCGCCTGCGCCTGCGGCCCCACGTGCTCAGCAATACCCACGCCCACGCCCACGCCCACCCCGTGCGCAGCGTCCGGCAGCAGCCTCGTCGCCAACGGCGATTTCGAATGCGGCATCGCACCTTGGATCGTCCAAAATCTGGACCAATTCGCCCGTGCCGGCGTCACCTCTAAATTCGCGCACACCGGCCAGCACTCTTTTGAGTCGAGACTGCTGTATGACCGGTCTTTGCAGAACCCTGCTGTCAGCGTGAGGCTGTCCAGTCCCGTAATTTCCGTGCAGCCGAATGTACCGTATAGGCTGACCTTCTGGTCCTACTTTGATAATCACGCGGCAGGGTTTATCGGGATCCAGTTCAACGGAGAACCCAAGAGGACCCTTGATGCTGGCGATGGGGCAGGCTGGGGCGTCTGGAAGTCGTTTTCAGTGGACTACACGCCCCTCACGGATAAGCTCGATTTCACACTAGAGTTCTTGTATGGGAGAGTTGCGAGCGTCGTTCGTGTTGATGGGATTGTCTTTGATTACATCCACTAGACATGAGGGGGGGAGGGGCACGGTGGTATCGATGAGGCTGCTACAGGTTGTGGCGACCTGAGCTAGCTTGGTAACCATCCTCTGATGCTAAGCTTTTCCACCTCACTTGGCTTTCTGTACCGTTCATCGCGAAAGGGCAATGGCTACAGATTTCGGTTTGGAAAGCAATTGCGTGCAGGTCAAGCCTCGGTAAGTGGAGGCAAGTGAGGTTCATAGCTACCTATATGAGAATCCATGCATTTCCGGTAGATTACTGCCAAGGATATCATTGGATACGGGATGAAAAATTTCATTGCGAGGGAAGGTGGACAGACGTAGCGACGCAGCACATACATGATGCATGCAGTCCACTCTCTCTGAGCGGCCCGCTCGGGGAGATTAGTCCGCCTGCAGACAGAATGCGGGAACTTATGCTCTTCCCACGCATGAAAAGCCGAAGGAAAGCCATGTTCTTCATGGACATTGTTTTTTTGACTACGAAGAAGTTGCATTGACGTAGGATCGACACAAAAACGAACCCATATTGCCCTGTGTCTCTTATCTCAAAATGGGCGGAGATGACTTCAAAATTTGCCGATAATGCACTCGAAAGCCGTGTAACTCCAAATCGGGCAACTCTTTGAGGCCTGGAAATATCAGCGATGTCAGTGTCATATCAAATTGATATACTAGATAACCCAGCATCGGTAAAAGTTGGTGTCAGCCAGTAGTAGACAGAATTCACTCAGATCAGAGCCGAGAATGCTACAGTAACCCCCTCGGAATTCGCCAGATCATGTTCGGCCGAAATGTAGCAGCTATCCAGATGCAGATGATTGGGATGTCAGAAATAGCCACCTCTATGTCATTATGGTTCAACAGCCCAGACGGCAACGTTCTGAGTCCTCGTCTTTAACTCCATACTGGCTGTGATGTCGGTTCTCTTCTCCGCTTATTTCAAGTCTGCTTTATCCTGCTCTCTGAGGCTTTACTGAAGACTGTTAGAACACGACACTGGTATTATGATTCTTTTGATCAACCGCTTAGCTTGGCGATGTTCGGCTTCCGTGTACGAAGAGCAATCACGTTGGAAGTTGGATACTGCGTCGCTATGTGCCTATTACGTTTCCAAAGCTTGATATTCTTGATGTTACATTGGACCGGACAAGGGTCTCCCACAAGAAACAAATGATCCAGGTGTCCTTTTGGGGAGGACCAACAGCGCTCATTGAATGCCGCTGCATATGCGCGGGGCAGCTTCCAAAATGACAGCCATAGATCGACGTTTTATGTCAAGCTTTCGGGCGACTCGCTTGATCTCTACGTCAACCGCTCGAGAGGTGCCGGAGTTCGAAACGCAACCTGATTGTCGGGGCCATGGATCACATCTCAGATGATTGAGGGCCCATGGGTTAACAAGATAGAAGTATTGCTTGTGCAAATGCGATCTTATAGTGTAATTTGATCCTTTTGAGAATAACAGTATCGTCAAGCAAGCGCGACAGATTCGCGAAGATTCCAAGATAGGATCATTCTATCAAAGATATCAGGACTGATTCGGACACCGGCTTCTAAATTGTAATTTACTTTGGCAGAAGAGGGAGAGAAGGGAATCGCCCAACAGGCTGCCGAAGTAATGACGTGTGAAGATAAGAAGGCGAATCAGACCATTCTGCTCCTTTTTCAGTCACATCTCTCTAAGGCTATCATCTTTCTGGCGAATCCGCACGGAGCCAGCCTGTAGACAGATCAGCCAAGAAGATTCCCCGACGAAACGATGGAAATGCACGACATTGAGGCCATCAAGCCAACCGGCTTTCTTGAAGTTTCTCGCATGCGGCTATCACGCAACATCTCCTACCATCAAGCAGGTAGGGACTTTCTCGGGCTGATTCGCACCAACAGGATGCCATGTCTAGCAGTGTCTTGCCACATATCCCAGCCGCTTCCAATCAGTCGACCAGCCTCCTGCAATGTGACTATGGCAAGCCCAAATGGCCCCTGCGGACATGACGGATACTACCCCACGGATAAGGATTGGAATCTGATGAAGAATCCGTCTCGCCGTCCGCATTTCCGACCGGCAATGGCACCATTTCCCCGCACTCCGTGGTCGCCAAGTCTGGGGGTTAGTGTGTTTTTGGAGATCTGGGGTATTACTGGCCCACCCCTGCCTTCCTTCGCGGTGGATTTGTTTGTATTACGAGGCGTTCCTGATCAAATATAAGTATCATGGGAAGAGATCTTCATCTTGGGCTTTTGAGATGAAGAGTTAGAGCTGGAAAAGCAACATCCATCGTCTCAAGTGGAAGAGTGTTGCCGCCTTGCTTTCTGTTTTCCTCGAGCCACCCAAACACCACAGACTCTCCATCAATATGACTTCCCAGAGGAGCTCCATCGAGAAGAATGATACTGAGGTTTTCGGCCATAGGCCTTCTGGAGAGGTTCATCTCGAGAAGTTACCAGACGCCATAGAAGTCGGACCTTACCGCGTGTATGGATTGACCCCCGAAGATGCCGATTTTTACAACAACTACCCCGAGGAGAAGAGAAAGAAGACCTTCCATAAGGTGGGAGTCTGAGACCCGAAGTACCACGTCACACCGACTGACAGACGACAATAGGTTGATGTTCGTCTAATTCCCGTGCTGGCTCTCCTATACTTGATCTGCCACATCGATCGCGCCAATATTGGCAATGCCAAAATCGAAGGCATGGTCGAGGACTTGGGCATGACGGGTGTGCAGTACAATACTGTCCTGTCTATCTGTGAGTGCTACCAAAAAGGCTTTTGATCGATTTTGCTCAGTCGACCTCAAAGACAAACTCGCTAACAAGTTACAACCAGTCTTCATTCCCTATGTCCTCTTCGAAGTCCCCAGCAACATTATACTCAAGAAAGTCAAGCGTCCCTCGTTCTATCTCGGTACCCTTACTCTCTCGTGGGGCATCATCATGACCTGCACGGGGCTGGTCAGGAACTTTGGCGGATTGATGGTTACTCGCATTCTTCTCGGAGTCTTCGAGTAAGTTCCACAAGCTTCTGGATGATAAGGATCCTCTAACTAACATCTACAGGGCTGGATTCTTCCCTGGTGCAATTTATTTGACTTCTTACTGGTACATGGTGAGCAGCCATCCCCGAACGCGCTCTTGGTCTCCTTGCCTAACTCATGTCCTCAGCCGAAAGACCTAGCGGTTCGAATCTCGTACTTTTACTGCGCCAGTGCCTTGTCCGGAGCCTTTTCCGGTCTTCTCGCCGCCGCCATCGCCGAAATGGACGGCGTGGCCGGGCTCGAAGGCTGGCGATGGATCTTCATTCTCGAAGGTCTCGCCACCGTCGTGATGGGCGCCAGCTGCTTCTTCCTCCTGATCGACACCCCCACCCTCTCCACACGCTGGCTCGAGCCCGAGGAGATTCGATACCTGGAGCTCTCCATCTTCATCAAGTCGGGAGGCGGAGCCCGCGAGGAGGCCGGCGCCGGTGGCAAGGTCAACTGGAGAGATCTCAAGATGAACCTGACCAACTGGAGGATCTACGTCCAGGCCTACTTCCTGGTGTGTCAGTCGGCTTTGTCTTATGGTATCAAGTTCACCCTTCCGACCATCACAAAAGCTATGGGTTTCGCGAATACTCAGGCCCAGCTTCTTTCTGCGCCACCATACGTCGCCGCTGCGATTTCCGCCATCACCTTTGCCAAGATTTCTGATCGTTTCTTCTGGCGGATGCCCTTCCTGGCGATTCCCCTGGCAATCGTTGCCATTGCGTACGCAATCATTCTTTCTCTCAATGGTGCGCTCGAGGCGAAGAAGGGAGTCGCATACTTCTCGGTCGTCCTCGCCGTCGTCGGCATCTACCCCATTCAAGCCGCGGCTGCTTCGTGGAACGCCAACAATATCGCCCCTGCTTCTAGGAGAGCCATTGGTATCGCGTTGATGAACTGTGTTGGTAACGTCGGTGGCATTGTAGGTAGTTTTATGTACCTTGAGAGCGAGAAGCCCAAGTATCCTACTGGCTTCGGCCTGAGTTTGGCCTTTGGTGGATCTGGACTGATTGTGGCCCTCCTGCTCGAGTGGAGCTACAAGTCGGCGAACGCGCGCAAGGCCAGAATTGCCGAGGAGGCGAAGACCAAGTATACCGAAGAGGAGTTGTTCAACCTGGGAGACAGGTCGCCCCTGTTCAAATATGTTCTTTGAGCAGATTGAAAAGGATTGGTATTGAACTTACACGTACCTTTGGGAGTAATAGAATGGATTGCAGCGCTATGGTTTAGCTTGCGAATGAAGTGAATCTAGTACAAAGCCCTTTTCGAGTTAGAGAGTTGGAATAATGCCTTTCACTCGACCAAACTTTCTTAGCCTTCAACTATGACGGTTGTACTATGACGGATTATATCAGTACCCCATTGATCAATTGTGTTTAGATCTTATCTTATCACCGAAGCCGCATTGTCTTCCGACTTTTCGGGGACTGAGCCGGCACGGTCCGGACGTCGGTCCCGGCTGAGACAAATAGCACGGAGCTTGGCCCAGCAACGCGGAGAGAATCACTTTGGAGGTCAAATTAGCGCTGAAAATGCGGCACAGATCGATGGAGACATGAAGAAAACTTTGTGCCACTATTTGTCGGCGTTCTGCGGCGGTGTCACCCAGATTGCCGATGCGGTCAACATTGCTTGTCGCCACAAATCTCGGCTACGGCGAGATCACCACCAAAAAAGAACTACGAAGTACGGTTACTCAACCAAGGTTGTAGAATGGCTAAGAATGTAGCGAGGTTTACTTGCCCGATCCTACGACTCAGAACCCGATGGGTGCTTACATCTGCTCGTTAAAGCTTTGCCTTTCCGAGGCCGGCCAGGATCCACACGGCAAACATCAGCCAGGCGATAACGCCAATGGAATGATTCCATTATTACATATCGCGGACATCGGCCCCGGCGCCACACTCCATCGGGTTTAGACGCTGACTTTGCAGCTGTTAATTGACGACTCAATCTCGCCTATTTGCTTCCCCAAATGTCTGTCTGTTGCTGTTTGCTGCCGGGCTCGCCATTCGCTCACAGCAGCGGCACGGCAACCCCATCATATTCCCGGCGGAGACTAACAGCAAACAAAAAACTCAAACACGCCCTACACGCGCCCTTCGGTTTGCAATGATTGCTCGCTCGCCTCTTGCGCCTCCAATTGCTAAACAGCCATATCCCCGCGACTCTAGATACGGTATTTGGCTTGGGGGAACACCTTGATGATTCAGGTTTTCTTGCTTTGTCACTAACCTAACCCCCGAGAACGTGAGGCAAACGAAACAATCGGTGTCGGCCCCCCGAGTGACTAATTAACCCCGCGAACTCGTCAACCGTTACTGCTGCCGAGGCTGCTGGTTTTCTCTCTCTGCCGAAACCTGTCTTGCCGCACCTTCATCCCCAGTTGACAGCACGCTTGCACCTCGTCTGTCGCTGCCCGGTATGCCTTCTCACTCTGATCCTTCCAGTCAACAGGACAGCCACGGTGCCGTGGTACGGATGCCTGACAGTGCTTCCAGGGCAGAGGAGAATGAGAAGAATGGCTCTGCAGCGGCGACCCCAATCAGTCACCAGCCGAGTGAGCAGGTAGAGTTCAAAGAGGGCGGCTATGGATGGTAAGTTGCGGTCTACAAACAATCGTCGCATACCGAGGAGACGTGTGTGAGATCGAGCCGCTGAAGTGTGTCAGGGTCGTCGTCGGCTGTGTCTTCCTCATCAACGCTCATACCTGGGGCTTGAACTCGGTGAGTTATTAGAAGTAGCCCTTCGTCTTGCATAGAATAGGAGAATTCTCACATTAGAGACCAGTCTTACGCCGTTTTCCTCGCCTACTATCTCAACTCCGGAGCGTTTCCCGGCGCAAGCCCCATCTCACTCGCCTTCGTCGGCGGATTGTCCTTCTCCGTCGGTGAGTCTCCTCCCATCGCCCCAAATTCTCCGAGTCATCTCACTGACTCCGCGCGAACCAGCCCTTCTCATTGCCCCGCTGGTCACCTTTTGCATCCCTCGCATCGGCACGCAACCGACTCTCGGCATCGGCGTCGTGATCCAAGCGTAAGCCGCCCGATCCCCTCCTTCACCCACTTCCGACGTCTTCCGGTACGGAAATTCCGCCCCGGTTCCTAACGCGCTCTAGGGCCGCTCTCATTGGTGCATCATTCACGACCCAGATATGGCACCTGCTGCTCTCTCAAGGTATTGGCTTCGGCATCGGCATGGGCTTCACCTTCAACTCCACCGTCGGCGTCGTACCGCAATGGTTCGTCATCCGCCGCTCGTTTGCAAACTCCATCGCCACCGCCGGCTCCGGCGTGGGAGGTCTCATCTACTCCCTGGCCACGAACGCCATGATCCGCAACATCGGTCTGCCCTGGGCGTTCCGCATCCTCGCCATCTTGTCCTTCGTCGTGAACGGCTCGTGTTGTTTGATGATGAAGGACCGAAACAAGGCCCTCGGCAGTGTCCACGTCGCATTCCACAAAGACATCTTCAAGAGGGTTGAGTTTTGGTTGTTTGTCGCTTGGGGCTTCTTTGGGCTCTTCGGATACGTCGTTTCCGTATTCTCGTTGGCGGACTACGCTCAAACAGTTGGGTTCAGCGCCAGCCAAGGGTCCATTGTGTCAGCTATGTTCAATCGTGAGTTGGTCTCTGTCTCATGAAGCATCCTACTATGAGTTGAGCTGAACCATTATGTACCTAGTGTCCCAAGGTATCGGCCGCCCAATCATCGGTTTAGTCAGTGATCGCTTCGGCCGCATCAACGTAGCTGGGCTAGGCACCATCATAGCCGGTCTCGCCACCTTCTTCCTCTGGATCTTTGCTGCCAAAAATTTCGCAGGCCTAATTGTGTTCGCCCTCTTCGGCGCATTCGCCGGGATACTCTGGCCGACAGTAGCACCAGTCGGCGCTGAGGTGGTGGGAATGCAGCTTCTCCCATCGGCACTGTCTATTTTCTGGATCATCCTCGTGATCCCAGCAACGTTTGCCGAGCCCATTGCTCTAACGATCAAAGGTTCCGGGATCAGTGCCTATCTTCCCGTCCAGCTGTTCACGGGATTCATGTACGTCGCGGCTTTCATCTCAAGTAAGTTGTCACAAACGCTTTTATCTGGCTACTTCGTTTGACTAATCGCCAAAAGTCTGGTTCCTCCGCGTGTGGAAAATCCGAGAACTTGAGACCCTGGCACTGTCAGAAGAGCAGCAAGACGACGCTCTGCGCAATAACGATGCTGTCTCGCTGACGACATCGCGGCGTACTGGGCCAAAACCTGGTATACTAAGGTCTTTGATCAAGGGCGTTTTGACTGTCCAGCGAGTCTAGGAATCTGGCGACGTTGACATGGGGAAGCCACATGAAGACCCTGAATAGTTGGCTTTTATCTGTTGTAATTGAACCAAAGCCACGTGTAACAATACCAAAACTCTCACACACTTGGAATAAACCTCCAAGCTCCTGGAATGAAACTAGCCATCAATCCAAAGATGACTCGTGGTAGAATCTCAGGCCCGTATCTCGAGAAGCCTTCCTTCGCTAATTCCGACGTGACACCGACGGCGCCGGTTTCCTTGTACGCTTCCTCCGTGGCCAACTCTGCGAATGCCGCACCCAGATCCGGGTACGAGCAAGCCAGACCCACGGACTCAGTGCTAATGGTGTAACCGCTGGCCTCTTCGTCAATAATAGCGGGTGGCTGCACCAATAACAGTAGCAACAGGTCCGGCTCAGCCTGCAAGCAAGCATGTGCCTTCAAGAGATCCGCGTAGGGATAATAAAAGGCATTCTTTATCATCCACCTCACGAGTCTCGGCGACTTCTCTTCGAATCGCTCGTTCCACGTCGCGGACGAAAGCAGAATGAACCACGGCTTCGTCCACTCCGCTCCTCTCTCCTTTTGCAGCTGCTTCAACGCCGCGACGATTGTCTTTGTTGCATCTTGCAGAACACGGACAGTGGGTTTGTTGTCGTTCTCGCCCAGCGCGCAGATGACGGTGTCGGCGCCGTCGAGGCAGGCTTTCACGCGGGTCTCGTCGGTGACCTGGGCCTCGATGATGTCGACATTGTCGTCCGTCTTGAATTGTGGAAAGGTTTTGATAAGCTTTTCGCGAGAACGGACAAAGATTTTCATGTGAGAAAAGGGATTTGTTGGCTTGGAAAGAAGGGCTTTCAGTGTTTCGCTCCCGGTGCGGCCGGTTGCGCCGAAGATGGCCAACGTTCGGCCTGAAGTTGGGAGCTTTGAGTCCGATGGCATTTTGGAATAGATTCTACTTCACACCAGAGCTCGCTGAAAGCTTGTCCAAACCTTTATTAAATTTTCTCGCGGGCCGCGAACATTTAAAGAAAGATTTGTTGGGGAGAATGTGAATCCGTGGCCTTACCGTGCTTTCCATCATGTACCGACCGGAACGGCCCCGGACATTTGTAAAAAGTCGGTCCGTATGGGGAATCCCAGCATCTGAAACACATTGTTAGTATATTTGTTTGATTGTTCAACGCCGGTTCCACCCGTAAGGGCAAATGGCCCCTACGTCGGCTATCGGAAACTCTACCTTTACACACCGGTACAGTACGAATACAAAATGAAATAGGGAGTGGCCTATTTTACCGGTAAGACAAGATTAGTTGCGGCTCGAGGCCGTGCGGTTTGGCACGTCTTAGCTGGGCGATCACCGTCATAGACTACAACCGAGCGTATCACTCCCAAGTACGTACGTACAGGCATGGCCACACGCACTAGAGTCGGGCATGCGAACGTCATAGGCGCCCGCGACCCGTGAAGTTACGTGGCTATGTATCCCACCCTAATCCGGTGCCATAAATTAACCAATCTCGTACTCCTTCGAAAGCGATTTTAAAGATGCAGGGTTTTTGGATCGGTGGACGGTGGTTGGAATTGTCCGCCGTGAAAAGTCCGTTATTGTCCCGTCGCCGCATCGACATTTTTCGGCGGCTGAAAAGTTAGTACCGACGACTAGTTAAGCCGAGCATCGGTAGATTTGTGATTCAACGGCTTGATTTCCAGTCTCTATCATCGCCAGCTGGGTCACGGAAGCTTGAAACGTCCGTTTCGGGACAGTGACTCCGACTCCTTGTGATGTCAATGGACAAATGCATCTGATGGCCAATTCCATATTTCTGGTAGTTGAATTCTGTGATCAAGCCGATTGGATGTGAACAATACTCAGGTCGGCGAGGCTTAGCTCGTCAATCCCAGTGACCAACAAACATAACTTGTACCTCTGATCGCAACGTCTAATGAACATAAGCTTGTAGAAATTACAGCAACTACAAAGACGGGAATCATCTTATGACAACACGCTTCTCAGTTCTACACGACTTCTCCCAATCGACCACTCCCAATTTGGACATTGCTAGCGAAGGGGCTGCTTTGCAACGGGCGTCCATCTGCAGGACAGAGTGGGAGGCTATGACAAGCACCTAATTGACTGAAATCGTCTAATGTGGTCAATTGGATAGCACATGCTTGCGCTGTCCGGCTATGATAGTCTGACAGCTTCGGCACTGGCTGCGATTGGTTTGAGTCGTAGGAAGGCAAATGCTTTAAGGGTCCTCAAAGTCATTGGGCCGCTCACTCAAAAGCTAGCCCAAGTGAGAAAATTCCACTAGTTAGGCAGCATCAAGATTCTTGCAGAGTCGAGCGATGCTCAACGGCAGGCGCCGAATCAACTAATTCTCGTAAACGAAAACTTTTTATCAAAACTGAATAATCTTCAGTTTCACAGTCTTGTCACTCCATCCAGTCCAAAAAGCATTTGCTGCACCTAGCGACTAGGATAGCTAACGATCATGCTAGAGGATACTACCACTCCAGCCCATCTGGGCATTACATAGGAGTGCAACCTACAAGACAATGTTTGGTCAGTCAAGCACACTATGCAGCGTCTCAAAGAATCAACTCACTCATTCCCAATCGATTGAACAAAGTTGACGTCAATCCAACGCTTCCGAAACCAATCGTTTAAGGACAACTGGTTCCAGTGCAGAGATATTCGCCGTTGCCGATAGGTTTACAGCTGCAGCCGCGAGCCTCGATCTCGACGCCCCTCTTGGTCATGGCAGGCGTAGGGATAAAGTCCTTGGGGCACAGCCTGCCGCTGCAAATCCACTCTCCGCCGACCTTGTGGCAAGAGCACTGTCTGGCAACGAGCTCAGCTTCGGGAGCGGGAGCCGCGGCCGCGAGGGCAGCAAAGAGGGTGACGAAGGTGAAAATGGAGAACTTCATGTTGCCTTTTTTTTAAAGGTGATTTGCTTGGTTGGCTGAAGTAAGGATTCAATTGACTGTAGGCTGTGAGTTGCTGTGAAGTTGCGATTTACTATGTCGATGACAACAGAAGGGGCGACTATTTATGTTTTGCGAGAACCCGGCCTCTCCGGCTATCTCATTTTCTAATCGTGGCCTTCAAGGTCTAGAAATTTCATGGGTTTCCCGCATTCGCCTTCGACGCCTCAGGCTTTGCGAGCTTCCTCTTCTGGCCAATATGCACCTGCAACTCAACCTTCGGCTTCGCCCTGTCTTGCTGGAACTGGAGGTATGTTACCCAAAAGCTTGATAATATTCGAGAGTGATTCTGATGATTGGAAGGAGTGCCTATCTGAAGGATCGCGCTTGTGCTGGCCATTTTGCGCAGCTGTGCCTTTTGATAGCATAGCCATGCCCAAAGCAGCAGGTCATTAAAAAAGATGCGCGGTGTGTATACAAACGTTGCCTGCAGAAGGTTACGAGATATGAGACTTGCCTAGCTCTTGGGAAAAAATCCTTTCATGTGCGGCACTTATGAATTGGCTGTTAAGGTATTTGAGAAATTTTTAATTGCACTTGTGCGTTACGATGGTTCGTGGGCTAATCATCGTTTGGTCAGGAGAAGTGCAGCTGTGTTGGAAGCAGAATCTATGGCTGGGATTTTGGGGTCACATTGTGCCAAGCAATACTATCAAGCGAGTTCCAATCAAGCCAATAGAAATTGAAAATGCGAATATGTGTCCTAGATCCTACGAAGGCCAAGTCCAAAGTTGCATCCAACCGGAACTCCACTAAGTTGCCAAGCCCTCCAGCAACGTAAGACGCCAAGCAGCACTCTAATGCGTTTGGGAGGCGTGGAATAGCACATCCCCAGTTGAGTCCTGATTTCTCTTTCAATTGATCTGCAGGAATGCCTTCGTGATGAAGATGAGAGACGCTCATTGTTTTCAGCTCGTATCCGGTTCAATCATTGATGGATTCAACGATACTTATTGCTGAAAGTGAAAACGCGATCCTCACTGATACCTTGTGATCCACCAAACCAAGCCATGTGACAGAAGACTGAACTGAATCTCATCGTGGTGCGATAATTGTATTCGTGCAAGATAGCATCTCCTAACAGCGAAATATAAGACGCCGAAAGCGGCAGGGAGCAGTTGAGAGAGGTGGCGGTCAAAGCCAGCTTGCAGATTGAATATCACTCCCTATTTGAAGTGATTTGAACCAGGGAGATTCAACAAAGTTGAGATCTGCGTTGCTGGTGATAACATACTAAAGTACATACTCAGTAAGTTTCTATGACTACCTTACGGAAGGCCGCCCTTCGTCATCCTACCCAGTCTGGGCGAAGATGGGAGCGCGACCACCAGTGTAGACGTCACAGAGTGGCATATACCACAGTTTCCGTCTTGGGTAGAAGCGAGGCCACCCTGACGCGGCGCTCCTACCCCTTTGACGGGGCCCCGGGGCCTTCATCTGGGCAATCACCCCCCGGGTCTCATATGGTGCCCAGGGACGCGACTTTGATTCCAGCATAGTGTTGCTCGTCTCCGGATTTGGTGACCTAAATGAAGTACTTGCCGTTCATGTGGTAGAATCGCCAGCCCTCGACTTATCTGTGGGCATTCTTAGTGTACACGACCTGGTCGGAGTCAGTATCTGAAATGACTATATTAGTTTGCTAATACACCTCGTTTCGAACCTCCGTGAAATCGTCCGATGATGGTTATGCGAGACGGATTTCGATAGCTCCGTAAGCAATGACGTCCAATATCAAGAGACCTTCCGGAAGACGGCCAATTTAACTCAGATCCCGACGCATAAAACTTTCCAACATTGAGCAGCATTCTTCGAAACCTTTTCTACTGAAGCATGCCACCTGAGGATGCTTTTTCGATTGCAGGTTCGAAAGGACTCAATATCTTGCCCAGCCGTGTAAGTCTTAGCGGCGATAATGCGGAGCTAGATGGCCCTTCGGGGCCTTCTTCCATCGGGCGTGTAAGAGTGTGTTGGGATTCGCAACTTATGCGCGTCTTTCTTACAAGGACCAGATCACATTGCAAACATGTACCAATCGTGTTTCATAGCTATAGGCTTTGCCTCAGTACTTCACTAGCTAATAATTGACTTCTCATCTGCATTTTTGTCTCATTGAACGCGATAAGTGATTTTCTCTCATCTGGCTTCGAGGTAGTTGAAGGCAACGAACGCCCTGATCCAAGTCAATACCAAAGGTTTCCTATGCTCCTTCGAGCGTGCATCAGATCTTGCTCCCACTGCTTGCCTCATTCATTCGAAGTGACTTCCTCATTCAATCGCTGTGTATTGTTCTCATATCTTTGTTGGCTCGCTTGTAGATTTCTTTCATCGTGACTTCACCCTCTACGCCCCTCCATTTCCTCCCGTCCAAGTGCCGAAGACACAACTGTTTCCCTTCATCGGGATAAAACAACCAACAAGCCCACCTTGCCCACATGCCCTGTTCTTTCATCTGAGTCCTTGCCCGGTGCCCGATTGTGTCCTCGATAAATGCACCTCTGGGTATCGCCAGCCTGGTGGGAAAGACACGCGTAAGGTAATGGTCGGTCGCTGCGATGTGAGGCTTGTCATGCCAGAAGAACATAGGCGTCAATGGCACCTGTGTCTTTGGATGCGATGGGGGCGTGAATCCCCGCTTGAGTTTTGTCGTCAACATCCTTAGTTGCGGGAACTCTTGCGCATGAGCAGTCTCGGCATACTTCAGCATTCGCACTGATGCCAGACAGACATATTTCACCGGGCTTTCTTCATCTGCGTCTTGGGTCTTCATGACGTCTAGTATTGGTGCCACGGGAATGTCGTAGACCAGCGTCCAGTCATGCTGATGCACCCAGACATAGGGCGTCGTCGTCATTCTGAGAGCTGTTCGCACTGCCAGACCAAAGCCCAGCCTCTCTGACGGCTCGACAAAGGAGACGCGGATGTCCTTTGTCCGGCTCACTGTAAAAATCGCTGAGTTTGTCGTAACGGTCGTCGCTCGCCCGTTATAGCCATACTCGGCTTCGCCTTGCTCTTGATTCAACTCGTCCGGGCGCTCGTGCTGGCTATATTCTCCCAGCACGAGCTTCTTGACATTTTCCTTGTACTCCGCATACTCCTCTGCGCCCTTTTCCGTGACCTGGCCCTTTTTCAACCTTGGAACGTCTCCAATACGCTCATACGTGTCCAGGACAACGATGATGCGACACGACAGGAGGTCCCCGCAGTGAAGGCGGATGGATTTAAAGACCGCATCCAAGAGTTCTGTTGCGGGTGCGGACGGGGTCGGCGACGTAGTTATTATAAGCGTCAGAAGCTCGGAAATTGACGCCGATGCTGGCGGCGCAGGAGTGGAGGACATGCCTTTCCCACCACTTGTGACTTTGTATGAGAAAAGTTGGCAGTGGAAATATTCCCCTTGCGGGACGTCGATTGGTACGTATCTGATCGGAGTTAAGACTTTTCTCGACCAAGTGGGGCACCGGAGTCTGGACCAAAATTGTTAGTCGCGAGTGCCAGCGGAAGATGATGTGGCTTGCAACGCAACACAGTAGCTTTCGCGAATTGAGAATGAAGTCAACAAGATACTAAATACATACATACATACATATACTGCATGTAATGGGTCGATTTCATGATTTCTTGGAAAGACAACCGCAGTTGTCGTCATGATGCCGTTCGACGCTTTCGGGGCTGTCTGAGCGTCAATGGCCAATCCCGGGCCCGGACTAGCAAACCCTGACTCGGCACGGCGGCCCGCTTGGGTCGGGCCCGCAACCGCGAAAAAATCAATCCCGGAATTTAGGATGCAGAATTTTCAAAAGATTATGACCAGCCTGGGGGTCGAACCCAGAATCTCCTGATAACGTATTCAATCGTAGTCAGACGCCTTGCCATTGGGCCAACCGGCCATGGTTATTTGAATCCATTGCTGGATGTTGCGTTCTGGGATACTGTCACGCAATATGATGCCAGAAGATACATCGTCGTGGGTCTTCTACACCACAAAATGGATCAACCAACACTAATCTTGCCCCCAAAGCCCCTACGGACAATCTGATGATGGCCACGACGGTGATAAATCAATCACGTCAATAAATTATTCAGTTCCATCGCCCTAGGTATCCCAGCCAGCCAAACTCAAGGAAAGCAGATCCATATCCCGGTCTTTACGTCCAATCATTCCCCAGAGATCTCTTAAACAGACCGCCGGTCTCAAGTCTTCTCCTTTCAGGCACTCAGAGAGAATTACCCGCCGCATATCTCCGACGTCTATGCGCCGTTGCAATGCATATCGCAGTTCCACACCGGGGCGGCCGTCGGCGACGGCGTCTTCAACCCACATCGTCGTCGCGGCGGGTGCTGCTGTCGTTGCGGTGCCATCGGTGTCTGAGCCAGCCGTCCTGTGATGAGTGCCAGTATCAGCTCCGATCGGTATCGAACATTGCTAGCCCGGGGAGGGGAATGACTTTGGTGCTGCCACGTTCTTGAGGTCCAGCATCTCTGAGCTCTGCCTGGCGAGCATGTTCCCGGACACTCCGACAACGATAATTAGCAGTTCAAAAAGGTATTCCAATATGCACCAGAGTATGATCAGCGAGGGTGGGTACGAAGGGGGACCTCTGGCTCGTCGAGCCCAAATACGAAGCCGAGGCCAAGGACGCCTTTCTTCGAGGTCTACAACCACGCGTCAGCCCAAGACCAACGTCTGCTCCGTCGCGAGGTGGAAGAAGTCTACGGTAGCATCGACGCGTTCCGCAACCTGGAGTGGCGCTTACTTCTTTGGACATTGTGGTTCACCGAGATAATTCCCTACCGGGACTTGAGCGCGCTGATGGAGGCGTTGGCAAGGGCCAGTCCCCGAACGATGAAGGAGTGGACTCTCCGTTTCGACCCGAGCACGTGGAAGCTAGACGCGCGGTTCCATTAGATGACCAGTGAGTTGGACCCGAGTAAGAAGGTGGAAAATGTAAAGGATGGGAAGGGGAATCTCTTGGTTTCTGCGCCGGGCACAATGTCCATGGGTCCGCTGGTATATCCGGAGCATGCAGTCACCATGCCCACTCTCGATCACTGAATTCAGTTTTTTGTGATAAAGTTTGGGACCATACAAGTATGGGAGCATAGTCGCCTTGGACATGGTGTTTGAAAACGACGGGGTAAAACAAATCCAGTGGAGGGCGGCTGAACCACTCATTATTTTTTTCCAATATCCTCAGCTTTTTGTTTCTCATGTTACATCCCCGATGAATATAAACTGAGGCCTCAGTTGAAGACCATCCACAACCAGAAGAGACCGGAATTTCGCTTTCACTAGATGGCTTCCGGACCCTGAAAGACAGAACAATCCTTGTCAAATCAAATTTCACACCGTGTGGCCGCCAAGTTAAATATCAGAATCGATCCGGCTTATATAGAATCAGGATTCTACGAGGTATTTGTAGGTGACGTCGCTTCCAACCTTTGAGACTAAAAGCAATGAATTTGAGCATTATAAACAATCTTGGTATTTTCTGCATCAATCAGTCTGCTTTCTCTTACATTCGCATTGACCTACTTCAAACCCGCCTGTTATCATGACAGCCTTCTCTTACAACAGCCCCTCTTTACTATTATATTGTAGGCTCGAGTATTAGCACTCTGCTCTCGTGTCTATACATTGAATCCCTTCTTCTCGGGCTCAGAAACGATATCGTGGTCATCTGTTGCAGAAACGGCGCCGTGGCGGATGACCTTGAGGTTTCCGGCGGCGATCTCTTGTTCGATGTCGTCGAGACGAGACTTTTTGTGGTGAGTCTTCCAGGCGGGGAGGCCGGAGTTGAAGACATCATCCATCTCCTCGAGCGTGAAACCCTTGGTCTCAGGAGCAAAGAAGGCGGTGTGAAGGAAAGCAAGGGCGTTGAAAGTTGCGAAGATGTAATACATCTTGTAGTTGATGTTCCACACTGCCAAATGCCTGTTAGTGTGTATATGAGAAATGTCATTCGGTTTCGGCTTACACAGAGGTGGAACGGCAAAAGCAAGGACCATGTTCCAGAACCAGTTGGTCGATGTAGACAGGGAGACCGCCTTGGCACGAATCTTGCTCGGGAAGATCTCGGCGGGGTAAGTCCAGGACACCGGACCCCAGGTAGTCGCAAAGGTTGCGACAAAGAGATACGAACAGGAGACGATGGCGGCGGAAACAGGCGTTTTGTTGAGGACGAGCCAAGTGACAGACTCATTATCGGAGTTGCGTGTCGCATCGGTGTTTGGCTCTCCGTAGTACTGCTGCAGCGCGCCAGAAATGAATAGCCAGGTCATCATCATGAAAGAGCCGCCAACCAGCAGTGGACGACGGCCAAGCTTGTCGATGAAGATAATGGCAGGAAGCGTCATGAGGACGTTGATGATATACTGAATGGATGCAGTCAGGAGTGGGTTGCCCATGCCAGCACCCTGCATGATGTAGACAATGTAGTCTGAATCGCTTTAGCAACTATTCGTTGAAGCTCGCAAATGTAATGTCGTCACTTACACATCATGATGTTCATACCACACAACTGGGACCACATCTGAATGCTCATGCCGAGCAACACACGCTTATACATACGAGGGGCGACAAGACCCTTGAAACTCGAAATATTCTCTTCGCGCTCGAATCGGAGAGCCTCCTCGATCTCCTGGTATTGGGCTAGAACCTTGGGGTGGTTGATGTCGCCACCACCGTGAAGATGGGCGAGGACCTGGATGGCTTCATCCCAACGGTCCTTGCTAGCAAGCCAACGAGGACTGTAAGGGAAGAAGAAGAGTCCGACAAACAAGACGGCGGCAGGGACAATCTGAACTCCCCAGGGAATGCGGAAAGCGGCGGTTGGCTGATCCGGATCACTTGGGCCATTTCCAATGCCCTCGGCAGCGCCGTACTGAATAAAGTATTGAATCAAGATACCCCAAGTGATTGCCCACTGCTGGAGCGAAACAACGCGGCCACGGATCTCCTTGGGAGCGATTTCGGACTGGTAGACGGGGACAATGGAGGATGCGATACCAACACACATGCCCGCAATGACACGGCCGACGCAAAGCATGCCGACGTTGACAGAAGCGCATTGCAGAATGGCGCCGATGGTCCAAATGACACAGGAGAACTGCAGTGCGACCTTTCGAGAGTACCTGTCTGCAATGAAGGAGGAGACGAGAGATCCGACGAGGGAGCCGGCAGGCATGGAAGCAGTAATACCACCCTGGCGGTAAGATGTAGGATTTCCGAAATATCTCTTATAAGCTCCGGTTCCTAGAACACCACTCATGGAGCTGATGTCGAAGCCGAAGAGGCCACCACCTGGGTTCTAGTCAGCATTAACCACAAGGTGAGGCCCGCCGAGGACTGAGGGGGGAAATCGCGTACCGATGGCGGCGAAACCGCAAATGAAGTAGATGTTTTGCGCCTGATACATGATGGTGGTATTCGCTTGAAGGCGACTGTGTCTGATGTTGGGTTCAGTTACAATTAGTGGATTTGTCTGTCTTGATAGGACGAGGCGAAGTTGGGATGTCGTATGTATGCGTCAGCGGAGGTTCCTCAAGGCTCTTGAATAGGTTTACTGGTGGGCACGACCGAAACTTAAAGTAAACGGCAAGGTACAGTCGGAGGTGATTTTGCTGGGTACCTCTGGACGCGGTTCTGGGGCGGCTGTGTGTATGGCGCCCGAGTCGCAGGCTGGGTAGCGACACGGCCCACCGTCGTACCGAGTTACGACGTCGAATGACATTGGAGTGGCCGGTCGAGGCGATCGAGGGGGACCCTGGTTTGGAGGGACTGGACGGACCGAATGCAAAGGTTGGCACATTGGGTTGCCAAGGTTGATGTGGAGGATTGCCCATCCTGTGGTATATGAGGGGGTCATGGGAAGAAGCAGATGCGGAGGAATCATGAAGGGTGCGGACGATCAGTTCCTTGAAGGGCTATAGGGCCATTAAGTGACACGTCGGACGAGCGCGGCGAAGACGCAAAAGTCTGAGCCGCTGCCGGGTTGTTGGTCGAGACGGCTGAGGTTGAGGAGTCGATTGATCGGGAATCGCATGCCTGCATAAGGTACCTAAGTCGGGAGAGCTCGAGAAAGTGCGACCACATGAGGCACAGTGAGGTAGAGTGAATCAGAATCTCTCAGCGAACCATTGATCATCCGGGGGGTGTGAGCATTTGTGTGGTGTGTGGGAGACAGGATGCGGAGAGAAGAGGGGAGTCAAATCAGGATGGCAGAGATGGGCAGCCGTGAATGGCTTGCGAGATTGGATGATTGGCGATGGTGCCAGAAAGGCAGCGTGGGAGACTCAGCCGAGAAGGCTGGGCGAGATATCAAATGCCACACGGGTGGTAGAAGTGTCGTTGCATCGCATGTCCCATGCTGTGCTCGTCGGTATCCTGCTGCAAAGTTGTGCAGACCGGGGGCCTTGCCTAGCTGCCTGCCTGTTTGTCGCTTGTGCTGCTCAGTCAATTATCGGAACAGGAACGAGAACCTTGGTGATGTGGACACGGATGGACACCTGGGCTGTTGTCGGTTTCCCTCGCGCTGGTGCCATGTTTGCTAGTTTGTTAGGTAGCTTGTCAGCTTGTTAGCGAATTAGCTTGTTAGTCATGGGGTTGGAACTGCACAGCAATCAACCCACGAAGACAGGCCAGCCGTCAAAGTCAGCAAGCAGTAAGGTAGGTACTCGTATCTACCGGGCCCACCTCAGGCGCCTGGTCGTCCAAGTCGATACGTTCCGAATTCAGTGCCTGACTGAGGAAGGAACACATGGTTCGTTCGCCCTTTCCCTATGTCCAGAATAAGGTACCAGAGCTAAGTCCCCGCGTGAGGTGGTCTGTTTGGCTTTTCCGGCCGGACCCCTGCTCACCCTCTACCCCGGGTCCGCGGCCGGTTCAAGGACAGTGGACCATCCCCCTGTCGCGCTCCCCCCTCCACCAGTCTATGGACCAATCTACGCAGCCTATTTCCCCCGCAAACGACTTGGATCACAATGGAAATAAAGATCAAACACGCAACTCTAATGTCTGCCAGTTACATCGTCGCTCAGGTGAGCTGCGTAACCACTTGCATTACCTAGGTACTTCATTTACCTAAATACCTATCTGACAGTCCACACTAGGTTAGGTACTGTAAGGTTATCAGGTTGAAGGAAAAGGATCGAGGAAAGTTGGTCGCCGTCCCTGGTACCTAGATGGAAGGTTTCGCCCAGACGATGTGATTGAAATATCATTACTTCGTGCCGACAAGATCATTGTCTTGGAGCCACGAAGACAGCCTTGGGACGAGCTTGGCAATGGAAAGGCTGCCACGGGATGGGATTCGGACGCGAATTGGAGAAGCCATGGTAGATGTCAGGCGCCAGAAGAAGTGTACGGTGTTGTACCACCAATACGGCGTGTGTATCTTCCAAAACGATAAGTATCCTTACTTTGCACCTGCGGGGAACAGCTCTCGGGAGAACCAGCGGAAAACTCGTGCAAGTCCAGGTTGAAAGCTTGCTCTTCGAGATGCAATGTTTGCAGAGGAGATGGGGTATCCATGGGTATCCATGAGCCCACTCGGTCTCTCTCCTAAGGTACCTATGCTAGCCTCATCGAGGTCGCCGCAACTTACTCCATCTTTGGACAAGGACAAGAGACCGACTAGAGTGGTTTGCTCGAGTCTCCAAAGGCTTGCGACACGAAAGCGAGGCTCTCCGGTAAGTTAGGCCACAGTGCACACAGCCCTTTCCCTGTTGACCCCAATTCCCTTCCTCGCCCCCATCCTCCCATGGCGAAAGATCCATCCTGGCTCCTGCTTCCCCGGCCTCCACTCACAGCCACCTCTCCAGTCGCACCTCCCTCGAGGCGACACAACCTCATCGCATCAATCCTTCCATCCAGAGTCTGACAAACGGGCAATTTAATTGGATGGCGGCAAGGTAGTGATCATTCAACTCATTCCTTCCTTCCAGCAATGTGAACTTCTGCCAGTAGGGTGACCTCGACGCCACCTCTCGTTGTTGCCCTCCTCAAGCCACCCGCATCATCTCACTTTCGAGTGTCCAAGGCTCCAACTTTCTCACCCATACAGTATGTCTGTCCAATATCCCGTCACCGAACCTCCATGTCTCTGTTCGCCCGTTTGCCATGAACAGAATTCCAAGAAGCACCCCGCTCTTCCAAGTCCCGCCGAGAATACAGCGGCACGCCTTGCCAACGCTCATGCACACTTCGCCTTGCAACGGTCTCACGACCACCCCTTCACGGACGCTTTCTGTCAACCTGTGCAGGTGCTCTGGCGGCTTTGGGACCCCTCTTTTCCGAAATCATGCTTATTTGCAAGCCATGGATGCCGCTCCCCCAGCTTGTCCTCGTTCTTGTTTTGCGGGCCCATCATCGAACCACTTCTCCGACCCGGGGCAACCCAGCCTGCAGTGTATCCCGGTCAACGTCGTACATCAAGACGACCACGACTCGCACCTGATATTTCGAAATTTTCCAAACTTTCTGCCCTTACATCTTGGCATGCTCAAAGCCCAGGAATCAAGTATTATTCTTTGCATCCCTCTACATCACTTTTGACATTTCATAATCCCCTCCAAACTCTAAGCCACGGAGAATCTACTCAGCCAAGGTATTACACCGCAGACTCCCCGAAGAAGGGCCCCGCTTGTCACCGTCCTGCCGGTCATTTGGTACCTTTCTGCCGGATATCAACACGCCCGACTACTGCACCCGAACCACTGGGCCGACAACCCCGGTCCAACGCACATCTATTCCGTGCTCTTTACTCCCCTCCACACAAGACACCGAATGAAGAGGTCCTTCATTGGCCCAAGTCTGAAACTCCATGATAGGATGACAACGCTGCAACGTTACCCTGATGCGGAGATTCATACTGACCGAACTTAGTAGTCGACCCGTCAACCTCCTTGAGATTCTTGCTACTACAGTCATATGCTGGGCGGCGAGCTGGCAAGGCTGGGCATTGGCTATTCTATCTTTTTATTTGAAGCCGGATGAACCACCCACGTACCGGCCGAGAGGACTCAATCAACCTCAGCTTGTGCACTTGATCTCACAACAGCCCATGCAATGCTCTCTCTCTGAATATGCTCGCTTATGAATGATATGTTGATTTCTCTTGCACAGTCATGAATCCGTTGGCGTTCGCCGCCTGCTTAGATGCTGTCCTAGCCCTTCCACCGTCCTACGCGTGCGCTTGCTTGTGAAAGGCCAGCAAGGTTACAAAGTTGAATTAGCACACACTCACGGTAACTTCGATGAGGCGGTCTGGGTTCGACGAGGCGCGAAACGTAAAAATCCTGCCCTCTTCAAGATACCTAGATCAAAGAGGAAATGCCCTCAAGGTCTAGATTTAAAAAGCTGCCAGGGTAAGAGCCGGCTTCTCGCCGTCATCCTCCCATTTCGTTTGGCTGCACCTGCCGGTGGCATCCGAGGTTGCACGGCACCCTCCGAGCAGGAGAGGAACTGAGTCGACGTCGCGTCTCTAGCTGTATCGACAGGCCACGTCTGCCTACCACGCATGGTGAACAGTCCCCTCCTTTGCGACGTCGGCCCTCGTGTTGTTGTATCCCTCTCCACACCCATGCGCAGAGGCACAGTAAAATGCAGTGAGAAAAGAGGCCGACAAACCCCGAAGAGCGTCGGCCAGAGTTTGTTGTTTATTATTGTTGTTTTCTGTTCGCGAGTCCTCGTGCCAGATCTCCTTAGGAAGATCTACCTCATCGCTCATGGCCCCCGTACAAGCCCCCGCAAGGAAGCTTGCCCGGTGTCCCTGTCATCTGTGAATCCGTCAGCAAGTCGGGGGCTATGCAGCACCCAGATCAAGTGAGCAAAGGCATCCCGCCTCCCGAAGGAAATGTAGCCACTGCATAGATTAGTAAACTTCTGAGCCTCTAGGGCTAGGGGTTTCGGTAAGTAGAAATAGTAAAGAGTCCTTGTTCATTCTTGAGCCCACTAGGGCTGGGCCCAATTGCTTCGGTAGCTGGCCAGCGGGAAAAGGGTTTTGGCATGCCACTGGGACATGTTGCGTAGAAAAGGACCGAGCCTGTGACAGTCAATCCTCGTCGACACCCCATCGTAGCCAACCAGCCGCCGTTATCATACAATTCCTTCGAAAAGAGGCGAAACAATATAGAAGGAAGAAATAGGGGAACATTTCGAAAAAATAGAGGCTTCCGACTCGACGCAAAGAGTCAGTCAACCACGAGGGTACGGGGATGGGTATCATGAGAAAGAAACAGCCGCCTCCCCTTGACTCCGTCTCCAATCTGGGGTGTTTGGTCCCCGCCCGTCTAATCAATGAAAAGCAAATGATTCCTGTAGCCTGGTAATTCGTTTCCCTTCCGAAGACATATCATGCAAAACCCATCTTTTCGGTATCAATGATTGGAACGGTGCTTTTGGACCGTGAATTGAAACAAAAGAGCTGGGACCTCATCTTGAGTCGTACAACTGGCGCAGGTGCGCGCGTTGGTGACGGAACGAAGAGTAGTTACCAGCATAGATGGTCTCGAGTATGCTGGCAGGTCTCCTGGCGCGGGATCCCGCCTGTGCAAGTTCACCCATTCTCTTCTTCAGCATCTCGTGTGCGATGCTGAACTCTTCCAGGATTCGGCCAGCGTTACTAGAGCCGCCAGAAATGTCATTGGCGGGATTGTTCGGATCGATGACGGAGATGCGGTCGAAGTTCTTGTAAACGACTTCATGAACTCGGTGCTGCGATTGAGGTGTTAGTAAACATGGTTAGTGAGGTTGCCCATGTGAACTTGCCTTGTGCACATAACCTGGAGGGTTCAATCGGATTGCCGTGTTGACGTAGTCGAACCTGTTTCCGTAGAGATCGAAGAATTCCATGAGCATCTGTCCAAGGTGGTGGTCGGGAACGAGATTGCGGCTTTGAACAGCAGGCATGAGCTGCAGCATGCTGACAACCATGCAGGTGACAGTGAAGCTTCCGATGCCACCGTTGACGGGCTCATTTAATCCGCGCATAGCCAAAAAATGCTTGACCATGGTGACGATGATTGGCATGGCTGGATACTGAGCCTTCCACTCGATGAATGTCTTGACGGCCTGGGGACCATCCAGACGATCGAAAGAGATGTCGACCCGGAGGCCAGTCTCATTGTCAATGTACTTGACAAGAGGGACCTTGGCACTTGCAATGAACTCCATGCTGTTGTAATGGGTCAACCGCTTGCCCGAGAGGAACTTGCCAAAGGCTCTCAAGGCCTTGATGCCGAAAAAGGTGGAATGAGCACCGTTCAGCCAGTTCTTTTCACAAATGACCAAGTCCATGTCAGCCGTGGGTAAGTAGAGGCCAGACATGTACGAGCCAAACGGGCGAACGTCACAATCCCTGTAGTAGTTACTAGTTCTGAGAGATTGGCGTAGCCGCTCGACAAGCCGTGTTCGCATTTCATGCTCAAAGTCACGAGGCCGTACGACCTCATAGAAGTCGACAATCTCCTTGTGAAGCCTGTCCAGGTTAGATGCTATATCTGATTCCAGGACTGTCCCGACTCACCAAACGCTGATATCCGAGGTCTTGGAATGGTCTGCTTCGATCCACGGCGTAGAGTCCTCGCCCTTGGTCACCCTCCACTCAGGCAAGATGGCACCACCCACAGGCATTTTGTTCACTTTCTTCAGCGGACCATACGTGGGGGGCTTGATGTGGTCATCGGCAGTGCGCTTGCGGGAGCCTAGAGCGTCGTTGGCCGCAACGGGCTTGGCTGGTAAATTGAAAGGCTTGCCAGGCGTGGATGGCGCTGTTGAGGCTGCCAATCCGTTGGCGGCAGGTGGAATGTCGCGGTCGGAACGAGGGCCACTGGGAGCGATTCTAGAGGCGTTGGATGAGGATTGCAGAGGAGGCGCAGGACCAGAAGGGGGAGGAGGGGGAGGAGAGGGAGGCGAGGGCGGGTCTGAAGGAGGAAGAATGATCTCTTCCTCTTCGCCGTCTTCCTTGTCGTCAGGTCCGTCGAGGTCGAAGGAAATGAATTCTTCAGCCTCTGTGCTGGCGTTGAGCTTGTCTGCAGCAGTCTCGTCAACTCGCGCCTTCCGAATCATCTTGACCATGTCCTTCTTCTTGCGTTCGGCTGCATCAGGCGGGGGAAGGGCGGTGTACGGGTCTGGATTTGACCATTTCGGGACGCTGTTGCCCGATTCGTCGTTGCCAGCGCGGCGCGCGCGCTTGCTTGAAGGCTCACCAGATTCGTCATCAGAGTTGTCAGAAATGTCCATGTCGGCCTCTTCGTCGTCCGAAAGCTCATCCACGTCTCGGTACACTATACCGCCACCCTCCTCGTTGACCAGGTTCTCGTCGACTCCATCGCGACGGGTGCGCAAGAGCTCGCGCTCGGCCGGAATGATCTTCTGGTACGCGCCCCTACCGCGGCCACGAAACGGACCTCCGCGAGCGCGTGGTGCTCTTCGTCGATCATTGCCCTGGTATGCGCCAGGGCGATATGAGTCTCCGCTGGCGGCGTCGCCGACGCCGGAGGGCTTATCCATCCGGAAGGTGAAGTCACCCTGAGGGGGTCTAGTATCGGGTCTGTAGCCATCGTAGGCCCCTGATCTTCGGCCTATATCGTTGCCTCCTCTGTAAGAATCATAGTGGTCGAAATGCCGCGGTGGAGATCGCGATCTTGAATGGCGGCGGCGGTACTCACGGTCCTCGGGCCACGGGTTGCGCCAATTGTCGCCAGCTCCAGGTGGTGGCGGCTGATGATGCGATGGGCGGGAATCATAGCGACCACGATTGCGGTCATCCCTGGCATTGCCTCGTCGAGGCGGGTATGATGGTCGGTATGAGCTCATTGTGGGCGCGTTGTGCAGTGGATCCTGGTGTTGACGCGTTGAGAAGCTTAAGCGATTGAGAAAATTCGGGCAGTCGACGTCAAGGACAGGAATTCCCGGTGCCCTGTGATTATCGATAACGCTAGCGTGCACGTGACGACGTCATGGAGTGGTGGGGTAGCATAGTGGGTGGTGACGGCTTATCGCCGATTCCGTTCATTTGTCTGCTTTCATCAGGCCTGATCTCTGAAGGCTGAAATTCAGGTGAGCATGAACAAAGTCACAGGGCCAGCAGCAAGACTGCGCAACATCATAGACTTATTTGCAAGGCTTTAGTTCCAATGCCATCTGTCAACTGGTATCAATTCAAAGCAGGCGATCTTTGATGGAGGAGGAAAGGGTACCTGCACCAACAAGGTGAGGGTGAATTTGTTGTCTCAGCCATTCATTCGCCGATCCCAAACTGCTGGGGAAATTGCTGAACCTCAATACCACGCTCCTCCCTGGTACGGTAGACAGGCATGTGGCTTGCTAGATAGTTGTCTGTTACCTCGGTCAGCATCCATACAAGTACTTCATTTCGAGTCAGGATGTTCTGTTGTACCTCATTTTCAGATGGAACCTGAATCATTTGGTAACTTTTGATATAGCCTGAAGAGCTTGTGTCTATCAAACCAGCCGCTTTACCTTCCATTACTTACCTCGCTAGACAGCATCTAGCTTAGGAGAACCCAAATAAAACATCTCTCATTCTCGCCAAAGTTAGAGTATGAGGGCATCGCCTTCTAGCTGGTAGCACGCTTAGAAAGACCAGCCGGTGTAGTGTGAAAACCAAGGACCATGAGAACATCAGGCAGTACAGGCTCCGTGAAGCCGTCAGTACTTAGTTTCTTCGATGCCTGCGTATTGTCGTTCAGAACGCTAACCTTCATAGTACTATTAGTAGCTTTTCCGTTCATGAGACTCCAAGGGAATGGGACTGGAGTGTTGTTGTTTCATTAGTTTTCAAAATGCATGCTCCCAGATTTGGGACAAGACCTTCGGGTTCCTGTCACTGAGGATAACTTGAGGGTAGCCCCAGTTTGCAGTAAGTAGTCTCTTACCCAGTCAGGTTCCCCATATTGTATCCAGCTTCCTCCTCCCATTTCGGATGTCCATTCAGCATGGCATACACTGTGATGGATACCGAGCGTATGGTTCCTAAGAGAAAGAGGACCTCGAATTTTCGGCGAAGAAACCCCGTCGATACGAGCACAGAATCAGGCTTTCTAGTTCTCGAACACCCAGAAGCACTCGTGGCTGAACACGCAACGTATTTTCTTCCCTCGTGACTTTTTACAATGGTCTCATGGGCATGTGCCGAAGCTTCTGTCTTATATTGTTTAACCGCACTCAAGATTTCCCCCTCAAGCTACAACCCGCTATTCGCTGGGCCAATTACAACTACAATAGAAGGGTCATCAGACGGAACCAATCCCTTTCGTAAGCTTCAGAGCCTCAAGCGTCGTCCTAGCTTCCTAGCGTGATTTCTCTGTTAAGTCTCATATGAGTTGTCTCGACTTTGCGCAAATGGCTGGATTGACTACAAAGGAAAGAGCTGAACATCCCACCGAGACCTGGTGTGATGGTCCAACGGGCTCTATGCTTAGAATAGAGAAAATGGGAGGGAGAGGGCTCACGTGGTCTTGAGCCCAGTCGAGCTCAAGCCCAAGGCGTCCAAATGTCCTGTTCAGCTCAATGATATGCTTCAATACCTCAGGCCTTGATGCACAACCACACGGTCTCTAATCTATCTCACCCTGCCCTTCCATCTTCTACGTCTCCCACCCGTCCGTCTACTCTCAGTCATTTGAATGAAATCTTTCCGAATCTATCCACCTCAACCTCCCCACGTCCCCTCCCCCAAACCCTAAAACACCACCCCGCCCCCATCAACAACCAAATCACTCCCATTAAAATAACTCCCCGCCCTCGAACAAAGCATCACAACAACACCAGCAACCTCCTCCGGCAACCCCATCCGCCCCGCCGGATTCCTCCCCGCCCAAACCTCCCTCGCCTCCCTCAACCCCTCCCCCTCATTCAGCACCGTATCCATGTACCCGGGACTAATACTATTGACCGTAATCCCGTACCGCGCCCACTCCGCCGCAAGACTGCTTTTCAGCTGCAGCAACGCCCCTTTACTCGTATTATACCCCGCCTGCGGCTGCGGGAAATTCACCCTGTGCGCAGAAATACTCGCCGTGAACACGATCCTGCCCCCGCGGTTCTGTCTCACCATGACGCGCGCCGCCGCCTGCGCGCAGATGAAGGCGCCGGTCGTGTTCACGTCCAGCACGCGGCGGAACTGGGCGACGGGCATGTCGAGCGCGTGGACGCAGCCTACTATGCCCGCGAAGCAGACCAGGTAATCGATCCCGTTTAGCTCCGCTGCGGCGGCCTCCATCGCTTCGGCGACGGCCCCTTCGTCCGTGACGTCTGCGCTGCGCGCGGCGATTTGGGCGGATGGGAAGGCCCGGCGGAGGGCGTCGATTTGCGAGACGGCTTCGGGGGACGTGACGTCTAGGTCTAGGAGCATGAGGCCGGTGAGACCGTGTTGTAGCATCGCGCGGACGACGGCGTGGGCGATGGCGCCCGTGCCGCCTGTCACGACGGCGGTGCCGGTGAGGGCGAAGCGGGATTCTGCCGTGTCGGAGGCGGAGGCGGTGCGGTGGGATGCGCCTGGTAGGGAAGCGAGGTCACCTGTTGCGAGAGTCATGAAGGGGAGTTGGCGCTTGGATAGGTCAGGACGGGCGGTTGGGTCTGCCATCTTTTGCGCGATGAATTCCGGCTGGGGCTGTGGTTTGGTTTTGGGTGTTTGAAGGGGGAGTGTTTCACTGAGTGAACTAATAGAACGCCAAAGAAATGTCGGGGGAAATATTGTGGTTTTCCTTTTTTATTTGTGATTTTGATGGTTTATGAGATGAGTATAAATGCCGGAGATCAGAGCGAGTACGGTCGATTTCTGAATGCAGTCGTTCACCGGGGGGAGGGGTGACTGGATGCCGTGCGGCGGTGGGGTTACTGGCGGAGGACATTCGCCCGATGTGGGGTCTGTGCTGCCGGCGGCGAGGTGTTCCGAGTGCGGAGAGGCTTATCCGTGGACAAGGTACTGAGGTACGTCACGGTGCGAGGTTGTCAAGGTCTCTCAGGTTAGCATGCCGGACGGAACAGCTAACTTGACATTGGTGGTCCAGTAAGGGATGTTTCGGTTCACTGTCGAGAGAGATAAGAAAAAAAAAAACCCTCCCCGACGAGATTGTAGGCGTTTGATCTCGTTTCGGTGTAAATTGTAGAGAATTGAACTTGCCAAGGCAGAATGGGGATTTCTCAGGCCACCGTAATTGCGTAGCCCGCAACGCATCGTATAAATCCACTGCCCCAGCAAGCGCGCCACAAACACCCAGCTTACGACACCTTCGGCCCATCGCACCTCATGTTAACTCTCATTCTCAATTTACACGTATATTCTCTTTAGCCGTGTCTATTAAATTACATAAAAGCTCTATGCTAGGTTGTGTATTCAACTCTGATAAACCATGGCACGCATGGCTCAACGTGTGTGTATACTGTGCACAATGAAGGCTTCTCTATCTTCTCATGAATCGCAAACCTCAAAAGTTTGGTCAGTTCCTCAAGACTCCGTTTTGGAACTAGTTCCATGCCTTGGAAAAATTGGCCAAGATGAACTGTTAGGGATACAATGCTGATGCTCTAAATCAACTGACAGTAGAAAAGAAAAGGAGAACCATGCTGGCGGAGCGGGCCAAATACAATTATCTGCGGTTGAAGTTCAAGAACTTGCTCTACTCAGGACGTTAGTGTCTGTCTGTTTCAAAGGTATTTCTAGTCAAAGGCGAGGGAAAATACTTACCGCCATGAAAAGGACGATCAAGTTGCTGCCGACAAAAGCCAAAAAGACACCGAGGTCCCTCCAGCGGTTGTCAAAGTTCAGCCCCAGAGGCTTGTAAAACTCGTCTCCAACCTTGTACGCGCAGTACTCGCAGCTCGATGTGTCGTTGTTGGCCAGGTAGCCCGGGCCACCGTTGTCGAAGAACGGCTGCATGTACTGGCCACACGTCTGACCTTGGGGTGCGGTGAAGGGGTTGAACTCGACAGAAGAGCAGGCGACCTTGAGGTCGTGCAGAGCGGTGACCACCATGCCGCCAATGAGGCGCGTAAAGGGGTCGAGCTGGTAGAGCCAAGCGCGCCAGAAGCCGGGCATCTGCGGGGCGGGGATGGTAACGCCGCAGAAGAGCGCAAAGGTGATCATGATGAAGGGGTCGAACTGCGAGGAGATGAAGGGGCTGGGTGTCAGGGAGGCGAGGGCCTGGCCGAGGGAGACAGAGAAGAGCTCGGTGATGAGGATCATGAAGAACTGGTAGCCCGAGCGGGAGGAGTCGGACTGGAAGCCAGGCATGTAGTACAATGGCAGGAAGAAGGCGACGGAGCACATGATGGAGTAGGGCAGCTCGGCGATGGTGATGGCAGCGGCGAAGGTCAACGGGTTGTACATCTTGGAGGAGCTCTCGCGGAAGAAGAGGGCGCGCTTGATGTGGAACATGACCTCGACCTGGCTGATGATCAAAGCGGGCAGGACCGTGACTTGGAACATGACGAAGACCTTGTACTGGAGCGAGCTGCGGCTCGAGTCGAGGTTCAAGTAGGTGAGACCGGTGATGAGGGCGACGACGACGTGGTTAAAGAGGCGGGTGAAGAGGTAGTTGGGGCTGCGCCAGAAGCTGAGATTCATGCGCTTCACGACGACCTTGAGCTGGTGCAGCTGCGGGCTGGCATACTCCTTCTCCAAGTCGTGGTTGACGGTCCGGCCGGCGGCCGTGCGCTGCTCTTTGAGCTGGCCGATGGTGTCCTTGACATTGGCGAGCTCGGCGCTGTCGTCCCAGATGTCGGCCCAGTCCTTGTTTCCGACGCGGGGCGCGGATCCGGCTCCGATAGCCTCGAGCATGTACTCGGCGACGTTGTCGGTGGGCTTGGCGATGGCGCCGTGGCGCTTGAGGTAGTCTCGCAGAACGACTGCATCCTGGCCAATGTCTCCAAAGTATACGGTGCGGCCACCTCTCTGGAGGAGCAAAAGACGGTCAAAGTTCTCAAACAGGGCAGCGTTGGGTTGATGGATGGTGCAGAGAATGGCCTGTCCAGCAGCGGCCAGCTTCTTGAGGAAACGAACAATGTTGAAGGCGCTCTGGCTGTCGAGACCGGAAGTGGGCTCGTCTAGGAAGAGAAGGAGCTCAGGCTTGGCGGCTAACTCGACACCGATGGTGACACGCTTGCGCTGCTCGACAGTCAGACCGAACTCGGGGGAACCAATGATGCAGTCGGCGATGTGCTCCATCTCCAAGAGGGCAATAATCTCCTCAACGTATGAGTAGCGCTCGGCGATAGGAGTCTCGTAGGGCTGGCGAAGAAGGGCGGAGAAGCGGAGGGCCTCGCGAACGGTCTGGGTCGGGTCGTGGAGATCGAGCTGCTCGGCGTAAGAGGTACTGCGCTGGAACTGCTTTCCGGGCTTGGAGCCGTCGACAAGGACGTCACCGTGGATGACACCAATATTCTTGCGAGACGCGAGCACGTCGAGGAGGGTGGTCTTGCCGGCACCGGACGCTCCCATCAAAGCTGTGAGTTGGCCGGGCTTGACATATCCGTAAACGTTGTTAAGCAGGCGACGAGTTCCGCCGGCGACGGGAACATCGTAGTTGAGGTCCTCCCAAGTCAAGACGCTTTCCGAGTTGATGGTCAAGTCAGAGCCTTCTTGATTGTCGCCGCGGCGCTTCGCAGCTTTCTTCTCCAATAACGCCTCGTTGAGCTTCTTGCGCTCCTCGTTGGGCTTCTGGTAGACCTTGGCCGAACTACCATCATTTCCAAAGTTGACGAGTTCACCGAGGGTGACGTTCATGATGAGAAAGAAGACGATGAGAGCCAGGATGATACCCCAGTTGCGCCACAAATCGCCCTTAATGTAGTTGTATCCAGCCGCGATGTACGCTGAGCCATCGACGAGGGTAGTGCCCGCAGTGGAGCCAGCCAGCGTACAAACTTGGTGGTTGATGTCGCCGTAACCAGGCCCAGACGGGATAAGCGACTCGCTGGAACAGGTGAGTTTCAAACGGCTGAACTCGTTCTCCATCATGGCACTGAAAGCAAGACCCAACGCATTGATCCAGTAGATCCAGCGGATCCAGACCTTCTCAGACTGGTACTGGATGAGATATCCAGAGGTCGTGACGAAGAAGGTGATGATGATGACGGCAAACTTGATGGCATAATCAAAGTCGGGGCTGATGCAACCAATGATACGGAAGAAGAGCGTCATGGCGATGTTTCCAGAGAGAATCATGAGGTAAAAGGTGAAGAAAGCCCCGGCATCGCGGACAAGTCCAGACATAAAGTAGACAATGATCGAGAAGACCATGATTCGACTTGCTGCGAAGGCCTGGTCGACGATGATTTGGGCGATCCACAAAGCTGACGGACGATGAAATGCATACGCCTTGTGCTTGTTGACAATCGCACGCCCTGTCATGGTACCTGCTAGCTCGGAGAAGGCTTCAAAGGCATTGAACAGGAGCGAGATGAACATGAGACCACCCTTGCTGAAGGCGCTGGCGGAAGTCGAACCGAGGCGGAAGAAGAGGGTACCGAGGACGACAGCAATAACGATGGAGCGGAACCAGGAGAGGAATAGAGAGAGGCGGTCCTGAAGCTTCAGGACGAATTGGCGCTTCATAAGCGCGTGGACCTGCAGGTGGAAACCGACGGCGTAGACTGAGCGCTTCGAAGAGCCACGCTTGGCCTCCTTGACGGCGACCTGGAAATCGTCGTGCTTCTCAGTCTCCTGTGCAAGCCTGGCCTTGTACTCCTCCATCTCGCTGTCGATCTGCTTCTGGAACTTGGAGGTCTTGAAGGCCTCCGCGAGGGACTCGGGGCTGTGAGGCGCGTTCTCGGGTGAGCGGCCTGGGGCGTACTCGCGCTCAAAGTCGTCGGTGCATCCAGTCACGTAGTCGGGCGTGGTCTGTCTGGGTCGGGGCGCAAAACCGAGACCCTCGAAGTAGGCGCGAGCCTCCTTGGCGGGGCCGAGATAGACTTGCTTTCCGGCGTCGATGACCAAGACCTTGTCGAAGAGGTTGTAGATGTTCTCGGAGGCTTGGTACAAAGACACAAAAGTGGTGGTCTGGTACAAGTTCGTCTGCACACGAAGAGACTTGACAAAGTCAAGCGCGGTACTGGCATCCAGACCACGGGTACTGTTGTCCCAAGAGAGAACACATGCGTTGGTAATCATCATTTCTGCAATCGACACACGCTTTCTCTCACCACCAGAGACACCGCGCACAAAGGCGTCGCCGACGACAGTGTGGCGGGTGTGCTCAATGTTGAACATCTTGAGAAGAGTGGAGATGACCTGCTCCTTGAAGTGGTTCTTGGACATGCCGGCGGGACGCTTGGCGGGGACCTTGGTGTCGAGAGCAAAACCCAGCGTCTGCTCGACGGTGAGAGTCGAGTGGTGGATGTCGTCCTCCTGGTTGTAGACGGCTTCACCTCGGTACTGCTTGAACTCATCGGCGGTGAATCGTCCATACAGCACATCGCCAGTGACACTGGTGTAGCCAGCGCGCCAGTTGGCAATGGTTTTGAGGAATGTGGTGCAGCCAGAGCCAGGCTTGCCCAAGACCAAGACCATCTCACCTGGCTTGCAGACACCCTTGAAGTTGTCCAGCAGAGTAGCCTCCACACCCTTCTTGTTCAAGCCCAACAAGTTCATGACGGGGGTGACATAGTCGACGAAGTTGACGAAAGCATCGGGGAATGTCTGAACGTAGTTGGTGGTGCCGCCCATGCCCTTGACCGTGAGTCCGTCCCAATATGCGCCGATGTGCTTGGGTCTAATGCCGGCTTCGCGCTCGGCCTCCACGCCGCCGCGCAGGACAGCTTCCAGGTCAAATTGCTCACCGTCTGTCTCAGACGAAGGGGTGGCTGAGTTAACATTGGCAATGGCCTTTTCGACATCTTCAGACTTCCTGTGGCTGTTGCGACTGTTCACTCTGCTGGCGCGAGAATGACCAGACAGTTCGCGCTGGAGCTCTGCAAACTCGGCCTCGGCCTGGTGAACCGAGATACCGGCGTGGATCGCGGTGAAGCCATCAGGGTTGGTGCGGCGAGCTTCCTCTCTTTGCTGCTCAGAATCAGCGGCGGTCGAGGTCGAGGATCGCGGGGCCGGATTGGAGTCGGCCATATTCTTCTCGTTGATGGCGGGGCTGCGTCCTGCGACGGCCTGTTCTGTCTTTTCAGAGTCCTGGTCCGCCATTGGACCGTTGGGCTGATGTTTGAGTGGGGAAGAGTCGTTGTCCACCGCGATACAGGTTTGTGTGTACGGCGACTGAGTGAACTAGTATTTGTCTCGCGAAACGGCGGGCGAGTGAGAGGTCAAGCCCCTTATTAAGAGGTGACGATGATCCCAGGCGACCGGAAAGTGGCGGTGGCTGGCCCGTGCCGGCGAGACGAAAAGCGTTGGAGTGGAGGTACGGCGAGAGAGGTACCGTAGGGATGATGATAAAAGAGAGAAGAATGGGAAGAGTTAGGCGGCAACGTGTCGTGTTAAAGGGGATGGATTAAGAGATGAAAGGACTGGAGGGGTGCTAAGAGCGGGTAGAGAGAGAGAGAGAGAGCGTGCGTGTCAGAGATGCGCTTCGGACCAAGACGCGGTCATTCGGCGGAGGAACAGACTATTCCCAGTGACCATCGACCCGAGGACGAGTTGATGGGGAAGAAATGGGAAAAGTAAAAGAAGCTTCTTGCAAGTGTGCCCGTCACAAGAGGAGGGGAACGGAGCAACCAACCGCTGGGTCAGTTATGGGGGGGAAAAAACAAATAGAGAGGGTCCTGGGGCTGCCCAGACAGTTTGTCGGATCGACTTCGGGAGCCAAACAGAAAACTATTACCAATCAAGGATGATGGAAGATGAGTGACAATTAAATCGGAGTTGGTTTCCGGATGTAGGACGTCTTAAGCCCGGAGCGGGCAGCCGGCAGCTACTGCGAAGTAGGTACGGACCAGTCATGGACGATGTTAGGCATTTAGGAGGTAGGTATCATTGCACGCATTGTAAGGGGGAGGCTACCTTCTACTTGCTAGGTATCCGTGTCTTGGGGGGAAGAAGAGAGTATGTTGTGGGCGTATACATGGGAATTGGTGGTGTTGAGAGTGTGATGGGGTGGGATATGTAGGTACCGTATACCGTATCCACGTCCAGTTGAGAAAGTGCGTACCTACTTTGCTCCAGGAAAAGCGTGCAGATGTGACTGCGATGCAGCGTGGTGGAGGCGGATGGGAGGACCCGCAGCTGTTAAATTGTCAGGGAGACCCTCGCCCAGACCATACGGATACCTACTAGGCCCGGATACTATAGTAGACGCTCCCTGGTCAGCGTCGAGGTGGGGGTACGACTGTGTGGATCATCCTTACCCTTGGCATAGAGAGCATGTAGATGATGAGCCATCCTGAGCCACCTTGATACCTGGGAGGTCACAGACCAAACGTTGGGAGGGCGATCAGGGAGTCAAAGACGGCAATGGTTGCACCGTCCTGTGAAGCTCTTGACTGCCGCGGTTTGTACCCCAAGACATCTTGGACAGACAGGTGTCCCCGATCTTGGACGAAGAGGAGCGGATCAGCTGTGGCATGAGATGGGATGATGAGTGTCCGTGTGCAGCCAGAGGTGTGTAATGCAACTCTGAGATCTAGCCGGCGCGGGAGTCGAACACTATCTTTGGTCAGACTATCTTGGCATTCTGACCACCCAAAATGGAGGGATGGCTACACGTACCGACAAGACTGAGGAGAACACACGTTAGCGGCATCCAATTCGTTGAGAGATTCTGATTACACACAGTGACGCAGTAGACATAATCGGTTCTGAGAAGGTATCAGTAAGTAGAGACCAGACTGAACAACAGCTACCTGCCCGTCACGGAGGTGTCCAAGCAGATCCATGGGCCCGGATGCATGTTCGCTGACCCTTGATGCAGTGAGAAGAACCAAAGAAAGATGAAAATAGACAGAAACAGAAATGGTGGATACCAGCGGTGTTGAAACGCAGCTATCTAGTGCCAGCCCGATGGTCGTCAATGATAGAGGTCAGATAGGCGTGGCACAGTGTTACACGCTACAAAACTCCGAGAGCGAGGTGCGCAGCAAGCCAAAGGAAACAAGAAAACAAATGCTGCAGGTTGTGTTGCGATGGCAATGCCGCAGCAATGGACAGAGCGAGGAAATCGAGGGAGGGCGGAGCCACACGAGAGAGAGCAGCTCTAGTCTACTACGTAGTAAGGTACCTTAGCCTCCAGCGCCGCGCGCCTGCGCTGCACGTTGCGTTGTCTGCGGCCGGCGTAAAAAGGCGGCAATACCAGGACCAGGGGTGGGACCCGCTTTCCCTGAACCTGGGGGGGGCAAGGGGGGATTCTTTCCCTGGACTTTTGAGGTGGTTCCTTTTTTTTATTTCTTTTTTCACGTTCCTTCCGCATTCTCACAACCCGCCTGCAGGCTAAGGGCTGCTCATTGGCCAGTCAAACCGTCTGAAATCCGCCCTTGTCAGGAGTGTGGGGCCTGGCACTCGGTTTCGAGTCATCCGGCAAAAGGAGGAGAAAAGGGCTATACTATCTTGTTTTGGGTTAGTGCTGCTGAATCAGCTCCTTCCTTCCTCTAACGGCGAGCCAACGAGAGGCAGGTGCTGTCCTGGTTTGGAGGGGCTCTGTCCGAATCTGCATTTCTCGTCTCCAACCGCGAACCGTCTCCTGCCATCACGACCATCCCAACGCGTCCCTAACTCCATGGATCTTACTCCTCAGTCAACACTCATCATCGCCAACAGTCCTTTTCTTTCCATTCAATTTTCGTCCCATTACTTGATTTCTCTCCGCCCCGTCAGATATCCACTATCCAACATTTTCACACCCGGCGACACCGCCGGGTTTTCCACCACGGACTTCCCGCCACGCTCCCCCAGTCTTCGGCTAGCCTCCCATCAGTCAAACAAGCATATCTGAACCATTGTTCATCTCCATCGCACATCTGGCCTGCAGATCTGAGAGGCCCTATGCGACAAAGGATAGAGGATCCTCCCTTTTCTGGCTACCAATCCAACTAATTTACCCACCCATTGTTGATGGTCTGGCTGGCAGGGGCATCCATGTGCCAAATTACATGCGGATTACAACCGGCAGTCTGGCATCTGCGAGCCCATTGTGGATTCTTGGCCTTGCTGACCCCTTACCTAAGCCTGTCGAATCGATTACCTAGTCTTGCCCTCTGATCGCAACCAAGCTGAAGTTTTGGGGACGACAGCTAGAGAGAAAAAAAAGTCGTCAAAAGTCGATGTGGATCGCCCCCCCCCCCCCCCCCCCCCCCGCCCCCCCCCCCCCCTCCCCACCCCACCCCCGCCCACCCCCCCCCCCCCCCCGCCCGCGTTGTTCGTGTTGTGTCTGTCCGCCCCGCCTCCCCGCCGGCTCACTGCGGAGATGGCCTCCCCGCGCGCCCCCGCCCCCCCCCTCCCAGCATTCCACCGCCGCCTTCGTCCGCCGCAACGGAGGTCCTTTTGGACGTTGGATCAGTCCCGGGCTTCCATCAACGTTGACGCTAATGGGATTTCCTATTCGCGGCCCTGCCATCTCCTCCGGCATTTTTGCGTAGAACAATTCCTGCTCGATCGTCCGCCCCCGGCTGATCAAGCAATCGACGCACCCCTGGACATCGTTCATCGCCAAGCCCGTCCTCCAATGAGTCACCATGAGTCCATGACAGCTGCAAGCAAGAAACAGGAAAGCGTCCAAGGGACAGAACGACACAAAAGAGTTGCTGCGAGTAATTGAACCCCAGCGACAAGCCACTATACGACAAACGCACGCTCACGGCTCACCTTATCGGAGACTTTCCTCTGCTAAATTAGTGTCTCGCCGCCTTCCGGGCGCCCTCCCGACGCAAGTCACCCACCTGATGGGCATTTCCGTCCAACCTGATGCTGCAGCTACCCCTCGAGTCTCGGCGGCAATCGGCCGAAGACTCGGCGAGGGTACTCTTTAGTCTGTACTTTCTGTGTCTCTTTCGCAGGGCAGTGAAAGGAAAGACACGACCAGGAGGCGCTACCGCTACCCTGGCCCCCGACTTTTCAAGACTGATGAGAAATGCACAACTCAACGCCAGACACCTCACGTCGTGAAGACCAGCCAAGGCCCGCTAACTACACATTGAAAAAAAAGTCCGTCCGTCTTGTGTCAGCGAGAGCCTTGCCGAGGACTTTCGCGTGACGCACCGCGCGCATTGCACGCAAGCATATGGCCTATTTCGCCCTAACCACGCCCACACCAGCTTGATCGGCTCGGCTCCAAGTGCCGCGACGCGAAACATGAACGCGAAAGCCAACTCAACCACCCAACACTCGGTGCAACATGCAGCACGCGCCAGGCTCTAAGGTTCTAAGCTTATGCGGCGCTGCTTCATCCTCATTCGTGCTTCATTGTTCTCCCCCACCCCCGAACAAACGACGTCGATTCGCTCGCGAGTCCACAGTGGCAGCATGATGCCAGCATCGACAGCGTGGCGTTTCTTTCCGACTTCAGACTGGCCCTCCTGCAAGAGAAACGATCGTTCGAACTTTTAACAGACCGCCTTGTCCCTGACGACTGCTAATTGCATGCCGAAAGAGTCACCTAGAGAATTCTGCCGGATGCTGACAGCCAAGACCTCAGACAGAGTTTCCTCCAATAGCCCTCTTTTTCTTTTTCTTAGTCATCCAGTCGACTCTCGAGGTGACCGACGCCTGCATTAGTTTTCCAGAAGCTTCAGAGACATGTTATCCCTGTCGTGGAGGCACTATCGGCGAGCTAACGGCTAATTCTCGGGTCTCGACCGCGACACGGTACGGGAGTTTTTGCAAATTGCTCGGTCGGATCCGACTCGGTCTGCCGAAAGAGGCAACATGCGGGGGCGATCTACGTCCACGATCCCTCCATCCAAAACGTTGTCGTCAATCGGCCAAAAAGTCTAATTCCGCGAGCTGCAAGCGACGATTTCCGTCTCGTCCAAACACTCGACATGCAATGGCAGGGTCTATTCCCATGCTTTACCATCTTTCGGCTCCCCCATTGACCACTCAGACTTTACAGTCTAAGCGGAGATTATCAATCGTTGGATGAGGCGTTCTTGTTGGTCCGATGTAGTTGAACGTCGACTTACTTTAGGTGTCAGTTGGTCAGCCACACACACACACACACACACACACACACACACACACATAGTCACCTAAAGTCGCAAATGAGTTGCTGAATCCGGTAATGGGTTCGCAAGGAGCATCTAGGTGAGCGAAACACTCATAAGCCTATTTCCATTGTGATGAGCACACTTTCGGGTCTCTCAAGAGACCGCTGGGCCGCGGCGCGATGAAGCGTTGTGAATATGAGCAAGCGCGCAAGGTATAATGATGAGAGGATATGTGACTTCTAGCAACGAAATCCCTACCCTAAGGTACTGTACTTCAGTAGTCGTTGCTTCACCAAGTCGCCCGGCCAAGTAACAAGAACACTCGCCTCCCAGCTTACCTCATACAGCTCCCCATTTCCCACGTACTTTCCACAGTGTGACTTATAAACTGCGTTTCGAACGCACCGAAATAGACAGCCTACGTCGTGTAAGTGCTAATTCCATCGATTCGCCAGCATGATATTGGTTGGACACGAGGAAATAATGAACGGGGCCCTTGACCGCGGCTTGTAGAATATTAAAAACCTTTCATCAAAAAGACCCTGTGGATCTTTGGAACCGTTTTGATCGTGACCTAGTCAACCTACCCGGCGTAGAAACAGCACCGATCATATCATAGCTAGGGCGGGAACACAGCGCGTTCTGTTTGGCTGGCTGGGTATCAGTTGGTCTTTCCTATTGAGTAATGATTTTGCTCTCTTCCGCACATTTTCTTCTTTGTTTGTGCCCCCCATCTGACACATTACACCTCTTTCTGCTTCTCAGACTGCCTTTCAGCGAATTTTCCGCCTCTCAATAATGACTTCTCTAATTCTGGGTTGATTCAAGTGAGCCAGCCGCTGCCAGGAGACTCTTTTAGACTTATTTCAACGTCTACAGGCACAATGATTGTCTCTATGAAAATATGTTCGACTCAAGGATTTCCGAGCAAGGCAAAGACGTTCATCGTTGTCACTGAATGTACCGGTACGTCGATAACAACGACCACTTGTCGGTTATTATGGTTCCCTTCAACAAGAAAACCACGCATCCTTAATGGTTGCCGTTCTCTTGGCTTATGCGCTTTAGTTCCTATGGGCGGGCGGAAGGGATGAAGGTAGGCAATGGTTACCAACAGTGTTCAAAACCGCGTCTAGGAGCGCTGGAATTGATTAGAATTTGCTGTTGAAATGAAGCCGCTGTCGCTGCCGCTGCCGCCGCCGACAATGGCGGCGCCATATTTTCGGCTTGGCATGTGAGAATCGGCCATTTGAAGAGTGAATAAATCCTTTTGCGGTGATTTTATTGAAAGTCTGAGCCATAGAATGGTGGGATTTCTTATCAACCACAAAGATTAGCAATTATTTGGGTCCTCCTTAATGCAAGACGTGTAGGCCAAACACAAGTCTACCAAGGTGCTTCTGAGGCAGTGGTCAACATTCGCTTTCAGGAAGCTCTGCCAAGAGTGTCGAAGTGACATTATTCACAAAATTAAATTCAGAAGGCATACAACAACATTACATGGCGCCTCACAGGGCATTTTGCAAACTCGGTGACCCTAGTGTTCACTCTCATGACTGTTATAAGATGCAACCCTGATTTTACTTTCTCCAGAGATGGGGTCGTCAAATAATAATCTTAGCTTATTTTTGACTGCAGTACGAAGCATCTAATTTACCTCCTGTAGATGCTATACAAAGAGATGAAAGTATCGATTGCCGTGTGTTGCATCATGCGCCTTGAAGCTCGCATCAAGGAACAGATCCAGCAGTCCATCAACCGCTCGAGACCTTTTTGCGTGTTTCTTCAGTTACCCAAAACGAAAAGAACCAATCCATGATAACTATTAGCTATTCAGATGGTGATGTTTTCCGTTAACAGACAATGGGACCTCTAGAAATCAAGAGTCCAATTCCCCAAACCCAAGATAGTCAACTTTAAACTCCTCCTCCCGCCTTTTGATCATCATAACCGCCGTCGGATTTACATTCGCAGAGGTACCAACAATCACAAGGCCTACGACGTTGCCCGGCACCAGCTTCCAGTCGTAGTTCCATAACAGGTGACACAGCGCCAGCTTGACCTTGTTGGAGGCGAAGGACCGACCAGGGCACATGTGAAGTCCGTGGCCGAAGCCCAGGTGGTCGGGACTCGGCGTCACAAGCTGCGCCGCCGGGCTGCTCGCGCATGCGCCTGAACCGGTGTATGTCGTACTTTCTGCGGTGTTTGTATAGTTTCAGGTCGATTGAGCCGTAGCCGTCGACGGAGATTGTCTGGCCGCGGCGAATGGTGATGTCTTGTTTGGGGAGGGAGACGTCTTTCGCGGCGAGGTGGCGCGTCAAGAGCTGCATGCCGGTTTTGAAGAATTCATCTGAGCTAGGAATGTTGGTCGAAACCAACTCAGTCGTGGTTGAAAGAGCAGTTTTGTCAGAAATCATCCAACCTCAACTTCCACGGACTGGACCTCTCTCAGTAAACAACCCGCGATTGCTTGGAAGAACCTTCCAAGAGCGACTATATGGAGGCCATCCCTGATCAGCTCAGGTTGACGAAAATTACGTCGACTCCGAATTCCATACCAAGTCATGAGATCAGTCTTATCGAACAGCTCCTAGCAAGATCTTCAACCTATCCATGGCTATTCCCATCTGACTCCAGGCAGGAGAACAAATATTGCGTCCTTCTCATTTGCCACAGCGTATATCACATATCGGGAGCCGCTTCCAAAGCCGAATAGCGAGATGCAGTTTCCGCACGGCGACGCTATCATGAGATTGGGGCGGAATTCAGACGAACTGACATCAACCGATCCGACGAACACACGAACATCAGCTCCACAACTGCGTCTTTCTACAGCCCTTTTGTCTCACAGATTTTCCATCGAAGTCAATGGAGAGCATCAATCCAGAAGTCTGAATGCATCCATTGTTTCACTACGTTGCTAAGCGGTTGGAGACGAAAGTCTTGACCAGTCAGCAGCGAAATTCGTGATATTGAGGCACTCTCACTTCTTGCTTGGGAAATGGTGACAGAAACTTCGTACAGCTCCGGAATTTTCAAAACCTCTCAACCTCATGTTGTCTTTGCCATGTTTAAGAGCACTACCTATTTTCACAACATACACCCTTGACGCTGAGATGTGGAAACAGCATTAATATCAGCCAATACAAGCGCGAGCGAGGTTAAGCAGATCCAATGAGATTTTCTACTCTCCATGGATAGACGAATTTCCAAAAATCATCTAGGGCGAGTCTTTCAAGACCGAGTTCCGTGTAGTAGCTACGTGTACGGTCACTGTCGCTGATAACCGTCGCGGAGAGTTGCAGCAAAGTGCCAAGTCTACAGTCTAGGGGAAGCCGGCAGTCAACCCATCAAGACCCAGCAAGACAGATCTGATGTATCAAACCCTGGGATACTCCGACTCCGTAACTAACGAACCGCCGCTCGTACGTCGTGTTCGTACCTCGGGTTCCGCACCACAGTTCATATGGGGCGAAAGCGAGCGAATCAGGCAATCCGGGGTATTATGGGTGGATAGAGGGTTACTCCGCTACGATTAAGTTATATCGTGAGATATACGAGCGGCTCTTCCCGAGCCTCCCGTTGGCATGTAAAAGTGTGGCTACGACGACTCAGCCTAGTGGGGGGGGACCACTACCTACTTGTCCCAGCACGTTCGCGCTGCAGCTTTGTGACGAAACCTTAATGCTGCGGGAGATTTCTCAGCTACGTCTACTCGTGAAGTCACACGTGCCCGGATAGGCCGGGGACAATTAGTCTGGGCAAGGGTTGTAAAACAGGGGCTTTTCACTCTACTCCAGTCCGGCGTTCGAGGAGTCTATTGGTCATTATGATCTGTGATCCACAAACCCGTCAGGCTTAGTCTCGTTGGGGTAAATAAGGCAGCTATCGGCTGAAGTTCCAGGAGAAAGCAGAAGGCTTGAGTAAAATTGGCATTTTGAAACTACCTAGTTTTGATGAGAAGGGCTGGATTCCAGAAATGCAGCTGACATATCCTCATTGTCGTACTTTGCTGTCTCATTTTATCGTTGTCTCTCAACTTTTGTTCCAAGCACCTCTCAAGTCTCTTGGTCTCTTGAGCCTGCTCGTATACAATTTTAATATTGACGGTCATCCTCGTCATTCCTATCCATTGGTGTCTATTCTGAAGAATAGATACCCAAGAACGACAAGGGGCTGGGACAGGAGAAGCAGTAACGTGAGAGATAGTACAGGAGCAAACGGGAGCGAGGGTTTAGCGTGATCTCAAATAAGACATGAGCCGAGATCGCGCACGCGTTCGACCTCGAGACAAGTTTCTAGGTCCGGCCTGGAATTCCTAATGGCGAAATACAAAGACCACTCTTTGGATGTCCCAAATACGTCATCAACCACAAAGATTCGTATATTAAACGCGACTATTAGCTTTCTCACTCAGTCGTCGAACAGAAGCAGTAAGTTCCACATAGATTGTCCTCTGCCCTTATAGCGCGTTCGTGATTCTGACCAAGACTCTCGTTGCGCAGGATGATCCGGATCCTGTTGATGGTCCCCGTCTATAACATCACCTGCATCGTGAGAATCATCTTCTACAAGAAACAGGCCTAAATCGTAGCCGTCTGCGAGTTCTCCGAGTCCCTGGTCATCACGGCCTTCTTCTTGCTGCTGTGCCAGCTGCTGCACCCCGACTTGAATACATTACGCCGGGTTTTCACCTTGGTCGAACCGAAGCCCGGGATCAACCCCACCCGCCTTCTCTTCAAGCACGTGGTAAGAAACAAAAGGGGAAGGACTGCGGACAGGCTAAAGTGGTTTAACGTGAATGACTGCGTTTCGCAAATTAGATACTTTATAGGAAAGCCAGGGTCTGGCCGTGTCTTTCCAGATCATTTGGTTCGGCGTTTTTCAGTCCTACACCGTCGAGTTCTTTGCCGCTTTTACCAAGTGCATAATGGAAGTGGCGGATGTGTATGGCAAAGAATCGAAGGATCCTGGCCATGTTAAAATCTGGGTTATCGAGGAGCCCACGAAAGCAATGGCAATCAGGAAGCTTTGAAGACTAAGATAACAGCAATGCCCAGGTCATGTTCATTGAGATTCTGTCGCCCATCACGGCCATGCTGTGCCTCATACAATCCTGTCACCAGGCCTCAGAAGAAATGGCCCAGAGTCGGTCGACCTCTGCTCAAGTTCCTTGCTATCCAAATGGTCGTGTTTCTCTCCTATTTCCAAGCCGTAAACGCAACCGTTCTGCCCGGATAACTATATCAGCAGCCTTTCCCAGTACCCAATTATGGTACCATATGCTGACGCTGAAACGACACCAGGCCATCTTCGAGCTCCTCACCTGCGACGGCGTACATCTTGCACCCTTCGTGGGCAGTCGGGATTCCCAACAAGCTCCTCTGCTTCAAGCTGGCATCCCTAGCGATTTGACACCTCTAGAATCACCCTTACGCCATATGCAAAGATCCAGCTCTGTCAAAGAACGGAATCAAAGCCAGCGATGAAGGAGGCGAAGGAATCGACCAGGGCTCCGCGACGCGACTCATATCGGCAAGACGTCGAGAGGTGTAGCCCCAGCAGCCGAAGACTGTTTCTAGAGGGCAAGATTCAGACAGCGTCTGGAACGCCGCAGGCGGCTCTCAATCGGCCGATGGGATGAGTATTCGCACCCAGGAATTCCAATGGTGAGCCTTGAAGGATGCGCTCAACTTCGTAGACATCATCCGGGCAGAAAGGTCACGGTGGCTGATCGTCGAACCGCAAAAGTCTGCCGGGGCTTCTAAAGCCGGCGGAGGGCAGAAACAAAGCGAGAATGGCGTAGAGTAATACATGGAGAGGGCGCGAACGGACGACCTCTCTGAGGCACTGAATAAGGTGAGCCAGAACAGCCAGGTGCATTGCAGATGAATGACACGACTAGATTGGCAAGTCAGACAGATCCTAGCGGCTACGTAGGAATGGCACTGTCCGCCAATAGACCGAGAAAACCACCTTATTCGTTGCTTGCGATCTCTTCTGGCTAATGATTGTCTTGCTCGTCTGTCCACACTCCAAGCACCGCAAATCTAGGACTCACATAATCACATTACGATAAAAGTCATATATCTAGCCTGACAAGTCAAAGACACCCCATCTAGTGCAACACAAAAACAGTCCAACCAATCTTTGAACGCATAGGCCTTGTCAAATCGTCTAAATACCGCCCACCTCCGGGCTCTTACAACATACTTCCCATTTCATGCAGCCCCAAAGACGCCCACTTGCTCCACCGCGCGTAAGCCCTCGCCCATTTTATCTCCCCTCAATGAGTCAATAGGCCCATTCCCGAGCGGAGCTGCTAACCAAGCTTCCTCCCCCCCACCAAGGGAACACTCGAAAGCTTCAATTCGCCCAGATCGTCTAGTTGGTTAGGATGATACGTTGTGGTTCTTCTATACAGCGATCCGTGTTGACGGCGGTTCGAATCCGCCTCTGGGCAATTACCGAGGACTGATCACCGCGATCTGTTCGCTTTTGGATGAAGCTCAAACTTTTGCAGATTGAAATTGGTGGGTGGAAGGGAGAGTGCGGTGCTGTTGCTGCTGCATTGTGGGAGGCACCTTCATAGGAAAAGTCAGGCCGAACATCGGAGAAGCGAGCTGGTTGGTTGGCTGCTTGGGATGGAGAAACAAGGCGCAGGAGCATTGAACCTGTTGTTAGTCGAGAGGGAGACTTGAACAGTTGCAAAGTGATATAAGTCGGGCAAGGATGTTGTTGTTGTAGCATGCATTCCCAAAGTCGTGGACGCATGACTACCGTCCTAGCCAAAGTTGCGTACTCAGTTGGAAACCCGATCAAGCGCAAGTCGCATTCATCTCGTTTTTTGCTGGAGTAGCAACACGGCGTTTGCATTCTCTAAGGACCTCTTCTCGCCGGTCCAAAGTCCCCGTCTCTCTTCCCCTCTCTTGCCCCATCTCTTATAGTACAGTAGTATTAACACATTCTTTTTTCGCGCAAGCCCCCCTTTTTATCGTCTAACCATGCCAATGCTGGCGGTGCCGTGAGCGCGCCAAAAAATAAAAAGAGATTCCACCTCCTAAAAACGCCATGCCATGCGGAGTCGAGTGAAGTTTGTTCCAATACAGTTTCTTGACCCTCGGGCAGCTCTCTCTCCGGTCAGCAGAGCGCTCTCGGCCTTCCTACCCTCCCATCCCTCCGTGTCGGGTCCGCTCGTACATCGATTCGGTCTGGCCTGGTCCAAGCCCGCCCGGCGTAGAAAAAAAGCTTCGTTATCCGGGTTCGTCAGCATCCTTGTCCTCCTCCTGCTACTGCTTCTGCGGGTGCAGTTCACCGGTCCTTGTAAATCTTGGGCTTGAAACCCTCCTTCGCCTCGGCCTCGACCTCCTCCTTCTCAACGAGCGGGCCAATCTCCTTTTCCAACCTCTCCCGTGCCCGGAGCACCTTGCTCTGCAGGTAGAAGCTGCCGCCCTTCTTGGGGTCGTTTACGTCAAAGAGCTTCTTGAAGCGCTCCATGACCTCGCCGGCATTGGCGTTGGCGCCGTCCTTGCCGGGGGCCTCGACGTCGAGGATCTTGCACGCCTCGTCAAGCGTCATGCCCGAGGCCAGGCTGCCGCCCTTGGAGCTGGCGGGGGCGTTGCCGTTCTTGGCCTGCGCGCGGGCGTACTCGGAGGAGGCTTGCGCCTGCTTGTAGGCGGCGGCGAAGGAGCGGCCGACGATGCGGGTGCCGACGAAGACGACCTGGGTGATGAGGCGGTAGGCCTGCGGTTGCGCATTTCCGCGGTTAGTGAAGTGAGCTTCGCGTTTGGTTTGGAGGTTGTCGAGCTCCGGCGGCGCATCGCGTCGGAGGGGGGCGGAGGGCAGGCGAAAGCTCAGCGACTCACCATGTTTGCTCTATTAGATGGTAGCCTCTGCGCGTAGGGGAAGAGGTATTGTTTATGCAGGCAGGATTGAGATCGATGCTTGGACTGGTCGCACGGTATAGAGGGACCGGGATGCGATGTCGCGCGTGTTCAGTACAGCTTGGCTGGTACGGGGGGGGAGGAAGACCGGATGGGCGTAAGGTGGCTCGTAATACCAAAAAAATCCATCTACGACATGGACATTGCTGACGAGAAATTCCGAGCTTCCAGCGCTTCGGAGGTGCGGGTTTGGCCGTTCGCCGAAAACTTCTTCTCGGCCCTTCCAGGCGTGGTGCTGCGCCACTTCTCCATGCTCAAGCCACAGAGCAGCCGCCAACTGGTGCCATCCAAGTGGACTGTCAAGCTGTCACCCCATCTCGAGTGCCGTCAACAAAGCACGGGTCCGGATTTCGAGTTTGAGTCCATCGTTTAAATGTTCCGCTGTGCTTGGGCCTTTTTTCGACGATCTGATAGTGCTAAAAATATGTTTGAGAACTTTGTTTGCACCTCGATTTTTCCGCGTATCATGATTGTATGACTGGATAAACAGCGCGACTTCCAAGGTGTCCCAGGCCACTGAGCTCACGATGGTTACACCGTCGTCACTAGCGCGAATACCGCAGCGTCAACTGGACCGTCCATTATCACACTTCAATCCACCCAATTTCTGTGTTTTAGCAGCAACACATCCAACCTATGGAAAGCTTGAAGAAGCAAAATGATAAATCCTGCAGATGTGGTTTATTGAAATGAACACGAGGTTTTTGATAGGCAATATGATATGTACTAGTTGGTTTATGTACGCCGCTCTACGGCATTCTAAGTATGTACAGATGAAATATATACGGGATCAAACACTATCTTCAAAGACGTGGGCCCAAGACTTAGGACCAGGTGGTGGTGGCACCAATGGCCTCGCCAGAGGTAGGAATCAAAAAGTTGCTGGCAGCAATCTTGCCGTTGGCCTGGCGCGCGCCCTTGACGAGACTGACATCGACGCTCTTGAAGCTCGAATCGGACCAGGTGGCGCTGCCGTCCCACGAGTTGCTGCTGCTCGTGGTGCCGCTGACGAGCGACGTTTGGCCAGACTTGGCTGTGGTCTTGGAGTTGGAGGCGGCGACGTTGCTCTTGAGCGTCGACTTAGTTGTAATGGTCTGGAAGCCGACGGCGCCGTTGTTGTAGGCCGTGTTGCGGGTGAACTGAAAGTTGCCGGGTTGCTTATTGTCTGTGAAGCCCTTGGCGGCGTTGTTGAAGGCGATGCTGTTGGTAACGACGTGGTTGGCCGAGCCGACATTAGCGGCTGCGCCGCCGCCCAACTTGAAGCCGTTGCCGTCGCCCTGGAAGTCGGTGAAGCCCCAGCGGTTCACGCCATTGCCCCATGAGATGGTATCCATGATGGTGACGGGGGACTTGAACTCCCTGTTGCGTGTTAGTGGTGTTAAGATGAGATGTGGGGCTATGGAGACGTCAAACTCACCAAAGGTCCAGACCATCGTCGACGTTCTCCCAAAGACGAGCGCCCTTTAAAATGTTGCCTGTGCCGGAGCCCTCCTTGCAGGCAAAACCATCGGCGCTCTCACCGTTCTTGCGGGGGTCGCGGTTGCGGTAGGAGTCGAGGTAGATGATCTGGTTGTTGCTCAGGGTGCCCTGAATGTGGAAGCCCGTCTCGTAGTTGTCATGGGTGACGATGCGTTCAAAGTAGTTATTGGATCCGTCACGGAGGTAGACGCCATAGGGACCATTAATGATGGTCAACTTGTAAAACTTCCAGTAGCTGGCCCCTTCGATGTGAAGAACACCGCGGTCGGCATTGGCCAGGGAGGAATCGAGGGCGCCAGGGGTGCCAGGCAAAGCCTCTCCGTCAATGGTCACAGACTCATCGTTATAAGCCGTCAGGGTGTAGGGTTTGGCGGAGGTACCACTCTTGGTGATCTTGATGTTGGTCGTGGGCGAGTACGTGCCGGCACGGAGGTAGATGGTGTCACCAGCAACGGCCTTGTTGACGGCGACCTGGATCGACTTGAGAGGAGCCGCTAGGGTGCCGGCAGCGCTGTCTGAGCCGGCGGGCGCGACGTAGAGATCGGCAGCCAGGACGACCGGCAGGATGGCGATGAGGAACTTGTAGAGACCCATGTTTGCTGCTGAAAGACCAAAGACCAAAGACCAATGAGAAGATAGAGAATGAGTGCCTGCAGCTCTGTAGACTGATTGAGTAGGACCAGCATGTGCCGATTAGCCGGCTACCATCAAGCTTAAATACTATTAACTTCGCATCGTCAACAAGGAGCCCTCGTCTCTGAAAGCTTTCAGTCCACGTCTTGTTGAAAGCAACGCTGTACTGTTCCAGTAAATAGCTGCCATCCAGGCCGTTTCATTCTATTCGCAACCACCAGCGACCCCCTGTTTAATTAGGCTTGAAGGCACACCGTCCTCCCGTTGGTGGAAAACAAACTCCACTGCCGTAGGGTGCCTCATTGATGGAGACTTGGCCTCGAGATAGGATCCATTGACATCTCCGTGGGAGAGAAATCCCGGCAATCGAAAGATTCCCAGGTCCGCATGAACGAGGGATTCCCTGGGCTGACTGGGGATGCGGTCGAGGTGTTGAAGAACGTAATATGCGCTTATGAGCCACAAAGGGGTAAGTACACCCAACGGAAAAGCTGCTTGCGCCATACTTGGAGATCCTCGAACCCTCGACCGGAGAATCTCAGTCCACCATCTCTCGGAGAGCAACCGTACACGGAATTCATGGAACGTTGACTAGGGCTTTAAATCGTATTGAGCAGGCACACGACTCAGTCGAGCAATTGGACGATGCACAATGGTCGGCTTTTCGAACGAAAAGTGCCCGAGAATAGAATACCTATTCATTGATGAGAGTGAGCATGGTGTAATGAGATGAAAACGATGAGAAGTTGTCCATGTTGGCGAGCACACGTCTCTGACCTCGCGATGTTGTACAGATTTCTGCGTGGGCTGAGTGGAGTTGACAGTCCACTAAGGTACCGTGATGCTTGGCGGAGTCACCTCGTGGCCAGCTACCGGTGGTCCGGTGCTTTGGGTAGTGTAGATAGGGGGCTCCAGTGAACAGAGTGAAGGGCAGAATAAAACTGCCGCAATCTGCCCGTATGATCGGTCGGTGATTGGGTGGTGGATTGGCTCAAGAAGCGTCCATCCCCGGAAAAAACATCCTTGGCACAAGTGCTTGCCTGACCTGGCAGGCAGAAATTTGGGCTTTGTTTGACGCTAGATGCAAGAGGAATCCGCTGCCGTTGCTCGCTCTCTGAGAGCAAGCATTTGCTGAAATTCATGCCTGCAGGAGAAGAGGGAGTATTGCGTGACGTCCAAAATATCACATGCGGATGATGGCGTGATTTAGCGGCTTATGCATGGCTTTTGGTGTAGTTCGTCTCATGTTGCTGCTGATGCATAGCATGTTGATGAAATACGCGTTTATTAGAACTGGAGAACTGGGGAACTGCAAATGCCGGTCAAGGGTCATCATGAAAGGTCCGAGTGACAGAGGGGACTACTTGAGGTATCTTAGGTAAGGTAATAGAGATTGGACATTATCGATAACCGAATAAGCTATCTTATCTTATCACGGACTTATCGATGAAAGAATCATCCAAGGTACCTTAAGGTAACTTCGGTGCCTGACTAAGGTATGTCATTCTTTCTGCCTCAGTCCCAAGGCACAACACATTCTTCAGGACCCACCCTGCAGCTCCAGCGTCCAGCCCTGACTGACGTGGTGAACCTCGAAAGAAGCTACGTCTCCAATATCGCAGCTCCAAGTACCGCCTGTTCACCCACGCAACCCGCGCGCCTCGCAACTCCGGCGCAAAACGGCTCTCAAGCCCACGACCAACGGCCAACTCCTATAGCCTACACAAAACCTGTCGCGGCAAGATTCTCAACGAACTCATAACCCCACGAAGTTGGAATACTCCACGAAAACGAAACGAAACGACCGAGACGATCCCAGACAAGGGGGTGTGATCAAGCACCTCGACATCCGCAAGCTACCATTTACACCAACCCTTGAGAATCCCACAATCTTCACCACAACCACCCACAGCAGCAATGTCGAACTATTACCAGCCCCAACAATCCTACGGCCCCGGCCCGGGCGCGGGCGGTGCCCAGAACCTCCAATTCTACCCCTCCTCCTACTCCCCAGCCGGCGCCGTCTCGGGCCACGCAACCCCACAACAGGCCTCATACGGCTACGGAGCTCAAGCACCCGCCGCGGGCGGTTTCGGCGGCGCGGGCGCCTTTGGCGCGCCTCCGGGTGGTGTGTCGGGTCGCATGGGCGAGCAGGGCGGCCTGCGCACGGGTTGGTTGGCGGCCTTCTCGACGGAGGGGTACGACGGCGAGCCGCCCTTGCTCGAGGAGCTGGGCGTTAACTTTGGACATATCCAGGCAAAGGTACGTGGCGCGCGCGGGAGGACTTGCGCACCGTCTCGAGTCCCTGAAGGGAAGACAAAACAGACGACATGGAAATTTTGTGCTGACTTGCAGTAACTACATCAGACTTTAGCCGTACTTAACCCCTTCCGCCGCATCGACCAACACTTGATGGACGACGCAGACCTCTTTGGTCCCTTGCTCTTCGTTCTCTCTGTACGTTTCAGCCAACTCACTCCTCCTCTCAACTTCAGACTCCCCGCCTTCTACAATCATAAGCTAACCCACCGCACTCGCAGTACGGCACCTTTCTCCTCCTCTCCGGCAAAATCCACTTTGGCTACATTTACGGCCTCGCCCTCCTCGGCAGCACCTCCCTCCACATAATCCTCTCCCTCATGACCCCAACCGACGCCCACCCCTCAACAACCCCCTCCGCGCCCCAGTACGGCGGTCCTGTCGGCGTCGGCGGCGGCGGCTACCCCGGCGCCCCAGATTCCCACGACCACCCTGCCTCCCGCACCGCCGCAGGCCACTTCTCCTCCACCCTGACCTTTACGCGCTCGAGCTCCGTCCTGGGCTACTGCCTCCTCCCCCTCGTCGCCACCAGCGTCTTTGGCATCTTCATGCCCATGGACACACCGCTCGGCATCGTCTTCACCACCATGGCCATCCTCTGGTGCACCTACTCCGCCTCGGGCATGTTCTGCGCCGTCGGACGGATGAGGGGCATGCGCGGTCTCGTGGCGTACCCGCTCGCGCTCTTCTACGTCGGGTTCGGCATCATGGGTATCTTTAGCTCCAGAGGCAGCGGCGGGTCCCTGGCCAAGGCTGCGGCTGGGTTGAAGGGTTGAGCGAAACGTAAAAGAACAAAAAACGCAAGATCGGAAGTGAGGGATCGGATACCGGTCAAGGAAACTTGACTTAGGCAGGCAATTGGTTTCCAAACGAGGGAACTCGAAAAAAACGCACGCCTGAATTGCAGAAGACCGTACCACCATGGACACGGCGCATCTGGGTGGCACCGCGGGAGTTGAACGTTGTGAGAGAGTTACGGGAGCAGGCACGGGAACCTACAGGAGTCCAAAAGGAGCCACGATAGACGAAGAAGGCAACAACGAGACAGACAGATGCATGCCTGCGGCTAGTTGGAGAGGCTGAAGCCGAGGCCGACGATGCTTCACGTCACTGTACAATACTTAATCATGTTCAGACGAAGCCAGAATAAATTTTTGATAGTCCAATGCCCATTCCCTCCCTTTTCCATGCTGCTAGAGATAAAAATGCATAATGCTGGGTCAAAGATTCTCCTGTGATGTACACATCATGTGTAGAAAAAGGAATCAGACGTGAAAACCTTGAGACCAAGCGTAGTATTACAAGAGACTACCATAGTCTCGTAGCCAAAGAGCCTCCACGGCGATAATGATGATCCGCCAGGCACACAGCAGGAGGGGTCTTGTTGAGCAGAAATCCTCGTTGGTATCATAAGTCTGACTTCCCTCGAGGCCATTTCTATATCTGCCCACCCGCCCATGCGATTTCGGAGCTTTTGCTTTACTGTCGTTCTCCTTGGGAAAGAAAAGCTTATTAGTCCGTTCAATAGGACGCTGGAAAAAACGAAAATCCGTAGAAATCAGATTGCTGCAGGAAAAATGCATCGTGCCGCGAGCGAAAATAGCTCATGCTGAAAATGAGCCGGGAAAAAAGCGTCGCAACTGAATTTGGTACACCGACTCGGCTCATGTGTCGAGTCCACCTTTCTTTTCTGGTTGTTGCGGCGCCTGCTCATTCATTATCCGTGTTTTGTAGAAGCCATTCGTATCCGCTCGCCGTCATTGAGAACCCGCTGCCATGCTATCACAGACCAAGTCTCTGAGAAGAGACTTAGAAAACAGGCCTGAAGCCACCGGTAGCCGGTTGGGGAGCAAAGCCGTTAACCTTGGGGACATCGGCAACACCGCCCAAGATAGAGTACTGGCCACCGGCACCAGCGAAGACGAGCTTCTTGCCACGGACAGCAGTGTTATCAATAGTAGTCGGGGTCTCGATATCTTCAGTCGTGCCCTGGCCGGTCTGGTAGTTGGCAGAGAAGCCCCAGGAGTGAGCCTCGCCCTTTCCGTCAATGGCAAAGTTGTTGTCGACACCAGCGGCAACGTAGACACACTTGGCGATGTCTGGCAATGGATGTTAGCGACGCTAAGTAAGAAATGGACCTGGCGGACTTACCCTCAACAGCAGTAGGCTTGGAGAGGATGCGGGGGTTGTTGCTCTCATCCTTAATGACGCTCTCCGCATCAAGCTCCTCGACAGGAATACCGACCTGGTGGCCGTCCAGACGACCCCATGTCAAGAGCTTGCCGTCCTCGGTGCAAGCAAGGGAGTGGTGCTCGCCACCAGCAATCTGCTTGATCTTGTAGTTCTTGAGCGACTCAACAATGGTAGGACGCAGAACAACGGCGTCATCCTCGCCAGCACCCATCTCGATGCCAGTCTCGGCAAAGTTGTTCAGACCCCAAGCCCAGACGGCACCATCCTTGCCAAGGGCAAAGCTGTGGTACGATCCGCAAGCAATGCGGTCGACCTTGTTCTTGGGAAGACCCATGCTCTGGGGGATGAGCGACGAAAGCTTGTTGCGCTCAATAATACGGCGTCCAAGCTGGTTTTGCTGGCCACAACCCCAAGCAACCACGACGCCCTTGTCATCGAGAGCCAGGATGTGGTTGGAACCGGCAGCGAGGGCCGTGATGTTTTTCAATGTGGGGAGGTAGGCGGGAGTGGCCTGGATCTGGATCTTGTCGGTGAAACCGAGGATACCGTCGCTTGACTGGGAGTAAATGTTAGTTCTATCACTTTAGGCTCAAAATGCTACCAAATGCCTTACTCTGAAAGTACCCCATCCATAAACTCTGCCATCCTCCGTCAGGGAGAAGGTAGCACTGTCGCTGGCGACGACCTGAGTGAACTTGGCATCGGGAGCGAAGTGCTTCGCATCGATGGCTGTCGGCGTGCTCTCGTGGGGGTTGATACCGGAGTCATCCTCGTCTTCTTGCTCCTCTTCAGCATCGGCGTCGCGGAGTCCGCCATCCCAGTTGGTGTCGCGACCCAGAGCGCCCTGGTCGTTAACGCCCCATGTGAGGATCTTGTTGTCCTTGGTCAAAGCCGCGACGTGCATGCCACCGCAGGCGATCTGTACAACACCGACGTCCTTGGCATCAAGCTTAGGGTTCAACCTCGGGCGCTTGACGTCGACAATCTTCTTGCCATCGAGCTTCTTGCTGCCGAGACCGAGCTCGCCAGAGGATCCCTCACCGAATACATATACATCGATGACCTGGGTCGGGGCAGAGTTGATCTTCTTGCCGATCTTGTGGGGGTGAGCCGGGGGAGGCTTGGGAGCAGCCACAGCGATCTTCTTGGTGGCCTTCGCAGGCTTCACAGCCTCGGGTTCCTCATCTGCAGATTCTGTCGCCTTGGCAGACTCTGTAGCCTGGCTGTCGACCTCAGCAGTGTCGGCCTTGGACTTCTTCGCCTTGGGCTTCTCGTCCTCTGTCTCTTCGTCACTCGACTTGCGCTTCTTGTTATCAGCGGCGGCCTTGGTGTCAGCCTTCTTTGCGGCGGCCGTCTTCTTGGGTTCGGCCTTCTTCGCCGCGGGCTTCTTTGCGGGCTTCGTGGCCTTGGACTCATCTTCGGTCTCCTCGGCAGGAGCGGCCTTCTTCTTGGGGGCGGCAGTGGCGGTCTTGGTCTTCTTCACAGCAGGCTCTGTGGCCTTCTTGGTGTTCTTCTTAGGAGCAGGCTTCTTAGGCTCCTCGGCCTCGGACTCCTCGACTTCCGATTCGTCCTCGGCGAGCTTGCGCTTCTTGGAGGCAGCAGTCGCGCCATTGGTGGTAGCTTCCTTCTTCGCAGCAGGTTTCGCGACAGGCTTCTTGGTGGTCTCAGCTGCCTTTTTTGTCGCAGCAGCAGAAGTCGCGGGCTTCTTTGGCGCGGCGGCGCCCTTGGGCGCAGCGGCCTTCTTGTTGACGGCCTTGGGAGGCATGATCGTCAGGCGATGGTATGATGTGATGTGACGGAGGAGCGTGCTTAGCGATAAACGCGTGTAATGGGGGAAGGGATATGGTTAAACAGAAGATTTCGCACAAGACAATTGAAGAATCGTTTCTTTGCGATGCGAATTGATGCACTCGAGATGAAGGCTTTGGAAACAAAAAGAGTCCAAAGGGGAGAATTGTTCTTGTTTTGGGGGAGAAAGAAATTGATTCGAGGCAGAACGGAAGTGACGCGACCGGAAGGTGCAGCTTTATTTTCTTGGGCTCTGGAATTCTGACCAAGCAGGGGTGGCGCTTTGTGGCTCTCAGCGCGGGCTAAGCTGGGCTGCTGGCGGCCCAGTTTGCGCTTCTGACTTTTAGTGCGATCGGGTGGGTACCTGACCTTCTGGCGCCGTTTATTTGCGCAGCCGTGGCCCGAGCTCCTGGGACCGGGACCAATTGCGGTCCAATGGGAAGCTGCGTTCAATGGGAAAGCTCCTGACCGCCCGGTCGCATGCTATTTTCCTTTTCGGCAGAAAAAGGCAGGAGCAAGCAAAGGGGAAAGGAAAAAGAAACAAAAAACAAAAAACCTATTCAAAAATCGGAGTGGGCCCTTCTGTTGAGTCGGGGAAATCTCGCGTCGTCTGCCGATGCCCCCGGAACCCCCACGCCACGACGAGTGGGCTTTCATTTCAATTTTCTCGTACAATTGGCGCGAAGTCGTGTCAGGTGGACACAGAATTGTCCTGCCACCTGATGTTTTCGAGTCCAAGTCCCTGGGTTGAATGTGTTTTGATCTCTGAACGATGTGCGCTATTGATGCCTGCCAGCCAGGTTGCGTCTCTTTGACAGGGCCGCGCCTAGGTAGGTATACCTGTAAGTTGATGGACGGCGCTCGACAAGGGTCCTCCCAAAATTGCCTCACCGACCGAACCTCATGAGATGCTTCCGTAGTATGAGGCTACACCGTCCCTTCCAACGTCTTCAAGAGCTAAATCGATGTTCATCTCGATCAACATTTTCGTTGCCTGAGCATCTTTGCATTTGGCGGAGTTTTGATGTGACGGCGGTGGTTCACATGAGCACTAGCCCTAAAGAGGTATGTCTTTGAGATTCGCGGGACGAGGAAGAATCAAGCCTGCGCATACTTGACTGGCCACTAGGAGCGAAGCCGACCTCTCTCCAACTCACAGCATGCGTAATTAACGTAAGCCATGGCGATTCTCGTCGCTAGCTACTGATCGGAATACTTGTCATCGCTGATTTCATGTACACGCATGACACCGTCGGGTGGATGTCCATGTCGCTACCTCATATCAGTATCCTTGATTTCCATGGTCAAGGTTGCTTTTTCTGGCGTTTTCCCTTCTTTCTCTTTCCATTCTTCCCTTTGTTCCCCCTGTTCGCACCGCCGCCCCTCCGAGGTTGGTTTGGAGCATGCGAAGGAGACTCGTCCACCCCTTCAGACTCCAGTGGCTCAAACTCTCCCGGCTCGACCTTCATATCCGAATCGTCCACAGCCTCAGACTCGCTCACTATCAGGTTCATCACCTTCCGAAAGCCCTTTCCAAAGTAATTTGCCATGTAGAACGCCGAGAAGTAGAGTGGTATCTTCTAGATGTGTTTCGGATGCGCCCACCACAAGCAGAACTTCAGTTGCGCCGCATACGCCGACAGGTCAAGTCGCGAGACAAGGCGCCGAACGAGGCGCTACAGCGTGCGGCAGGCCAAGGCAACCAAGATTGCGCAAGAGACAAAAAGAATCAGATAGAGGAAGCAGTCGATGGCTCGTTCGCGAAGAGTAGGGTCTGGTGTCCAGGAAACAATGCTGAAAAATTCTGTGTAATATATGCTGATTCTTGGCCAGTCCTATCGGCCAGAAGTGGTCCGCTCGTAAACAATAGTGCCATCATGATCCGTAAACGCCATGCCCCCAACCGTCGGTTTGTTCCACCAGTCCCGAAATTCCTTGAACGCCATTTCGAATGCTACGGGTATGTCTGCAGGATGAATGTACCTTAAATCACTGGCGGGTAGTGAAGTCGATCTCGTGCTCAGACCGGTCATACGCTGCAGCGGCTCCATTATCGCATGTGCAGGCATCTTTGGGGGGAATGTCAGCATTATGTAAATATGGTAAGTGAGGGGGTCAGGGTTGCAACGTACTGGCGGGACGCGAGCCGCAGGCGCAGGTCTCGCCGATTGGCTTAGTGTTTTCTGTGGATGCGCGTTCGCAGGTACATTCGCCAACGGGGCGAGCTCGGCATGAGCAGCGAGGTCCGACGACGGCGTTCTCGGAGGCGGCCTTGCTGCAGGTGCAATGCAGAGCAGATTGCTTGCCGCAGGAGCACTTGGCTTGCTGGGCTGATGACAAATGATGGTCAGCTTGTATTTCTTGCGAGTAATTGTATTGCCGAGTGTGTGGGTAGTCTGAAAAGATGGTGTGTTGAAGATCATGGGCACGGAAAAGAGTCTGAGATGACGCTGAAGTTGGGGATCAGGGAATGAGAAATACATACCGCAGACGCACTCGGCGCTCTTGCCGCAGCAGGTGGAAGCCTTGTCGACAGTCATTGTGAAGCTTGTGTGGGAAGGTGAGGTTGGTAGAGTTGATTATGAGTGTCCAAGAGCCCGGGAGTGATGCACGAGTTGGATTGGTTTGAATTGGTCTGAACTGATCTGTATTATCGAGGTGAACAAAATGGGCAAAGCAGTCGCAGAGGGGTCCTTTTAAGCATCTGCGATGCAGGGACAGAGGGGCCGAGTCCCGACGTCACGGTTCCTGCCCACCCTGGCGGGTGATCCCTGCTCTAGGTCATCAGTTAGACTCTCATTGGCCAAAGATCTTTTGGACCAATGAGAGCAGCTTTATTTCCAACAATGTGGTGAGTTCCCATCGGGCCATCACCATGGGCAGATCCTTCTGTGTCAGCCCATGTGTGATTGCATGACAGCGGGACGGGTAACTGACAACAGCGCCCACATGTTTTTGGTCAGCATTTGACGGCACTTGCTCATGTAAGATCATGCTCTAACACCCTGGGTACAATTTGCTGGTTTGGCAGTCTTGTGTGTCAATTGACTGGCTGCGGTGAGGTAAATACAGCGACTCGCTAATGTGATTGGACCCAGATTCCGACCCCATATTACTGACCTTGGTCGTTCATGCAGGTTCTCTTGAACTCGGTCCGTTGGTGCAGCCTCATGGACCAGAAACTGCGAGCTGGTTCCCGCAACCCATTGCGGCATCTTTGCATACTCCTGTTATCAAAGCGGCTGCACGTCCAACTGACGTGAGGAGAAGACCGGTATATCGGATGGCCAAGCTATGGCAAATGTTTCACCCGGAATTACTGCTGAGCGGTACCTATTTACAACGAGTAGGTTTTGTGAGGGAGGCAGGAAGCAGAGTCTGCTTTTTCTTGGGAAACCTCATCTTGTGCAACCATCAGCTTTTGACAAGTGAGATTATCACTCAGTAGACCTAGGGTAGAGCCCGATAGCAGGTGATAGGCTCGAGTAAACCATCCAAAAGGATGGCGCATCAGGTGGCCAAGACATTGCCCGAGTTCCTCTCCACGCGTCGACGTGCATCATGTGATGACCTTTGCTCCGTTTGCTCTGCCTGGTGTCTGAACCTGGACGAGGACTGCTCCCGATGGCCGCATCGTCAACATTGCGACCTGGATGAGCTCTTATCTCTTCTGGTGTCTGTTTGCTGTCGTCTTCGTCCACTTGGCTGCTTCACCGCAGCCCGGGCTTTCTTCGCCTCCTTCCGAAATAACCAGGCAGCTCACAACTTTCAGTCTTGGGCAGATTCCAGATTGTCTCAAGCTCACCAGTCATCAAGTAAATCTCTGCCTTGACTTGAGGTGCCTGCCCACCGCAATGCGAATGCAGTTTCCAACTGAGAATACTTTCACCTCCGACCTCATCAAACGCTCACCTCCCCACATCCAAACAGCAGTCAACGTAAGGAACGAAGCCACCTCACCGTCAGCTCCTACAACTTTCTTCGCCAATGATTCAACATGGTCGTGCCGACTGACCCTAGATTGCTGGGTACGCTCGCCACAATGGCTGGCGTCGATATCAAACAGCGCGTATTGGAGTACCGCAAGACCTTCGATGGCATGACCCCCGGCATTTTCTGGGGTACCAGGCCTTCCGCCATCGAAGCCATCCGTTATCCCGAGCCCCTTTTGCCTCTCCGTTCCTTCAAGCTCACCTTTGACGCTCCTCCCAAGCCCGGCGTCCCCAAGCAGCTCCTAATCGACATCAAATTCGGCCCCGGCCCGGTGGACGGTGGCGTCTTTGTGAACAGCACCTCTCCGGTCAGGAATACCTCCACCTTTGACACGGCCGGTCGCTGTCAGGAGGTGGCTCGTGCCAAGATTCCGGGCCTGGTGCCCCGCGTCATCCGCGTCGGTGTCGTTGAGCTTGATGACGGCGATGTCGATTACATTGTGACGGAGCACATTCCCAACACCGTGACCCTAGACAAGGTTTGGTCGTCCCTCACGCCCGAGACGCAACGCCGGATCATGGATCAGCTCGTCGCCGCGATGAAGCGTAGTCATCACGCCGGTGCTGAAGCGCATCGGCTTTTTAATCTCGCGGTACACCATGGATGCTCGCCCTGCCTGTCACCACGCGTTGACCGCCCAGACGGCAGCTTCTACATCAGCTTCTCCAACACAGATAGCGCGATGCCCGACCAGAAATTCACAAAGAAGCACATCCAGCAGCTCGCCAAGCACACCGTGCTCTGTCACATGGACCTCGAGCCTCGCAACATCCTCGTCAAGCTCGTCGAACAGCCCGCTCCCGCTGTCGCTTCCGCCCCCGGCAGCAAGCCCCAGAAGGAGCTGCAGCTGGCGGGCATCGTCTCCTGGCCAAAGGCCACCTTTGCCCCCTTCGCCATGGAGCGCGGCCTCAAGGACGCGCTGCTGGGCTGCCAGTTCAACCACGACTTCTTCTGGTACAAGCTCTTTGTCTTGCGCACAAAGCACCTGATCCCAGCCGAGGGATCCACCCAAGACCGTTTGTTGGCGGCCATGATCACCATCCGGCTCGCCTCGCGGGTGCCCGATTGCAACCACCCTACGCCGTTACACCAGCAGCATTTCTACGACATGGAGAAACTCACCCTGACAGGGGTCTTTCGGGATGATTGGTGCAGACAGCCTTGCGCCGAGACCCATAAGTCGCCGTCGGACGCGGAGTATCGGGAGATGGGCAACGGCATCATTCGCCATCTACTCAATAAACAGTTCCAGACCATCCCGAGACACAGCTTTGCTAGACACCCTTTCATTGAGAACATACTCGGCCTGGAAAGCGATTCTGACGACGGTTCCGGACCATGTGCCGAGGACGAAGCTCACTCTGCCGACGGCCTCGATGGCTGAGGAAAGCGACGCGCTTCCCGAACCGTTCGAAATGTATGGGATGGTTTTAGATGTTTGGGCGGTACTTATGTTGGCGATGGAAGATGACGCATTTCTTCAATCATCACCTACCTTGCCTATGGCACTGGATAGAAGAGCGCCCTTGTGCCGAAGGTGCGGGGAGCACGGGAAGAATTCGAGTGATATCAATTTGTGGCCAGATGGAAAGAAAGGTGCATAGCAGAAGAGCAAATGGAAATGTCCAAAAAGCCTCTTGAGTGCCTGATTGTTTGTGATTTCGTTTTTACGCTTTGTTGTTTTCTATCGCTTCAATCCATGACTCCAGCAGCGTTGCGTTGCGTCGTCTTTGCGTCGTCTTTGCTATAGACCCGGGGCACGGTGCCGAAGGAGATGGGCGAGGATTCCAACTTTACGGGCTTACTAAGCCGATTAGTCCGTGTCATGCAGAGCTCGGACTGCCACTGATTATTGTCAAAGCGGTGTCGACATTCTGAATCTCTTCGTCGCACTAAACGAGCTGCTTTCTTCTTCAATGTCTCTCATGTGAAGCGGTTGAGCCCAATCTAATGCTGCAAATCCAGTAATTGGTGGTCATATCACCGCCCATTCTTCATTCTGGCTTCCTAGCTAACAGGCCCTTCCCAAGACCCTATCACGTCCGGTGAGGCATCGTCTCCGGCGAAGCTAACTCCCGGATGTTGAGGACACTGGACCCCGGCTTCGTCTCATCTAGGTCTTGAGCCTATACTTAGCATGTCCAATGTCATCCCATAGTTCCTTTTCTCCCCAGGATGAGCAGAACAACCGCATCCAGATCGCTACACTTGACACACTCCTGATCCGAGACGGATGCCTTCCTGGCCATGGCTTCTCTTGGAGCTCATGCGTCCATAGTTCTTCAAGATTAGGTATCATAGCAAAAGGTAGCATTTTCATCGTCACGATCTTCTTCTGGGCCGATGGGAATACCTGGCTCTGGATTCCACTACGACACCTTCTAGGATTATGTCAACCCCGAACCTGAAGTTCTCCGACATAATATTCTGATAACGAAGTCGAAGAGAGAAGCCCCGAGTCCTTGCCAGACTTCTTCCGTACCGTTGACCTTCTCACGACGTTGCCAAGGACGGCGGCAGAGGCCAAATGCGTTGTTCCCTGGATGGATGTAGTCGCACCAGGGCACCGGCACTAAGCAGCGAGACAAGTTTCTTCCCCGTGTGACTGCCTCTCTTTCATCTGTTCCAAAGAAGTCATCTCTTCCAAAGGAGCGGCAAGGGGAACAAGAGTGGAAGGAAGTTCATTTGGCATCTTGCCGTTTTCGCCCACCGTTGACTAAGCTGTCCTCCTTCCTTCCCACATTCACTCCTGCCTCGGACTTTCTCCTGAATTTCATGCCTTACTTTTCGCACCTTTCTCTTTCCTTTACTTCATCTCTTGGCTTTCCACAGAACTAATACTTCTCTCTTTTCCCTTGTTTCCGTCCTTCCGTTAAACGTCTTTCCCTGACTCGGCTTCTCGATGGTGCCCGAGGATATGGGATCTATATACCCACAATGGCAAAGCTTCGCGGCTTGATGTGTGTTCTATTGGCATCGACCGTCGCCAACGCGAGTCTCGTCTCATTCTGTCGCTCTGCTTTTGCGCTGCCCCTACCCTCAGTTTCCGACAGTGATGATTCACAATCCCTGGCAACAGCTTCAACTCCTCAGGGACATGAGAGCGCTTCGGCCGAAGAAGTTGTGCCTGAACAGCCGCAACGCCAGCTGCAGGATGATGTAGCTCTCCACCAGATGTGGGCGAGACAGAACCTGACGCAAGTAACAAATACGTGATTCCTGCGCCGAAATGACTGCTGACCATACTCTATAGGCCTTCCGCTGAAGCATCATTCCAAGCCACCACCATCACCATCGTTCGAACGGTGACTATCGAGCTTGCCGACCGTACCGAATTTGTCTGGTCGCCTGTTCAGCAGACCTTGACCTTTATCAATCCCACCCTGGTCTTTGAGACGACTGTCGTTACTGCATCACGGCCTCCCGACATCGCAGCGAGAGAAGAAGCAAAGGAAACATCATTGGAGCGAGGGGTGGCTCCCGCAACATCCTCAGTCTATCCGCATGGCCATGAAGGCGCGGGCCTTTCGCCGCATCCAGCTCGTATACGGCGGCAGACTCCGGCGTCAATCACCAGGGTTTCGACAATCACCGTTGAGATCACTACCACAATAGTAGCAAGCGGCACTTCCGTCCGCACAGTCACCATTTTCAACCCCGTGTTCGTTTCTGTCACTCAGACGCCTACTCTCACGACGACAATCTTTACAACTACGACTCTTCCCCTTGAATATCCGGTCTCCAGCGTACCTGCTGTTGCACCAGCTCCACCGGCCAGCCAGAGTGTCATCTCTAGCGACGACACTCAACAGACTGTATCGTCTGCAGGCTCCGGCCCTACTTCTTTGACAAGAACGACGCTTGCAGCCTCCGGGCCCCAGAAGTCTTCAGTCGCCTCCAGCACCTTGGGCACAACTGGGACTGGTCGTGTCCGCTCACCATCGGATACGTCTTTCAGCGTCACTACATCATCATTGATACTTCCAAGCTCGGCTTCACACGGGACTGATGGAGGCACTACGACAAGAGTTGGGTCTGTAACGAACAGTATCATAACAATAAGATCAACGTTGACGACGGCTGATACACCCTTAACTACAACTCTTCTACCTCCGACAGAGCGCATTTCCAGACCATCCCTGGGACCTGGGGTAATCGCAGGCATTGCTGTAGGCGCAACGTTTGTTCTCACTCTCCTGATCCTGCTGTATTTTTGTATACGTCGAAAAAGAACTAAACACAGGCGACATCTGCAGTTGAGCGCAGACGACCATCAAATGACGTCTGCTACGGCTGCCTCCACCGCCATGAACCAAGCAACGGCTACCCCTCCAACCTACGACGGACCTTGTCAAACACCCCAAAACGAGGATAGCAGTAAGAGTTCCGAAGAGGGTGAGCAAGTGCGAATCATCATACGGCCTGCCACCAAGAAAAGAAGCCAGAGCGGTGGGCTTTCGTCAATAACAAAGGTCTGGCCCCGACCACCGGGATACACTGGTAAGGCATACAGTTTTTCTGGTGGCGGGAGCGGCGAGACGACTCCAAGGGAAGGCACAGGATGGAGTCTTGATAGTGAGAATGGAAGCACATGCAATCACGATGCCTCGCGAAGTAGAGGACGTGAGGAAGCGACCGTTTGGCAAGGACAAGCAGCAACCCATCCCAGAGCAGATGGCAGATCTGAGGCACTAGGGACCAGATAAACTAATGCAGCAGAATCAAGCAGTCATTCTGGGGCTGATGATTTAGTTATTTTAAACCATGGGAAGCCGCGGGCCTTGCCCTGAACGTGACCATAGCCTCATGCTTCTACGCCGCGTAATTCTTACGAGGTGCGGCCTGCCGTGTACACTTTCTCCCGGTGTTTCTTTGTGCTCTCCCTTCTACTTTGGTACTGCTCATCCCCTTCCCTATCTCTCGTTGCTATCTAATACTTCCCATCATTATCTTCTCTCATTCCTAAACAATCTTTTAATACCTTTCACCCTCTCCCTCCATTATTTTCTTTCTCGTCACGCTGTTCTCTGCTCATCTTTTCTTGCACGTGAACTATTCATAACCCGCTTCCATATCCAAGACCGTTTAATACTTGCCAATCCAAGGCCCAAGGCCACTGTATGGAAGATATCCTCTGTCCCGAGTTTCCATCTTCCACAATATTTGGATTTCGTCACGATGATGGCGGTTCGATGGGGCCTCCCTTTACAGATTGTGGACAATATCTGCAAATTTCGACTTTCGGTCATCGAGAACGAGGCGAATCAAGACATTGGGCACTAAGATTCTCGACGTCGGCACTTGCGAGTGCTCGTCATTTTGGACCTATCCCGGATACTTGTAAGAATAGGAGGAGTTTCAGAGCCAGCACTGAGTCTTCACAGAAGCATTGATCTTGAATCAAGAGATCCAGGTGATCAACTTACACAGTGTCTTTTGAACGTCGTTGGGGTTTCGTACAGGGTATGAAAATCAACTTCTCCGTGTTAGTGGAGCAGCAGATGGACCCGCGCAATGAGCCACCTTTTCCACCAACTGTTGCCATGTCCAAATGTTCAATTCACTAATAGAATCATCTAAAGCTCCACGAGAAAGTTCTTCTTTAGCACAGCAGACGGGAAGTCCAAGGCGGCAACCGGCGCATTGCCTCACCCGCCCTGCATGATTGCTCATGCACTCAATAGCTTTCAGTAGGTCCGCTGTTTTTGTACCTGCAGATGGGTTGTGGTTTACGCAACTGAATCCCGACACAGAGATCATTCTGGGAAATGTATGGCTCACTCGGAAGAGATGGAGCTACTTCACCCACCGACGCAAATCATTCCCCCAATGCAGAGTGTCATCATACCACAATCGATGTGACCCCCGCCGACGTAACATTGTCTCATTGTGTCTTGGCTTCGATATGTCCAATGAGCTGACCAAATCAAGCTCAGCACACCGCATTGCCTATGCCAGGGCGGCCAAGCCCACCAATCCGTATGTTGCACTGCAGGATGCAGCTGAAATGCTGCCTTCACACTTCTCCGGTGCGGGGGCTCTAGAAAGTTGATTTAAGGATGAAAAATATTGTTTAGGCAATTGCGCCGAAGCGGTCGGTCTGTACCCTTTTAATCGAGTCCATTCCTCGATTCACTCGTTTTGAGGCCGCCGCTTTCATATGAACGAAGTCCACCACCGTGAAACATGACGTCGAAGTTGGTGATTGGGATTCTTTTCGCAGCGGCTTTAGTTCTGGGGCAACATGCCGAGCAAGTCAAAAGAACATTCGAATCGATCAGTGCGAAATATGACTACATCATAGTTGGGGGTGGAACCAGTGGCCTCGTCGTCGCCAACAGACTCAGCGAAGACCCCGCAAGTAAGTCTCTGCATCACCAGTCAACTCTGCCTGGCAGTGCCCGATAATAACACGGCCTTGTCCATTCAGAAACGGTCCTAGTCGTAGAGTACGGAGACTTCGCCAACACAATTAATGTCACTGTGCCATACTTTGCAACATACGACCAGTCAGCGCGCCTCTACAATGTGACCTCCGTCCCTCAAGCCCACCTTGATAACCGCACCTCCCGCCTCCGCATCGGCGCCGTGGTAGGCGGAAGCTCCGCTGTCAACGGGATGGCCTGGGATCGCGGCTCTGAAGCCGACTACGACGCGTGGGAAGCTCTCGGAAACCCCGGCTGGGGCTGGACGACTCTTGTAAAGTACTTTCAAAAGTCGTCGACGTTCGCACCGCCTCCTGATGAGTATGTTGAGGAGTACGGCTACGAATGGAGTCACAATTCCTACGGCGACGGACCCATACAAGTTGGGTTCCCTGCGTGGCAATGGCCAGAGTCAGGTGTGCCGCCCTCTTGAAGTGAAATGACATGCCTTCCGATTGTTAATTATGCTAATTATCAAATTAGCTCTCATGGCGCAGGCATGGGCCCAAGATATCAAAGTACCTATCTTGAAAGACGGGGCTGACGGCGACAACGTTGGTATCGCATGGCTCCCGCAAAATTCTGGCGGTCCAAACGCAACGCGGTCGACCGCTGAGACAGCGTACTTCGATCCTGTCAGCACCCGCAAGAACATACATCTGCTTGTGCGTCATTACGGGGCAGCTATAAAGTTTGAGGGTAACACAACGACCGGCGTCGTGATCGGCTGCCGTGATGGATCGGGAACCAAGTTCCTGGAGTCTAGGAATGTCGTGCTTGCCGCGGGCGCAGTCCACACACCTCAACTCCTGCAGTTGAGCGGCATTGGCCCAGAGAAGCTCCTCAATTCTCTCGATATTGAGCTTGTGGTTGATCTACCGGGCGTTGGTGCAAATTTTCAAGACCACCCTGCCATTTTCATGGTTTATGATTGTGAGTTGACAACTGCTTGGCCGTTTCCATCAGAAGGCTAATCCTGCGTCACCAAGTTGCCAACGACACATCCCTCAACCCGACTCTTATGACCAACGAAACCTTCTACAACGCATCGTGGGTAGAGTACGAAGCCAACAGAACTGGACCGCACTCGCACGCCTGGGGAAACAGAGTGGTCTTCACGTCTCTCAAAGACCTCGACCCAGAAAACTACCAAGCCATCGCCGACGCCGTCACAGCCCAAGACCCGCTCCAGCACCTCCCGCAAGTGTACGCCGACAACCCGGCACTCGTCCGCGGCTTTACCTGCCAACGCGAAGTCCTGAGGACAGAGTTCCTCGACCCGAAGGCAGGCGTCATGGAATTCACATTTGGCGGCGCGGAATCCGTCCCCGTCGCCCTCCAGAAGCCCCTCTCGCGCGGCACAATCACCATCAATAGTACGAATCCGAATCCCGGATCGTCCGTCGGAGCCGACAGCGGTGGGGTCCGTATCGACTTCAACACGCTCTCCAACCCGATCGACACGATCATCCTCCTCCGCGCCGTCGCGAAAGCCCGCGCCTTCATGGCGAGTCCCAGCGTCGAGACGCTCGCCGCAGTGGAGATTACCCCGGGCCCGGGCGTAGCGAGCGACGCCGAGATTGAGGCCGTTATGCGGGAGTCGTGGCTCTCTTCCAGTTTCGACCATCCTGTCGGGACGGCGGCGATGATGCCGAGGCATCTGGGCGGTGTTGTGGATAGCGGGCTGAGGGTGTATGGCGTCGAGGGTCTCTGGGTTGTGGATGCGAGTATTATGCCCTTGCTGCCTGCGGCGCATACGCAGGCTACGGTGTATGCTGTTGCAGAGTACGCGGCTGATCTTATCAAAGGGGTTGAAAAAGCAACCTAGAAAAGGTTGGAATTTTGAAGAGCCAGCACCTGCAACTACGAAGTTCTTCAGTGTCTTCTTACCCCTACGTGGTAAAGAAGCTTAATTCAACTGCACATGCTCCCATGCAAAGTTCTGAATCACTGGGAATGGTTTGCATTTCTATTCAATGGAATGTATTGCTCTGAAATACTTGTTTACTGAATAAAAATAACATCTAGATGTATGAAAACTTATTATATTGCTTGTCGACAACCTCAAAGGCTCAAGCTCGATCATCGTCGCCTACCCAACTAACTCGTGCACTCAAGCCAGCACCACAACCACATGACTCAATGTTCAATCACTCTTATATCATAGCCTTTCCCTAAACTTGCGTTTTCGTATTCCTAGCTTTGTCATTCTGTTCTTCCGAGAAACTGCTCCTGCTCAGGCCCTTGGCGGACCAACTTTACAAGTGCCATTACCAAGAAGTCTGACGGCTGCAGTCTTGAAAGCTCGAAGACAGGTCGAAATGGCACCATTGAAGTGTTTTCATATATGAGACTGCCAAACGCAAGTTTGAGGAAAAGACCTTGATGGAAACGAGAGCGCTGAACTTTCCGGGAAACCCTCTGCAACTCAAATTTTGTTGACTCTTTATTTCCAGCATTGGAACTCATGCTCATTATTTTCGCGCTTTTTCTCAGTACCTATTTCTTATTCAACTACTTGACCCTCTTACCACTGCAACAAGATATTTGTTCAAGAGATCAGTGGAAGCTTCGAAATGTCCTTCACCAATCCCGTAGACCTCAAAGGTTGCCGTTACCAACCAGTATACCCACAAAAGTCGTTAAACACATGCCAAGCACGCTATGTGACCTCAACCCTTGCACAACTTGCGCTGGCTTTCCTTCTTCTCACAAGATTCGCCCGAAACATACTGCAGATGCACGCGAAAGCCCGCCACATCTCATTATTGTGGCGAAAAAAACGTAGGCAATCATAAATCACCCCTTGCTAGCGGCAATCGGATTCCATTGAGAGGCCGGGGGTTGGGGGGGGAGCTTCTTCACAAATCAACGAAACCACATAAGCACACCAATGGGATCGCGATGATACCTTTCGATACCACCGGGGATAGTCTCAGAGTCGCATCGCAGCACGTACCGAGCAGCTCGAGTCGGACTGGTGCGAGAGGGGACTGCATGTGTAGTCTGTCGGTCCAGATCGCCTAGCTGTCTTGGCATTGTCCTACTGCATAATGGTACTTACACAGATTGCGCCCGTTTCCTTTTTCTTTTGCTACTTTAAGCAGTTCCCTGCATTGCTGCTCTTCTCTTTTGCCTATTTGCTGATTCTCGACGTCGTGTTCACTTGGAGTTCCCTGACTTTCGGTAGCTTGAAAGGGGACTGAGTACAGTCAAGCTGCAATCATGGCCAAAGCCGACCTTATCGAGATGCAGCAGCCGAAAGGCGACTACGCCGCCGTCAACACGACCAGCTCCTCCTCTGGTAACACGGATGACAGCTCCAGGAACAACCATCACGAGAGCGGATATCCAAACCTGACGACGGATGGCGGCACAGGCAACTCGACGCTCAGGGTAAACACAGCATCTCATCCAAACCAGGAATGGTGACTAACATGAGCATTGTTGCAGCGTCTCTTCTCCTTTTGGCAGCTCCTGGCCTTTGCCTTGATCTTCATGTCCTCGTGGGAAGTTATGGCGATGGACATGGGAGCGACCTTTTACAACGGCGGACCGCAGACACTCGCCTGGGGGATCATCCTCGTCGTCGTCGGCGCCATGGCCGAGGCTCTGTCGATGGCCGAGCTCGCAACCATCCAGCCCATTGCCGGCGCGCAGTATCACTGGACGCATTTCCTCGCGCCGGAGAAACACCGACGATTCATCACGGTACGTCTCTGACCAACTCACCTTGTTCGGGACTCTGAAGGACACACTGACAACGACACCCTCTCAGTGGATGCAGGGCTGGGTGACCTGGTTCGCCTGGGTCTCGGCGCTCGCCGGCTCCGCCGCCTCGGAGGCAAACATCACAATCGGCCTCGTCAGCACAAACTACCCCTCCTACGTCTTCCAGCCCTGGCACATCACAATGGTCATCATCGCCCAGCTCGTCGCCTGCGCCCTCATCAACATGTACGCCTTCCGCACCATCCCCTGGATGGAGCTCCTCGCCGGCGTCCTCCACGTCGCCCTCTGGCTTATCTTCGTCGTCGTCCTCCTGACGCTCGCGCCCCGCGCCTCGGCCGATTTTGTCTTCTTTGAGCGCACCGTCAGCTCCGGGTGGACCAACGACTTTGTGAGCTGGAATATCGGCATGCTCGTCCCGGCGTGGGGCTTCATCGGCTTCGACGGCGTCGTGCACATGGCCGAGGAGACGCGCAAGGCAAAACAGGCTGTCCCGCGCGCCATGCTCTGGACCGTGATCCTCAACGGCGTGCTCTCGTACGGCATCATCCTCGCCATCCTCTTCGGCATGGGGAGCGACCCCGCCGCCACGGAAGCGATCCTGAGCTCCGACTACCCCATCATCCCTTTGCTCTTCAACGCCGCGGGGCCCGCCGCGGGCACGGCCATGGTCGTCGGCCTCCTCGTCATCACCTTTTGCGTCGTCGCCGCCTCGCTGGCGTCCGTGTCGCGCATCACCTGGGCCTGGGCCCGCGACGGCGGCCTGCCGCGGTACTTTGCAAAGATCCACCCGACGCACCGGGTGCCCATCCGCTCCGTCTGGCTGCCGTGCGTCATCGTCACCTGCCTGTCGCTCTTCACCGTGGGCAACAACGCCACGGCGACGGTGTTTTCGGCCTTCACGGCACTCTCGTCGCTGGGGCTGTACAGCTCGTACATCATCGCGATATCCTGCATGCTCCACGCGCGTCTGACGGGGCGCATCGGACACGGGCCCGAGTATCAGGTCCAGTACGGGGGCTGGTCGCTGCCGAGGGGGTGGGGCACGCCGATCAATGTGTACGCGCTGCTGTGGTCCATGTACTTGACCGTCTGGCTGCCGTTCCCGCAGACGATCCCGGTGACCGGGACCGAGATGAACTATGCCGGGCCGATCTATGTTGTTGTTGTGGTTGGTGCCGTGAGTTTGTGGTTCACTTGGGGTAAGAAGCACTGGCCTGGGCTGAATAAGAGTGCCATTGATAATGTCGTGGCATACAATTAAGAGTGAGGTACGGTGGTAGAGCGGGTGTACCAGCTTCAAGTTTGGGGTGGCATAGACTTTGTGTGCTGTTGATGATCACTTGTTAGACGAATGTAGAATCTCGTGAACTTTTACGCAGGCTGCGGGGCTTTGAAGCAGTCTCTTCTCATGTGCCAGTTCGCATTACATCATTCGAGTCCTCAAAGGTATCCCAAGCACAAAGAAGAGAGGCGTAGATGATGGCAGATGGAAGCCAAGTAGTGAGCAAGTGATGAGGTGGTAGATTCGCCAGGCCTAGGCAGAACTGGCTTGATGAAGCTGGGTTCATCCTCCTTCTCGTTGAATCTGTCCTCGAGGGATATGGACAGCCTGTTCTCATCTCAAAAAGTCGGTGCCTGGGAATACCACGCGGCCATGATGACCAGCTGCGTAACGCACCGGCAGCCTGGAAGCATTGCGTACGCAAACCACGTTGATGCAGGTCGCAGCGTCAAGCATGAACAATGTGTCCGCATCGCGCACCAAGGCTTGGCCAACTGTTTGACTCTTGATCCCGAGATGCTGACCCAAGTGGAGGCGAGTCTCGGTGAATCTGAACCGTGGAGTGTCCCAAAGAGGCAAGATGCGGAGAGGAGCGGGCCAGCGGCAAGGTGGAACACCCCCCGATCGTCGGGCGGGACCGAAGGGCGCTAGGAGACGTCACATGCCGCTCAGATATGGGGGATGCCTGGATGCAAAACACGGTGCCTGTATCAGTAGGCTGAGATGTTGGCTACCAGTGGCCCGTCGTGAACGTCTTGTCAGTTGCAGGCAGGGTGTCGGGAAAGGTGGAAGATGAAGATGCATGGGTATCTGCTTGTTTGGTGAGTCAGACCAGGAACAAAACCTTGTTGTGAATGAACACGTATAAATCTATGCCAAACATACTTGCTAGAACACGTCGACTAAAGGTCTCGTGAGTATTTAGAGACCGTCTCTAACCTCGGTGAGCCTTGTAAGAGGGAGAGAAAGATGGGATGAGAGCGGTGTCACGAATCAGCAGGTTCCCTGTCGTGTCCGGTTTCAGCCCCCCCAGCTTACCTCATCTCCTGGATGTTATCGGCCTATCGCCCACCCGAGCTGCCCAGCACCGCTTATCCGACCCCTCGATGACGTCCACCCGAGGTATTCGAACCGCATCTCGCTGAAAGCACCAAGCCAAGATCTCATCCGGCACATCCCGCCTTACCTAAGATAAGTCACCAAACCATACTTGGACACCTAGCAAGGTACATTGGATCCCTTGCCGCGTGTGGCCCCCTCCGATCCAACGGTAAGTGCCCCGCACCCCATGATGCCCGCTGCACCGCTGCACCCGCCTGCTTTGTCCTCGTGTTCAGGGACCCCACCTCACCTCGTCCTCGCCGATTGCTGCCTCCGCGTGCTCTCTGCTGTGTAAGCTGCCGTGGACCTCGCCTTACACACACCGGCACCGCTCTGCTGCACCTGCACCCGCATCTGCAACCTGCATCTTCCATCTGCCCTCCAGCTTGGTCGAACCCTTCTACTCCGTGCCTCGTCCACGGCTGACGCTCACAGTCGAAGTCTACCTACCTACATTATACATACAATTCACACATCTCTCACCCCCTCAAACGCTGCGCCTTGACGCCCATCCCATCTGTCCACCCCTCCGCCTGACGTCGGCTGTGTTCCCTGCCACAGCTGCGCACGCTGACCGTGCCGTGCAAAGCAACCTTACCCACGCCTTTCCATCTCTTCTCTGATCCCAAACAAACATTTCTCTCTCTTACACTTTTACTTTCTCTCGACCTCCACGACCTTATCGAGCCCTCATATCGCAACCATGTTTGACATATTCGCCCACCTCTTATCGTGAGTCCTTCTCTCCGAGTATGCCCAATTGGTACCGTCTCGTGTATATCATACCCTCAGCGCGGCTTTGAAATCCTCCACCCGTCATGTCCAGCTTGGGAGAGACCGCCACTTGGAACACGTCCACTAACACGGCATTCCGCCTCGCAGCTCCATCGCCTCCTTCCTCTTTCCCCTCTTCGCCTCCTACAAGGCCCTCAAGACCTCAGACCCGGCCCAACTGACGCCATGGCTCATGTACTGGGTCGTCCTCGCCTGCGCACTCCTCGTCGAGTCCTGGACTGAATGGATTCTCGTCTGGTACGTTCTGACTCGCGGACTGCAAGCAGGCTTTCAGTCTCCCCTCTTCCAACTTACCACTAACACCGCCGCAGGATCCCCTTCTATGCCTATATTCGCTTCCTCTTCCTCCTCTATCTCGTCCTCCCCCAGACCCAAGGCGCTCGCATCATCTACCAAACCCACGTCCACCCCTTCCTGCACGACAACGAGGCGCAGATTGAAGAATTCATCTCAGAAGCCCACGATCGCCTCAAGGCCGCCGGCATTGCCTACCTCAAACGCGCCATCGAGCTCATCAAGACAAACGTCCTCGGCCTGCCCCCAGGCGACCCCGAACCCGCGCCCCAGTCCTCCGCTGCCGCTGCTCCAGCCGGCCACCCGCCGCAGTCCTACACCCAGTCGCTCCTCGCCAGGTTTAGTGTCCCCGCCGCGCGCTGGGCCCCCGCCACCGCAGGCCATACGGGCGCCGACTTCTACAACCTGCTCGCGGGCGCCGTCTCCGCCGCCACGGGTGGAGGACAGCACCAGGACCTCTCCAAATCCGGCTCCTCGCTCGTTCCACCGAACCTCAAGGGCGGCGAGAGGACGAGCTTCATCGCCGCGCAGCGCGAGCGCCTCGCCTTCCTCCTCAAGGCCCTAGAGCGTGAGGAGGCCGCGACGACGTCCGCTGCGCATCCCGAAACCTTTAGCCGCTCTTTGGGTAGCATGCAGCTCGACGGCAGCGAGGAGGAGGAAGTGACGCAGAGACCGCCGAGCGCGAACAGCGGGCTGAGCAAGTCGCGGAGCGAAACTGACTTTGAAAAGATTGACGCCGAGAGCGGAGCGGAGGACTTGGGCGGCGACGACGAGGATGGATCCGTCAGGCGGAGGCAGACGAGCGGAGGATCGTCGTGGATGCCGTGGGGATGGGGTGCGACGCCCACGGCTGAGAATCCCGAGGGTGGATCCAGCTCGGGTGTGCACAAGTGATGCCCTACTACGGATATGACAACGAACGTTGTCTACGGGAATGGAGTTTTGCGCAGTGGGTTTTGTTTTTACTACATGATTTAGATTCTCGGCTTTGGCAAGGCACTGGAGTCATGGTCGATTACGATACCACCCTGTTAGTGGCTGTCATTCCGGGACCAGCGAAAGTCTGCGCTCCTGCTCGATTCCCAACTACGAGGGGGGCTGAATAAACCTGGGAGTTGCTTTCAACAGCGGACTGATCAAGCCTTGAAGTTTGGCCCTTTTGCGACTGGTATAGTAATCTTGAATGATGCTATGCAAAGGTCTATGCATCTACGACCCTTACCCCTAGCCTGAGGAGGGCCATGAAATATGTTTAATATTACAGTTGAGATTCCCAGCTTTTGTCGTCCATCTTACACTGCCCCACCTGTCTATTCTTGTTTGTACAATTCCTGCTCTACGAGACGATTAGATCCCCGCAAATGATCGAAACCCCTCAAACCGCGGCGGTGCTGCCGCAAAAACGAGTTTTCCAGGCTTGGCTTCATTGCTCTGTACCCCTCAGGCCGTCTTCTTGTAAGGATACGCCAGCGGCACGTCCTTGCGCGTCCAGACGAGCTTCTTCCTCTTTGTCGTGACGTGCTCGGCCCACACCTCGTCGGCGTACTCCTTGCGAAACTGCCGGATAAAGACGGGGTCCCAGAGGTCCGACGCGACACCGAGGTCCTTGCAGCACCGCATCAGGGCGTTGGACTTGCAGCCCTCGACGGCCGAGGGGAGGTTCTCGACAGAGAAGTAGCCGTTTTCGCCCTGCGCTTGGGAGATGAAGCTGTTTTGCGGGAAGTACTTAGTCTTTTGCTCATATTGTTTTTTTGCCATGCGCATCGAAAGGAACAAAGAGAGATGTGAGGGGATTGGATTTGGAGAATCAGTCCAGTGTTTAGCACGTACCGTCCTTCGGCGATGAGAGCATACTCTCTCGTCACGACCTTTTCCCCGACGACGACGTCGCCCTTTGGCACGAGACCCCACCCGCCGGGCCCAAAGGCCTGGTTCAGGATGCGGCGGTACTTGATCTCGGGAAGGTAGACGATGCCGTCGGGCTTCACCTCCACGTCGGCGGGGTTGACGGGCTGCAGGAGGATGTCGACGATTTCCTTTGAAAACCGTGCCGTGCCGAGGCCGTGGTAGGATGTTGACCAGTCTATCGGCTGTTGCTGGTGTTGTTGCTGTTCTCCGTTGTGTTGGGGAGGAGGGACGTATGGTGGCGCGGTCGGGAAGGTCGTGGTTGACGAGGGCGCTGCGGTTGTCGCCTCGGAAGGAGTTGCTGAGGAGGAGGAGGGGTTCGTGTTTGCGGATGCGTCGGCAGGTTTCGAAGCTTTCGAGGAGGCTGCGGCGCGGGATGTGCTAGGGTTTGCGGACGGAGCTTTTCTGGCGTATGACGGTGCGCTCTTTGTGGGGGATGTAGCGGCCGCAGTGGCGGAGGCCTTGTAGCGAGATGTCGTGGCTATTCTTGCGACTGGGGTGAGGTTTGCCGTCGCCGTCCGCAATGCGCGCACGAGGGGGCGCATGGTGAAGGAGGAGGCCATCGTGATTTATCTTAGCCACACGATTCGCCCTTTCGGTCGAGAAATGGCGGCGAGGGAGGCGAGGGACGAGATCTACTAATCCAGATATTAAAGATAAGGGAAAAACACCTGCGCGCGCGCGAGAGAGAGAGGCGGGACGAAGGTGACGGGGGGTTGTTGGGTGGTTGCGATTTGCGCGGTGTCAATGAAGCTCACAGGTCCGGGACGGCAAATGGAGCTGGGCGACGGAATCCAGTGAATGAAATTTGGTCGGCGCGGGTGAACGCGGCGCCCGGGAGGCGGGAGCTTGGGCCACACTCCTTGGGAGCTTGAACACTGTGCGAGCGCCTTTTTTCTCTTGCGCTGTTGTTCAAACACAACTTCGGTTGTTGGCGTCAGTCCACTCGCCCTCGGGAACTGGCAGTGAGTGAGTGAGCGAGTGAGCGTGAGAAGAATTGTGATTCGATTAGTGAGGAATTGTCTACAGGTGTTGATACAGCTTGTGTACAAGATTCAGCTCTTGACCAAAAACGACGTCGTCATCTTTTGCCTCGGACTATGCGTTCTTCGCGTCCGTCCGGCGATCGTTGCCCTGCTGCTTCCAACAGCTCTTGAAATGCTCCATCTATCGTCCCCCGGATGCCCTCGTCAGCTTCGAATCCTGTTTCTCCATTGTCCCGGCAAGGCAAGAAATTCTCATGCAAAGAGAGGAGACTTACCTCGGCCGTACACTGTCGCCAATCCTTCTTCTCGAAATAGCAATCTGTCAACTTGGCATTTTCATCTGTAGAGAGGACCAGGTAGAGCAAAGTTAGCGTCGCAATCCGGGTGTTGGGGTTGCCTCGCCCACATCTTCCGCTCAGATCCGGAGGGAGAGAGTCGATGCGTACCTGCGCAACCCGTGCTGAAGATGCGCTTGTCCCTGCATATCGGTAGTTAGCCTCGCGGCTATTGTTTACATATTTTTTCCAATTGTTTTTTTTCTTTTCCAAATCTTGCCTTTGTTACATCGCGAGCGACAAAACCTTGTTCTGGGAGAAACGACAAGACAGACGGGGTCGAGAAAAGGAACGAGGTTCTTTGACTTACCAATCATCGGGCTCGTCATCCTCTGTCGACGACTTTTGCGCCGCGTCGCTCTCCTGCTTGGACATTGTATTTCCCGTCTTCTTCCTTGGTGGTCAAATTCCGGTCTCAGACCAGACGTCGTTGTCGTTCGGTGTCGGCGCCTGAATTGTATGAAAGGTGTGAGAGAGTCTCACTCAATCCAGTACCACCGGAACTTTGTTGGGGGTAAGACAGTGCCAACCAAATTGCCAACCCCCGAAACGACGACTCTTGCCACAGAAACTCACTCATCACTCCCAAACTCATCTCATCCCTCATCGCCCTCAGTCACAGCCTCTCACCATGGCCTCACGTAAACTCAACGTGCTGGTCTATACCGGTACCCATATCCATTTTCCTCAATTCATCATGTAAAACAAAACTGACAATTATAAAAATGGAGGCACCGGCACAACCGTCGAATCGGTCCGCCACTGCATTTACTCCCTCCGCCGCCTCCTCTCCCCAACCTACGCTGTCATCCCCGTCGCCGAGGCCGCTCTCCTCAAGGAGCCGTGGCAGCCCACCTGCGCCCTCCTCGTAATCCCGGGCGGCGGCGACCTCGGCTACTGTCGCGTCCTCAACGGCGCGGGGAACCGCCGCATCGCCGATTTCGTCCGCCGCGGCGGCGCCTACCTCGGCTTCTGCGCCGGCGGGTACTACGGCAGCCGCCGGTGCGAGTTCGAGGTTGGCGATCGTACCCTCGAGGTCATTGGGTCACGCGAGCTCGGGTTTTTTCCGGGCACGTGTAGGGGCGGCGCGTTGAAGGGGTTCGAGTACCACTCTGAGAGGGGGGCGAGGGTGGTGAGGTTGGCTGTCAAGGAAGGGTTTGGGGAGGGCCAGGGGCAAAGGCAGGGGGAGGAGGTGCTGAGCTACTACAACGGCGGAGGTGTCTTTGTCGATGCTGAAAAGTTTGACAATGTGGAGGTGCTCGCGCAGTACGCCGATGATATTGCCGTCGACGGAGGAGCGGGCAAGGCGGCCGTGATACACTGCAAAGTCGGCTCCGGCAACGTCATTCTCACCGGTCCTCACCCAGAGTATGTCTCACCATCAACCCATCCTCCTTTTGTAACCTCTCCAACTAATAATTAACCTCTAGATTCGCAGCAGCTAACCTCAACCCCCAACCTCATATCCCCTCCTATGAATCCCTCGTCTCGGCCCTCGCAGCCGCCGACGCCACCCGCGTAACTTTCCTTCGCGCCTGCCTCTCACGCCTCGGCCTCGACCTCAGCGCCGACCCAGCTGCACCGCCGTCCCTCTCGCGCATGCACCTGACCTCGGCGAACCACGTCGGGGTCGGCGAGATGCTCGCCTCGTGGGAGGAGGCCATCACCCGCGAGAGCGGTCAAGATTCCGAGGAGAAGGAGGAGTACATTCGTGGCGAGCACGACGTGTTCCGCATCGAGAAGCGGTCTTCGCTGTGGGATGTCGACGAGCTCAAGCAGGCGCTGCCGTCTTCTGGTTCTGGGTCTGGGCGGGCAGGTGAGGACCGAATGGTGGATTATGACGCCTTGGTCAAGGTGATTGTCCCGCATGAGGAGGAGTGGCCGGACGCCAAGGAGACGCCGAGCTTCAACCACCGCCTGTTCTACAACTCGCTCAAAGAGTATCGCGCCATGGAGCCCACGGCGGAGGAATGGGGTGAAACCCTCATGTACGGCGAAGTCGTCACCAGCACGAACACGCTCTTGGACAAGTACGTTCCCCTTCCCTCTGCCTCTCATAACACCGCTGGGGAAACAATAAGTCCCCATTACCTCAGCTGACGATTCTCATTCTCTAGAAATCCCAAACTGCTTGCCCACCTCCCGACCGGCTTCACCCTCACAGCCACAACCCAAGTCGCCGGCCGCGGCCGCGGCACAAACGTCTGGGTCTCGCCAGCGGGCTGCCTCATCTTCTCCACCGTCATCAACCACCCGGCGCACCTAGCCGCCTCGCACCCGGTCGTCTTCATCCAGTACATCGCAGCCATCGCCATCGTCGAGGCCGTGAAATCGTACGACGCGGGCTGCGGCGACGTCCCCGTGAAGCTCAAGTGGCCCAACGATATTTGTAAGCCACTCTGCCAGAAACCATGAAGCGCTTCAAGATCTCGTAGACCTAACGAACGTGCAGACTGCCGCGACCCCAACTCATCACCCTCGGACCCCTCCTACGTCAAAATCGGCGGCATCCTCTCCAACTGCGCCTACTCCCAAGGAGCCTACCAAATCGTCCTCGGCATCGGCATTAACACGACGAATTCCCGCCCCACCACCTCGCTCAACGCCATCGCCCCGGCCGCCTTGCGGGGGGCGGGCGGCTTCCGCCTCGAGACGCTCCTCGCGCGGATCCTCACCCGCATCGAGGCCGCCTACGCGCAGTTCCGCCGCGAAGGGTTCTCGCGCGACCTCGAGGAGCGGTATTACGCGCACTGGCTGCACTCGGGCCAAAACGTAACGCTTGAGGCCGAGGCGGGCGCCAAGGCCAAGGTGGTGGGCATCACGCGGGACTGGGGCATGCTGAAGGCCGTCGAGGTGGACGGGATGGGGCGGGAGACGGGGCGGATGTGGGCGCTGCAGAGCGATGAGAATAGTTTTGATTTCTGGAAGGGGCTTGTCAAGAGGAAGTTGTAGAGGTTGGACCGATGAGGGCCATGGTGTGCCACGATGGCTGGCTTGGTGTCTTGGAAGTCTGAAGAGTCTTGGAATCGGCCTGACGATCCGTCTCGATTCGGGCTCTCCAATGGATGTCTGCGGATCGCATCTTGCTACGTAACGCTGATGAAGGCACTCTTTCAATGTGAATGAAAATAAGCTGCATGGAAAGCTAATGTATTGGTGGGACGGTCCAAAAGAGGCACAGCCGTCTCACGGGGTCAGCTGCGGGAGCGTCCGGGTTGCCAGTGTCAGCTTCATGCCGCATCTGGATAATTGTACGGAATCCATTCCAGCTGACACCTCGAATCAAGTTTCTCAAGCCCCTCGGTCGCCAAGTAATTGTCATTGAGACCTCTGCCAATAACTAAGGTATTTTACACGGTCCTCGGAATCTCGTTCGCCGCCTTCTATCGGCCTTCCAGAGCCCCGATCTCTCCGTCTGACTCCCTTTATACAGGAGCTGTTACCCCCAGTTACCAAATTCTATAAGCATTATTATAATATCCAAATTGCCATTGAGACCTCTACCAGTGACTACTTTACATAATCCTCAGAATCTCCTTCGCCAGCCTCACATCGGCCTTCTGGAGCCCCGATCTCCGTCTTACTGCCTTCATACTGGAGCTGTGCCCCCGGTCCACCTTGGAGACAATGCGGAGAAAAGGTGCGCGAGAAATCGAAACGAAACATGCCATTCTGCTTCGAGAAAATAGAAGTCCTCTCCCTCTGACCCACCAAATGACGACGGGGTGATGCCTTGACATTTGACATCCGAGAAAAAAATGGCACAATAAATATCGCCTTGCACCGCCTAGTCTCGCACCCATGACACAAATTCCCATCATGAGAGCAATTGAAATTCTCGGACGACGCTGCTACCGCCCAGGCCAATCCATCCGCAGCATCTCATCATCATCGAATCTCAAGCTCAAGCTCACCACCAGCCCTCACGCCCACAGCAGATTCGCTCACCCCGCTGCTCTCACTTCCAAAGTCATAACCACGCGATCCTTGACAACTTCACAACCATCTCCCAACATGACTACAGAAGAACTACCCAAAGTGAAGCTCTACTGGTACGCCCCCTCATCACCACCACTACCACCACCAACCTACACACCCCCCCCCCCCCACCCCCACCCCCCACACCACCCAACCCCCCCCCGCCCCCACCCCCATCCAAAACAAAAACAAAAACAACAACTAACTACCCTGACACCCACCCCCCACCACACCACCCCCCCCCCCCCACCACCCCCCCCCCCCCCCCCCCCCCCCCATCCCCAGAAAGCTGATCTACTCAAGGCTCAACGACTCCCGCTCCCAAAACACCGTCTGGCTTCTCGAAGAACTCAAGATCCCCTACACCGTAGAACTCTTCCGCCGCGCGCCCAACCGCCTCGCGCCCCCCGAGCTCGAACGCGTCCACCCCCTCGGCAAGGCGCCCGTGCTGGAAATCACGCCCACGCCGAGCGACGACCCGGGCGCGGAGCCGGAGCAGCCCATCCTGCTCGCCGAGAGCGGATACATTACGCAGTACCTCGTCGAGCACTTTGCGCACAGAAAACCGAGCCTCGTGCCGCCGCGGTGGAAGCCCGGACGGGAGGGCAAAGTCGGGGGTGAGACGCAGGCGTATGCACGATTCTGGTATCTGTTGCACTACATCGAGGGCAGCTTCTTGCCCATCATTGTGCAGTTTCTTCTCATCAACGGTAAGATGGAAAATATCATGCTACCTTGAAGCCGGGATTTCCCCTTCCAATGTCAACAGTCTAACGCAAAATTATTACATGCAGTCTTGAAATCATCCAACATCCCCTTTTTCATCCGCCCCATCACTTCTGCCGTCGCCTCCAAAATCTTTTCACTCGCCATCTTCCCAAACGCCCAGAGGCACCTCGCCATGCTCGAGAACTACCTCAAGACCGCGCCCGGGGTGTCAGCGTCTAGCGGTGGTGGTGGCGGCGGCGGCGGCGGGTTCCTCTGTGGGCCGGAACTCACGGCCGCGGACATACTCATCAGCTTCGCGTTCATCGCGGCCGATGCCGAGAATGTGTGGGACTCGGTGGGCAGCTGGCCCGGCGGTTCGGCGAGGGCGGCGCATCCTGTGCTCTTTGAGTACGTCGAACGGCTCAAGAGGGAACCCGGGTATTTGAGGGTTTTGGAGAAGATTAAGGAGATTGAGGGGTGATGAGGTGACGGTTCAGATCCGACGGCGGCTTCAGGTGCGGATCTCACGGGCGGTTTCGTCGGGCTGCATGGAAGAGAGTCGGGAAGCACTTTTGAGGGGGTTTTGGAGATGGAATCTCTAGTTGCCTTGCGGATCGAGTGAATCTTGACAGCGCGGGTTGAAGTATTTATCGCGGATGTGGAGAGATGATGTTTTCTGCTGTAAGTGGATGTTGGTGCTGGTTAGGCCTGGACTTATTCTCAAATTTCCTGATTTGGAGTCATTTTGTGATCAGTCAGTGTCGCGATACGTCGAATTACGACACAAAGGAAAGGGAAATTCCCATTTCCAACTCCAAGACTTCCTGTTATGAGTCCCGATTCATGCTCTCAAGCGTGTCATATTTCTCCACGTCGCCAAGAATGCACCGTGAACCAGAGTCATCGCCAAGGTGTGTAGCCATGATGAGGCTTACAAGGACGCTGTACTCCGTATTGCCGATCAGAGTGGGGACGCGGCCACTGATGAGGATTCGCATCTGTCGAAGCGCGCAGCAGAGGCTGGAAGTAGAGACTGGAAGCAAAGAATGTTGAAGGGCAGGTAGTATCAAGATTTGCAAAAGGACACAACTGTATTGTGCCTCGGATTCTATCATCCACACCTAGGGAGTTGCCATGATGGTCTCACTCGAAGCTTCACGAGGTGCATTCCCCAATCCGTCGCATGGCCTCGGCCAGAATGACAAGGTTACAGCTGGCGGCGGCAGCACGGTGACATCGCACAGGGCCAGACACGGCCAAAAAAACCACCCAGTGCAGATCTCGCCAACCCCTCGCAGCATCAAATCGAGCTTTTGAACCGGACCGAAGAGTTCTCGTAGAGTTCTGTGAGCTCTCTAGAGATATCCCCGCACGGCCTCGATCCTGAGCTAGATTACTAGATGCTGGAAAGTGCATTCGCCGTCATTAATAAGCTCCTATTGAACATGAACCTTTCGCAGCGTGAGCAATCGGCGCCGCCACAGAGATGGAGAACACAGGGCGTGAAAGACGGACCGAAAGTCTACATGTAGATACTCTGTTGCTGATCGGTGCCGCTTCTGCGCAAGAGAAACTCGGACCTATTGGCATATCTGTCCTAAGAGATATTGGCCGAGTGGATTTTGGAGGTAGAGTACGCAAAGAAGAAGCTCCGAGGATGCAGGAAGCAGCCGTGTCAGGGATTACCTCGAAGAAAAGAGTGTGGATGGACGAGCAGATCCATGACCTGACCTGGAGATGGGCAGAAAATGCAAATGCCGTTGTCGTCGTCGTCGTCGTCACCATCGCCAGCAAGTCTCGTTGGCCGGCCGCGCCATCATCCGCTCAACCGCCCACCCGCCCACTCGCTCATGTCGCCCGTAGAGGGTTCTGGATGGCAATTTTCGATTGCGTGGCGAACCAACACGGCAACAAAGCTTGGGATAAAGCATGCCAGAATGCATGGCAGAACGCATGGCAGAAAAGCCAAGAAACAAGACGGTCCCACCAATCGGCGCGGTAATCAAGCCAGGTTCTTCCGGATCGGGAAAGTCCCGGACGGCGCTCCGTGCTGCCACGCTGCGTGATGTGGGAGATGTGGAAGATGTGGGAGAGGGAGCATGTGGTCGCGGGATTTGCAGCGTGTGGAGGGGTCACCGTCCGCTCGACCAACCTTTGATAAGAAATGCAGAGTGTGTGGAATCTCTCACCCCGCATTGACGAATTCGACGGCGACTGGTGCGGGAACTCGTTCGAGTTGGAGTAGTCGACGCGGGGTGTGTTAGTTTCTCTTCTTTTCCTCATACTCTCAATGCTCTGTCTCTCTCTCTCTCTCTCTCTCTCTTTCTTTCTTTCTTCGGAGTTTATCGTGAGATGACAGCCGGAACTGTTTCATTCTTCGTCCCAGAAACACCATACCAACTGGGGCGGAAACCATCCATAGCCATCCAATATGTCTACCCCGTTTCACTCAGATGGGATGACAGCTGAGGTGAAGCTGAAGAGGTGACAGGACACATCAATCACGAACCGTTCAAGGAAGCCGACTAGCTGGACAACCCCCCTCCCCCTCCATCGGCCTCTCCCGCCGAGAACCCCAAAAGAAACACCTATCCGCCCAATCGCGATCCCATCCGTTTAGCCTGCGACTTGCATCTGGCACACTTGCAGTGTACAATTGTCACTCGCTCATCTTTGCTTTTGCCTTTTTGAGCACATGCAGACATGGACAACCCAAAAGCCCACAAACCCACTCACACATACGCACACTCAAAGACAGACAGACAGACACACCCACACGTCCACACCATACCGGGAGCCAATGCGCCCGCGCCGACGAATCGTGTTAGCTTCTTCTTTGACGCGGAACCTACACCCGGGGGACGATGGGTGGGCCGAGGCTCGGGAGATGTTTCTCCAGGGTCTTTGCTGGGCTAGCATGTTCGCCGCGAGTCCAAATCTGTATCCTCCACTTGGCCCGCATGATGAGGATGGACCTTGCCAACCCAGCAGTTGGGTTGTCTCTGATATCTCGCTATGTAAGACGCCGGATCTGCTCTTGGGCAGTGGGTGGTTGCTCTCTGGCCAAGTTCATCCCCTTCCTTCACGTTGTCGGTCTGGATCCAGAATCCGCTCCCATGTCTTCGAGGCATGTAAGTCCTCATTGACCACCAAGCGTGGCCGATCGCAAGCATCAAGAACATCTCCGACCAAACCTTCGGCGACTCGCGCAGTTGTTCCATTCACGATGTCAAACTTTAGCAGCATCAGTCTCAACCTCACCCATCCTCACACATCGTCGTCGTCCACAACAATACCCGCGACGGTCCTCAAGGAAATCGTGAGTCCATGTTCCATCTTCACACATCCTCGTCATACTATTCCCCCTTACTATCCAAAAAAACAACACTTCCCTAACATCGAAATACAGCAAGATGCAAACGTCCCCCTCTTCATGATGGGCCTCCTCCTCCCTCACGCCCTCTGCACCCTCTTCACCTCCGCCCGCTTCGCCTCCCGCCTCTGGGTCACCTGCAAATGGTTCCTCGAGGACACACTCATCCTCATCGCCTGGGTCTTCTCGACGACCCTCTGCGTAGTCTACAGCATCACCGCAAACACCCCCTCGCTCCTCGGCGCCCCTTCATCCTCCTCCTCCTCCCTAGCCGACACCGACGCAAACCCGTACATCATGCGCACCTACCTCGGCCTAATATACTACCAAATAACCCTCGTCTTCACCAAACTCTCCATCCTAGCCCTCTACCTCCGCGTCTTCGCCTCCTCTTCCCCCCGACCCAGGGACCGCCTCATCGCCCGCGCAGCCGTCGCCTTCGTCCTTTTCTACACCTTCCCCTTACTCCTCATGAGCTTCCTCCAATGCAACCCCGTTCAAGGCCAGTTCTTCAGCCACCCGACGCAGGTGTGCTTCCGCTTCCCGGACCTCCTCATCGCCAGCGCAAGCCTGCACTCCGCCACAGACGCCTGGCTCGTCGCCATGGTCGTCCCCTTCATCGCCAGGCTCGACCTCCCGCGCCGCCAAAAGATCGCCCTCGCCTGTGTCATGAGCCTGGGCGTTCTTGTCATCGTCGCCAGTATGGTCCGTCTGCAGCTGAGCCTCCACCTGCACTACCGGCCCAACGACGACGACGCCGGGGTCCGCAACACCCTCGGCTTCTTCGTCATGACCGTTCTGGAATGCGACCTCGGGCTCATTTGTGCCAGCGCGCCGACCCTCCGGCCCCTTCTGGCGAGACTGTTCCCGTCCGTGGTGATGAACACCGCAAAGCGCAGATCGCTCGAGTCCGGCGCCGAGACGCAGAGCTTCGACCTCACGAGCCTGACGTACCACGGGTACCCCTGGACGGAACCCAGCACGCCCGCCGGCATCGCGGCGCGGAGCAGGAACGCCAGCATCTCGAGCCACCTCAACAAGCTCCGCATGCCGGTGCCGCCCCTCCCGGTTCTCACCCTGGCGCAGCTCGGGCCGCCGACGCTGGGTCTGGGAAGCTTAATCACCGGTGCGGCGCCGCGGAGACCGAAGCGGAGTTGGCCTGTTACGGAGGATGGGACACCAATCTTGTTTGAGACGTCGGAGAGGGAGAGGGGGGGATATGCTTCGCAGGCGTCTTCTGTTTATTCACAGGATATGACATGCGCTGGTGATGACGCGTGGCGCGAGGAAGAGTATGAGACAAAGGGCGGCGTGATACTCAAGACGATGAGGGTGAGCCTTCGCTCCGAGTATGTGACACAGAATGATTCCGAGGGAGGAGCAAGGGTGGCGCCGGCGAGCATCGACCGTTCGAGTCCGGTGTCTGGGCTCAGCGGTGATACCTGGCCCGTGACCGTAGACAGAAGCAGGGTAGGAATGACGGGACGAAATGCAGTCGAGGGAAGATTAGGCGGAGTTGTGAACGAGATACCCAGGGAAGAAGCAGTCGAGAGTGAGACGCCAGAAGTTCCCAAGCGAAGCCCCTTGAGGAACAGTGAAAGATAATAACGAATGCAATCATGTTTGACAATCCTGAAGAAACCATCCCTCCAGAAACTTTTTTAGATTTTGATAACAGGCCCATGCAGACACGAGAGAGCAAAGCGGCAAGGAAGCAAAAACATGGAGATGTGGAATGCGCGCTTGGCTAGGTCAATTTGCAGACCGTTTCTATCAATATCAACATATGATATCTCGTGTCTCGGCGGCAACCAATCCCGCCACAAGGTATTAGGTATGTATATATAGCAGGGCAGATTTGGCCAACATAGCGGGCACCCAACGGTACACAAAGCCGTCTCAGCATCGTCAATGAAGAAGACATTATTAAAACCGTTGATTTTCCATTCCCATCAGAAAATCAAAAAGGCACGTGGAGCATTGTGCGCAAAAGATTCCGAAACCGAGAATCGAACTCGGGGCTATGCCTAACCTCTCATGAATGAGAGGGCATCATGTTGGCCACTACACCATATCGGATGTGGATACTTTCGAGGTCGCTCCGTAGCGCTTAGGTAGGCGGGGCGGTGCTCATGGCATGTCAAAGGCAGCGAGATTTGAATTTCTCCAGGGTGAATGAAGTGAGGCTTGAATTAGAAACGTTGATAGTGCTTGTCTTACTCGGCCTATGGGGATCGTATGGCGGTTAGAGGTCTTGATTAGAACTAACTCTTACCGACTCAGATGCTTTAACCCCCCCAAAAAGTACAAAACTACAAGCACAGTGCCTGATTAGAGCGTCGGCTACTCGCCAGTAATTCTCAGTATACGTACGACCTAGAAAGGGCCCTTCCCAGCGGCTTAACTCTATTTATGCCATGTGGAATTACTATCGCAGGGTCAACAAGCCATCGGGTCGAGTCTAAACCTCCACATGTTAGCACTCCCGACTTCACAATTGTGAAGTTGTATCATTCTGAAAATACCTTGCCTCGAGGTACTTTTTGAATCTCCCAAAAGTCTTCCATTCGCAGTTATTTCTATGTATTTCTCTCTTCTTTTTGCTACAAACTTAGCTAACATTTGTTTCAAAGAACTCCTCTTTCTAATTTGTCACTTTTGAAAGCCTTTCGCAGCTTCTCCCTGATCCAGACCCGGAATGGCACACACATACACACACACACACACGATGACGCACTTGGCCTGCTACACCAATTCAGTAGCAAGTCAGTGCACATTGAGAGGGCCAGCAACTGCGGACGACACCATGAAGGTCGAGAAATGCAGCTCGTTCTGCTCAAAGTATAGCCATTCTGGTGTCGAGTACGGGAGAGAGATTGCTACTGCGACAACAACTCCCAGGCTCAAATCGTCGCAGTCAACCAGAGGGAGTGCGGCTTCGCCTGCTCCGGGAGCTCCTCCGAACACTGCGGCGCCGGAAACCGTATGGACATCCACAACAACTTTGGCTTCTCCAACCCGAAGCCCGCCGCGCTCGTTGACCATCTGGATCTGGGGATGCTTCGTCGACGACATGGCGACCTCGCGGAGTGTTGAGGTCAATTACCAACCGGCACTAACGGGAAACAGCGGCGGACCAGCTTGGTATGTTGTCGGATATGCGGGAATTGGTTTGCAATATCAGCAGTACGTGATGCGGACGCGTGTCCGGTGGCCCTTTGATAGCAAGGGACTAGCAAGCTTTGTTCGGTTTCTCGTTTTCCAAATGCAATTTGATGCCAGCCATGGTATGAGCTCAATAGGACAGCAGAGACTTTTACTGGCAACATGTTTTGAGAAGCATCGCACTGACCCATGGGTTATAGCTTAGATCAAGTCTTGGGGTTTGTCGCTCTATGACCAGTTTTATATCATCAGTTATGGCAATTGTACGAGAATCAAATCTCGTTCCGCGGGATTGTTGTTCTCGAAAACTCATTGTAGCTGGTACTAGCGTGGAGGGAACTACAAATGGTGTGGTTAACTCATTAAGCGCTTCCCCATTCGACTGAATAAATTAGCGGCCAGGGAAGCTGCTGCTGTGTTGGCAAAAGTGTCCCGGAATCTGGCAGATCATGCCATTGCGGAAAATCAAATCATGGCTGCAAAAGCTGTCAGTACGCGAGCCTATCGTCTGTCCGTATTCCAGCGGCATTTACAATGCTATAGGCAAAAGAAAAGATTTCGCTGGCTTCTCGACCGGTGTTCAGCCGACTATGAAACAATTGAGCCTGCGAGTATATTGCTAATGTCATCGTCTGTTTGGCGTTGTAGTCGCTCTGAGACTCTTCCCTGTTCTTGGTATTAATGCTCGTGCTTGACACATGTCCCTTAGCGCTAACTGGTTTTGAGCAGGGCCCGCCGTACAGTTGTCGCAGTAAGTTGACTAAACGAAAAACCAGACCGATCAACAGGCAGCGATTGCCTTCCAATGATATCTACTTTGAAGAAAGAAATTTTCGCTAATTTTGGAAGTTCACAACTCCAAGGCGTCGACACTTCTGCCCAGGGTAGTAATGTCAACTGTCAGTACATGTTGATCTCTTCCATGATTGAGACCAAAATTTCAATCCTGTCACGCGTCAATCAGGCTTGTTACGACCGGAGCTGAGATGAATGGCAAGTTTGGCATTGCTTACTGTCTTCAAGTCGAAACAAGAAGGGATGGGGAGAAAATTGCTTCTCCCTGCCGAGCAGTTCCATCTGCCCAGTTTAATCAAACTCGGTGGATTGACCACGCGGCAAATCGCCCCCAGGCAGAGAAGCGCACGTACCACTTGGGCATCGCTGCTCGCACACAGCGGGTATCCGTACTAGTAGGCACTCTGAGAGTTTTTACCAGGGTTGCTTATTTTCACATCGGAACCAAAAATTGAGTCAACTGACTCGTGAGCCTATAGCGCGTATATCACACTTACACGCAAAGACTTTGATGCAGTGGAAACACACCACGGGGGGCTGCAGAACGATATTTCCAAGAAATGCTTGCATTTGTACAGGATGTAAAGAAGATGAGGTATCTACAGAATTGAAAGCTGCCGCTTATCCCATTACCACTGGGGGTAAACTTGACCCGGGGCTTATGGTTCTTTTTTAAAAAAGAAAAGCGTAAAAACAAAGTCAAGTCCAAAAAAGTACGGAGTGACTTAAATCTTGCCGTAGCCAGCGCTGCTGCTGGAGACGGAAGAGGGGGCGACGGCGTCGGGGATATCGGCGCTGCCAAACTTGTTCAGAACGCTGGTGTCGGAGCCGGTGAAGGTACCAGAGCTGGTGAAGCTGTTGGCCTGGCAGGCACGGCCGAGCTTGGAGGAGCAGTCGTCGGCGTTGGCGGAGGTGATGGCGAGGGTGGCGCCGTTGTCACCGGCCTCGATGACGGTCTCGACGTTGTTGAAGACGTTGCCCTCGGCAAGGACATAGCCGCCAGAGGTGACCTCGAAGCCGTGGCCGGTGGACTCGGCCCAGTAGTTGTTCAAGGCGTGGACAAAGGAGTTTCCGTTGACCTTGGGGGCACGGCCTAGTGTGCTGTTAGCTGTCTGATGCCTTCATGCTGCCAGTGTTTCTTTCGGGTTTGTGGGTTTTACTTACCAGAGAAGTGGTGGATGTAGTTGTTCATGTAGGTGATAGTGTCGCTGGAGCCGGCGAAGTAGTTGACCCAGTAGTGGTAGCCGTCGCAGGTGGCGGAGTAGTCGCTCTGGCCGTCAAACTCGCTGTTAGAGACGGTCACCTTGCCGGAGGCGGCGGTGCCGAGGACGAGGTGCTGGCGGCCAATCTTGGAGGTCTGAGTTTTGAGATGTTAGTGGTGTTTTGACACCAGAAGATCTCAGATATGTTACTCACGGTGACGTGGTCGATCCAGACGTTGTCAGTGGTGTCGAGAGTGATGGCATCACCACCCCAGACGTACTTGGGGTTAATGTTCTCAATCTTGATGTTTTGGATAATGACGTTCTTGGCGCCGGCGATTCTCAGACCCTTGCCGACAATGACACCCTTGGAGCCGGATCCGATGATGGACTTGTTGGAGCCGACCTTGATGGGGTTGAGACCGGCCTTGCTATAGGTGACGGAGACGGACGGGGCGCTGGATTGGTAGTTGTCGCACCACGAGTCCTTGTTGATGGCGAGCTGGCAGGCGGAGGCGGTTCCCCAAGGGGCGCAGCCGGTCTCGGTAGCAGTGCCTTCGGAGTCCGTGAAGTCGAACGTCTTGGTCAGGACGATGACGCGAGCGGTCGAGTCGCCGAGGTACGAGACCAGCTCGTCGTTGGTGGTGGGGGTAACGGCCGTGGCAGAGCCGCCGCCGGTGACGCCGGAGGCGAAACCCTCGGGGGTGCCGGTGACGGAGACGGCAGCGGCGTGCTGGGCAAGGGCCGCAGCGGCCAGAAAGAAAGACTTGGCAAACATCTTGAAAAAAAAAACGTGTGGAAGAGGATGAACGAAGGAAAAGAATGAGTGATTGTGGGAAGGAAACAAGACGAGGGAACGGATGGACAACAAAGGTAACCTCGAGTTGATATACCATTGAAGCCTCAAATGGAAACTGGGTCCCTCGATGAGCCCATCCTCGCCATTGGATCAACGAATTCTCATGAATCCATCAACTTGCCATCAACAACTGATGACTTGGGCCATTCCATGGATTATTGACCACTGGCCGCGTAGTATGGCCCCCCTTTGGTGATGCGGGCGCCTAAACAACCATGGAATTGGATATATGACGGGGGCTTCCCGCTCCATACACAAGTCCAATGGCAGAACCAACGATTACTGAAAAGGGTAACGATGGCTGGTCATCCGAGGAGGCATCCCGGACGTCGAGGGTGTGGTCAGGGAGGTTCGTGGCACAGACCTAATCAATGTAAAGCTCCGATCGACGCAGGACGGAGTACGTCCTGTGTGACATTAATTCTGCCAGGTCCACCCCATCCTGCCACGCGGGTCCGTCCCGAAGCAAACGAGCCTAACAGAGACCACTAGCGATTCCAAGAAACCACAAAAAGTCCCATTAGCGTCCGGGTTTGGGATCCTTTGCCGCTCCGTAGCTCACTTCCGTGCTTCCCAAGGTCGGAACCCACGTTGGACTGGCGAAAACCCCCTGACATCCCGCAGCGCATACAATCCCCCCACCACCCGAATCAGAAATTCAAAATCAGTTCAGGGGTGGCTGTTAGACAATGTACGAGGCCGGATTCGCGAGGCTTTCTTATCCTCCATGCTGAGCAAAAGGAACCTCGGGGACACTAAAGCCACGACGAGATGGAGCCGCAGGAGCGCACAGCATTTGCCAACACGCATTGAGTCCCCCCTCCGCTGTCACCACCAGTCCCGAGGCTAAGGATCGTGGGGAGCTTATTTCATCTGAAACTACGCTGTATTCGGAACTCACCAGCACTGAACAGGGAGCGACCAGCAAACACAAGGTGACGTGAGATGAGAGAGGCACTCAGAGCCGAGGGGACTGGACCATACACGTACATGATGTGGGCACGAAAAAAGATTTGTGGCTCAAGTGTGATTTTTGGCGGGGCCGAAACAATGCAACCAAGAACCGCATTCTCTTTCCCCTGAGAAGTAGCAGTAGGGGAGGTGGAGGGCAGTGTAAAGTATTGATGGCGGCCAGACCCCAATGAAGCGGATTATTGCATCATTTGACGTTAGGCGAGCCTTCCTCGGTTCATTGTGACATGCACTGCAACGCTGATTTTAGTTTCCGCTGCTGAGCCAGGCTTCGTCTCGAATATCGAGTGTTCGAGAAGCCGCGACGCAAGTAATTTATTCAGCCAGGGGACGCGCAATACGTCGGTGAGGTACCGAGGCATCGAATAAACTTGGTCTCACTCTCCTGGTCTTCTCGGCCGCGCTGATTAGACTAGATGATGAAGCGGGCCGTTTCCGGTGGTTCCCGGCCGAGAGCTACTCGTCGAAGTAATTCCCCTGTTCGTCCAGTCTTCACATTGCCTCCACCTTGGCGAGGGTGCAAAAAAGACGTTACGTGAGGTCTCGAAGAGACAAATTAGTCAATATGGCAGAAAGTTGAAAGAGATTGATATGCGTCAGTCGAGATACGAAGACTGGAGTTCATCGCCTTCACCATCGCGTCTGGTCGGACAGGAAGGATGAGAAGTACTCTGGAGAGGTGCATGGATTTCATAAAATAGCCATGCATCCTGCTAATTCCTCGCAAATGAGCCAGGAGTGCTTTGTACCGATACGGTCGACGTTGTTTCATCAACACCTTTAAAGACATTTGCCAAGAACGCCAAGAACAACTTCAAAAACCGGCTGTAACCTGATAGTGAGCAAACATCAGACTAGATGTTGTGTTGATCAAACTCTATAACTCGACTAAACAACACATACATCTTCCTGACTTTACGGTGTTGACACCGACATTGATCTGCACGCGCTTGGATCGGGCGCTTCGATGTGTATGTTTTAAGGTTATCTCACAATGCTACGCCGGTAACCAGCCCTCTTCATTACGAGATTAACCGGGGGCCCGCGTTCCCATGTTCCGTAATAAACCATCTCCACTCTAAAGAGCGCACGTCTGGGGGAGTTGTCGAACTTCTGGCAACTCCAGAGTCAGTGATTATTTTTGAGTTCAAACTTTACTGCAGGCCCAAAGTCAATTCGAATGCCGCCAAGACCCCCCCCTTTTTGTTATGGTGGCCTATCCGTGTTGCTGGGGTACGATTAGGTGGGTTGATGATGCGGGAGCACATAGTAGTTCTGCACCAAGCTGGGGGAGGGCTCCAGCGCCCAGCTGCGGGCTCTACGGGCCCAGATCGCTGATCTTCATTTTACGGTAGTGGTTGACGGCAGATTTAAAGGCTTTGGTGGGTGACGCCAGAGCCACGCGATTGCTGAAGAAACATTGTTTTCCCCCTATTGAGATCCAATATGGAGGGGATAAGAGGACATAACTCCCCTTGGAAATGACAATCAGCTCAGCCATCGACGATGCCCACTAATTATCTCAATAGATGAATTGCTTTCTTTCTCAACTTCTGCTGAGTCAAAAAGTCAAGACGAGTCTTAACACGAGTTCGAGCCATGGCCACCAAAGACTTGACAGTAATCAGAAAGATGGGTTCCCTTTTTGCAGGCTTACCTCTTAGTGAGGTAGTTCATGATTTTCTCTGTAGTATCGGTGAACCAATTCAGGAGGCGCACGCGGTGACTTGTAGCGTTTGCGGCGTGGATTGTCTTCGAGTAATTCGCAGTCATCGATCAAGATTCATGTCCTTAAGAAGAGTGAGCATCTTATTGCTCTAGCGAGTCGACGGTAAACAAAATTAGCTACTTATCTCTCTAACATAGTAAGACCGTGCAATCTAGTAGAGTCTAGGTACGTATCGAAAGGTCGAAAACTTGAATTACATATTTTGTTATTGATTTGGTTGCCCTACTTATACGGTGAGTTTCTAATCTTTCAAAAGTAAAGCCGTACCTCGCCGTGTTCGAGTGGCTTGGATGTAGGTGCAGAGCAGACGTGTACCTTATGTTTACTTATTACTAAGTATGTATGCAGGCGAGGAGGAAAGTGCGGCCTTGGCTGAGGCAGCGGCTACAGTATAGGCTGGGCACGATTGAGTGGCTGCAGTCGTTTCAACAACTCTAGAAATGCGCCAGGATAAAATGTTGAAGTCTCTATTAGTCTTTCTTCCTTGAAAGTCACTTAGCGATTGTGAGAATTCGAAAATCGGCCACAAGACTCCGCTACTTTCCATTGACGAATTGGCGTTGTGCAACCCACCGCATGCGAGAAGAAGAAGGCGCACAGTATCGTGTAATGGCACTAGCATTTCTTTACTCGAATGAGCCAAAAAAAAAATTTATATATATGGAGGTATTACGAATTTGGAAATCTTTTAGATGCGAAGGTCAATTAGATGCTGACTTGCTCCCAAGTCTGAAAGTCAGCCTTCGGAGTTTAGGGTTTTGAGCAGTCAGCTTCACCCTACAGTCACCTCACCTCAGAGCGTCGCCAATTGTGCGTGCGTCACCGCCGCGCAATTTGTGTAAATTAGGTAGAGCAGCAAAGCATAAGTCGAAGGAATGCCTTGCAATCAACACCAGAAGAGACTCAGAGTTCTCACAGGTCAGAAACTTTATTTTGCATCTTCTTCTCATACTTGATCCTAATTGGCGGAAGAACCGTGAACCTTTCAGTCAAGTGGCTGGTGCATAACGGTCTCCGGAAGAAACGCCGAAAGAGTGGGAACGCCGATGGTGCAACATGTGCATCGATGGCGTTCATTGCAACGGTTTTCATGAGCGCCACCAACCACCGATAGTGCTCAGATGGTGTTATTGATTAAGACCGACAACTCGACATGGGCACCACGGAGATGCGGTCTTGTTTCGACAACGTTGAGTTTCCCAAGGGACTGAAAACACTGTGCTCACGCCGTCGTTTACTGTGCGAGTCTACAGTGCTAGTGTCTTATCACGAATTGTCAGGTTTCGATGCGTCAATCAGTGTTTCTCTCCACTAAGGACCCCATTGACAATACAACTCCCGTATGACGCTGTCGGCTCCTGCCGAGAAGAGAAAGCTTCAATTGACCGTCATATATCAGAGTTTAACCCGCAGAAAATAAGATCAAAGCTATGTAAGTACATATTCGAGATACAGTCTGGAGACCTTCAGTCCAGTCTGCTCGTCCCATCTTGTCGCCAGCTTGAGGAACCTTCCCACAGACAATTTCTGAGGCTTCGTCCGCTGTCAGACCCATGCACTTCTCAAGACTCTCTGCGTTGGCTTTGGCCGCCAGATTGGCCAGCGCCGGGAAAGGCCCCTTTCTCGAGCAGATTAATGACTCGACCTGGGTCATTGGAAATGATCACTGGAACCTAACCCAGGGTTCGCTGTATGCAACAAAGCTTTTCTGGGAGGGTGTCCCGGGCGCCGATCTTGTGGGTTCGGCCGTCGGCCACTATGTCGGCTACGGTAAGACGACCATCTCATCGCAACTTTACTTGATGAACCCGTGCTGACTGACATATTGCAAACATGAAGACGGGGAGAACAATCTTCAATTTACAAACGCCACCATCGCGTCCCGCGGTACCGACTACATCGACGTCAGCTTCTCTGCCGCTGCCGGCGACTTCCACTGGGTAATCTTTGACGACTTGACCGGCGCGTATCAGTACTTTGTCAACCGGGCCCTCCCCGACATTAGCATTCTCCGTACTCTATGGAGGCTAGCGCCCGACGTCTTCACCAACGGTCGCACGCACCTCAAGAACGAGCCCCTGCCTGACTTCTCGCTGTACGCCACCGCAACCAACGTCCAGGATGAGACTTGGCAGCTAGCCAATGGATCCTTCATCACAAAGTACGACTGGTCCAACGCCGTCAGGGATCGTGATTTCTACGGCGTCTATGGCTCAAAGGCCGGCTCTTGGTACATCCATCCGACGACGGAGTACTACAACAGCGACCACCTTAGCCAAACTTTGACGGTAAGCGATTCGAAGACTCCTGCAATCTTGTGGGCAAATTTCTGACCTGATGCCAAGATCCACCGAGAATCCAAGACTGGAGACGCCGTTCAGCTCAATGTTGTTCAAGACACTTCTCACTACCGCGTGGGCGAGAAAGTGCCTCAACCAGCAGGCAAGGTCTGGGGACCTTGGCTGTGGTATCTTGTAAGAAGACCTCGGGTCATGCGATAGTCAACCCCTCAAATTCCGCTAACAAATTCCCCCAAAGAACAACGGAGATGTAGCGGACGCCGCGCAAAAGCACACGGAGGAGGTCAAACATGTCCCTTACACTTGGTTCAAGGACGCCGCTTACCACTCTCGCGGCGGAGTCCAGGGGACACTAGTCCTCTCCGACGGCCGCCCTGCTTCTGGCGCCGCCGTCTTCCTCGGCGACACCGACACGACCATCCGTCCCTCCGTCCAAGGCAAGAACTACTACTACACGACATACACCAACGACAAGGGCCGCTTCTCCTTTGACAGCGTCCGAAGCGGCGCGTACGCCGTCTACGCGACCTCCAACGGCGGGAAGCTGGCCGACGTGTACACCAACTTCACTGCGCCACTGAACATCACAAAGAACAAGACGCTGAACCTCGGCGAGCTCTCATGGACCGTCCCCAAAAGCAAGCGGATCTTCCAGGTGGGCGAGTTCGACAAAAAGGCCAACGGCTTCAAGAACGGCGGCGTGCCCTACCAGCACGGCGTGGCCGCCCAGAGCCCCTCGAACCTAACCTTCACCGTCGGCGAGTCCCGGGACGAGGACTGGTACTTTGCGCAGTCCGCCATCGGGAAGTGGACCATCAAATTCGACGTGCCCCAGGCGGACCTCGCCGCCAACAGGACTGCGTTGCTGAGCGTGTCGCTGGCTGGGTACTCGCAGAGCGCGGCGCTAGATATTGATGTCAATGGGCAAGTTTATGGCTCCCTGAGCAAGAACACGTTGACGAGCGATCCCGCCTTGTACCGGTCGGGCAAGATCAGCGGCGAGTGGCGCTTCTTCCAGTACAAGATCGATACCGACGTTCTAAAGGCTGGGCAGAATACTGTGGGATTCACGGTTACGCGTTATACACAGTGGAGAGGCTTCCTGTGGGACAGCATCATCTTGGAATGGATTTAGAGCACGAAGGTATCTGGATGGTCAGGAGACGTATCACGCGTAGCCATAGCAGTTTAGGAAACTACTGAAATAACTTGATGAGACTGTGACTACTGGAAATGCTACTTCTCTACCACCACTACTGCCACTACTGTTGCTGCTGGAGTCGAAGTAGTTCTTGGAGTTGCTGCTGTTGTTGGGGCGTCATTTGGCCCGCCAGATTTTGGCCCGGGATGCCTGCACTGTTGGAATTGCCTTGCTGCGCACCCATGGCCGCATTTTGCCCGCTCATGCCAGAGTTGCCCAATCCAACGTTAACCAGACCAGTGTTGCCCATGTTGCTGTTGCCCATTCCCACGTTACCCATGCCGAGGTTACCCATATTGCCGAAGTTGGGTTGAGATGACTGTGAAGCCACGAAACTGCCCGGATTTTGCAGGTTACTAAACCCAGAGCCAGACATTCCCATATTAGGCATTCCCATTCCCATCATGCCGAATTGTTGAGGAGTCTGAAAGCCGCCCGGCATCCCGAAACCCTGCTGATAACCCCCCTGTTGAGGCATTCCAAACCCCTGTCCGCCGAGGCCAAACTGATGCCGGTTGAAGTCATCGTAACGATGCTCCTTCTTGTGTGCGAGCTCGTTGTCAAGGCGCTCGTGTCTTACCGAGTAGAGATACGCGTTGAACTCGTGCGAGACCTTGGCCACCTTGTCAAAGTGCTCACCCTTGACGATGATGGGTCCCGTGATGTGGTTCTCCTGCTGATGAAATTCGGCCAGTGCCACGGCCGTCTGAAAGGCATTCCTGATCTGCCTTCCATTCCAGACTGGCCTGTGGTCATCCCTGGTAGTTTGCAGAGCCCAAAGAGTCGTTGAAAGAGTTCGGATTTCATCGCGGTTGAACTTCACCTGCTTGGACGGGTCCCTCGGCGAAGCCGCCTTTGAGAGTTCTTCCGTGCGGTCCATTTGTACCTCCCATATCTTTTTCGTTTGGTCATGGGTGAGGGGTGGGTAGTATAGGGCCATGGACATGCGGGATTTGAAGGCCTCATCAAAGGAGCCTACTTTGTTGGTCGTGAGAAAGAGGATGCCTTCGTAGTATTCCATTACCCGGAGGAATACTGCACCAAGGATGTCAGAAAATCGTCACATTTGACTCTCCTTGGGATCAAAAGGCAAGAATCAACTCACCAGATACCAGTGCGTTCCGCTCAATGTTGTCTTGGCTTCTTTCCGCCAAGAACACGTCAGCTTCGTCTAAAAGCAATACACACTCCCATGCCTGTGCCATCTGGAATGCAGCTTGGAGGTTGGCCTCTACGTCTGTTGGGGTCATTCCTAAGTCGCCTGTTTTATGGTTCAGTGTCTTATACTTTCTGGTAGGGGGCTTGTATCTCGAGATCGAGATGCTTACCACAAGTGATAGGTAACAGTGGCTTATTGTAATATGTTGCCACAGTTTCTACAAATCAACATCGTTAGATTGTTGCGGAAACCCCAACACACAGGTAAAATTTGGGAATATTACCCGCAGTTGAAGTTTTCCCCACCCCGGGAACGCCATGCAGTAGGACAATAAGCCCCTTTCCTACGTACTATTAGTCTCTTTTAGTTCTCCATTGAAGTAGGGCTGTTCTTTCACAGAACCTTTGTCCTGGATAACGTCGAACTGGCGTCGCTCCAACTTGTTTTTGCTAAAGTGTGTGGCCATCAAGGACTTGATGATGGTTCTGTGACCGTCGTCTATTTGGAGCTGATTCCATGCCAGGTGGTCCCGTTTCATTCTCGTGAGACTATGCCCTTGAGTCTCCAGTGAGCCAGACCCGAGCGGAATACAGGCTGATGTTTATATATCAGCAAAATTTATCCAGCTCCGTTTCGGACGAATTGCTTACCCCACCGACGTGTACGCAGGACGAATGCAAAAACTCTGTCAGGCAGCAACAAAATCTCATCCCCTTCAGGAGGTTCTCGGCCATACACTTCTAAAGGTTTGGATTGATTGGTGTAGTTGAGAACCTCCTCTGCTAGTCGAGTGTCCCACAACCTGTCATCATCAGCTCCTGGGGGCGGCGGAATCAGCTGAACACTCCCTGATGGTTTCTCTTGTGGAACATTCTCCGCTCGTACCCAAATCGAGGTAGGCAATCTTCCAGGCTTCCAGTCGGGGATCTCCTGCAGGCATCGATGAAAGTCAACAACCACTGGACTTTCAATAGCCTCCGAAAGTACCACTGCTGAAGTGATTGCTCCTTTCTCGGGACGGCGCAGGGCAGTGCCATCGGGTTCAGAGATCAGGCTTTGGCCTTGGTAATAGCTGTAAGACCACTTGGTGTAGGATATGAAATCTTGTCCTCTTATTCTGCAATCTCCAAGATCGATGAGGCCTTCTCGCTCCGCGATATTCAACGGAATAATTGGGAGGGAGCGCACGCTGGCTAGCTCTTCAAACCATTCAAACTTGAATTGCTTGAAGACACGAATGAACTGGTTCCCATCAAAGTCTAGGTGATAGCAGTCTATCCAAAAAGGTGGGGGTATTGCGTCGTTCAAAGCGCCTCCTAGCATCATGTGAGCGATTTTGGATGTAGCTTGAGCGCGGCGGTATAGTGGCTTTTGTCCTCCTCTACCTCGTACGACACGCCACAACTTCTGAGGAATGGCCGGATCTTTGACGTAGACATCTGTGCCCGGCTTAAAGGCATGCCAAAGCTCTTGGTAGTGGATTTGGAAATCGTCTCTTCCCTGAAGTGCCTCTCGTATGGGGGAGATATACTTGTCTATGAAAGACACCAGGGTGCCGAGATCCAGATCTGCCTCTCGCAGTTCACTTTGAGTCAAATACTTCCAGTCGTATCTTGGGGTGAATATGATTTCCTCTCTATCCTCTTTACTCATTGGCGGCTTTGTGATCATTTCACAGTCGGTTGGCCCACTGGTCTCTGTTCCGGGTGGGTCCTCTAGACCAACAGGCTCTGTTTCGATGACCGATCCCTTGTTGTAGAGATGCTGAATATCTGATTGCTTTTGACGAATCTTTGGCTCGAGCCATTGAAGAACTTTATAAGGGCGATAGATTATCGAGTTATGAAATGACCACAATCTCCCATTCGTCAACGTTTCAAGAATCCTCCTCACAGGTAAGGAGTTGATACGAATTCGATCAGGAAGGACCATGACGCCGTCGAGCCGGGGTTGTAGAAGCACGGGCTTGGGGTGAACGGTCCCTTCATCGAATGCTGTTCGTCGCCGTCGGTCAGGAAACGACGTTGAGTCCGGTGGCTCCTCCTCTGCCAAAACTTGAACCGCAAAATCGGATGGTGGAGAACCCCACCACTCGCTCCATGTGCAGTCGTGCATCTGAGGAATGCCTGGTGTTCTCTCTCGGTACTCTCCGCTACTACTACTTGAAGATGGATGGGGAGGTTTATCGAAATCCGCCAGGATATCAGTGACCCAGTTCATCATCTTCAAGTGATTCGCAAAATCGACCGTGAACTGCCCTTGTTCCTCAGGGCCCGTATCTCTCAAACTCAAAGGTTTCAATCGAAGCCCACGTGCAAGGTCTCTCAAATGAGATTCCCCAAAGCGGCGAGCTGTGTTGTTAGACAGGCCACTCGTTTTCGAAGTTTCGCTGACGTCGTCTTTGAGGTCGAGTTCTGAGCCAACTTCATCATCAGCGTCAAGCTCTGGCCTTGTCTCAGCCGGTAGCTGCCCATGGTCTTGTTGACCAATGGTGTCTTGTAAAGTGTCATCTTGGCTTGATTTCTGCCAGTATAATGATGAGCATTGATTATTGGCATTATTAACGAAACGGAAGTGCTCACGGGGGTAGCGGAGGATATCGTTGCCTTGCTTTCAGTTTCCGCGTTTGAGTCCTTCTCTGAGATAAGACTCGACACATCGGTAGAAGGCATACTTGTGATCGGGGGAAAAGTAGCCGCCACAGGATGGGCCGTGGCATCCAGGGTCGAAGACATTTTCTCAAGATATCCTGACGATATTTACGACTTATTCGATTTATCATGAGAGTGCAAGTGGTCGAGGTAGGTGCTCAAGGGATTATCGATCCCCAAAGAAAGGTTGAATCCGGCCGCCAGCTGCTCTGTAGGATTCCAGGGCTCTGTGTGGCAGCGATGATAAGCTGCGCGGGGTCGAGTCATGACGAGTAAGGCGGAGAAGTCGAATCGGAGAGTGAGATGGGAGCTGGCATTTTTCAAAAGTTTTCCTTTTGACGGGAACACACAGAGTATATCCAATACTACGTAAACAAGCATGGAAGAGCTGATCTATGCAGAACCGGGGTTACTGCAACACTCGCCGAAATATTTTGTGAGCTGCACCTGCTACTGGCCAGCTTGACATTGAGAACTTGAACGATAGGCGCCTAGAACCTTTCAGGATCAATTAAATGCAGGCAATCAACCGCCCACAGCATGCCGAGTCCCGAATGCTTACGCCAAGAGCTTCGCCATCCGATATCCGTGTATGACGCCAGCGCATATCCCACCCTCCATCTTCGCAGCCTTACCGTCAGGAGAGACGCCAGTCGAAGAAGACGTAGAAGGGTTTGATCATTATTCCCCCCTCCCTCGAAGCCTCCAGGAAAGCCAGAGTTCATCTGAATACAATCATGACCGACTTCGTTGGTACCTTCATGGAGACGCGCGCCGGCCAGCTAGATTCGAGCTGGCAAATATCAGCTAGGGATAAGTTCTCGGAAAGGAGACGTCAGCAACAGGCATCTACAAAGTGAGCATTCTCTTCCAGGTTTCCTCCCAAGACATGCAAATCCAGGATTCCGCGTGGGTATTGACACTAACGCGAAAACATCTCTCAGAATCCACGAACGAACCGAGTCATTCAGGGCATTAATCCGTACGTTTACGAAACATACCAAGCGCAATGACCTCGCAATATTTGACGTGGACAAGAATTTTACATGGAACGACGTGAAAGTGACGGCGTCAGAGGCAATCGAGCAAGATAACGCCAAAACAAAAATGAGGCACAATCCTTTCCGCGCGGCCGGGCGCTCGTTCCAGCGGAACGCCTCCAATTTGGAGGTGCTTGTAGAGTTTCTGCCTAATGGCGACTTTACTGGAATACTCTGCGGGGCTTTAACCTTTGTATTTTGTGTAAGAAGGAATCTCTCTTGGCAACCCGATCCTTTGACTAATGAGCTTGGTGACAACAGGCGGCTAAGCGCCTCGACGAGGTTCGAAACAAGATAATCAGCTGCTTAGATAGCTTGCCAGACATTGTCGAAGAGACTGAGGAGTATGTGGAGATTTACGACGATGACCCCAAGGTCTGGAGGGCAGCAGAAGATCTGTATCTGGGAATTCTCGACGGCGTAGAGAGTATGCTGCTCTGGATCGATAAGTCAGCCTTTGGTACGTAATGCCGCCGACCCGGTAAACGTCATTTCTTGAACAGTGAGCTAAGTTATGTAGAGAGGGCTTTCAAGGCACTCATGAAACCGGTGACATTTGGGAAGAATGTGGAAGAAGACACCATCAAGCAGAAGATTGAGGGAAGCGTGGCAAAGTTCCGGAATGTCGTCCAGATGAGCTTGAATAAACACGTCAACAAGTCACTCAAGGCGGTAATACATCAACTTAACAGCCAAGTCAAACAAGCTGATTGGATCCGTGGTAAGTTACAAATCGTCAATTGCTTGTATTTGCAGAACTGTGTGTTGACCTGCCCCATCATCAGAAAATCCGCAAGCAGCGAAACAGATGAGAACATCATTCATAACTCTCGATGAACTCCGCGCCAGCATCGGCTTTGACCCACGCATCGCTCAGAGAGACATGGTTACATCGATGATGGACGCTCAGAAAGTCTGTCCACCAGACGTCATTAACCATGCAATGCTGGCGCTCCGCAGCAACAAGTTCACCACTTGGCTACAGTCCAATAACTCCCAGATACTATTCATCAACGGCAGGATGAAGTTGAGTTCAGAACAAGAGGCAGCATCCCCACTCACGATGCTCGCATGCGCTCTCGCGCAAGGCGTCGCGAGGCAATCTGACCGCAGCCTTCCGCTCGTGTATCTCTGCGGCCAGCACAACCGTCCAAGCGACCCTTATTCGGGGCTCAGCGGCGTCCTGCGATGCTGGAGCTCTCTCATCGCCGAGTCTCTCACACTGCGAGACGTCGATCTCTCGGCCATCAACCTGAACTTTATCGACGGCGTCAGAGCTCAGCGACTTGACGTCCTCTGCATGCTTTTTCGTCTTTTGGTCTCAGCTGCGACAGACAAGGTCGTCTTTGTCATCTTGGATGGGGTATCGTGGCTCGAGGTGGGCCGTCATGTTCAGGAGCTGGGGTTGGTCGTTTCGTTCTTGGGGAGTCTTGTCGCTGCGTTGAATCAACAAAACCACAGAGTTATTGTCAAGGTGTTGATCACGAATCCGACAACGAGTAATTACGCGAGCCGTTGGCTTCCGAAAGATTGCATACTTGAGATGGATGATGTGAGGTGATTAAGCTGGTACATGTCTAGCCAGAAATTCTACGAACAATATGCAATCGATGGACTCAAAGTTTCGAGTCCCAACAAGCCAACCTGACGTGTTGATGTCCTCTTCTACAGGTGGTAGTGGAAATCCAACTCCCAATCACCAGTCTTGACCTTTCTCCTATCCTCCATCTCCCCACTCTCTATTTTCCTCTTGACCTCATTGCAGCGGCGAATATAGAACCACTTGGCAACGATAAGAAGCTGCGCAACACCCAGCACTCCCACGGAGAACGCGTTACCCAGAAGATACGGCGCCTTTCGGTAAATCTGGCCTGCGACGATACCAGCACAGTTACCAATGGCCTGCTGCATGCCGATAGCCGTAGCGCGGCGGTACTGCGGCGCGACGTTGACGTTGAGCCACGTCAGGTTGAGGCCAGGCCCGTTGTAGACGGCGATGGCACATAGGAAGGTGCCGAAGAATTTCACGCCGCTGCTGGTCGGGCAGATGATGAGGATGTAGCCGATAATACCCGGGATGTTGGCCAGGAAGATGAGGGGCCCGCGGACGAGGATGCGGTCCGAGACGTAGGCTGTGGCCAGGAAGGCGATGGCGCCAAAGAGGAAGACGGGGATGCTGAGGTATTGGGCTTCGATGCTAGTGCGGCCCATGCTGACGATGATAGACGGGAGAAAGGTGCTGAAGCCGTAGAGGAGGATGTCTTGGCAGAATTGGATGGCGCCGCTGTTGGTTCATGTGAGCATTTACCGAGAAAGAAAAAAGGGAAGTGTGCGTGGTGTCTGCAACGTACCTGAGGTAGAGCTTGGGATCGCGGAGCTCAATCTTGATCTCCTCCCAGCTGAACTCGTCACTTCCCATGTACTGCGCACGCTGCGCAGCCCGGACCTTCATCATGCGCTTCTCCTCGTCGGAGAGAAAGTAAGCATTGGAAGGATCATTCGGAAGGCCGAACCAGAGAATCGGCGCAATCAAGATACTGACGACGCCCTCGATGATGAAAACCCAGCGCCAACCGGCATACCCGGCCACACCATCCATCTTTAGCAGAGCATACGCCAGCAACCCGCCAAAGGCGCCCGCAATGGCAGAACACACAAACAGGTACGACACCCGCTTGGCCTGCTCGTCGCGCTTGTAGACCATGGTGAGGTACAGGTTCAGGGCGGGGAAGAGGCCGGCCTCGCACATGCCGAGGACGAGGCGCACGGCGTAGAGCCCGCCAATGTTGTGGATGAAGCCCGAGAAGACGGTGGCCAGGGACCAGATGATGCACAGGCCGGTGAGGAGGACGCGCGGGGTGATGCGCTTCATCATGATGGTCCATGGCGGCTCGAAGACGACGTAGGTTGCGTAGAAGATGGAGATGGCGGTCGAGAACTCTTGTGTCGTGGCGCCAATGTCCCCGGGCATGCCTGCGACTCTGACGTTGCCGATGTTTGAGCGGTCGAGGAAGCATGTTAGGTAGACGATCATGATGATTGGGACAAAGTACGCGTCCAGCTGTAATGAAGGCGATTTTTCTTAGCTACTGCGATAGTATCTATCTCATGGGTTTCAAACAGTTTGCTAACCTTGAAAAGAAGCTTCTTCTCTGCCGCAGGATCAAGGGACTCAATTGTCATTGTGCCATTGTTGGACTCTGAGCGATCGATATAGCTGTCGGGTCCCTTTTCCGCGCCGGCGCCGGAGACATCGTCGGGGGTGGACATGGTCGCCATGACTAAATGGGCTGTGGCCTCAATGGAATTCCCAGACTAAGTTTGGATTCCTGCAACAGTCGTGATCAATGAGAATTGGGGGGAATTCGCTACCAGAGTCTCGGGATCAACGAAGGGTAAATAAAGTAGTGTCTCTTTAATCTAGAAATGGATGATGGGGCAGACCGCCTTTATCTTTGTGCCAACATGTGTGCCCATTGACGATATGGAACGATATGGCCAGGGCCGATACAACACCAAAAAAGTTGAAGCGACAATTACTCGGGCGCGCTATCTCTTGCCGGGCCATCCATTTGCAGGCACGGACGTACGGATTCGCGGTATCAAGCGTAGCATCGCGGGGGGTGAAAGAGAGACATGCGGAGAACCACTCCTGAGACTCGACAGCCCTTGGCTAGCTTACTACGGATACCCAGCACATCCTGACAGGCTGACACCGCGAACTTGTCCACGGCCAAACGTGAGATCGGAGGTCCTCGCCGACCCCTGATACTTGCGGGGGAACGGGAAACGTTGTCGTTCTCCCACATCACATACCTACCTCCCCTGAGTTCTCCACCGACCTTTGATAGCGCTGATAGTCTCGGATCCACCGCCCCGGCGTCGGAGTGGTGCCCCTATCGACTTGGTGGCCGGGATAATTCAAAAAGGCAACCCATGGACTAGATGGACAGAGTTTGGCACTTGGCACGGTTCGTAACGCTTGTCGATAAAGCTTGGGTGGTCATTGACAGCTTCTTGGCTCTATCTAGGTCACTGGCGCCAGTCTGCTAGTTCTAGTTCGCCCAGCCACAAGATGTGATGTCACTTGAATGCCGCCGGGCGCATTGCCCGAAGCTTTCGGGATTTAACCCATTTGAGTTTGATCCCTACTACGTGATATCAGCCCCGGGCGGCCAGCCCTGCCAGATCCCTTGGGCGAGAAAAAATAGCCGGGTTCAGTGCTTAAAGCAAGATAAGCCGGTACCCACACAAGGGTTGGGATATCGCAGATTGTAGGTAATAGGTAAAAGGCCAGTTTCGCATTATCATCAAATCATACCCAGTAAGATACCGCGTTCGTTCACACATCCATCCTATCATCAGCCTGAGTCATACCAGCCGCGTGAGTCCACTGCGAAAAGTCAAAGCTCGCGTCCATCGCCGGATCGGCAAAGCCTTCTTCCCAAAGCCCAAAGTCCATCACCGTGCTCACACTCTCGTCGAAAAAGGGCTCGCCCAGGGAGCTGTTGTCGACGACGGGGAACGTCATCCGCTGCTGGCCTGCCATTCCGCCTTGCATCACCATGAGACTTCCATGGGCGTCACCACCAATGTTCATCGGTAGTACGCTGCCAGTTGGCTGCGCACTTGGAACAATTCCTCCTCCCGTCGGCAAAAGCGATTCCGTTGGCGAGAAGTTTGTCGGGAACGGAGGCAGTGGCTCGGCTTGGGCGTTGGTCCCAGACATGACAGCAGATCTGAGGTTGGCGAGGAGTTCGTAACGGGCGCCCATGTAGCTGTTGCCGCGCTCACCCATTCCTCGAAGGAGATCGAGACCGGCGTTCATCGCCATGATGCTGGAATGGTCGGTAGGGAAAGCGACGCAAACCATGACGAGGACAATGGACGCTGAGAAGACGTGTTCTCCGTCCATATACCCGTACGTTGCTGGGAATCACTTTTATTAGCCAATGGAGGTTCAAGTTGCATCGGGTGGGAGGTTGTGTAACATACCAACCAGATCTCTCTGTGCAGCCACGGTCATGATGTTGATGGAATCTTGCGCCGCGCCGATGCACATATCAATGACCCTGACAGTCGTCTGCGACAATCCCTCTTTCCAGTCTCTCTCTTTCTCCCCGGCGTCGCTGCTGGCGCGGATCTTCTGCAGCCGCTTTTGCACAACGTGGAAGAGCAACGGTCGCGCGGTCATGTTGATGCACTGGTAGTAATGCGCAAAGGTGCTGACACTCTCGCGGCTAATACTCAGCCGAGCAGGGTCAAATCGAAGTTCATCCGGTATGTTGTTGTTCCACTTGGACAGGCTCAGAACAATGCCCTGAACGGAAGCCATCAAACGTTTCCCGGATTTTGGGGCCGTCTTGCTGGTCTTGCGATAAATGGTGTCATGTATCTCACCGAGGATCCGTGAGAGTTCGGTATAATGCCGAAGCACCACGGCCGGGCAGTAGTCCGCCTCTGTGAGCAGTCTCGAAGGCAGATCGACACCAATGTCCTCGTCCTGGATGGTAATGGGGTTTCCCGATTTGACCGTCAGGATGCGATCTAGGCTATACACCGACCACCATACTCGTCGACGGTGCTCACGTGTTGCGTCATCCAAGGCTGCCGGATTGTTGTCTTGACCCTGCAACGCGTTGGGCGCCGGACTGAGACCGATTTCATGATGCAAACCGAGCGAGATGGCCATACGAAGAGCCATACCGGTGTATAAGAATGCAGCATCACGTCGGTTCATGTTCTGCATGAAATAGCCGATGAGCGCCAGCGTCTCAACACACAGCAGTGACCCCTCTTCATGGGTATCGGGCAATAGATTCAAAGCGTGGGTGAAGTAGTCAAACCCAGGCGGACCTCTGAAATCAACCCATTGATTGACAGAGTAGAGCTGACCAAAAGCCAGTATGATTAGGACTTTTGCGTAGGAGAGACATGCTTCTCTATCGGAAGGATCAGGGGGGCCTCGATACGCTTCGATGAGTAGTTGATCAAAGTTGGTCTTGGGATCTGTAAAGGCAAAGATCGTTCCAATGTAGGTGTACTGTGCGGCAAATAGCCGTCGGGCAATGTCTATCGGCGGCAGTCGCACCTGCGTTCTCGCCTTTTCACGCCGTGAAGGTAGAGCGCTGGGCTCGTAAAAGTTGGTGTTCGCGTCCAAGCTGCCGTCGTCGCCGTAAAATCCCGATAGGTTTCTCACGCTGCGTAAGAAATTGTCCGAATTGCCTGGTCCTTTGAAACTTGTCGAGGGCTTATGGACGCTCATCTGATTGAATGGCTCGAGTAGCGGGTGCCCATCTTCGAATTCTTCTTCATGCTCCTCGGCTGAGATGCGATGTGCTTTTCCAGAAATTGGAGCTGGTGCTTGAGACTGACGAAGAAGCGAGTCTGGAGCAAGATTAGCACCTGGCTCCCACGACTGCTGCTAGTCACTCACCATCATACGCTTTGGCTTTAGCTTCGAGCTTTCTAAGGTAGCTACTCAAAACATTAGTTGCAACGTTAGTGAATTGGATGTTACTTTGGGACTTACGCCTCCGTGACCAGGGTCTTTCTCGTCTCTTGATAAGTACAGCTTAAGCCGCTATCACGACATCGCGAACAGCTTGGTTTCTCTTTTGAGCAGTATGACCGTCTTTGTCGGCAATTGGCACAACTAATTCCCAAGTCTCAGTAACACTTCTTGGAAATCCAATGACCAGGAAAATTTGGACTTACGCCAGTGGTCTTGAATTCCCGACATCCCCTGATTGAGGCGGGGACGGTGATATGGGTGCCATGTTGCTACACTTGACGTATTTGGGATCTGACGATATCTCTCATGGAATCACTGGCAGTAGTGGGGATAGTTGACCCCCATAATACGGGGGATACAATTAATTGTCGATATTATCCACTTCCCCAAGTCTCAAAATGGAGTTTGTGACAAATGGAAACTGTTTGGACGGTCCAGGAAGGGGGCTTCTCAACGCGGGGAATGCAAGATGTTGGAGTTTCCTGGCCGTGCACCCTGGAATGTCGGCGCAGAATCTCCTGATGCTGGAGGACCACGAAGCATCGTATTGTGGTATCGGCCAGAGGATCGGTGTTTATGGAGAATTCTCCACAGCAATGACCGACATTGGAGGGTGAGAAAGCCGTTGACAAGTCCGCCTTACGATACGCCGGTCAAATTGCCGATGAGGAAGCCTTTCCGTTTTAGGAAGCGGTACGTATCTCACCGGAGTGGCTTGGCGGCGGCCCGTAGATAATCCGCCCTGCCATTGGACTCAGCCAATAAGCCCGGGAGGATATGCCGTTATCATCGGGGACCCACTCCGACGGCTAGACGCGGGCGTCTGCCGGCCACCTGGCCCACAAATCCGTTTCCCGCTTTCAACACCAACTCGCAATCTCCTTCTGATTCTCACCATCAACACCTTATCAAGTATTAGACAAAGGCTGCCGTTCGATTTGCTGGATTGCTGATCGGGGACCCACTCCGGCGCATCTGCCAGTCAAGTGTCTGGCTTCCCTCTTCAGCCGCGATGGCGATGTCCGACCAAAGGCCGAGTTGGCTGCAGCACCTGACGAGACTGAGATGCGGCCTGCTGTTAGCCAGCCGTCGGCCAGGCAGACTCTACTGAGTAAGGTTTGATCAGATGGCTTCATCGGAAGACGCATTTGCAAAAGTGTGAGTTCCAGGTAAGCGAGCACCCGATCGCGGCCCCCTGCCGAGCCCCAATTCCCGATCTGAGTAGCGGCAAATTATTACATGATCACGACCGAGGCAGGAAGAAGCCATTTTCAGTATAAACATTTACGCAGAACATCATCAGAATCTCATTTTCGGATTTCTAGCCTCTTATCAAACGTTCCTCAGTGCTGCCTTTCTTGAACCGCTTCTATACCCCAATCCAACTTCCTTTTCTATTCCAAGTCGTCTCCTTGACGAGTCTCCTCATAAGCAGCAAGTACCGCATTCATACTTCACCATGGCAGTCAAGTCACATCGCATTCGCATCTCCATCGACAGAGGTGGCACCTTTACCGATGTTCACGCCTCGATACCCGGCAGAGGAGATATTATTCTCAAGCTTCTCTCCGTCGATCCTGCCAACTACAAAGATGCCCCCACAGAAGGTATCCGTCGGATTTTGGAGATGGTAACCGGCGAGACATTACCCAGAGGTCAATTGCTTGACCTCTTTCACGTCGAGTCCATTCGTATGGGCACGACGGTAGCCACAAATGCCCTTCTCGAGCGGAAAGGCGAGCGCGTGGCCCTGATTACCACAAAGGGATTCCGCGACCTGTTGGCGATCGGAAATCAGTCACGGCCCAATATTTTCGACCTTTCAGTCGCGCGGCCAGAAGTTCTCTTTGACGAGGTTGTCGAAGTGGACGAGCGCATCACAATGGAGGACTACACTGAGGACCCCGCCTCAGTCAAGACAAGTCCAACACCCGAAGACGCTGAACTCGTCACAGCCATTACTGGCGAGACCATCCGCGTCCTCAAAAGGCCGGACCTGGGAGAAATCAAGGCCCAGCTCGAAAAGGTCCGAGAACAGGGCTATCGATCCATCGCCGTTGTATTCGTTCACTCTTATGCCTACCCGGACCACGAGCTCCTAGTTGGCAAGGTAGCCTTGGAAATGGGCTTCTCCGTCACCCTATCTTCCGAAGTTCAGCCCATGATCAACGTCGTGCCCCGCGGCATGTCTGCCGTGGCTGACGCTTACCTCACGCCGGTCATTCGGCAGTACATCGACTCGATCTCGGCCAATTTCAAGGGCGGGTTCGGTGCGGCTGCGACGCGCATCGAGTTCATGCAGTCGGACGGTGGTCTCGTCGACTACCGCAAGTTCAGCGGTCTCAAGGCCATTCTTTCCGGACCCGCCGGTGGTGTTGTTGGATACGCCCAAACTTCGTGGGACGACGAGGAACGCCAGCCAGTCATTGGCTTCGATATGGGCGGCACCTCAACAGACGTCTCCCGCTATGCCGGCGTGTACGACCACGTTTTCGAGACCACCACCGCCGGCATTGCCATCCAGTCCCCCCAGCTCGATATTCACACCGTCGCTGCCGGAGGTGGCTCCATCCTGACTTGGAAGAACGGCCTCTTCAACGTCGGTCCCGAGTCCGCCTCCGCTCATCCCGGCCCGGCATGCTACCGCAAGGGCGGCCCGCTGACCGTGACGGACGCGAACCTCTTCCTCGGCAGGCTGCTGCCCGAGTACTTCCCAAAGGTCTTCGGCCCCAAAGAGAACGAGCCGCTGAACCGAGAAGTCACCGCCGCCAAGTTTCTAGAGCTGACGAGCGAGATAAACAAGGACAGAGAGGCCTCTGGTCTTTCCCTGTTGTCCCCCGAAGAAGTCGCTCTCGGCTTCCTCAAGGTTGCCGACGAGGGCATGGCGAGCCCGATCCGTGCGTTGACGGAAGCCCGCGGCTACGAGGCTGGCGCTCACCACTTGGCCTGCTTCGGCGGCGCCGGCGGTCAACACGCATGCTCTGTGGCCACGGTTCTGGGAATCTCCCGCGTCATTATACATAAATACTCCTCCATCCTCTCGGCGTACGGCATGTCTCTCGCAGATGTTGTCCACGAGATCCAGAAGCCTTCCGCCATCACCTACTCCGATGAGACGAAGGGCAGCATCCAGGAGCAGCTCGAGGAGTTGTCTTCACAGGCCACTCTGGAGTTGATGAAGCAGGGCTTCACCGAGGATCTTATCACCCACGATACCTACCTCAATATGAGATATGCTGGATCGAGCAGCTCCTTGATGATCCTGAAAGGCGCGGACTGGGACTTCAAGACTGAATTCGAAGACGCCCATCGTCGGGGCTTCGGCTTCCATTTCCCCGAGAAGTCCATCATCGTCGACGACATTCGTGTTCGTGCTACTGGCGCAGCCCGTGCCAAGGTTGAGAAGAGCCCGTTTGCACAAATGAAATCTGTCCAAGGGTCCACGGCTTCCACCCCCCAGCCCAGCGGCACCAACAGTGTGTACTTTGAGGGCCACGGCCACCTCGACACTGCAGTCTACCAGCTCCAAACTATCCCCGTCGGCGCCCGCATCTCCGGCCCGGCTTTGATCATCGACAACACCCAGACCATCCTCGTCACGCCGTCCACGACGGCGACTGTCCTCGAGAGCTACGTCGTCATCGACCGTGCGCCAGTGGAAAGAGTCGCCAAGACGGGCGGCGAGCAGGAGGAGTTCAGCCCCGTTCAGCTCACCGTCTTCGGCCACCGCTTCATGTCCATCGCCGAGCAGATGGGCCGCACCCTGCAAAAGACCGCCGTCTCTACCAACATCAAAGAGCGCCTCGACTTCTCCTGTGCCATCTTCAGTCCCGACGGCGGCCTCGTCGCCAACGCCCCCCACGTCCCCGTCCATCTCGGATCCATGCAGTTCGCCGTGCGCTACCAGCACGAGCTATGGGCCGGTAAGCTCAAGGACGGCGACGTCCTTGTCTCGAACCACCCGTCTTGCGGCGGCACTCACCTGCCGGACATCACTGTCATCACCCCCGTCTTTGACGGCGAGGAACTCGCCTTCTACGTTGCCTCGCGAGGCCACCACGCCGACATTGGCGGCATCCTCCCCGGCTCCATGCCGCCAACCTCCTATGCCCTCTGGCAAGAAGGCGCGGCCATCGAGTCGACCAAGCTCGTCAGCGAGGGCCGCTTCAACGAGGCCGAGGTCCGCCGCCTGCTCCTCGAGGAACCCGCGCAGTACGACGGCTGCTCCGGCACCCGCCGGCTTCAGGACAATCTCTCCGATCTCAACGCGCAAATCGCCGCCAACGCAAAGGGTATCTCGCTGATCAAGGCCCTCATCACGGAAAACGGCCTCGCCACCGTCCACCGGTACATGTACGCCATCCAGCACACCGCCGAGCACGCCGTGCGCGAGCTGATGCAGTCCACCCTCACCAAGTTCGGCCCGGAGCCCCTCGTTGCGGTGGATTACATGGACGACGGCACGCCCATCTCCCTCAAAATCACAATCTCGCCGCACGACGGCTCCGCGACGTTTGACTTCACCGGCACCGGCCCGCACGTCCTCGGCAACACCAACGCGCCCGTCGCCATCACGCACTCAGCCATCATCTACTGCCTGCGCGGCCTCATCTCCTCCCAGATCCCCCTCAACCAGGGCTGCCTGGCGCCCATTAACATTGTGATCCCCAAGGACAGCATCCTCAACCCGGGCGCCGGGCTCGCCGTCGTCGGCGGCAACGTGCTCACGTCGCAGCGCATCACCGACGTGGTCCTCAAGGCCTTCCGCGCCTCGGCGGCCAGCCAGGGGTGCTGCAACAACCTGACCTTTGGCACCGGCGGGAAAGATCCCGTGACGGGGGAGCACCAGGACGGCTTCGGCTACTACGAGACCATTGCCGGCGGCGCCGGCGCGGGTCCGACGTGGGTTGGTCAGAGCGGTGTGCACACGCACATGACCAACACGCGCATTACCGACCCGGAAGTCTTTGAGAAGCGGTATCCGTGTATCCTGCGGCGCTTCCAGCTCCGCGCGGGGTCGGGCGGCAAGGGCCGGAATAAGGGCGGCGACGGGACGATTCGGGAGATTGAGTTCCGGGTGCCGGTGCAGTGCTCTATTCTGAGCGAGCGCAGGAGCCGGCGGCCGTATGGTATGGACGATGGCGGTGATGGAGAGGCTGGGTTGAACTTGGTTATTGTCAAGGATGATGTGACTGGCAAGGACCGGACTGTGAACTTGGGTGCCAAGGCGACGACGAAGCTTCGGGCTGGGGAGACTGTTATTATTCAGTCGCCTGGTGGTGGTGCTTGGGGAGCTGTCGAGGCGTAAGTGAAGGATGTGTTATGGTTGCACGGTTGGAGATGTCTATTTGGAGTTTAGCCCGCATGATTATGCGCTGTATTGGTTAATAGAATACTTGTTTACATTATCATCAAATGTGTTTTAAAGAATCTATCATCGTGTGAAAATTCGCTTGTTAGCAATAGGCTCTGACTTGATTCCACTCGCTTTACTGCCTCCTCAGGTGTGTGTCATGGGATCGCGTTGTCGGCTGGGCCTACTTCAATTCTCTATATAACCGGCCGAGCCCTCCCGCGCCAGATGAGCCCGTTTGGTCGATCAATGTCTCAGCTGAATGTGGTTAATCTTTGGACAACAAAGCGTGTGCGTACGGTAATAAGACATTCGTTACCGGATATATCGTTTCATCTGCCTTGGCATTCATTGTCGCCGGGGCGATCAGCTCCGCGGCAGTCGTTGCAACTTGATGCATCCGGCGACAAGAGGCTCACTTCCACGTAAGCCGGGGGCGGCAAAGCCAGTCCACTAGACCAAGGTACGGATTCGGAAATCTTCACATGTCATCTTCTTTCAAGCCATATTGACAAATTCAACGGAGTTGAAATGAAGTGGTTAACAAATCGAACATACCAAGGTTACTATTTTTGAAAAGCAAACAGCTGGCAATATCTCAAATTGATGGGTCTCATTGAGGTCCAAGAATTGCTTGAAGCTGATTTCTTATTTCCAGGGTCATGGTGAGCTACATGTAATTAAAATATCTATAGTATTACACGAAAATGGAACCAAATAACCCCGTTCCTGAAAAGAAACACTCCCGGATATCATCGTCAAATCGTTAAGAAGCACCATACTGCATGCTTGCCCACGAGGCCACCAACAGCACCAACCATGATGCTTCATACCATTTTCCCCGGCTCCGCATTCACATCAGTCGTCGTCTTCCCCTTCAAATAACTCCCAAAAATCTCAGTCTCGGTGGTGGAATGAGCCGTGTCCACGTCCATGGTCGGCTTGCCCTTCATATAATTCCCAAAAGCGTCCGGCTGCTGCTCAATCAGCCCCGTCGTGTCCAACACGGGTGACTGCTGAGCAAAGGAGACGGAGGCGCTGCCGGCGCCCGACAACTCGAGGCAGTCGTCGTCGTCGTCGCGGCTCCTCGTCCTCTCGATCGTCTCGGTCGTCACCTTGACCTCGTGCGTGACAAAGATCATGCCCATGCTATTTTGCAGCACGGGCCAGAAGACGGGGAGGGAGGCACAGATGGCGGCCATGTCGATTTCGAGAATGGAGAGGGCTACGGGTCCCGGCGCGTACCACGTCGGGTCGAGGGTCGGGTAGGTCCCGGCGCGGGAGCGGACTAGGGCTACGAGACGCCAGGTGGCGAGCATCAAGACGCTGATATTTCGTTCGTTAGTAAGCTCTCACGGGAGTACCAAAAAGGCATGACAGTGTCAGGCGGGAAAAAGCTTACACGCTTCCCAGCAGGAAGAGACCGAGAACGCCTTTGCGGGACTTATTGTTTACCTCCGTGTTGAAATACAGCGGCAAGGGGATGGCGAAGATGATGAAGTCGATAATCATGTTGCTCGTGGCGTGGGCCTCGTAGACTCGGATGAGCTCCTCTGCGACCAGCGTCCCGAAACCCCATCGTCCGCGGTAGGGCAATGACCAATCCCAGTAGGCTGCGATGGGGATACAGGGTACCCAAGCGAGGAAGATGAAGGCGGCCCCCCACATTGACGTGATGCATATCATAACGATGGTCAAGATGCGTGATTTTGATCCGCGCTCAAAAGTACGCAGGTACTGAAGCAAGATGGCAATCTTGATGAGACATGTTGATGTCGGTAACATGCCGTTGCAGATGTAGAAGATCTACCTGGCGATTAGACAGGAACGATATATATCATGATATGGAAGAACAACAATTACCTTCATAAACTTGACGAATTTGACATATCCCATCACTAACAGGTGATCGCCTAGCCCATAGTCCATTGCTTATCCACTTGTTAATGGATGATGTGGGCTAGATGAAAGCGCATTCTCAACATACCTATGCAACTACCAATGCTGCCAATCGCGATTGAAATCATGGCCAGCACCAGACAGAAGTCATCCCATCCTACTGCCCGGATAATGAAGATGCGGGTCCATATTCGCATGCCAGCGCACAACATTGCCAGTATCTGCACACACAAGACATGAGTTCATGTCCCGCACTAGTTATATCCGCGGATGGGAAGGCTCACCAAGAATGAAATCACGACGCCAAGCATCACCGGCTTCTGATTCAACGCAGGTCTTGGGTCGTCCAGGTTATTCACCTTCCCAAGCAACTCTGTAAACGACGTCATGATGGTACGAGGCCCAATGAAGGGATATTCGCAACAATCGATTGGCTAATACCGCTTGCACATGAGTTCTTTTCCCAACCAACGGCTCGGAATAACCACAATGTGTGTTGTCGTCGAGGGAGGAGTCTGTGGGGGCAGCCGGGGTGGGCGGAGTTACTGAGAGGAAGTCGGACCGGGAACCTTGTGGAACTCAATCCAAAGGGGTGGGGAGGGCACTGCTGAGACCTTATGGGAACAAAACCCAAGGAAGCATCCGGAGTGGCTTTGAAGATCAGTCAGCCAGTAGAACCCATCGAGGATAGAGCGCGGCCGCCCTCTACTAGACTGTGGACGTGTGGCTCATGACAAAACAACAACGTTCTATCTCGCGGCCGGCAAACATACGTCCGGAAAGGCGTGGTTAGCCGCCTCCATCCTTGACTAACACCGAAATTCTCGAACTTGTCTCTCCCGGCCCCTCCCTCCCCCCATCATACGAATGATTGACAGCCCTAATGCCTCGAACGGGCGCTCCTCACGCGGGAAAAGAAAAAGGGGGGGACGACCATGGTTCCCGAAGCTCCGGTTTCCCTTTAGCGGGTTTTCCGGGCTCTCTCCTCCCCCTGCCTGTCCTCTCGCTAATATGGCTTGCCACGAGGCTTGAGTCCGTTGTGCGCAGCTGGAGTGGAAGTTTGACGCATGCGGGGATTGGTGTGGCGGATGGAGAATCCACCCAGCCGCGTTGGGACAAGACCTGTTCCATGTCTTGTCCATCGAGAACATCATGTCTTGGTTCAAAGCAGGACCCCTTATCAAAGTGATGCGAGACATCAAGAACAATTTGTTTTGTTCTGTTTTTTTCCCCTTTACAGAAAAAAAGACGTTTGTGGGCATTCTGAAAGCCCCCTTTGAAAGAAAGGTAAGGACTCTTCTTGCTGAGACCCGGACCGCTGATCTCCCAACCGTTTTCAGTCTGCCCTTGGCCCCCTTTTCTTGCAGATTGTGGCTGGAAGTAGGAAAGACCAGGACGATAGTGACGCAAGCAATGGCCTGATCAAAATCTCTCTCTGATGACCGTTTATTTATTGTTCAGTCGAACATAACTCCCCCCCTGCTCGGGTGGCTTGCCCTTTCCCCCTTTCACGTTCCCTTCCTCTTCAATTATCATGGACCTAGGAATCCTTTGAGCTTCTTCATCAAGAAAAAGTGGCGTATAATTCTTCAAGCAAGGTATCACGGCATCTAGCAGTCCGAAGGGCCCCGCTATTGAACCAGGGGGGTCGAGTTCAGACGGTTTTACTCTACCATGAGATCGCCCTCGCAGTCCTGTCCGTCCATCCATGTGCCTGATCATCGTCGGGGGATTTGCAAGTGGGTTCGCGTAGCCAACCACCAACCTGGCTGCTCTAGTCCGTGGTGCTAACCCCCCCGTCTATACATGATAGCGTGGGAGCTCGGATCAATAAACCGTCATATGGACTGAGTTCTTCCAACGCCACACTATTTTCTATTGGGAACGCTGCGGGCTAGACTCGCGGAAGCAGGTCCGTGATTCCCGGTTGGCTACTCTACCTATTTCAGAGTTCACCTCGACATTATCACCCAGCGAACAGGACTTGATCAGGACTTGATCAGGACATGCGCAACTTGATACGAGGAACAGGAATTGGTAATCACTCAACAGATGGCTTCTTTTAAAGTTTGTGATTCATTTACTTCATTTATGTTCTATCATTTGCTCATCATACATGGCGCCCCCAATGCTACCTAACCCTATCACGCCAGATGGACCGCCAAACTTCTTTGCCCCGGGCTGAGTGAAAGCTCAAATTGGCTTGCAGCTTTTGACGCACCACCTCATCCTAAGTGTGATTCGCAATCTCTGCGAATATCTCGCGTGTCCCACGGTCTCCGAGACAAGCGCACACGTTCACACGTTTGGACCGTTTCACCAACCGTCCAAAAAAAAAAAAGGTCAAGAAATTAACACTCAGCTGGAACCAGCAAGCTCCTCCTCAAGCTTGTTCAACTCATCCATCAAAGCGTGCACAGTCTTCTTCTGATCCTCGCTGGCCTCGGCGTACGGACTGCGCGGCGCAAAAAGCTTCTCCTGGCCCTGAAGACCGGCCCGCGGCGCCGTGTACACGGACGCGGCGTACTTGACGGTCGCGATGCCCGCCTTGGTCGCCTGCTCGGCGAGGGCGGCCTTTTGGTGCAGCGCAATGGCCTCGGCGTGCTTGCCCTCGCCGTGCAGCTTGTAAATCTGCACCGTGACGCGGGGGAAGACGTTGGCAAACGCCGCGATGCAGCCCGCGCTGCCCGAGGCGAGACCGCCGAGCAAGAAGTCGGACTGGCCGCCGTAGGTGGCGAACGTGTCGGCCGGCAGCTCGGCGGCGAGGCGGACGATTTTGGCGACGGCGCCGCAGGTGAGTTTGACGCCGACGATGGCGTCGTGCTTCTTGGCCAGCTTGGCAATGGTGCTGCTGTCGAGATCGATGCCGTTGCAGACGAGGGGGAAGTTGTAGATGACAATGGGGAGCGGGGTCTTGTCCGCGATGGTGTCGAAGAAGCGGTCAATGACCTGCGGGGTGGTTTGCTTGCCAAAGTAGGCCGGGGGTAGGACGAGGGCCGAGTCGGCGCCGGCTTCTTTTGCGTCGGCGAGGAGTTCGAGGACCTGCTTTGTCGAGTGCATGCCGCAGCCGGCCATGATGGGGAAGTCTGGGCCGGTGGCCTTGCGGGCGGTGGCGATGAGGGCCTTGCGCTCTTCGCGGGTCAGGAGGAATTGTTCGGCGTTTGTGCCGAGGATGACGAGGCCGGCGAGGCCCGTCGTGGAGAGGTAGGCGTAGTATTTTGCTTGTGCTTCGAGGTCCAGCTCGTCTGTCTCTGGGTTGAAGAGGGTTACCGCTGGGGCCCAGATGCCTTGCGGGGGAACCTTGCTGGGAGACATGTTGATGGCCTTTTTTATCTGTGTTTTAGAATTCGATACGAGCAATCTCGACGTAGAGAAAGAAGAGTGTCAACTTGTGAGGTGAATGGAGAACAAGAGACACTTTAAAGTGTCGAGAAGATGAGTTGTAGTATCGAGGCTTTGTTGTTCAAGAATGTCAAATAAGCCGGATAGCGCGACCGAGGCTAGCTGGACTATGTATCGGGATGGTATCCGTTGAACGAGACCAAAATGGTGCAGATAGCACGGGTTCCTATCGGATATCCGCACCGGATCTTGACCCGATTCCCCCGCATTCGAGGCCGAGACCGGCCGAGCATGGACAGGGGTATTTCCGGCCGACGCCCCGATATCCTTTTCCACAGAAGAAGCCGCCTTATTTATGGGCCGCGCTCACCCCTCCCTCGCTCTTGTCGCGGGTGCTGCTGCTGTTCTTTTGCCAAGGCCAAGAGGTTGACGGACTATCTTTGCAGCTTTCCATGCAGAAAAGCCATGCATCCACGACACAACCGGTCCATGTTAGGCATCAGCCGATTTCTGCAACAGAGGTGCAAAAAACAAAGGTCACCACCAGATTTATCGGGATCAAAAGTGTAACGGGCCCTGGCCAGGATTCGAACCTGGGGCCTCTTCCAAGATGGCATCTGAATGATCAGTAACCCTAAGGAAGAATCATACCGCTAGACCACCAGGGCTGAAGGATACGAAGACTCACGATGTCTCGCTTGAGTTGCGGGGCCTTGCTGGCGCCACCTTGAAGCGACTGGGTCGGCGAGAGGGCTACGTTGTGGGGAGTGGGAACGTGTGGGGGGGCCTAAGTAGACTAGGAATGATGAGCCGCTGGTTCAGTAGGCTTTCTTTGATTAGAGTTCAACGGTGAGATTTCCGATGATTGATAGCGTAACTAGCTCTCGAGAAGGCGTCGCATGCGGATGAGATTCGCTAGAGTTGTGGGTGAGTTCCAAGAACTTGGTCGTTCTAGGGTGATGATGGCAATGATCTTCCGAATGGCCGTAAGCACGCCGGCAAAGTCATTGTGGACAAGACGATGTGACTGATTGATACGTACGCGAGAAGTGGCTGTTGCAACAATATTATTCAAGGGGTTGTGAATTAAACACGAATCGTGTTCTTTTCTAATGTTCAAGTCGTATATTGAGCTGAAGATGGGAAAACGGATTGTTGAGAAAGTTTTACAAACCAACTGAAATGCAACTCAAGCGGCGCGCGTTGATCAAAAGTTCAAAACATGGGAAATCCCTGCAAAGGCCGTCAAAAGTAAAAAACCAAACACCAAATGCAATCTCATCTACTATGCAAATGAAGAACTCCTCCCAGACGAAAGAATCAGAGACAAGGAAACTTGGTAATCTTCCGCCACCCTCTCAGCATCCGCCCTCGTCATGCTCTGGTCCCAGTAACTGAAGGAAGCCACCGTCTCTCCGCCCTTGTCATCAATAGCGACAACAACATCAAACTGTAACCAAGTTAGCATTCGTTTCCTACTATTGTCATCAGAAGAGTGACGTACCTCCATAGGGTCCTGAGACCAAACCACCTCACAAGAAAGATTAGGCTCGGCCGTCGAACCGACCGACCCAACATCCTCGTGAGCAGAAGAACCATGCCTCCTAAAATTCACCAGCGTGTTAAACAACGGCGGCGCTCGACCGAGTGCCCGGCCGATTTGCACGGGCGAGACGAGCCCGTGGGCCATGCTCGCCAGGTAATCCGCGTGCACGTCTCGCAGTAGGTCCGCCGACACCGTAGAAGGCGCGGAGTCCAGCCTGGTCCGGCAGGGGAGCATATTCAGCAGCGGACCGGCCATGTGCTCTGCGCCCGCGACGGGCACGTGGCGTCCCGCGGTGACGTAGCCAAAGACCACGTCGTCGGTGCCGGTGTATTGGTGGAGAGTGAGCGCCCAGGCGGAGCGGAAGACGGAGGCGAGGGTGACTTTGGTTGTCTTGGCGAGCAACTCGAGGTCTTTTATTTGCGTGATTGGGATGGAGACGGTCTGTGGTTTGCCTGAGCGAGGAGCACACTTTGCGCTGGAGAAGGGCGACGACGCGTCTGGGTTGGGGGCGTCGGCGAGGTAGTTTCGCCAGTATTTGAGGGAGTGGGTTAGGGGGCTGTGTTGGACGTGGGAGATGAAGTCCTTGTAGAGGGGGGGTTCCGTCTGGAGCTGCAGGCCGTGGTATGTGCTCGAGAGGTCAGAGATGATGGTCGCTATGGTCTGCGCGTCCATGATGGTGTGGTTGATCTGAAGAGAGGCCAAGGACTTGTTGTCATCGGTGGCGCAGAGCGTCAACTTGTGCGAGGGCCGGAGGCCGCGCGCGTCGACCCGCGGGAGGGATCGCAGCAGTGCTTCGGGGTCCTCGCCGGGAGGGATGGTGATGGTGGACGCGGTGGCGGGCATCGTCTTGAGGACGAGCTGGGTGAAGAGGTTGCCGCGGGAGGAGTCCTTGAAGAATACTGTGCGGAGGATGCGGTGGCGGGCAATGACTTGCTGCCAGGCGAGCGCTATCTTGGCGGTGTCGATGGGGGCACCCTCGGAATCGGCGATTTGGAAGATGAAGTGGGCGTTGTAGTATCCCCTTTGCTTTTCCTCTGACAGGAGCATGTCTTGTTGGAGGGGGGAGCAGGGGTAGATATACTCTACTGAATCATGGCTGGGATGATTAGAGCCGGTAGAATGGGAGAATGTCTGTACCGCGTTGTGACTGTCGAGAACGGGGTAGCCTTGGCTCAAGTTCACCTGCGGCTGCAGACTCTCGAGATGGCCGACGAGTTGTAAAAGAGCTCCTTCGGTGGCAGACACCCAGGCCTTAAACTCCTCGGTGCGCGACATATTGTCCGGGAACGCAAAGTCAAGCTGGGCACCGCCGTCTTCGTTCAAAGCCGCAGAGATGTTGATGAGACCCGGTCGGCGAGCACCCTCGGCGAGACTAACCATGGAGAGTTGCGTGTCTGGAACCCTTTGCAGGATCTTGTGGGCTTGTCCTCGGCCGTTTCTCAGCCTGAGATCACTGCCCGTGAATGTGATTTCAAACGGCAAACGGCTCGCGAATCCCCGGTTCACCGTGCGAGTCATCTGTTCTAGGCGTGCTTGTCTGGCACAGGCGAGCGCGTCATTCGCATCGGATGCGCCAGAGAGGGCGATGTCGAGGTTGCACCAGTCGGTGAAGTAGCCGACCGTGTTGGAGAAGTCTTGCAAAACGTCCGCATCGTTCCGAGCGTCGATGTAGAGCCATAGAGAAGGGGGAGCGCGGTCGGTAAAGGTCGTATGGAAGGCGTAGGTGATTGCTGTCAGGAAGACAATCGTCGGATCGATTCCCGTGACCTTTTCGCTGATGGATCGGAGCACCTCCACATAGCTCGCGCTCACAGAGAAGCCGGTGTGAAGTTGAGGGTCGAAGACGTCCTGGTTCTCGTTGACGCCCCAGTAAGCCAGGTCACCGGTCGGTCTGACATCCTGGAGATCCTGCTGCTCAAACGACAGGGACCGGCACCAGTGCTCATAGGGCAGAGGAGCGTCCTGGTTTCTCAGTTTTCTGAACTGCAAGAAGTATTCAATGTCGTCCAGGACGATTGTCCACGAAGATGAGTCCATGACGAGGAAGTGGGCAGTCATGAAGATGTAGCGACCGTCGTTCTCAATATCGATGAGGTCTGCGGCGAACAGCGGGCCGAGAGAAGAACTCAAGAACGAGCGAGTGGTCGTGATGATTGCTTCCATCTCCGAGGTCGATGAGATGGAGTGGACGCTGTAGCGGTAGGAGCCTTCGACATTGGTGGTGACGCGCTGCGTTCGCGGGTCGCTCTCGTGGTCGAAGCGGGCGCGCAGCATGGGCTGCTGACGAACGATTGCGTCCAGGGCGTCGCGGAGATCGCTCTCGACGACGTTGACGCCCAGCCGGAGCACGTTCTCGTTGAAGCGGATATCATCCTTGGGCGTGCTGCGGAAGAAGAGCTCCTGTGTCGGTGAGAGCAGGAAAGACGCGTCGGGACGCTCTTTTACGTCGACCATGCCGTCCTGGGGCAGCACCGTGGTCATGCTCAGAGCCATTTCGGACAGGTCCTTTGCGAGCAGGATGTCTTCCACTCTGAGAATGAATCCGCGACCCCGGGCGTTGGAGACGGTCTGCATTGCCGTTATGGAATCGCCGCCGGAAGCCAAGAAGGACCGGCTCATATCGATTAGGTCGGCTGACGTGTTGAGAACTTTCTGGAGGATATCTCGGAGGACGATTTCCATTGAAGTAACGGGCGGGCGGAATTCGCAGATATCGTCGACTGCAAGATCCATCATTTCGCGGTATGTTACCTCATCCACCTCTTCGATGAATTGGTTGATGCGCTTGCGGTCGACCTTCATGGATGTTGTCTTTGGCAAATGGTTCACAACCATCCAAGCCTCTGGAATCATGTACGAAGGCAAGCTATCCGATGCCCGCTTCCGTAGCCGCGAGACCAACGCCCTGGCAGCTTCCAAGTCTTGAGTCATCTTCATCGCGTCTGTCCCCGTGTTGGCAGCCCCCGCCGATGAAGAGCACACGACAGCCACGAGCGATTTCTTGCAAAGACCAGTCTTGGGGATGACGACAGCGGCATGATCAATGTCAGACTCGTTGAGCAGGACGGAGACGATCTCGTCAATCTCCACACGCTGACCCCTGATTTTGACCTGGTTGTCCTTGCGACCAACATACTCAAACACTCCGTCCGTGTTCTGAACAACAACATCGCCAGTCTTGTACATGCGGCGAATCGAGCCATTCTCGGACTGTGCCCAGGCGGGGTTCTCGATAAACGCCGCGGCGGTCTTTTCAGGGTCGTTGAGGTATCCCCTGCCGACCTGGGGACCCTCGACGAGGAGTTCGCCCTCGCAACCGATCGGTACCAACTTATTGTGGTCGTGTACCTCAACCACCCAAAGCCGACTCCCCAAGGGACGACCGATGGTGCTGGGAGCGTCGCTGCCGCCAAAGGGCCCGTTGCTAGCGCAGTAGATTGAACACTCGGCGGGACCGTAGCAGTTGTGCACATCGACCTCGGCGTGCCACGTCTCAATGTTGGACTTTGTCATGGCCTCGCCCGCGAGCGCGAGGGTTCGCAGCGTGGGCACGTCGCCCGGAGCGAGCATCGAGGCGACGGTCGGCGTGAGGCCGGCAAAGTTGGCGCGGAGGGCGTTAATGGCGCCGGGGAGGTTGTTGACCCTGTCCGAGTCGGAGAGGACGCAGACGCAGCCGCCGCGGGCGAGGGTCGTGAAGACGTCTTGGACGCTGATGTCGAAGGTATAAGCGGAGAATTGGAGGACGCGGGAAGATGGGCCAATGTTTAAGGCTTGGCCGTGGGCGGCGGAGCTTGTGCTGATGGAGCGGTGGGAGAGGACGATGCCCTTTGGTTTTCCGGTCGAGCCGGAGGTGAATACCACGAAGGCTGGGTCTTCTGGGTTCACAGGGCTGAGGGTTGGCATTGGCTGGGTTGACAGGTCGTTGGAGAGAAGTTCTGGCGTGATGATCATGTCGTCTTCGAAAATCCCGCGGAAGATGTCTTCTTCTCCCGCGGAAGTAAGGACCATTGTTGCCTTGACTTCTCCGATAATGGTCTGTAGACGAGCAATCGGGTGAGCCGGGTCGAGTGCCACGCAAGCGGCGCCGGCCTTTAGAATTGCCATGGTGGCCACGGGCATCCACGCCGACTTGCGGAAGCAGAAGGGAACAAACTGGCCACTCTTGACGCCCCTGAGCTGCAGCTGGTGTGCGAGGACGCTGGAGAGGTGATCCAGCTCGGCGTACGTAAAGTCCCTGTCGAAACCATTGACGGCCGGAGCATGAGGCCGGATCTTTGCCTGCGCAGAGAAAGTCTCGTGAAGGCAGCGGTCGACGGCCGCGGGCATGGGGCCGTTCCAGCGGACCAGCTGATCCACCTCGCTGGGTGTGATGATGGAGATGTCGTCGATGAGTAGGCTCGTTAGTGCCTGCAGCTGCAGCTGGTTGATGACTTGGTCGACCTGCTCCATGAACCGCTGAACCTGTACGCGGCTCAGCATGGCCGAGTCGTACTGGGCGTGCATGACCATCCCCTCGCTACCGAGCTTGCATTCGATTGTCAACCCGTAGGTCTGGAACTCCTTGGAGTCGGTCTGCACGCTCATCGTTCCCATCAGGCTGCCGCCCGAGACTCGCTCCTCCTGATTCACGGGTTGGATGACGAGCAGGGTCTGGAAGTCGCATGCTGCTCGAGCGTTAGGGCTCAGGCGGCGGATACGCTGGAGACCGAGCTGCTCGTAGGGAATCATGTCAGTTGCTTGGCTCTGGACTGATTGGAGGAAGGCGGAAATGGTGGTGCTTTGCTCCCAAGAAGCCTTGAATGGCGTAGTGGTAATTGTCGGGCCGGGAAGATTGAGTATGCCCGGGATCGGAGCGTTGCGGCCGGTCAGCGTGATGCCAAAGGCTGTCTCACGGGAATTTGTATGCCGAGCGATGACGATGCCCAATGCTGCGCGGACGAATGTCGAGTCGGTGATGTTACTCTGCAAGCGATTGCTCTGGAAGTCAATGTGGCGGTCGACGATGTCGTCTGCTCGGGGGCTATAAGCAGCGTTGGGAATCGCAGGGAACGAGGGACCGACGAATCCATCAAGTGTCGATGCCCAGAACGTCTCTGATGCCTTCATATCGGTGGTTGTGAGGTACCTGATGAAGCGATTGAAAGGCGTCGTCGCCGGAGTTTCCAGACCCTCGTACTGCGCTTCGACGTTTGCCAGGATGAGGGGCAGACACCATCCGTCGTAGAGGGCATGATGAATGTTCCAAATGAGGGAGTTATGTCCATCAGGATGGCACAAGACCGTAAGGCGAGAGAGCGTGTCCCCGTACCGGACAGTTCGCTGACGATCCTTGTTGACGAACTCGGAAACATCTTCATCCGTTACCACGGTCCAGTGAAACTCATCAGTAATGACGGCCTGCAAGACCCCTTGGTCTTCAGTCTGGAAAATTCTCGTCCTCAAAATCGGCATCCGGTCGTGAGTCGCTCTCCACGCCGTCTCAAGGCGCTGGAGATCAATGTTGTCGGGCAAATCGAAGCTGTTGTGGAGGACATAGGATCCCGGAGTCTTGATCGAAAGGGCCATGAGTCCCTCTTGCAGAGCAGTGCATGGGTAGATGTCCTCAACGCGATATTCCTCGACGCCACATGCATCTGCTGCGTGCTTGACGACAGCTTCGGATCCGTCAGTGAGCGAGAACGTCTCGACGTGAGAGGAGAGTGATGTCAGATCCCCGTCAACCCGTCCCACGTGAAGCGCTAGATCGCTGAGAACTGGGTGTTGGAAGATGGTGGACACATCCAGCGAAAGGTCTTCTTGTCTAGCCAGCGACGACAGCTCGATGGCCAAAATGGAATCGCCCCCAAGCCTAAAGAAACTGTCGTCGGCACCTATGCTAGCCACGTTAGTCTTGAGGACGACGGCCCATAGACGAGCGAGCGCCGCTTCCATGGGTGTCGATGTCGCGAGCTTGGCCGATTCATCCCCGAGAGAGTAGAAGAGGAATTGTTCTTCCGTAAAGTCAGCGACCAAGCGGCGCAAGCTCAATCGATCCGTCTTGCCGGCTGTCGTGAAGGGTATCCTGTTGATTGGAATAAGTAGCGTCGGAACCATGTAGGAGGGAAGCACCTCTGCCAGAGCAGCCTGGAGCCTCTTCAGTTCCGACTGAGACTCTTCCGATGGTGGCGTCAAGGTGGACTCGGAATGAGGAAGATCCTGGTCAAACACCAGGAAGAGCGCGACACTGGGCGCGGTGGGGCGGTTGGGATGCTTGACGACGTCGGCGACCACGTTGACGCCTCCGGCGAGAGAAGTGGCCTGGTGCTCGATCTCGCCCAGCTCGATGCGCTGGCCGCGCACCTTGACTTGCGTGTCCTTGCGTCCCAGATACTGCAGTTTGCCGTCGGCGGTATACCGGACAAGATCACCAGTCTTGTACATGCGCGGCGACAACTCGCCGGGGAAAGAAGCCAGCCACGTCGGGCTGTCGACAAAGACCTCGGCCGTCTTTTCCGGGTTCCTCAAGTAACCGCTCGAGAGCGTAGGACCCTGGACCAGGAGCTCGCCGATCGCCCCGATGGGCATGAGCTGGTTGTGGTCCGCCGGGTCGGCGACCCAGAGACGCTCGCTGACGGAAACCCCAAGACTCGTCGGGTCAGTCTTTGGCGTGAGCTCTTCCACGCAGCAGAAGATGCAGGTCTCGGTTGGCCCGTATCCTCCAAAGAGGGAGACGTGGTCTGTCCACGTGCTCAGCGCCTCTTGCGTGACGGCCTCGCCGCCCAAGACCAGGGTCTCCAGCGTTGGCACGTCCTCGGGCTTGAGGAGCCTGACGAAGGACGGGGTGAAGAAGGCCCAGTTGGCGCGCAGGTCGGTCATTGTTTGTGCGAGGTTGCCCATCCTAGCCTTTTCGGAGGGTATGCAGATGCAGCCGCCATAGTAGAGCGCGCCAAAGATCTCCATGATGCATGCGTCAAAGGTGTAGGAGGCGAACTGAATGGTGCGGGTTTGGCGCGACATCTTCATGGCTTTGCCGTTAGTTGAGAGAGATGAGAGGAGGGCGCCGTGTTCCATGATGACGCCCTTGGGTTTGCCAGTCGATCCGGATGTGAAGAGTATGTATGCCTTGGCCGAAGGTGGTGTGTCCGGCGCGATAGAGTCTGTGAGACCGGCAGAAGTCATCGCGTCGATGGTTGCGTGGTTCACAGTCAGGAAATTCAAGTTTGAAGCGTCCTCAAACTCCCATTTGGAAAGCAGCTATCAAACAGCGTTAGTATAGTCAAGAACTTCATATAACCAGAGTGTGACTTACATCATCAGCCGTCAGAACCAACCGAGCGTCGACTTGCCCAATAATCTCGAGAAGACGAGCCCGCGGATGAGCAGCATCAAGAGGAACAAAGGCAGCACCAGCCTTCAGGATACCTAGCATGGAAACGATGGCCCAAGCAGACTTCTCAAAGCACACGGGGACAATGGTGTCGGAACCAACGCCCAGATGGCGAAGCTGCGTAGCCAGGATGGAGGAGTAGCGATGGAGCTCCTCGTAGGTGAAGTCGCCATCCCACGAGCTGATCGCCGGGGCCGAGGGGGCGAAGATGGCCTGCTGCTGGAAAGCGTCCTGCATGGAGCGGGGGATGCTCGGCCAAGCTTCCGGCTCGGGATGCCAGGATGCCAGCGCAGTACGATCTTCCGGGCTCAGGAGATCAATCTGCTTGATAGGCTGGGCCGAGTCAGATTGCACCAGTTGATTGAGGACGTGTCCAAACTGCTGAAGCATCCTCTGCATCTGATCGGGCTTGATGACCTCGGGGTCGAATCGTGCTTCAGCGGTGACGCCGTCGTTGGTGACGCGGAACTCGATTGTCAGGGCAAAGGTCTCAAAGTTGGAGTTGTCGGCCTCCACGGGCTCCAGCAACTCCTCGAACTCCTTTTCGACCTCGTGGTCAAATTGGATGACGAGAAGTGTCTGGAAGTCGCAGCTCGAAGTCCCGTCGGGCCCCAGCTTCTTGATGTTCTGGATGCCAAAGTGGATGTGCTGCGACATGTCGTCCGAGTGCTTCTGAATGGCGCCCAAATATTCGCTAATCGTCGACCCCGAATCCATCTTCACCCGGAAAGGGACTGTCGTTATAGTAGGTCCAATGATCGCGGATATTCCATCGACCGGGGCGTCTCTACCGGACAAAGTCACGCCAAAGACTGCCTCTTCCGAGTAAGTGTACTTGGAAACGACCATGGCCCATGCAGCACGGATGGATGAGGACATGGTGACGCCAGGGCTCTTTGCGTCTGCTCCAGAAACGACCGTTGTGTGATGAGCTGTCGAGCTTGCAGTCGGTTGATAGGTCGACGACGGGAGTTGAGGGAAAGTTGGGCAAGAAACACCCGCGACGGCAGCCTCCCAAAAGATCTTTGACGCGTCAGCTGCAGTGGTATTTTGATGTAGGTAGTGGATGAAGGACTTGAAGGGAGTCTGCATCGCGAGGGGTTTGCCGTGGTATGCGGCGCTGACTTGGGCAAAGAGAAGCACCATTGACCAACCGTCATACAGCGCGTGATGCACGCTCATGACGAAGTAACGATCGATCGGTGACTGCTCGATGAGAGCAAACCGGCAGAGGCTTCCGCCGTACTCTGGAGGGCTGGCGCTGTCGGCATTGAGATGGCTCGAGAGATCAGTGCCGCGAGTCCAGCTGGCCCCGCTGGTGGTCACCACTTGATACGTCTTGGAGCCCGACAGAATCATCCGCGTTCTCAGGACATCCGTGGCGGCGGTGACGGTTTTCCAGGCGTCGACCAGTCTTTCCGAGTCCACTGAGGCCGGGACCCTGAAGACCATCTGGAGGAAGTACGCTCCCGATTGCCTCGCGGATAAAGCCATCATGCCCTCTTGCAGTGGCGTAGCCGGGAAGATGTCTTCAATGATGTCTGCCTCGATTCTGCATTTCGAGACGGCATCCTGAACAAGGAAAGATGCATTCTCAATCAAGGAGAAGGGGATCAGCCCCTGCTGCGTAGCTTGCTGACTTCGCGTGAGAGCAACCGCCATCTCGGCCAGTGTCGGATTCTGGAAGATGTGGAAGACCTCGAGCGCGAACCCAGCTTCCCGAGCAGCACCGACGAGCTTAATAGCGTTTATGGAATCGCCGCCAAGTCGGAAGAAGTTGTCGTCGGCCAAGATCCGCTCTTGGGGGATGCTAAGGGCCTCTGTCCAGAGAGGACGTAGCAGCAGCTCCGTCTCGGTCAGAGGTCTCTGTTGGACGACGCCGCCGTTGCGCAAGGCGAGCAGGAGATGATCCTCAGACATTGGAATTTCGCGAAGACGCTTACGATCTGTCTTGCCGGAGACCGTCATGGGGAAGCGATGAACAGGCACGAAGAGCGAGGGGACCATGTACGATGGCAGGGACTGCGAGAGGTGTTGCTCAAGCTCGACTAGCTTGCCTCTCATGGTGTCTGTTACCTTGGCGATGATGCGGTCCGAAGGTGTGATTGCCATTTCGTCTTCGCTGTCCTCTTCCGCGGCCTCATCTTCGTCGGTAAGGATGAAGATTGCGAGTGCTTTGTTATTGTTGATGGGGTGAGCGACGACGTCGACGACGACGTGTGAGCTGGCGAGATGGATCTTGGCAGAGGCCTCGATTTCGCCAAGTTCCACTCTCTGTCCGCGAATCTTGACCTGAGTGCCCTTCCTACCGAGAAAAAGAGCTTCGCCGCCGGGACTGAGGCGAACCAGATCGCCAGTCTTGTAGAACCGTCGGGGATTGGCTCCGATGAACCCGAGTTGTGAAAAGTGTTTCTCGACCCAGTCTGGGTTCTCTATAAAGACCGAAGATGTCTTTTCGGGATCGCCCAGATAACCACGTGCCAGGATGGGGCCCTCGATCAGGAGCTCACCGACGGCCCCTACGGACAGAAGCTTGTTGTGGTCAACGGCGTCGACGACCCAAGCCCGAGACGCCAGGGCCTTGCCAATGTTTGCGGGGTGTGCCGGTCCCGTGGCGGGAACCGAGCTCGTCATGCAAGTGATGGTTGCCTCGGTAGGTCCGTACACCTGGATGAGCTGTCTATCGCCTTGTCTCCAAGCCTCGAAGACATCGGATGGCATACTTTCGCCGCCAACAATCACGGACTTTAATGTTGGCACGGCGTCGGGGTTGATGGTGCGCAGGAAAGACGGCGTCAGGGATGTCCAGGTAATCTCCATGTCGTTGATGGTGTTCGTGATGTCTCCCATTCGTGCGGACTCGGCAGGGGTGCAGACGCAGCCGCCACAGAGTAAGGTTGAGAAGATCTCGACCAGACTGGGATCGAACGTGTAAGAAGTGAACTGGAGCGTACGTGTGTCGCGGTTCATTTGCAGGACGCGGCCTTGCTCGAGGATGCTGGTTGTGAAGGAGGCGTTTTCAATGATGACGCCCTTTGGCGTTCCTGTTGATCCCGAGGTGAAGAGAATGTACGCAGCGTTGCGAAGTTTCGAACGGTTGTCGCTGGGTCTCGCGAGCTCCTGGGTATTCGAAGGAATAGGCAAATCCGAGAACGTCCTAGATTCGACAACGATGGCGCGGACATCTGCGAACCCATCCCAGAGGATACCATGGGTGGCAGAAGTCAACACACAGCGGCCGCCAACTTGGCTGAGGATCTCCTCATGTCTCGCCCGCGGATGGGAGGGATCGATGGGAGTCCAGGCGGCCCCGGCTTTCATGACAGCCAACATTGAAACAATCGCCCATATTGACTTCTCGAAACAGATTGGGACGATATCTTCAGGCCCGATGCCGGCCAGTTGCAGCTGTGCCGCCAACTGACTTGACTTGCGATCGAGCTCTTCATAAGAGATTGATCCATCCCAAGAGTCAATGGCGATCTTGCTGGGCTGTCGGGATGCCTCGAGGGTAAAGAGCTCGTGGACGCACGCCGAGCTGGCGATTGGCTCCGGCGCGAGAGCGGAACAAATGGTGTCGATGTCGCGGCGACTCAGGGGATCGAGGGATGCGACGGATCCTGAGGGGTAAGCCACGATCTCGGAAACAATTTGCGCGAAGCAGGACGCGATGTGTGCTCCGTTGCTTTCCGAGACCTGCGCGGTCCAGAAAGAGAGAGCTGCGCCCACGGTGTCGTTGTTGGCAGCCACGTTGACGATCAGATCGTACTGTTAGATAGGTCAGTCATTTGTATCAGCAGTACGATGGAACTGGGGGGCGTGATTTACCTCTGTCGAGTCCTGTCCGTTGAGGTGCTCAAAGTTCAGACTTGAAGACCCCTCATCCGACGCAGACGGGAGTCTCTGGAGCGAGATGCCCGTGTTGAACAGAGACTGCCCAGCCATACCTAGAGCGTGCTGCACATGCGCGAGCGAGCAGTACTGGTGATCCAAGTTCTGTAGGAAACTTTGCTGGGCTTCCTGAAGCAGCCCGAGCAAGGGACTCTCGCTCTGAACGCGGAAGCGACACACCATCATGTTGGCAAAGAGACCGACGGCGTCTTCAATCCCCTCCACGGGAGTCTCGCGGCCCGAGGTGAGGTAACCGAAGAGGACGTCGTCGGTGCCGGTGTACGTGCGGAGGAGCAGGGCCCATGCGACCTGGAAGAAGTTGGAGATTGTGATTTCGTTGGCGGCGCAGAAGTCGATGATGGACTTTGCGGGGATGGTGAAGTCGACTTCGAGGGTGACGAGGTTGTTCTCGGACGCGCTGATGTCTGCCAGGTTGGGCAGACTGCACGGCTCGGCACCTGATAGATATTGCTTCCAGTGCGATATGGACTCTTCCATGGGCCGTCTTTGAATGTAGTCAATGTACTCTCTGTACATGGGGCGTGTGCCTTCGATTAGAGTACCATCGTAGCCTTTGACAAAGTCACCAAGCAAGGGACCGAGGGAGCCTCCATCGATAAGACTATGGTCGATGTCGAGTCGAACGAATGTCTGATGGTCTTTCGTGGTGCAAATCGTCAACTGGTGCAGGGCATCGACGGCCTCGCAGTTTTCCTCCTTGCAGCAGTCCAGCGCTTCGACGTTGTCGGCAGCGAATCTTCGCACGACGGACGGAGAAATGTTTCTGAGGACGACCTGGTCGGTGAGTCGCTTGGTGCTGGCGGACTTGACAAAGACGGTTCGGAGCGTGGGGTGACGCTCGACGACCTGTCTCCAGGCAGCTTCCAGACGGTCAACATCAACAATGCCGTTGTTCCGCGACGTTGTGACCTTCCACGAGAAGTGGCACTTGTAGTTTGAGGCATTCTTGGCTTGGCTCATGATGATGCCGTGCTGCATCGGCGACAGGGGGTACGCGTCTTCAATGTCGGTAAACGATCCAACGAGTGGCACGACGTCCTGGTTGAAAGTCTGGAGTTCCTCTGGCGTCAGGGCGAGAAGCGGAACATCAGTTCGCGTGAACTGAGGCTCCATCCTCGCAAGATTGTGAATGGAATCGCGGAGCACGCCCTCGCACTCCTTGACCCATGCCTGAATCTTGTCGAGATGCCGCATGTTGCGGTTGAAGATAAAGGTTATCCTGGCCTGACCGTTCTCGATGCTGGCGCCGATTTCAAAGAGCGAGATGCGCTTGATCAGCGCGCCAATCTCGGCAACATCGTTGTCGTCGTCCCAGGCTTCGCGGTGGAGCAGGGTGTCTTGTCGCTCGAGCTGCTGGTACAACCCCGAGTAGTTGAACATCATCTCGACGCGGTCGTGCTGGCCGAATGATTGACGTCCTTGGTCGTTGAGGAAGCGCGATGCGAAGTAAGGCCAGCCGTTCTGTGGTATAGAATGGCGGACGTCCTTGACGAGTTGGACAGTGTCTACCACGTCATCCGTAGTCACGTCGGCGTGGATGGGATGCATCGTCGTGAACCAGCCGACGGTCTCGGTGATGTCGATTGCAGAATCCCAGGGCTCTCTTCCGTGGCCCTCGTTGAAAATAGCCGGGGTATGGCGGTCGTTGAAGATACGCCGGAAAGAGTGCATGATTGAAGAGAGGAAGATGTCGATCGGCTCCGTGCGAAGAGCGTCATGGCAAGGACCCAGCAGAGCCGAAGTCGTGGCGGCATCCAGCATGAAGCCCATGCTAGTCACGTCGCCGTAGGAGTTCGGCTTGTCTTCCATATCCCAGTAGGCATAATCCATCTGGGGAACGACGAAAGGCAGTGCCTTTTGGGGCAACATGTCATCAGACTCGCGGGCAAAGCTGGCTTGGAGATTTGTCCAGGTTCGGAACGATATGGACTTGGCCGATGTGATGGAGTCCCCTGAAAGCAACTGTTCCAGATGTCCGAGGACAACTCTCCAAGAAACGAGGTCGATGACCAGGTGATGTGCCACGAGGAAGATGTAGTCGTTGTCCTCGGTGTGGAACACATCCGCCGCGAAAACAGGACCGACAACTGACAGCGTCGTGGCTGTCTCGCGAGCAATGGCTGCCATCTCGTCCTTTGACGACACCTCATGAGTTTGGAAGCGGTAGGAAGACGGAACTTCAGTCTCAACACGTTGAGTCCAAGTCTCGTCCTCCTGTTGCTGGAATCGTGAGCGGAGCATGGCGTGACGAGACACGATGGCATCGACGGCTCCTCGCAACTCCCCATGCGCAGTCCTATTTGCGAGTCGTAACAGGAAGCTCTGGTTGAAACGATCAGATCCCTGAGACGCAAGATGTGAAAAGTACAGCGATTGAATCGGCGACAAGGCGAATGGCTCAGCCGCGTCCTCGTCCATTGCAACGGCGAGAGGCGCAATTGTAGCCACCTTGGCGCCGGCTGCGAGCTGGCTCAAAGACCGGCTGCGGAGGACGTTCTGCATGTTGACTGAGACGCCTTCCGACCTGCACCTTGTGACGACCTGCATTGCCGTGATCGAATCGCCGCCAAGACTCAAGAAGGAGTTTTGCGTGCCGACGATCTCGATCGGCAGGTTCAGGACTTGGGCCCAGACCTGCTGCAGTGTGACTTCAACCGCGTTCTTGGCCAAAATGTCGTCCTTTCCGATACCGGCTTGCTTGAGGATGTTCGTGTAGGTCTCCATGTCCAGTCCCTCGATCCATTGAGTGACGATGCGACGATCAATCTTCATCGACGGCGTGAGGGGGACGTCTGCCACCACAGCCCAGATCTCGGGAATCATGTACGAAGGTAACTGCTCCGAGATGTGTTTCTGCATCGATGCAATGTCCTGATCGGAGATGGAACCGTCCGCCATACTGGCAAGCTGGATCGCCTCTGGAGAGTTGCTTGCCGAAGCGACGAGAGAGACGGATATCACAGCAACCAGCTTCCCCTTGCATTGCCCTGACTTGGGCAAGAGGATCATGCTGTGCCGTGAACCAGCACATGTCGACAAGACATGCTCAATCTCCCCCAGCTCAACCCGCTGCCCACGAACCTTGACCTGCCGGTCTTTTCGTCCGATGAAACAGATGGAACCATCGGGGTTGTGGCGGACGAGATCACCAGTTTTATAGATTCGCGTGTTCTCGCCGTCGTAAAGCCCGCTTAACCACGTCGGAGAGTCGATAAAGGCCTCGCTCGTCTTTTCCGGATCATCGAGATAGCCGCGGGCGACAATGGGGCCCTGGATCACGAGCTCACCGATCGCTCCTATGGCCGCTAACACGTCGTGGTTATGCGGGTCGGTGATCCAGAGACGGCACGCCACTGGATAGCCGATATTCGACGCCCTGTTAAACGCCGTCGCCGAACCGGGGTCGATGGTGATGGCGGCGCTGATGACGGTGCACTCGGCCGGACCGTAGACTTGGATCATCTCGAGGCAGGGCGCCCAGGTCTCCACGCAGTCATCGGTGCAGGACTCGCCTCCCACGATGAGCGTCTTGAGGTGCGGCACGTCGCTTGGTCGGATCGTCTTGAGGAACGAGGGCGTGAAGGCGGCCCAGTTGACTCGCATCTGTTCCATGATTGTCACGATGTCCCCGGTACGAGCGCCATCGCTCGGCACACATACGCAGCCTCCGTAGGTCAGCGTGGCGAAAATCTCCATGATACAGGCGTCAAAGGCGTAGGAGGAGAATTGCAGCGCGCGCGTGTCGGGGCCGAACTTGAGGATGGATCCGTGGCCGCAGGCGCCGGCGCTGGCCATCGAGTGCTCGATGACGACGCCCTTGGGTCTACCGGTGCTGCCAGACGTGAAGATGAGGTAGGCGGTGTTGCTGGGACCAGTGGCATCGATGGCGGCAGCGCTGTCAGAAAAGACATCTGCGTCGGTTGATTCTGTCGTTGCCTCCTGGTCGACGGCCAAGACGTGAACGTTCGTGAAGGATTCCCACTTGTCAACGTGCCCCGCAGAAGAAAGGACAATGATTGCGCCCGTCTGGCCGATGATGTCTGACTTGCGGCTCAGAGGGCAGTTGACGTCCAAGGGAACGAAGGCTCCGCCGGCCTTCAGAACGGCGACCATGGCGACAATGGCCCAGGATGACTTCTCGAATGCCAGGGGAACAAGAACTTGAGGACCAACACCCATCGATTTAAGCTTTCTTGATAAAATCGTGGCAGCTTCGTCGAGCTCCTGGTAGGTAAAGTCAACATCCCAACCGCGGATGGCCGGTCGAAGAGGTTGCTTCCTCGCCATATCTTCAAACAAGTGGTGAAGGCACGTCCCGGGACTGTTCATAGGGGCAAGGTCATTCCATTCCATGAGCTTCTTGATCGATGGAGCACTCAGTGACTGAAGGCTGGCCACCTTTTGCGCAGAGTCGTCAGTCGAGAACTGCCCCAGGATGTGTTCCACCTGGTCGAGGAGGCCCTGTAGCTGCGTCTCTGTGATCAGGCTGTCGTCGTACTTCGCCTTCATCACAGCCGAATCGGAGCCGAGCTTGCATTCCAGCATGAGACTGTACGCTCCGAGGTTCTCAGAGGTGTCCTCTCTGACTTGGTGCAGCGTCATGACCCCGGTGGCTGCCAGAGCGGCCTGCTCGGTGGGTTGAATCGCGACGAGGGTCTGGAACGCACAGGAGGCGGCGGCTTCGGGGCCCAGACGAGCAATATTCTGCAAACCGAACTGCTCGTGGGGGCCTGTCGCTGTTCCCTGTTCCTGGACGGCGGCAAGGAAGTTGGTGATGCTCTGTCCCTGGTCAATCTTGATTCTCACGGGCACAGTAGTAATCGTTGGTCCCAGGACAAGTGAAACGTCGCCGGCTGCCGAGTTTCTTCCCGCCAAGACTTCGCCAAAGATTGCTTCTTCTTCGCCAGTGAACTTGGCTATTGAGACGGCCAAAGCTGATCTCAGAAGGTTCGCAACAGTCACGTCTTTGTTGGCCAAGCCTGCGAGGGAGACCGTTTTGGAAATGGCTTTGTCGGGCTTTGGTTGATAACTCGCGCTCGAAAGCTGAGGGAATGGGGAGCACGAGGTGCCCTTGAGCTGAGAGATCCAGAAGTCCCTCGAAAGTGAGGCTTCAGACTGCTTCAGATCGGCAATGAAGTCCTTGAAAGGCGTCATCGCCGGCAGGGAGGCTTGCCCAGCATAGATGGACTCGACGGCCTCGAGGACCAACTCCAGACTCCATGCATCATACAAAGAGTGGTGGATGGTGAGAACAAAATAGTTCTGCCCCGATGAATCACTCTGAACAAGGCCGAGTCGGCACAAGGAATCGCCAAATGCCATGGGCAGGTGCTCGTCGGCATCCAAGTACTCGTCGAGGTCGGTGCTGGTTTTCCAGCAGAGACCATCCTCCAATACAACCTGGACTGTGCCAAGAAGATCGAGGTTGACGATGCGGGTGCGGAGGATGGAGGTCGACTGAACAAAGGTCTCCCAGGCCTGGCGGAAGCGGTCCAGGTCGATGGATTGATCAAGCTGATAGACTTGCCTGCTGACATATGCTCCAGGCTCTTTGGTAGAGAGCAGCATCAATCCTTCCTGAAGTGCTGTGCACGGGTAAGCGTCTTCGATGTTCTGAGAGGGAATGTTGAGAAGCTCCGAGATTTCCTTGCGGACGGTGTCACACCCATGGTCGATGAGCGAGAAGGGCGCCGAACCGGTGCGCAGTCGATCTTTCTCGGCCTGCTTCTCAGCTGATTCCTCGCTCAGGGCGTAAGCCTGTTTCGCCATGTCGGCTAGTATCGGTGCGTTGAAGATCATGGGGAAGTTCAGGAAGACGCCAGCCTTCCGAGCAGAGGCCACAAGTTTTATCGCCAGAATGGAATCGCCTCCAAGACGGAAGAAGCTGTCGTCGCAGCCGATGGATGAGGGAGGACATCCAAGCAATTCAGCCCACAGCTTCTGCAACGTCTGCTCCATCGCCGTCGACGGGCTGCGCTTATTCTGGGTGGCGAGAGTGAACAGGAGGATCTGCTCCTCGGTGATGTCGTGCGCCCAGCCCCGAAGCTTTCGCTTGTCAGTCTTGCCGGCGATGCTGAGTGGAATTTCCTGGGTTGGGATGTAGATGGACGGGACCATGTAGCCGGGTAGCCGGGCTCTCAAGCCCTCGTCGAGGTGTCTGAGCCTTTGCTCAAGGGTTTTGCTGAGGCTCGTCGGGATATTCTGCCCGTTGTCGAGGGAGCAGTCTGCGGTGACGAACAATGCCAGGACTTGAGTGTCGCCCCTGGCTCCGAGCTTCACCGCGTCTGCGACAACCAAGCCTTCTCCCCATAATGACTTTGCGTGGGACTCGATCTCGCCAAGCTCAAGGCGCTGGCCTCGGACCTTGACTTGAGCATCTTTGCGGCCGAGATAGTTCAGACTGCCATCGAGGTTGTACCGAACGAGGTCGCCAGTCTTGTAGAACCGTCGCTCCCACGCAGGGGAAGATGGCTTCAAATCCGACCAGGCACAAGACTCGATAAAGGCGCTGGCCGTCTTCTCGGCGTCTCCGAGATACTCCCTTGCCAAGATGGGACCTTGTACGAGCAATTCTCCGATGGAGCCGACCGGCATAAGACGATGGTGGTCCTCGGGGTCGACGACCCAGGTCCTGGCTGTGACGCCCTTTCCGATACAAGCCGGGTTGGTAGTCGGAGAGTCGAAGCAGTTGATCACGCAGATGATACACGTCTCTGTCGGCCCGTAGCCGTTCATATGCTGCTCCAACACGGGCTGCCAGATCTGCAAGCCCTGGCGATCCGGCGCCTCGCCTCCGACCACGATGGTCGTGAGACTCGGGATCTGGCTCGGCTCGAGCAGCCGCAGGAATGAGGGTGTCAGGAACGTCCAGTTCGGCTGCAGGGCCTGCACCACGTTGACGATGTCGTCCAGGCGAGACGAGTCGCTTGGGACGCAGACGCAGCCGCCGTGGAAGAGCGGGCCGAAGATCTCGATGATGCATGCGTCAAAGGTGTATGATGCAAACTGGAGGGACCGGGTCTCGGGGGACATGCCATATACGCGGCCTTGGCCGTACAAACTGGCGACGAGGGATCCGTGCTCGATTACTACGCCTTTGGGTACGCCGGTGCTGCCCGAGGTAAAGAGTGCGTAGGCGGCGCTGGTTGAGGATGGTTTTGGGGTTAAGCTGTCAGGAGATGATTGAAGCCGCGCGATGGAGTTGGGACCGATTGGTACAGCTGTGAGACCGTCTCTTGGGGACCACGTCGTAGTCTCTGTTTCTGAAAGAAGAATAACGGTCCCTTTGATCTGTCCCAGAATCTGCTCCTTTCTTGCAAGTGGATCAGAGGGAGGGAGAGGAACGAAAGCTGCTCCGGCTTTCAGGACAGCCATCATACCAACAATAGCCCAGATGGACTTTTCCGAACTGATGGGGACGAAGGTATTGGGCTCCAGTCCTATGCTGATGAGGTGATGCGCTAGAGTGTCCGAAAGCTGCCTCAACTCGCCGTAGGTGAGTTCCCCATCCATGCTACACAAGGCTGGTCGTTGGGGATTCGATGCAGCGTGGGCCTCGAAGATGTCTTGTATAGAATCCTCAAAGCTGTCGGGAGTCCAGTTGTTCCAGTCCTTGATGGTGCTGAGGCTACTTTGGCTTAGCAAGTTGATGTCGCCGACCTTTTGGCCAGGCGCCCGGACAACTTCAGCCAAGATGTGCGCAAAGGTGGCTGCGACATGGGTTGCAAATCCGTCAGACATGAAGTTTGACCAGTATCCCAGGGAAACCTCGAAGCCGTCCTGGGAGTGACCGACGTTGACTGTGATGTCAAACTGTTGAAAGATATTGGGTTAGCAAGCGTTCATGTTGGTAGCAAGTGATCGTGAAGTTTCCATCTCATACCTCTGAAACATCCTTTCCACCAAGATTGACAATCCTAATGCTGCCATTGTCCTCGGTGGATTCAGTCTTGTCCAGCCTCTGGAATGACATGACGGTGTTGAACAACGATCCTTCGGACAGATCCAACGAGTGCTGGATTTCCGCCATGGAGCAAACTTGATGAGGTAAACTATGCAAAAGATCATCCTGAACTTTGCCCAAGATGCTGTCGACCGTGGCCTCCTTGGAGACGACCAGCTTGCAAATGAGCATATTCATGAACGGCCCAATGGCATCCTGGATCCCAGAAATCGGCAAATCACGCCCGGAAGCGAGATATCCAAAGCAGGTAGTTTCAGAAGTGCCAAAAGTCCTCAACACAATAGCCCAGACAGCCTGGAACAGGTTGGAAGCGGTGAATCCCTCGTTGGCACAGAACTCGTTGATCAGTCGTGTCGTGTCTCCTAGCTCGACGTCAACGTAGCGCACTTCCGGCATCTCGCTTGAATCGGTGTTGTTGTCGAGAAGTGGCGGCAAGGGGCTGGGCTCGGCGTCGCGGAGGTAGTTGGTCCAGTACTCGACGCTCTCTGCCATCGGCCGCGTCGAAATGTACTCGACAAAGTCTCTATACACGGGAGGTGGGGGGTTGAGACTCGCCAGTTGACCGTTACAAGCAAGTGCAAAATCGTGCTCCAAGGACGCGGTCGAACCGCCGTCAATCAACGCGTGGCTGATGTCGAGTCTGCAAAGAGTCTGGCCGCCGGTTCTCAGAATCGACAAGCAGTACCGGGGTTTTCCACTGCTTTCCAGGGGCAGGTCGCTGCCCTCGGCAAAGAATTGTGACGGCGTGTTGTCTTGTGTATCGTCGAGGACATTCACCAGGCAAGGCACGGCGCGAGGCTTGAGGACGATTTGGTCGAACAGGCCGTCGTCGCGAGTGCTCTCGAGGAAAATGGTTCGAAGGATAGGATGTCGATCTGCAACCAGCTGCCAAGAGTCTACGAGCAGTTCGCAGCTGATTGAACCGACAATCTCCCAGTAGAACTGGACATCGTAGCTTCCAGCCTGCTTGACCTGACTGACGAGAAGGCCCTGTTGCATCGGAGAGCAGGGATACATGTCCTCGACATCTTGTTGACACAAGTCCAAGCTAGGTAGCTTACGGGAGAGCAACTCGTCGAGAATGGTGGGTGACAGCGATAGCAGAGGGAAGTCGGACACTGTGTACCTCTGCTCCATGTTCGTCAGACGCGATGCAGTCTCTGTGAGTGTGTCTCGGAACTTGCGACACCAGTCGCTCACCAAGTTAGCGTTCTTGATGTTCCTGTTGTAGACAATGGAAAAGCTCGCAACGCCATGGTGAACCTCGGCATTGACCTCGAACACCGCGAAGCGCCGAGTAGAGGTCGAGATGTCGTTCAGCGTGGCTCCTGTAAAATGGCTGGTGTCAAGCTGCAGCAATGCACTGTCATCCTCAAGCTGCTGGTACTGTCCGGCATAGTTGAAGATGACATCGACGGGGCCATTTTGACCGAAAGTCTCCATGCCTTGGCGGTTCAAGAATCGGCTCGCAAAGTAAGACCAGCCGTTCTTGGATACGGCGCGACGCGCATCCTTGACGGAGATGACTGTGTCGATCGAATCGCCGCAGGTAGCTTGGAGAGGGTACATCGTGGTGAACCAACCGACAGTGGAAGAGTTGTCGACCGCCTCATCCCAAGTCTCGCGACCGTGTCCTTCGAGGAAGACTGTCGGCGCTCTCTGCGTCGAGAATGCTTGGGTGAAGGATTGCATCAGAGCAGCAACGGCGAGATCGACAAAGTCGGTGTGGAGGGACTGGTGAGCGCCGCTGACGACTTTGCTGGTCGTTGCGCTGTTGAGGGCGAAATCGACGGTCAAGGTGTCGGCGTAAGTGTTTGATTTGTTCTCGAGGCCCCAATATTCCACGTCGAAGTTGTCTGTTGCGAGGCAGCCAACGGAAGACGGTGAGAGCTCCTCCTGCGCGTGCTTTGCTTGCAACTGACACCATTGCTGGAACGGGGTCGCTGTGAGTTTAGTCGCGTCGCCGTTGATGAGAAGAGTCTGCAGATTGTCGAGGAGGATTCTCCAGGACACGAGGTCGACGACCAAGTGACTTGCAGTGAGGAACAAATACTGTCGGCTGTCATCGATGTCGAAAGCGTCAACTATGAGCAGTGGACCTTGCTCGGGATCGATCTCTTGCTGACTAGTCGCCGAGATACCATCCATCGCGGCCTCCTCATCGACTGTGAAATGCCGAATTTTATACGAGTTATCAATGTCGTTTGTGATCCTCTGAGACCATCGTCCCTCGGGTCCATAGGAGAAGCGTGCGCGCAACATTGAGTGCTGGCGAACCAATGCTGCAACTGCGGCGGCCAACACCGAGCCATCGAGCGGACTTGACACTTTGACTGCCATACTTTGGTTGAACCAGGAACCCTCGACGAAGGCTTGATCAAAGTACAGCTGTTGAATAGGCGACAGGTCAAAGGCCTTGTCCGTCTCGTCGACATACGTCGATGGCTGTCTTTCATGGCCCGCAATCTCCCGGGCACACTGAGCGAGCTGAATCAGGGACTTGCTTCGAATGATATCCTGGATCGTGAGAGAGAGACCTTCCGTCCTGGAAGCCGACTTGACCTGCATAGCAGTGATGGAGTCCCCACCCATTGACACAAATGACCAGGACATTATTGTCTTCTCAATCCCAAGGCCCAGGACCCGGCTGACGATAAGCTGAATGGCCTTCTCAGCTTTGGTGGTCGCTTGGCTACCCTCGTTGGAACCGGATGTAGCGTTCATGATTGTGCTGTACACCTCGTCGTCGAGATCAACAAGCCACTGGTCCAGGCACTTGCGGTCAATCTTCTCGGACTTGTTCATCGGCATCGCAGTGACAACCGCCCAGGCAGTGGGTATCATGAAGACTGGTAGGGCGTTGGACAGCCTCTGATGGGTATCCGAGATGATCTTGGCGATGGCATTTCTCGAAAGCTGCGTTGTTAGCGTCGGTGGGCCTTCTAATGGCCCTCCTGAGGTGTCGCCTTCTTTGGCGGTGATGATGGCTGTGAGTCGGTCTTGGAGCTTGCCTGACTTTGGCACGGTCACGAAGACGTGCTGAAGATCGGGACAAGATGCCAGTGTCTGTTCGATCTCGCCCAGCTCGAGTCGTTGGCCGCGGATCTTGATCTGGGTGTCCTTTCGACCGACGAAGTTGAGCGATCCATCGGAGTTGTAGCGAACGAGATCGCCTCTAAAATATCATGGTTAGAATGAAATTGTTGTTTGAATAGAAATACCCATGCAAAATGACAACTCACGTCTTGTACATGCGGCAGACATCCGTCTCTTGGTCCATGGCAAACCATCGCGGGCGCTCCACGAATGCCAGCGCCGTCTTCTCCGGATCGTTCAAGTAGCCACGCGCCAAAGTCGGTCCTTCAATAGCCAGTTCGCCGATGGAACCGATGGGTGCAAGCCGGGTATGATCCGACGCATCCACGACCCAGCAGCGATTGCCGGTAGGAAGCCCAATGTTCTTCGGGTCCGTGTCCGCAGTGACGTGAGAGTTGACCACAGAAACGACGGCACACTCGCAGGGCCCGTACCCGTTGACCAAGTCGACCGCGGCACCCCACCGCTCAATGTCCTTGCGAGACATGGCCTCGCCGGCAAGGACCAAGGTCCTGAGCTGAGGCACCTGCTGCGGGGTGATCTGGTTGATGAAGGACGGGGTCAGCACGGCCCAGTTGACGTCCATCCTGTTCATTGCGCTGACGATGTCGCCCACGCGCTCTTCCTCGCTCAAGACGCAGACGCAGGCGCCGTGGATGAGGGTGGTGAGGATTTCAACGAGGGAAGCATCGAAAGCGTACGAAGAAAACTGGAGTACGCGCGAAGACGAGGTCGTCAGCTGGGCCTTTCCGTGGGCCAGCGAGCTGGAGCAGAACGCCCTGTGCTCTAGGATGGTTCCCTTTGGTTTTCCGGTGGAACCAGAGGTGAAGATGAGGTAGGCTGCGTTGTTAGGGGTTGCTTTGGGCAGAGGCGAGGTATTGTCGGACAATGGGGGCAATGCCTCGATGAAATCTCTGCTTATCGGGACTGTGACTCTGTCAGTAGTATCTAGCAAGTTTTCTAGGGAGGGGGATGTTAGTATGACCTTCGCATTCGTGTCTCGTACAATACCGTTGAGTCTGTCGATGGGGTGGGAGTGATCCAAGGCGACAAAAGCTGCCCCGGCTTTCAGAATGGCTATCATTGACACGATGGTCCAGGCGGACTTCTCGAAGCACAGTGGCACTATATCTTCGCTCAACACGCCCAGAGACGCAAGGTGGATGCTCAGGTCAGTGGAGAGGGTGTCAAGTTCTGCGTAGGTGAGGCTATCGTCCCACGAACAGATTGCCTGCCTGTCCGGCTGCTGCTTAGCCTGAAGACTGATGAGCTCATGTATACAGGCTTCGACAGCACGCGGTACTTTGGCGTTCCATTGTAGTAGCTGCGTTGTGTCGCGGGGGCTCATGAAGTAAATGTCTCCCAGCCTGCGTTCCGAGCTGCTGGTGATCTGGTCGATGACGTGTTCGAACTGGTGCAGGACGCGCGACATGTAGTCGGCTGTGAGACACGTGGGGTTGTATCGCGCAATGATCTTGACCTGCTCGCTTCCCATGCTGCACTCGACAAGGAGGGGGTACGTGTGGCCGTTCATGCCGCCCTTGTTAGTCAACTGAATGTCCAAGCCGGTCGATGAGGCGGTCTCCTCCGACTGGGGCTGGATGACGAGGACGTTCTGGAAGCCGCAGCCGGACTTGGCATCGCTGTTGATGGCGCTGATGTTCTGCAGACCGAAATGCTCAAAGGGAATCATCTCGGTCGAGGTAGATTGCAGCGTCTCCAAGAAGTTGGACACGCTTTGATCCTTGTCGATGCGGATTCTGATCGGCACAGTAGTGATTGTCGGTCCGATCATTGTGTCGATTCCTTCGAGTGACGCGTTGCGACCGGTGACAGTCGCTCCAAAGGTGAAGTCGTTTTGATCGGAGTTCTTCCCGACGACCAGCGCCCAGGCAGCCCGAAGAATGGTGGATGGAGTGATGCCGGTTGCCTCCGGAGAGAAGCGAACAAGATCGGTCACGACGCTCTCAACGGTGGAATCCTGAGACTCGTCTTGCGTACTTGGCTTGGGGAAGTAACCCGGTCTCGAGTCCTCCAACTGTTGGCTCCAGAACTGGCTTGCGATACCCTCGTCGAGGTCCTGGAGGTGGCGGATGAAAGCTTTGAAGGGCGTCGATGGGGGGATGGGCGTGCCGTCATACAGGGCCGCGAGCTTTTCGACGAGCATAGGGATGCACCAGCCATCAAAGACGCAGTGATGTGCTGTCCAGACGAAATACCTCTCCCTACCGTTCCCGACGATTGCATGACGACTCATTAGGTCTCCGTAGATCATGTTGGCGGGTTTGGTCTCGGCAAGGTAGACGTCGAGACTGAGCTCGCTATCCTCCCAGGAGGCAACACCATCAACAACGACCTGTAAAGATCCCATTGCATCGTTGTGTACAATCATGGTTCGGAGAATCTGAGTAGTCCGGACTGTCTCTACCCATGCGTTCTTAAAACGATTGATGTCGACGTCCGGGCCGAGCTGGAAAACGTTCCTCGCCACGTAAGAACCAGGCTCCTTGTCCGACAAGACCATCAGGCCCTCTTGGAGAGGCGTACATGGGAAGATGTCCATGATTGACTCGACTTCCACAGAGCACTGCAGAGCAGCGTCTTGTAGGACTGAGTTCTTGTGGTGTTTGTTGATCAAGGAAAAGGGTTCAACCAGAGCTGAGGTAGTCTCGTCTTCGGTCTCGTCCACAGGAGTCATCAGAGCCGCCATCTGGGCAAGGGTCGGCCCGCGGAAGATGTCAGCAACACTGAGAGAGAACTTATCTTTTCTCAACGAGATTGAAAGTTTCATCGCAGTTAAAGAATCTCCACCAAGCCTGAAGAAGTTTTCCTCGGGACGAACCGCTTTCCCCTGCGACAGAGACAGGACTTGTTTCCAATGCTCGTAGACCTTGAGCTGTGGTTGAGACATTGAATCGTTCGTTCCAGCAGAGGCAGGGTCGATGAGGAAGTAACTATCGATTTGCGATCTTGATAGTCCGGCGATGTGAGTGCGGATGGATCTCTTGTCTAATTTGCCAGCTATGGTGACTGGCAAATTTTTCACCGGGATGTACATTGATGGGATCATGTATCCTGGCAAGTGACTTGAGAGCTTCTCTTCCAGAGCCAAAAGATGAGGTCGAAGATCGTCCAAAATGGGAAGGAAAAGCGCATCAGAAGAGTCGTCTGCCGTTTCATTGTTCTCCTGCTCGACGCAAACAAAGGCAACCACTGTCTTTCGGGCATCAGAGCCAGATAGTTGGACCAAGTCAACAGCAACTTGGCTGGCCTTGCTCAGATTCGCCCGGACGTGGAATTCAATGTCGGATAATTCGACTCGCTGACCATTAATCTTGACCTGGGCGTCTTTTCGACCCAAGTAGATCAAGGTGCCATCCTCATTATACCGAACCAGATCGCCAGACTTGTACATGCGCCGCCGCCAGCCAGGCCCATCAGATGCCCAGCGTGGATTGTAGATGAATCCAGCCTGCGTCTTCTCCGGATCGTTCAGATAGCCACGTGCCATGAGCGGAGTTTCGATGAGCAGCTCGCCCACGGCTCCGATGGGCTTGAGGCGATCGTGATCGTTTGGGTCGACAACCCAGCAAATGGTTTCGAGACCCAGCCCGATGTTGGCTGGCTCGTCGTCCACGCACATGGGCCCGTAGGCAGTGCACAACGAACACTCCGCGGGTCCGTAACCGTTGTACAGGTTGAGAACGCCGGACCACGTCGTCAGAGCCTCCTTTGTGATTGCTTCACCGGCCAACACCAAAGTCTTCAGGCCAGGCACTGCTGCAGGGTCCAGGAGACCGGCGACGGTGGTTGTCAAATTTGCATAGTTGACGCCCATGTCGGTAATAAATCCGGAAAGATTACTCATGCGCTCGTGATCTGACGGGATACATACGCACCCTCCGGCCATCAGATTGGTGCACATGTCTGCGAGGGCGACGTCAAAGGTGTACGAGGCAAACTGTAGGACACGATCGCCGGGGCCCATGTTGAAGGTCACCGCTTGGGTGGCAGATGCTGTACAAACTGCACTGTGCTCAAGAACGATGCCCTTTGGCTTTCCTGTTGTACCGGAGGTGAAGATGACCAGAGCGGCATGGTGGGGAGCGACGGCCGTCTGTGGTGGTGATGTCTTCTTCGGTAGCGTATCCATCAGATCCTGATCGATAACGAGAGTGTGGCTGTCCAAGGTTGAGATTCGGGTCGCACTTGAAGGCGATGCCAAAATAATGCTTGCTTGACATGATGCGATGATATCATGAAGTCTCTGGTCGGGATGACCGACATCCATCGGTACAAAAGCGCCGCCAGCCTTCAAGATGGCCCACCATGACACCAAGGCCCAGACGCTTTTTTCAAAGAGAACGGGAACAAGAATATCTGGCCGGACACCAAGATCGACGAGGTGATGTGCCAGGCTGTTGGCCAAGTTTTCGAGTTCGCGGTAGGTGAGGTCGCCTTGCCGCGTAGCCACGGCGATGGCGTCGGGCTGTGAGGCGACGCGGGCTTCAAAGACTTTGTGGACACAAGTTTGGAGTGCTTGAGGATCTGCGCAGTTCCAGCGCTTGATCTCGTCTAGGTGAGAACGGGGGATGACTTCCAGCAACGCGATTGGCGTCGTGGATCGAGATGAGATGAAATTCATCATGTGGTTGAAAGTTGCAGCCACGTGGCCGGCCTCCCAGTCGGACACAAAGGACGTCGTGTATTCTATACATGCGTTGATCAAGTGCCTCCCAATTCTTACGTGAATAGTGCAAGCAATCTAGCGCTATTGTAAGAAAGATGTCCCGTCTTGAGATTCGCAGCATTTCGAATGACCCCCGGGGGGGGGCTTGGTGTTCGCCTAGCGAACATTAACAAAATTGCGTACCTGAATTTTGTCATTCTTCAATGACGGAAGGCTCGGAGTGGATGATTCGCAATCATCGTCATTCCATAATGCCAATCTGGTGTTATATAAGGAACCGTTCGTTCCAGATGCGGCACCCAAGGCGTCGCCGATATTCGCCGTCTTGAACATGACGCTGCTAGACTGGTCTGCGTCAATGCTGCTGACGACTTGTCCGCAGGTCATTTCGTTTCCGAACTGGAAACGGGCAAGAGATGCCAGGGGATCACAGACAGTCGTCTGCTCCCCGGAACCCTTCTCAGTTCCTAGCGAGCCTTCGACGACCTCGAAGAGCACGCCGTCAGCGTTGGTGTAGGCCTGGAGGACCATGGCCCAGGCAGCCTTCAAGGCAGCGGCCAAGGACACGTCGGTGTCGTTGCAGAACCGCCGAAGTCTGGCTAGACCACCGTCATGGACGGGTATGTTCATGGTGCGATGCTGGGTGCCGACGGATCGGCCACCACCAGCAAGGTTGAGAGTGCAAGGTTCGAGGCCGGCGACGTAGGTCTGCCAAAAGGCGGCCATCTGGGCACGAGTGGAGTTCATCTTGTCGGTTGGGTGTAGTAGGGTAGTGATCCTAGAGGTTTGGGTATAAGAGTTTCTGTGTGAAACTTTGAAGCGAAATTTGATGATGATGATGATGATGATGATGATGATGTGTGTGAATGAAGCTAGCCAATAGACTGACGTAAAGCGCGATTTCGGATAAAATATCTGAGAGTTTGAATGCTCCTGAAGAATTCAAGCGAAATTACAAGAGAGAAAAAAGACGAGATGAGTGGCTATTATTGAGGCTTCTCAATGTGACCGGCATGCTTTAGAGACCGATCTTCCACATTCAGAACAAACAGAAAGCACGTAACAATGCTGTGCAGTACCGAGAGCTCCAGACTGGAACTTTGGGCTTCCTGCGGCCGTACAAACTCCATTCTTGCTGTATCCAACGCAATATTTCGGTAGATTGGAGGTGTATTCCTCTCGATCAAGATTGAAATACGACCGGAAAACTGTTCACCACTACCGATCGATGCCACGATGTGAGAGCTAGTTTAGCGGGCACACACGCCAGGGTTGAGGAGACAATACAGCGGATGGTTCGTCGACGCCGCAGGAGAGGAGCACGCGCATGGATAGGTGAGCTAGCTAGGTATCTCTGGGGTAATCTAGTACAAGGCCAATACGAATCTGCTCATCGGGTTGTGGGTCCATTGTTGAGAGATGCTACTATCGAGCTTCGTATTGTGGCACGGGGAGCAAGGGAGGAGCACAAAGTTAGCTATTGGCTAGGTGAGCCAGTCAGGTTTAAGATAACCGAAGACGGAGTGAGTACGAATCTGCTCATCGACGAGAGGGGCCTTTGTCAGAAGAATCTACTATCGAGATTCGTGATGCGGCACGGGGAGCACCGCTCTCTGGTCCTTCAGACCGGATGCTATGCCGCTGACCTGGTACAGAAAGAAAGACTTTGGGCCCTGTCGAGTGGAACGACGACGGTCTGAAAAGGAATCATTATTGATGTGGAGGATCGAAACTTGGCTGGGAGGCATGTCTGACTTGAGAGGATCCTAGTCGTCAGGCTACGAAAAAGGCCACTTTTGGAGGCTGAGACTGAGATTGCTAGAGTGATATCCGCATAAAACGGAAGCTATAACATTAGCAAAGCAAGTATGCCTTAGGTAGCTCGGCCAAAAAAGCCAAAAGCCACAATTGTGTAACGGATGCTTGCTCAGCTGATGGGTTTTCTTTGGAATCTGTTGGAAGATTTCGTTTTACTCGTTAGCGGCATCTGTCTGTTGTAAACAGGTAAAACTGCACGTGTTCGGCGGAAGCCGGAGGATTTCCGCAATAAACTTTGCGCAATATTAAGTTGTGACAAGGAGGACATTCCCAGGCCGACCAGTCTCGCTGTATAGGATAGGCGTCAAATAGACGCGAGGTCAAACAATGGCGGAATGAAGCGACGTCTGATAAAATAAGTGGGATCTTGATAAGCAACCGATATGTAGTCTCTAGTGTAAACAGCATGCATTGCACAGCTGGGTGTTGCTCTTAATGCCTGTTCTCGCTTACCCAGGGTAGCCAAGATCCTATCACTTCTCGACTCGCGGTCCGATTGGATTTCCTGAATGAACCCCGGGCCTAGGGTCCAATGAACCCTGGCGATTTGGGCGTTAGCCCTGAATCCCGACCTGTGCTATGCTCTCTTTACAACTATATCATGTGTGGATACGTCCGGGTTGAGGCGCTCTCGGTAGAGCTGACGTAGGGGTTTGCTATGACGGATGGTATGACGGATGGTATGACGGATGGTATGACGGATGGTATGACGGATGCGAAGGCTCCATCCGGCTTATGACGCAGTGTGGGGTTCGTTGCCGAAAGCTGTCAGAGCCCCATGACATTGTTGAGTTGTTCAAAAAAGGGAAATTCCTCTATAGAAGAAGACGGACCGCCTACAACGGAGGACATAGGCAGTGCATAGGGCCACGATGTGTACAGCGGAAGCTCAACGAAGCTTCAGTCTTTCACGCCCTTTCAGCTGCTGTAGTCGATACGTTCTAAAAGGTCGACCCATGACAAGAATAGGAGCCTTGCTCAGAAAGGCACTAGGTCAAGCTGGACAAGTCGGGCATCACGTGGACTTCTTTACAGCTGAAGTCGTGGCATATGGAAACTAAAAGACTCCAAAAGACCGGTTGATCTCGGTGCCGCCCAGCCAAGCCTACCTGACGGGCTAAGTTACGATTTTACCAGAGAATGTAGGAAATATTAGTGGTTGCTAGCTCAGAAACGTTTTCCGGTACGTTGACGAGGCGGATATCTCCAAGGTCATTCCTGTCTCATATGCCAAACCTCCAGCATACAGATTTCTGGTCAAATGTTGCAGTCTCTGGATACCTCCGTAATTTATTTTCAGCGATCAACTTTCACACAAGCTCGCTGAAATTTGCCATAATGTTTCAGTTTAGCAGGACTATCTCGTTGATAGGTTTTCATCAATTGGAGAATCGCTGAAGACAGCGTCGAATATTGGAGTGGCCACTTCATCTCAATCTGTACTGCATTGCGTTTGTAATTGAAATCCCAAATTCCGACTCCTCCAACGCGTCAATCGTCTCAGTAGGCTACGATGCGAACTTGTAGAATACAAATGCAGTCTACTTCTCCGAAGCAGGCTTCTTAGACGACAAGTCCACACCAAAAATCCCTCCACCAAGCTGAACCCCAAACTTCTTGGGACCAAAGCTGAACCTTGAACCCTCTGCAGAAGAGCCGGCGGCGGCGACAGCGTCGTCGTCCTGCCCGTTGAGGACAATCTTGAGGCCGCGCTGCTCAAAGAAGCCGCCGTTCCACCCTTCGACAATCTCTGTCAGGCGCTTCTGCTTGTACTCGTCCACGCTTGTCACCTGCTTCTTGTCATCCACGATGTTGGCGTCGAGGGCCGCCGTAATGTTGGAGGCGAAGGCGGCCCAGTCCTGGACAGAGATGTCACGGCTCTGCCAGACCTCGGCCGGGTCGGGAAACGGGAGGGAGAGGGAGGTGGCGCCGGGCCCGACAATGATGTGGTGGGTTTCGATGGCGTCCGGGCGTGGGAAGGGCGGTTGGCGGGCAACGGCGGAGACGGCGTCGTTATAAGAGGGGGGAGGGAGGTCGGAGCTCATTTTTTTAAAATAAGGGAGGTTTTTCTTTGTGATTGAAGGGAGAGCGATACCGTCGTTTTGTGGAGTGGTGAGATGTGTGTCGATGAGAATATCTCAGTGATTATTTTGAACATGCCCTGAAGCTCATGGGGTTCAATGCATCTTAAACCAAACCACCATAAGCAGTCAGACCAGCTGATGTGACATTTCCGGCGCCAAAGAAGATTAGTCTCTCCAGAGCTGCGTGAAACCAACGGACGAATGCCAGTTCAGAATTCAGCTCTACAAAAGGGGTCTTGCTGCGGAACAGCCCTGCTGCCATGGTGGGTGGGTTGGATGGATACATGTAAGTACGGACAGGCATCTGTGGGCAGGAGGGGTCGACTTGCATCCCCTCTGCATTGGGAGGAGACCATGCAATTCTTCACAACGTGAATCAGACCTCGCTAAAATCTGGCAGGGCAGAAATGGGATTCTGGGGCTGGACTCATCCTGTTGTACGGATGGGACACCCTCTGTCAGACTGTGCTACTGCGGCTTGCAACGGCCGTATAGACCACCAATCAGATCTTTGGAGTTATTCTCAATTAGTACGGATACGGCGGCGCAGATGGAAAGATAAGCAGGGGTGTGGGCGTCCCCTCTTCCGTTCTTTGTTACATGTATCCAGCAACGAAAGTTCCTCACTTTGCTGTATTGCAGAACCAACAAACAGTTCTGGAAACCCTGCTGGACCTGATCGATGTCGAATCCAGACCCCTCTCATGGCCTTTCGAGCCGGGGGAACCAGGGTCACTGGGTCAGGTCAGCGTGATGGTCAGGGGGCGAGGTGACAACGAGGCGAGTCGGGCTTCTTGATTCGTTCTGCTTTATACCACCCGACAAACCGAACGAAGAAGTTCCAATACCCTCTGGTCGCACCCAGTTCGCACGAATGCAGGGTAGGTCACATCAGGCTTCTTTTTGTGCCGCCAGTCCAGATTTGGTAGTTGCTTCTAACCATGTTCTACGTTTCCGCCCTTCCAACTCGTCTGATCCTTCAACCGCATTCCATGCAGGGAACAGGGATGTTGCAGCCGAGACCACCCATTCTATATAGCTGAACGTGCAAACAGTTCCGTCGCCTTATCACCAAGTAAGCGAAGCCAGTCGGTGCCGTTAGTCGCTACGAAGGCGATGTCTTCCAGTTCGTTGACATTATTCATAACAATGGCACCTTCTCGCCGTTTTCCCACTTGATCGCGTGAAAAAGCCAAATGGTTTTTGGTCTCGTAGATTTACGAGCAAAAAGACAGGCATTTGACACGACAGTGCTCCACTCGCGTCTCGACTATCTCCCTTGCCGCCGCGCTTAGAGAGGTCAGCTTGGTGTCGATCCCGAAGTTATCGTGACTAGAGTCTCTTTACTTATTGCCTCGTTTCAATAACTGCCTGGCTTGTTGAGGGATCTTCTTTCGATGGCCATCATGGCGACTTGCGCATCACCGGGCAACCCCGGCGATTTCGCCTTCGGCCCGGTGGTGGACTCTTGCGTTCGCAAATTCGACTTCACACTCTTGTTCGAAGACACGATTTTGTCGATTCTCCCATCGTCGATTTTCATCCTCTTGGCGGCTTTGAGGATATTTTCCCGCCATTCGGTACAACGCAAAGTCGCAGGCAACACCTTTCGCCTTTTCAAACTGGTCAGTACAACTCCCATCCACATATCAAGCTTGTCCAAAAGATGTAGTCAAGTGTAGCCCAGTTACTAACGACCAAAAACACAGGCTCCGATTCTGGTTCTCACTGCCATCTCCGTCGCCCTCACCGCACTTTGGGCACGTGACGCAGATCTTACGCTGAACAAGAAAACAGCCGTCGCCGCCGCTGCCTTAACCATCCTAGACGGCATCTTCTTGGCCGCCCTGTCCTTCACAGAGCACTCTAGATCCCTCGGGCCCTCTCTGCTGCTGAGCGTATTCCTGGTACTGTCCACCATCTTCGATGCCGTTCGCCTCAGAACCCTGTGGGTGAAATCGGTCGGGACCCCAATCGTCTCGCTCTCGACCGCGGCCTTTGCCCTCAAATTTGCGCTTCTTGTGCAGGAGGAAGCCAGCAAGCGACGGTGGATCATCGACGACGCGAGCGAGTATAGTTCAGAGGAGACCGCTGGACTGTTCAACCGCGTTGGGTTCCACTGGCTCAACAGTCTGCTTCGCAAGGGATACTCCTCTCCGCTATCCATTGCCAAGCTACCCGTCATTGACAGACAGCTTCTGTCTGATTCTCTGTGGGACCGTGTCGGGCAAAAGTGGAAGGCCTGTAAGTAATATTCCGTGGTTACACTTTATCATTGTGATTACTGACATGTTTTAATGGATTGATAGCCCCCAAGCAGGGAAACAATGCTTTGCTTGGAGTCATCTTCTCGGCTTTGAAGTGGCCTATACTGGCGCCTGTACCCGCCTACATGATCCTCATCGGGCTCCAGCTCGCACAGCCGTTCATGATCAGCACCATCATGGCCTACCTTGCTTCCCCTATTGACCATACTGAGGACCAGAGAAACATTGGATACGGTTTGATTGGAGCTTATGGCTTGGTCTACATCTGCATTGCGGTAAGTGAACTCGACCCACACATCTAAATCAGCTTTTGTGTGATGTAATTCTGACTTGCTACGTGCTGTAGGTTGTGACTGCCGGATGCCAGCATCTCGTCTTCCGCTACGCCACCATGATGCGCGGCTGCCTTGTGCTCTTGATCTACGAGAAGACAACCTCCATGAGCATCACCAGTGCTGAGGAAGCTGCCGCAGTCACCCTGATGAGCACCGACATTGAAAGAATCGTAAACGGCATGTCCAAGATCCACGAGAGCTGGTCAACCCTGCTTCAGATGGCCGTAGCTCTCGCTTTGCTGTACAGAGAGCTCGGAGTCGTGTTTATCGTTCCTCTTGTCCTGTTCTTGCGTAAGCAGAAGTTCTCGCCCTGGCCTGCTTGCGACAGTCGCTAATATTTCACCCAGTTTGCGCAGTGGGCGCGGGAGTCTTGTCCGGTTCCGCTGGGGCTTTCCAGGCATCCTGGATGGCGGCTATCCAAAAGAGAGTTGGTAAGATCATTACCTGCTTCCGGCGGCTTCAGCCATGAATTGGCCCATCCAAGTTTGCTAATATTTTTGACTTTGATAGCGGTCACTTCTTCTGTTTTGGGATCTACCAAAGGCGTCAAACTATCTGGATTCACCGACAAGATGTCCCAAATCATTCAAGACCTTCGCTTGAAGGAAATCGCGTCAGCAGCAAAGTTCAGAACCATGCTGCTCGTCATCGTCACTCTGTGTAAGTGATCTCACAATGTCAAAGTCCTGAAAAACAAATTGTGTTGAATTGGACTAACTCAGCATAGCTTATGCCCCTGGATCCATCTCCCCGGTGGTGACATTTGGCGCATACACAGCCATCGCACAAAAGGATCATACTACCCTAGACTCGAACCGCATTTTCACGTCCCTCGCCCTCCTTACTCTCGTCACACAGCCCTTGAACGAGCTGTTCGCGCACCTTCCCAATATCTTTGCCTCCATTGCCTGCTTCGGCCGCATCCAAGCCTTCCTTCTATCCCCGGAGACGTCCGCCAAGTCGGACGCCCGCAGTCCGTCGAGCAAGCTCGGCAGCACCTCCTCCATCAGCGAATCGCAGAGCGGCTCGTCGGTCCGCCAAGAGTCCGAGAAGCAGGCTACTACAACGGTGACCTCCATTTTGGACCCTCTGGTCAGTGGAAACGCCATTGAGATACGCAATGCCAAGTTCGGATGGAAAGCGGATGCGGATCCGGCCCTGACTGACCTCACGTTGGACATCCCACATGGGAAGCTCACGATGATTGTCGGCCCCGTTGCCTCTGGAAAGTCGACTCTCCTGAAGGCCATCTTGGGCGAGACCCCGGTTGCAGAGGGAACCATTAGCCGGTCATCTGACAGCATCGCCTTCTGTGACCAAGTTCCCTGGCTAACAAACGAGACTCTCCGTCGCAACGTCACTGGCTTCTCTCACTTTGAGGCGTCTTGGTACAGTACCGTTATCAGAGCTTGTGCCTTGGAGGAAGACATTGCGACCTTCCCGGATGGCGACCAGGTAATGGTTGGCAGCAAGGGCGTTACGCTCAGTGGTGGTCAGAAGCAGCGAGTGGTAAGCATTCATAGTCCATCCGCCATTTCCTCGTCAAGTCTTAAGCTGACCAAAGTGCCCTTCAGGCAATTGCCCGTGCCGTCTATTCCCGACGTGACTTTATCCTTTTCGACGACGTCTTCAGCGGCCTCGACTTTGAGACGCAGACTCGCGTCTTCAACAACCTCTTTGGAACATCTGGCCTGTTAAGGCAGAGCAATATCACCGCACTATTCGTCACCCATGCTGGTATGTAACTCCTCACAAGGTTTCTTTCTCCCGCCATTCCTGACAGTCTTGTAGTGCACATTCTTCCTCAAGCAGACTACATCATCACGCTTGACCAGACCGGCACAGTCGCTTCTCGCGGAACATTTGCGGAGCTCAACAAGCAGCCTGGCTATATCAGCAAGTTCGGTCTGATCACGAAGGAAGACGCGATCCAGCGCGACGCCATTCAAGATAACGGGAAATCAGCATTCCAGCCTCAGCAGAAACAGACGGCCGCAGATAGCGCTGTTGATGAGGAGACACAGCGCTTGGGTGATCGTTCGGTCTATAAGTACTACTTCGAGGCAACTGGTCCCCGCAGTGTCATCATTTTCTTCGTCCTGCAGATTATCTGGGTTTTCCTGACGAAGTTCCCTGGTACGTCCCACCTAAAACTGACCTCGACCCAAGCGAAAGCTTGACTAACCTTTCGGTAGAAATTTGGCTTTCTTGGTGGGGTGAGGCAAACGACCGGCATCCTAACCAGGAGGTCGGCAAGTACATGGGCGTTTATACCGCGCTTCAGGTCCTCTCGCTGGTTGCGTTGGCAGTGGTCTGCTGGTCAGTCCCATCAACACATTCATCTTCACTCTTGAGTTGTGTCTCTAATACAATGATTTCTAGGCACACCGTACTTGGCATGGCCGTGACCTCTGGTGTCAAGCTTCACTGGATCCTGCTCGAGAAGGCTCTCCGGTAAGTCACTGACCGATTTTGTCTTCCCAGCTTCCCTGACTAACGAAACGTAGCGCGCCTCTGTCCTTCTTCGGCACAACGAACACTGGCTCCATCGTCAACAGGTAGGCGCACACCTCGAACTTTGCTTGGCCTCCCGGACTAATCCTGCATGTAGGTTCAGTCAAGATATCCAATTGATTGACGCCGAGTTGCCAATCGCTCTCCTCAATGTTGCTGCCAGTAAGGGCTTTATGACAAGGTGATAATAAAGTATTTACACTGACCTGCATTTAGACGGACTCATTTGCATTGCTCAGGCTTTGATGATCATTCCCGCATCTTATCAGCTTATTGCAGTCTTCCCGTTCCTCGGCGGCGTTCTCTGGATCATTCAAAGATTCTACCTGAGGACTTCGCGCCAGCTCCGTTTCCTAGAGCTCGACGCCAAGGCCCCCATGTAGTAAGTTCTGTGCCAAACCCATTGATTCAAAAAAGTAGAAGTGTCCAATTTTAACGCGCGCCAGCTCCCAATTCCTTGAGACTCTGAGTGGCCTGTCCACAATCCGCGCCTTCGGCTGGCAAAAGGACTTGACGACCCTGATGCGAGACCGCCTAGACACCTCGCAGAAGCCAATGTACCTCCTCTACAGCATCCAGCGCTGGCTCACCCTCGTCCTCGACCTCACCGTCGCCGCTCTCGCCGTCGTCCTCATCTCCGTCGCCGTCGCACTGCACGGCCGCGTCGGCGCGGGCTTCGCCGGTGTCGCCTTGTACAACATCATGGGTCTCAGCAGCGCCATGAAGGCGGCCATCACCGTCTGGACTGTTCTCGAGACTTCCATCGGTGCCGTCGCGCGCGTGAAGACCTTTGCTGAACAGACGCCCGCCGAGAGCGAGGCCCCGGAGCCGCAGACGCCACCAGAGTCTTGGCCTGAGAGCGGAGCGATTAGCTTCAACAATGTCAGCTCTTCGTATGGTGAGGCCATGGACCCCGTTCTCTCATCGGTTTCCTTCACCGTTTTGCCTGGTCAAAAAGTCGGCATTTGCGGTCGGAGCGGAAGGTATGCTACAATTTATATAACCGTGCTGTATGTGATACTTTTGAGACACTTTGCTAACACCCATCTTTGCAGTGGGAAGAGTTCTCTCCTTCTCACCCTCCTTCGCCTCATCGACTGCAATGAGGGTCAGGTCCTCATCGACGGTGTTGATGTTGCGACCATGCCGCGGGAGGTACTACGTCAACGCCTGAACGCGCTTCCTCAAGAACCTCCCTTTTTCAACGGCAGTGTGCGCCTCAACTGCGATCCCGAAGGCACGACTTCGGACGAGAGCATTTGTGAGGCGCTTCGCGCTGTTTGCCTCTGGGACGTAATTGAAGAGAAGGGCGGACTCGACGCAGACTTCACGGATGACTTCTTCTCCCACGGCCAGAAACAGGTCTTCTGCCTGGCGAGAGGTATCCTACACCCATCAAAGATTGTGGTCATGGATGAGGCTACTAGCAGGTATGTTTTGTCTTCCCAAAAATACCCATATTCACATTGTATTCTTTTTGGGTTTTGGAAAGATTTTGGGCTAACCTTCCATGGTAGTGTTGATGTCGACACGGAGAAGAAAATGATGACTGTCATTCGGGAACGGTTCGCAGACGCGACCATCATCTCGGTGGCTCACCGCCTCGACACCGTTCTCGACTTTGACAAGATTATCATTCTGGAGAAGGGCGTCATTGTCGAGGAAGGCTGCCCTGCAGAGCTTCTCGGCCGCGCGTCTGCGTTCCGAACACTCTACGAATCCTTCCACAGCTAGAACCCCTAACATTGAAGTGGTGGAAAACTTTTGAAATGTGTGCGGTATATCGTACATTCTTGGAGGGGGCCAGTTGAATACTTGGTGTGATTTTTATTTTCTATTTACGCAGGCTTAAGCTTCATGTGCATCGAATAGTACTTGAACATTGCAGTTTCTTTCTTCATGTGTCTACGAAGCTTCATGTCGTTATGCGTGTTAGTTCAGCGAAGGAGTTCTCCCAGGATTAGCTTGTCACGTCTTCAAGAGTGCAATTTACATCATATATCATATATTCTAGTTCCATATGAAGGGCCAAGCGTTACATGGAACTTTTGATCAATCAACTCCCTCGTCAATAAAATGGGGTTAGACTTGACTCACAGCCCTTCCGTGCGAGCCTTTGGCTACTTCCAATGTGCTTCCAACATTCAAAATTCGCGTACATTTTTTTTTTTGGGTTATGATTATTGAAGTAACGTAATGTAAAAGTTTTATAGTCCCCTAGGCTCTACAAAAGTCCCGCGAGCCTCAACAAGCTTCTGTCCAGTCTTTACATTCTCTACAGAGCCAACTACTTGCGCAACCCGTCCCGCCGCGGTCTGCACATGCGCACAAATGGCCACCACCCCCCAACCCCCCTCGGCATCCAAGAGCACAGGAGCCTTGTATGTGACCTCCAGCGTGACAGTCACAGCGACCTTGCGAGCAGGCAGGCGCTCGACGGCCGCGCGGCCCATGACCTCGTCGACGAGGGCAGCGGACGCGCCACCGTGCAGTATGTTCGGGTGCCCGGCGAGCTGGGGCCCGAGAACGTACAACGCGACGACGGCACCCTGTGTTGTGTCGATGTATACGAGCGGCGGCGGGAACGAGGTATTTGGGATCAGGTGGGAGGAGAAGGGCGTCGGGGAGAGGTAGACTGCTCGGCTGGGTACGATGTTGCGCATGCTGGTGATGGATGGAGAGGCGGATGTGGCGGCCGCTGTGAAGAGGGCTGCGTCCATTGCTTCTTGTTCTTTGTTTTGGCTTAGGTTTTTGGTCAACATCTTGTCGTCGTCCTGGGATTGCATCAAGCCCAACCCAGAGGGTGCGAACGGGGATAATGTGTCTTGCAAAGCCACCATCTTGCTATTTCCTCGGTGTAGTGAAATGAAAGTGACTTTGCTGCAATCCTAGCAACGAAGCAAAATATTGAGAAGGTGGGAGCAAAGCGCTTCAAGAGGGGCGTGTTCTGGTTTTAAATATCTTTCTTTTGTCCTATCTCGTGATGCTTTCTTGCTCTTATAGCTGAATACATCATCTAAAATCGCAGAGTCTAAACCTCCCGCACTAGAGTGTGTGACAAGTCGAGAAAACGAAACTATGTCTCGTCCGCTCGGATTTATGATAGGTGCCCGGTGTTTCCATGTGATGACCAACCCTTTGCAATATCATCAGAGCGACCAAGCGCCCTTTGAGTATTTTTCGCTACAGCAACTGTTGAAACGAGCGTTGCTTGCGTGCATGAAATTGGGGCCATGCGCGGCTTCTCGTGATCGTTGACTTGGCATCCGTTGTGTTACCACCCGACTAGCAATCAAACTACTACTATTGCATACAGCGGCTGAACTGGCTAGAATCTTATGGTGTTTGTATGCACGGTACAGCGTCAGACTGCGGGAACGTGACTCCTTGGTTATCGGATGTGATGGTTTCATCACAAAGGCTCGATAGAGCTGACCAGGCCGACCGGTCAGTTTGTAAGCGAGATATTGCAGCCCAGTCCCCTTCCAGTCAGACCGGACCCCTCTTCTCGACTCTTTATAGCTGCCGTCATCTCAAGAATTCGGTTTGCCTTTTGTCGAAATTATTATTGGCGCGAAAATGCGATTCTTTCATCAAAGTTCCCTTATTTATTCCCTGTGGTTTCCTCTCCCCCTCGTTCTCTGACGTCCGCCGATCCCATTTATCTTGCCTCCCCGACGCATGTACAGATTCCAGGCTTTTTACTATCCTGCAGCTCTTGGCTAGAATTCCACTTCGTTGGGACAGGTTATTGCTGATCTTTGCCCAATTTGTCCCAGTGCCCGCCCCCAAAATCTGGAAATTCCCGACTTACAATGAAGTCAATGGACGAACATGACATCAGCTACCACATGGTAGTTGAGCTCCTAGCGTTAGTATCTGCTGTCCCAATTTCTAAAAGATCTTTGCGCAGAGAAAGTAAAGTATTGCTAACTAATCCGTCTCTTCAGCCATCAGTTTGCATATCCCGTGAAATGGTACGCAGCGGCAAACACCACCACCACAACAATAATCCGCACCACGCAATTGAATTAACTTAGACCATAAACATGACAGGACCGACACGCAGGCAACCTTGTTCGACGACCAGGTCGTGGAGAGGCTGATCGAGATCGGACCGGCCAACACACTCTCCACGATGGCCAAAAGGACTCTGGCCACCAACCGTTACAAGGACTACGACGCCGCCATGTCTATCAACAGGAAAATCCTGTCCTGCAAGTCGGACAGCAACGACATCTACCACCACGCGGACCCCACGCCCCCTGATTCCCCAGAGATGGCGGCAAAGACCCTGGCGAAACCGGCCGTGTTGGAGACGAACAGCGCGCCTGTGCCCGTCCCTCCTCCTGTTGCTGCTCCGCAGCCTACTTCAGAGAGGATAGAAGATCGTCCGATCACCGCACGACAGATACTAGAGTTTCTCATTCTTCACAAACTCAATAAGTCAGCTTCCAGTCTCCCCGGTTCAAGTACGATCAAGGAACTAGTCAAAGGTATGCAAGCCCCCATGGCGCTTCAGGGTGTAGCGCGTAGAGTCCGGTTATCCCCATGCGTATGTACCGACCATGGCTCATCTGATGTATTCCCAGGTCGATCCACACTGGAGAATGAAATTGTAGGTGACTTGTTTGCCGAATTTCAGAACGTGCCCGATCGCGCAGAAGAGATGCCGCTGGAGCAGCTCGCGGCGGGCATACAAGCTGCGGCCTTTTCAGGACAGCTCGGCAAAAAGTCCAGCACTGTCGTCTCCAAAACCATGGCGGCCAAGATGCCCGCTGGATTCTCGTCTCAGAAGGCGAGGGAACATCTGGAGAAGCAATCGGGCCTACCACAGGGTCACCAAGATGCTGTCTTGCTTTTGGCTGTGCTGGAGGCACCCAAGGCTCGGATAAGTGACGAGGTGTCGGCGAAGCGCTTCCTAGACGGCATATCCGAACAGTACGCCAAAGAAAACGGTCTGAACATCGCCTCATTGCCCGTACCAACCCAGCAACAATCCACGGCGAACAACCACCCGGCCGCCAGCTTCCCAACGGAGCAGAAGATCTTCTACCGCAACCTCTTGGACCTATGTGCCCGGACGCTCCAGCTGGACTCGGAAGAGGACAAAGCCAGCAAGCTCCAGAGCTGCGTGGACCGGCTCCAGTCCCAGGTCGACGCGTGGATCGCGGAGCACGGTGAGTTCTACGTCTCGGGCATTGAGCCCATGTTCAGCAGGGAGAAGGCCAGGACGTACGACTCCGCGTGGAATTGGGCTCTTGTCGACCTGCTCCGGACATACTACAATATCCGGACCGGGGTCCTCGGGGCGCAGGACACCACAGAACTCGCGCGCATCACGACGAGCATCGCGAACAAGTCCAAGCCTGGATTGTTTGAGGTGGTCAATTTTCTCCTCGACAGAGAACGGAGAAAAACGAGCTACAACCTATTAGCTGTGTCGTTCCTTGAGGGGTTGTTGGATACCTGTCTTGCGGCTTGGAGGGCACCTCCACGGTTCCTGCCGGAATTCGCATCGACACGACCTTCTACGGTCATAGAGATAGATGGCACCATTCGTGTTCAGGAGATCCCCCGCGATGTTTCGATTTCCCCATCGACATACCTCGAAGAGATGTCCCGGCCGCAGGTCACGGCTGGAGCACCTACACCCTGGCTCCACCTCAAATCCCGCTGCGGTAGAGGATGGATATACGACAGCGGCCTGACAGACATCTTCTTCGACGAGGCACACGAGACGATCTCCGATGGGCTATCCTTGGCCGACAAACATGTTCTCCTTACCGGCGCCGGCCGTAACTCCATCGGTTCCGAGATACTGTGCGCTCTGTTGTCCGCCGGAGCCAAGGTCGTCGTCACAACGAGCAGCTATTCGGCAGAGACCACGAGCTACTTCCAAGGACTTTACACCGAACACGGAAGCCGTGGTTCGAGTCTGACACTGGTCGCCTGCAACCTGGCCAGCGTACGTGATATCGAATCTCTCGCCGCGTGGATCTACGAGCCCTCGCAATCCGGCGGTTTGGGCTGGGATCTCGATTACATCCTCCCCTTTGCTGCCATCGGCGAGGAAGGCCGCGAGATTGACGGGATCGACTCGAGGAGCGAACTAGCTCACAGGGTCATGCTGACCAACACTATCCGTCTCCTCGGCACCGTCAAGCGACATAAACTCAATGTCACCGGCACAGGCGGATACCGCCCGGCGCAGGTCATCCTCCCCCTCTCGCCCAACCACGGCACCTTTGGCGGCGACGGGCTCTACGCTGAGTCGAAATTAGGTCTCGAGAGCCTGCTCAACAAGTGGCACTCGGAAAGCTGGTCAGACACCTTGTCGATATGCGGCTGTTCCATTGGCTGGACGAGATCGACGTCGCTCATGGGAGGCAACGACATCGTTGCCGAGAGCGTCGAGGCGGATCTTGGCGTGCGCACGTTCTCGGCCCGGGAAATGGCCTTCAACATTGTCATGCTTCTGACTCCAAACCTCGTCTGCTTATGTGAAGATGAGCCGGTCTTTGCCGACTTCAACGGGAACTTGGACTGCGTTGACGGCCTAAAAGCCTTTGTCGATCAGGCTCGAGCCACGATCCGGGAAAAGAGCGAGATTGCGCGCGCTATCCAGGCCGAGGACGACCTGGAGGCTCACGATACCGGCACGATGCCACAGATAGACTCACCGCAGCCCGAAAGTGTACGAGCATTGCTGAGCGTTGGATTCCCCGAACTCACGGACTACGACGACACCGTCGGGGATCTGGGCAGCCAGCTGCACGGCATGGTCGATCCTGACCGCGTGGTGGTCATCACCGGCTTCGGAGAGCTGGGCCCTCACGGAAACTGCCGAACTCGCTGGGAGATGGAAGCGTATGGGCAGTTTTCCCTGGAGGGGTGCATCGAAATGGCCTGGATCATGGGCCTCATCAAGCACTCCAATACAGTCCCCGCCGGCTCTCCTGCTCCTGCTGCCGCTACTGCTGGTGTCGGCAGCCAAAAGCACTGCGGCTGGATCGACGTCGCCTCCGGTCAGCCCGTGTCGGACAGCGAGATCAAGTCCCGCTACGAAAAGCATATTCTCGAACACAGCGGCATCCGCGTAGTCGAGCCGGCTCTCTGGGACGGGTACGATCCGAAAGCGAAACAGATGCTTCAAGAAGTCGCCATTGACGAGGATCTGTCGCCATTTGAGGTCTCCAAGGAGGACGCCATCGAGTTCAAGCGGCAGCACGGCGACAAGGTCGAGGTGAAGATGCTCGAGAACGGGCAGTTCAGGGTCCGCTTGAAAAAGGGAGCTCTGCTGATGATCCCCAAGGCCCTCAACTTCGGGACCAACGTCGCGGGGCAGCTTCCTACGGGCTGGGATCCGCGGCGCTACGGCATCTCGGAGGATATCGTCTCGCAGGTCGATCGCATCACGCTGTTTGCTCTGATTTCCACCGCCGAAGCGCTACTAGCGTCCGGCATTACCGATCCGTACGAGCTGTATCAGTACCTACACGTATCCGAGGTCGGGAATTGCATCGGTACGGGCATCGGCGGCGCTACGTCGCTGAACAAGATGCACAAGGGCAGATTCAAAGATTGTCCGGTGCAGCAAGATGTGCTACAAGAGACTTTCGCCAACACCGTCACGGCATGGGTGAACATGCTGCTCCTATCGTCCACGGGCCCCATACGAACGCCAGTCGGAGCATGCGCAACCGGTTTAGAGTCTCTCGATACAGCCTTTGACCTGATCGTCACGGGAAAAGCAAAAGCGTGCCTAGTCGGCGCGTCAGACGATATGGAAGAGGACGAAGTCTACGAGTTTGCCAACATGAAAGCCACCAACGACTCCACAGCGGACGGGGCACGAGGCCGGACGCCCAAGGAGATGTCGAGACCGACGGCGTCGACGCGCAGTGGCTTCGTCGAGTCGCAGGGTGCCGGCATACAAGTTGTCATGTCCGCGAGCCTGGCGATAGAGATGGGCGTCCCGATCTACGCCATCGTCGCCTTCACCGGCATGGCCAGCGACAAGGCCGCGCGGTCGGTCCCAGCGCCCGGAAAGGGCGTTCTCAGCAATGCACGAGAGGTGCATCCGCCGGTTCCGGGACAATCCGCGTCTTCATTGTCGCTCTCTGTCCGGAAGAATCTGCTGGACCATCGTCTTGCCCAGATCGCGGCGTTTCGCGACAAGCAGCTTGCCATTGGAGAAGCGGCGGAAGACCGGCTCGATCCGGCCGTCGTCGAACACCACGTCCGGCGCATGGAATCGGACGCCCGGTTCAGTCTCGGTAACGGATTCTGGAACAACTCGACATCCATTGCCCCGATTCGCGGCTCTCTAGCTGTGTGGGGTCTCGATGTGGATGACATCGCCGTGGTCTCGTTCCACGGCACGTCCACAAAGATGAACGACCGGAACGAAATGGACATTATCCAGCGCCAGCTCCAACACCTCGGCCGAACGCCGGGCAACGTCCTTTTAGGCGTATTCCAGAAGCACCTGACAGGCCACCCCAAAGGGCCGGCATCATCGTGGATGCTCAACGGATGCCTCCAGGTCCTGGGCACTGGGCTCATCCCGGGCAACACCAACGCCGACAATGTGGATCACGAGCTAAGCCAGTTCAACTTTGTGACGATCCCGAATCGGAGCGTGCAGACTGACGACATTGCCGCCTTTGCGCTCATGTCTTTTGGCTTCGGCCAGAAGGGCGCGCAGGCGATTGGCGTGCATCCTCGGTACTTGTTTGCGACCATGGGCCGGGAAGCGTACGAGGACTACCGGGCGAGGGCAAAGATGCGGCACTTGAAGGCGGAGCAGCGGCTGGAGACGGGGATGATGCGCGAGAACGTGGTTATCCTGAAGGAAGAGCCGCCATTCAAGGATGGGGAAGATGGATATCGCATCCTCATGAATCCGGGAGCCCGTGCAGTATGGTCTGATGATTTGAAGTCGTACACGTTTCTTTGATCAAGAACTTTTTGTTACTCCTACCGTTATGCCCCCGGAGGAGAGGTACAGGGTCTAGATGTACGGCATCCTAGGAACACACTCATATCAGATTTCAAAGATTGGTAATTGGTATGGGAAATTCGAATTCAAAGTATTAACTCTTCATTTTGTACTGGAACACATCTTCGATTAATCCCTGGGCACTGGTTTTGACAACTTTACACAGCCATTACATCGTTCGTCTCTGCCACATCTGTGCATGTAATCATTCTCGCTACTACTGCATGTTAGGAAAGGTGTGTTGGGTGTCTCGAACAAGCAAGTTGGGAAACTCATCATTACTCTCAATGTCGCAGCCTCCCATTTATATCATTGATGTCATCACGACCCACAGTCTTCTGGAGGTCGTCCTCACACCGATGAACCAAAGTTAGATAAGGTAAATAGTAAAAGAATGTTGTAGCATACCGAATTTCCCCCATTTGATATTGCCCGCCAGCATGGGGTAGGCGCGATTCTTTTTTCTAAGCTCCTTAAATGTTGGTCTTACTGTTGACTTGAGAAAGATAGTCATACGCTTCAAAGATTTCAAACTGGTCGCAAGTCTTTCTGAATCCTATTTAATTTCAAAAAGTTTCAAATTCTTGCTCCTAGGAATAATATCGAATTGGTATTGATATTGTAGAGAGAAGTTCTCCTAATATTATCCTACTTTGAGGACAAGCTAAACAAGAACTAGGGAGTTGGTGTCTCAGGAAATAGACAAAGTTGATAACAATGTTTTGTGATGGCCGATCTGGATCAAACATACTCAACACATTAGACAGATTAATCACCGTATATTTATTGACAGCCCATTGTTTCTATTGTAAGAGGCTCATGTGGGAATCTCAATTCAATTCACACAGTACCTGTATGTATGAATCTTACATCTATAAAATACTCCTGAAGTCAGGTTCTTCTTCTACATATCTAATATCATTTGGGGCGAAGATCGAGTAAAAGTTAAATCAAGCCTCTATTTATAATGGGATGGATAGCTGATGTGTTTTAAAAACCACATGCACTAATGGCCGTGGCTTCTCGTTGATGATTCTCAAGGACTTGTAATTGCGAAGATTCGACGTGGGCTTTTAGTTTACAGTCAGCAGGGCTATTGACCGCGAAGTTTGTTGGAAATTGCTGACATTTTCTAGTGAAGTGTAAAGAAACAAGAGAATAGCCGTAGTAGTGGAAGCTTGCTCCGCGGAATACCTGAGCACTTCGAAATGCCCTTGGCGGCTATACATCAACTAACTGTGCGTAAGGCACTATCATACTTCTATCGGGACCCCAGAAAGACAACACCACATTCATAGATCACTCCCACTCTTGGCTGCATTCATGTACGAGTAAACTGCACGAAGCCATCCAATGACCTCCATTCACCTTGCACCCCTAGACATGTCACAGACTACAGTCTCAATCTACAGACTTCCCTAGCGCCCGATACAATTTTCCAAGACTTTCGTCCGGAAAAGTCTTGCGCTTGCCGATCTAAGCCATCAGTTTCTCACGTATAGCTGGTCTGAACTGCAGCATAGGCCCATCCTTTACAGCCGTGACATGGTCACGAACCTCGAAGCTCTCCGGGCAATCTTGATTCTCGACGGTCTCAAAGTCAAGGAAATACAAAACCATGGCCATTGTAAGCATCAGCTCCGTCAAAGCGAGTCCCTTTCCCAGACAGCTCCGCGAGCCGAGCGAGAAGGGCGCATAGGCCGACTTTGGTGATTTCCCCTGAGCGGTGGCCATGTGTGAAAGGGTGGCCTCTCCCAGAAAACGAGAGGGTCGGAACTTTTCAGGCTCGGGGAAATAGGACGGATTGTGGTGGATAGCGTAGAGGCCGACGCCGACGTCGTACCCGGCCGGGACGTGGTGGCCGTCGACTGTGATGCCTCCCGGTAGGACTTCACGCCATAGGGCACTGCCTGCCGGGGGAACGATGCGGAGGGCCTCGTCGACGCAAGCGCGTAGGAAGACACAGCTGTTCAACTTTGGACCAGTGCAGATCTCTCTAGAGTCGTTGAATGTTCCTCTGACTTCGGCGGCGGCCTGCTGATAGAGATCGGGACAGCGACTGAGATAGAAGAACAAGCAGGCCAGAGCAGTGGATGTGGTATCGGAGCCTTCAAACTCGAATTAACCAACTTATTTGCACGCTAATGAATCTCGAGACGCAAATCACTTTCAAGAAATCTGACTCACCAGCAACAATCAAGGTAGCAGCTTCAGCCTGAAGCTCCTGCAACGTGAGCCCCTCTCCGGCGTCATCCCTCGCATCCGCCAATGACGAAAAGATGTCTTCGCATTTTTCGCGTTTGCCTAGGCTGAGGCGGGTGCTAAGAACCTTTGTGATGAAACCAATGAAACGGTTGCGCGCTTTGATGGAGCTGGGGAAGAAGGTCTTGTCCAGCTTGAGGAAGCCCTTCCACTCGGGGATCTGGAAGAGCACGCCGACGCGGACGTTGGACTCGGAGATGGTATCCGGCACCCAGCGGTATTCCTCGTGGCTGAGAGCGTCGTACTTGCTGCTGAAGATGATGGATGCCATGATGTCCATTGCCAGGTAGTCACCTTTTTTCTATAGATTAGCGCGGTGGATCTTTTTCAATGTTAAATACTGCTGAAAACACACAGAATTTCGACATGTTCCTCAGCGAACCCCAAGCAGCCGCGGAAGTCTGCCCTGCAGTTGTCGCTGCCCCGGGGGTACCGTATAGCACGTCGCAGAAAATTTTGATCTGGTTGAGGATTTTCGGCTCCAGAGCCCTCATCTTGCTATCAGATAGGCCCTGGCTGATGATGCGCTTGCGCTTGCCATGTTGCTTCTTGTCACGAGCCGTGAGGATATTTGGCGCTCCGTGCAACAGCGCAGAGTATGACTTCGCTTTAATGGCATTGCTTGAATGTCCATAGATATCTATTGACAACGTATAAGCATGTCAGTTTACATAGAAGTTCGGATCTTAGCCCAGTCAAGCTTGGTTGGATTGACTCACCGTGGACGCTCTGCACGGAGTCGAATAAGAGACGATCCGGCGCATACCGCACAACCCGTCCTGGAAAAAATTGAAATCAGACTCGAATTTTTCTCTGCATGGATCATTGGGGATTTTTTACCGTACTTCTCATGGCATCTTGCCATGTCCACGTGTATGTCTCCCTTCCAAGAGTGGTAGGCAGAATACCACCTCGTCACCCTCGCCAACCACGGACCGGGATACTGGGACAGCGGGTGAAGATACAGGCGGTAAGCACAGACGACCAACATCTAACGAAGCATTAGCATAGGTCAGCGAGCTGTATGTTATTCTGCATAACTGTCAGACTGTAATGTAATGCAAGACCTACCCAGGCCATAGGGCCTAGCAGCAAAACACTACCGAGACCCATCGCGGATGGATCCCAATGAGACATGATCAGAATCTTGGAAACCAATAAGAGGTGTAATCAAATTGTTTGCTCCGGAAATCTGGAGTTGTTCTATACAGCTGCGAACGAGCCAAGGATGCAGATTAATTTAGAGGAAGCCGTCCTAGCAAAACACGAAGCCTTATTGTATTTAAGAAACTGTTCAATTATTTCAGCCATCCCGTCATCGCGTAGAGCGGGAAACTCATCCAAAGGCACAGTTTCGTTATAGCTGCTTTCTCCACGGCTCACGATCACGTCTAGAGAAGTATTCGATAATTCGAGGTCGTAAAAGTACGGTCATCCACGATCCGTTTTACAGAGAGGAATCCTACGACCTCTTCAGCGGACGGCATACGAGAAAAAAAACAGCGGAGACATATCGCCGGGAGTGTCCCGCTCAGATCATGGGGTGGCAGATCCGTGTTTCTGCGTGAGGACCCTGAGGATCAGAAAGCCTGTCCAAAAGTGCATGTTCGTGCGTAACTCCCACAGAACCCCTCGAGCAAGGAGGACCCTTGGAGTCCCCTCGCGCGACCTCGTTTATGGAGTCGTCTTTCGACCTTCCTGATCAAGTTAGACCATGGTACAAATATGCAGCTAGGGTCCCAGCTGTGCTATCCCCTTACCCCCGCTTGTCCCTTGTGCCAGACCCCTTCGCCTACCAACCTGCATACTCTCCGCCCGTTTCTTCGTCGCAAGTTTGGCCGTGAAGCCCTCCTGTTGGCGCAAACAGGGTGGCAAATGCTACTCTTGCACTCTCGCTGGCAGACATCCGTCCAATCTGGCCCGGTCATCCGGCTGGATTCCCTAGATAGGTCACGCAAAGAGTGGTTCGGACGAGATTCCTCTGGCGTGTCTTGCCCACAAGAACTCAAGCTTTGCTTAGGAGCTCGTCTGTCTTACTATTGCTTCCTTGCCCCACTATTGCCGCAACCCCACGGATGGCCGGCTGTCGCTTGTACAATAGTAGGACATCGTTGGACATGAATGTCGGCCGTTGGGTCTAGACACGCGGGGGTGTCATAATCTCGGCAAGCCACCTTCTGGTTGTAAAGCCCTGATTCGCCATCTTGCGCGAGTTTGAGCTCAAGCTTGCTGCGCAGGAACCGGGCATTGTTCAGTCGTTGGCCTGAAGCTAAAAACGGAGGGGTGAGATGTCTAAGATGAGATGAGAAAAGGGAGCGACAAAAGTCCCCTTTTTCCTTTTGCAACTCGCAGCGTAGCCAGAGCCAATCTGCGCCCGAGGATATCCAGGCGAATTGGAAAACTCATATTTCTCAGACATCACACACGCGCGGACATGAATGAACGATCCATGAGACGTTAAAGAAGGGCTAACATGTATCAAACGAAATAGCCCTGCGGCTGAATCAATGCTTACTACCTGGCTACCTAACAGTAAGGGCTTCAAAAACAATTTGATCACTATCCAAAACAACCAACCACTCCCATCAAACAAGGGACAAACTTGGCATGCAGGCTCTGGTGGGTACATGTAATCACCAGACGGTCCAGACCAGTTGGACTAAAACGAGCTCGGAAAACAAGGCACCTCACAAACGCCTTCTCCCAAACTAAACGCCAAATCCGACTCTCTCTCTCCCCCCACATTAGCCATACGAGATGGAGCCGTAACCCGAAGCCGTTGAAGACGACGCACCAGACGAGTAGTCGTCGGAGGAAAAGGCATTCGCCATCTCCGTGAGCATCTTGTACCGGCGCAGCTTGTACCGCGCCTTGAAGCGGCTCCTCCACCCCTCGCTCCACTTGGGTACCGGCATGCCCTGGTAGCAGGGCAAGGTGTACCAAAGCTCGGCGCCGCGCTGGCACAGCATGCTGTTGGTGACGCTGCCCTCGCCGGCAATGGACTCGTAGCAGAGCATCCACTTGATGAGCTCCTCCTCGAGCTCCTCCCATTTGGCCGACCGGTCCCGCTTCCTCTCGTCGTCGTCGGCGGGGCCGCCCATGGCCGCGGCGTACGGGTCCGCGTCGAGAAAGTCGTACTTGTAGCTGAGGATCTCGCTGACCGTGCTCGAGTTGAGGTGGTAGCCGTAGACCTCGTGCCACCACACCGAGGCGTCGGCCTGCGTCTTGGGGCCCTCGGACTGGTCGTAGTACCAGGCGCGGAGGGCTCGCCTCTGGGCGTTGCTGATGGCTCGGCGCCGCTTGGCTTCTCCCGAGGAGGACCTATCGTTGCTGCCCATTGCATATGATTTCTTCCTTGTCGTAATAATAAAGATTATGAATGCGAACAGACTGAAGTAGATCTCTTCAAACTGCTATTGCTTCTTCGAGACCCAAAAACTGCCTGGTTTGCTGCCACTGTGGCTGGTGCGGTGGCGCCACTGAAAGTCGAGGTGATCGCGATACCCGAGGGGGCACCAGAGTGCGCCAGCGCTGAGGCGGATGTATCCCGTTGGGGTTTGCGGTTTGGGCCAAGCCACGCCACGAAGCTTGGTGTATAGACTAGGCTCTTGACTTGCTTGGAGAAAAACCGGGCACGCAAAAGATGGAGATGAATAGGGCTGAGCTGATGAACGACGATCTTCTCGGGGTGGAGCAAAAAGAGTCAATCTTCAAGTGGCGATGGTAGGAAGCGTGGAGGTGGAGAAGACCGGTGCAAAGCCATGGATCATGGTCCAGAAAGGGCTGGGACGAGGACGATCACGATCCCTCTTGTCGGCAGGCCCTTGGCTATATGTAATTTTCGGCCCCTTTGATGCTGTCAAGACTTTCGACACAATTCTCCGAAGTGCGTGATTCTGGTACGGCTACGGCTTGCGTATGTTAGTACCTCCACGCGGGTAACTTTGTGGTACTCCCTGGGTGTGTCCGTGAACCACGGTACCAGTCAGCCCTCGTATGAAAGGAAGCCCAAGAAACTGCAAGTTGCGACAGCTCAGGAATACCTTATCTTACTTTGTCTGGGCAAGGCTTGTACCTAACCTACTACCTACCGGTAACCAACCTACCAAACTGACTCGAAGTGAATCAAAATGGACCTGCCTTTACCGTCTCACCCTCCTCGACCCTGCTGAGGGCTGCAGGCTCACTGCACTGTCTATAGCATAGCGTGAGGCACAGCAAGCCCACCGACATTCCGGCAGCATTTCGCTTCGGTTGGGGTGGACTGAGCGACCGGCGGCAAACGGCAAACCGCTCGTACCACGGATGCAGTGCCGCGGATTTAAGGGCGCGCGGGGGTGTTGATCGTCTTAGCCGCGTGGAAGGATCTCTCTGTTCCAGTCTGTTGTGTTTGTACGGATACGAATGGAACACCAGCGGCCGGCATAGCTTATACCAGACTTCCGGCTTGCCGATTCCAATCCCGCTAAGCCACGCGCCTTCGTTATAATGAGTGGACGTAGCCGCTCCTGTTTGAACAGGTAGGAATAGAGGTTCGTTGGCGTCTTGTGGCCCTGCTCATTGCTCGTTCCCCCCACCCTCCCCTCCCCGCCTGTTCGGCCCCTGTTCCCTCGTGTGTGGTGTGACTTGTTCTAACAGGACGAGGACGAGCGCCTCGCCAACGAATACCTACTTGCTTCGGGCCGCAAGGGGACTACTTACGAGCTACTACGAGTCGGAGTTTCTCATTCGACCGACAGATTAGGACCTACGGATACCTGTTGGACCGTCCCATAGCTGCCGATTCCACATGGACCTTTCCCCGATAAGGTTACAAACCTGGATGATGGGCTAGAATCTCCCGACAAAACGGATGGCCTCGCATTACCCTGCATGAGAGTCTGCTTATTTTGTCTTAGCAACAGCTCGGCAATGGCGCGCATGGGTCACGAGTTCGAGGCAGCCTAATCCTGCTTTCTTTTGGAACAGTAGGGCGGGCGCGAGAGTGACAGGTGAGAGGTGAGCAGGGGAACGTGGAAGCATCCTACCCGATGGCGGCGCCGCCACATCTGCTATACAAAGTATCCGAGTTGAGAGATGGCCATAAACCTTACCATGGCATTTGAATAGCCGTCGAGAACGCCATGCGGCGCAGCAAGTGTGTCAAGCTCACTTCATTGCTTCCTGATGCCTTGATCCGGTCAAGCGCTACTTATCAATCCACGCACTCTGTATAGCTGCTTCTCAGCTTCATCAGACTTCAAAGATATCGCCCAGTAGTTGTTCACATGATCATGGCATTCAATCTTTGCTCTGTGGGTTTGAATGATAAGTAAACCAGCCTTTCACTTTACCCCTTCGTCCTCCATTCCACATAGACTGTCTTACACCAAAGCCTTAAGATGTAACGGCCTCGCGTCACTCTTCTTCAACGCAGATCAAGATCCACTCCAGTTGCTACATCTCCCACTTTCTATAGCAGCACTGAACTTCGTTACTTTGTATTTCATTCAGCATTGTCTTCAATCTATTCATACCCCGGGCTTCTTTCCATCATAGCATCATGGCCGCCCCAGCCCCAATACACACCCTCCCCATGGCGGCATTCAACCTGAACCGCCTCTATTCCCTAGAGAGCAGCGCACGCTCATCGACACCCTCCTCCCTCACAGAACACAGCGGCTTCTTCTCATCGTGCGCCAGCCCTGACCTCGGCACACCGGCGACGTGCGACTCGGAGCACGGCAACGACTTTGTGCCCCCAAGCAACAAGTCCTCCTGCTCCGGCTTTGCGGGGGAGGAGGGTGACTTCCTTCCCCTCCAGATATGCCACAAAGCCGCCCGGGCGTCCGTCCCGATACCCGTCGGTGCCTTTGGCGAAGCCAGCATACTCCGGGACCAGTATCTAGAGACGATGGTGGAAGTGGAAACACTAGAATCCTCCTCGGACCAGATCACACCCATCGAACTCGTCGCCCAGTTCCTCGAGTTCTGCCTTGGCGTCGGCAGGCCTGCGCAGCCCGTCGCCCGCTCCGTCCTAGACTACTTCGAGTTCGAGTATCTCAGCTCCCGAAACGTACACACCCTCGTCTGCGGCCTCCAGATCAACGATGCCGCCAAATTGGCCCTGCTGCGCGCGTTCTACGCCGCCAGGGAGGCCATCCCGCGCCTGCTTCAGCGGCCCACGACGTCTGCGCTGCTCATGGCGGCTGACGAGGGGTCTGTCTGCTTGTATGCGGTCTTTGGCGGGCAGGGCATCACCAAGACCTACTTTGAGGAGCTCCGACAGCTCAATAACACGTACGATGGCTTCTTGTACCAGCTCATCACCTCATCGGCGAAGCACCTCGATAACCTGTCAAGATCACCGACGGGAGATGATGAGACGCTCCCGCATCGCCCGAGCATCAGCGTCCTGGAGTGGCTTCGCCGCCCGAATACCGCTCCGGCGGACATGACGACGCCAAGTATCAGTTTCCCGCTCATCGGACTCGTCCAGCTTTCGCGCTTCGCCGTCGTTTGTCACGCCCTCGGCTTGACTCCAGGGCAATATCTTGCAAGCTTCCGGGGTCTTTCTGGTCACTCTCAGGGCGTCATCACTGCTGCAGCTATCGCATCCTCAGACTCGTGGGAATCGTTCTACAGCAACGCCCTGGTTGCGCTAAAGATCCTCTATTCCATTGGCCTGAGGGCTCACGAGGCCTCGTCATCGGAGACAGTCGATCCCAACACTGTGTCCGACTCCCTAGCCAACGACGAGGGACAGCCGTCCTCCATGCTCAGCATCCGCGGTCTAGGCCAAACCCAGTTGCAGAAGAGCGTCGATGAGCTCAACTCCCATCTCCCAAAACATGCTCGGGTTCAGATGGCCCTCGCAAACGGCCGGGACAACTTTGTCTATGCAGGACCCCCTTCGTCTCTACATGCTCTGGGTAGGAAGCTGAGGCCCCTCAAGACCGTCTCGGGAGTGAGCGAGACGCGAACACCATTCTCCAAGCGGAAAAGACCCTTTTCTAGTCAATTTCTCTCCATCGGCGCGCCGTTCCACAGTAGCCATCTCGACGCCGCTGTGGAAAAGATCTGCTGCGATCTTGACGGGGTCGTAATGCACTCGGACAAGCTTTTGATACCAGTCTATGACACCTTCAAAGGTCTCGACCTCAGACAGAGAAATCAGGGAAACCAGAATCTCGTCCCCGCCTTGGTACGCATGGTCTGCTCCCAACGCGTTGACTGGGAAAAGAGCACCTCGTTCCCAGGCTGCACTCACGTCATCGACTTTGGCCCCGGTGGCAACAGCGGCATCGGCAGCTTAACTGCCAACAATAAGCAAGGCCGCGGGGTACGGATCATCATGGCCGGCTCGCTCAAGTCCACCGACCCTGAGATCGGCGGCATGATTGAAATATTCAACTCCAGCGGTCCCATCACTTACAACCCCGACTGGGCCGCTTCCTACCAGGCGAAGCTGGTCAGAACCTCGGCGCAAGAGACGTTCGTCAACACCCGTCTCAGCCGACTTCTCAGTCTCCCGCCCATCATCATCGGCGGCATGACGCCAACGACCAAGCACGTCGACTTCGTCTCCGCCGCCATGAGAGCCGGGTTCCACGTAGAGCTCGCGGGCGGAGGCTACCACGACGAAGCCACCATGGACGCGGCGCTGCGCAAGCTGGCGGACGAATGTCCTCCCGGGCGCGGCATCACCGTCAACCTGCTCTATCTGAATCCGCGGGCCCTCGCCTGGCAGATCCGTCTCGTCCGGCGCCTGCGATCCGAGGGCATCAACATCGACGGGCTCACCATCGGCGCCGGCGTACCTGGGCCGGAGATTGTGGCGGAGTACATTGGCCTCGGCATCCGGCATATTTCCTTCAAGCCGGGCTCCGAGGAGGCCATCAATGCCGTGCTCGACATCGCGAGGGCGCACCCTGGGTTCCCTGTCATCCTGCAGTGGACTGGGGGCCGTGGTGGTGGGCACCACTCGTGCGAGGACTTTCATGACCCCATCCTGCGGGCGTACAGCAGGATTCGCGCGTTGCCAAACATCATTCTCGTGGCCGGAAGCGGCTTCGGCGATCCGAGCGGCAGCGATACGCTACCGTATCTGGACGGATCGTGGAGCGAAGCCTTTGGGCATGCTCCTATGCCCTTTGACGGTATTCTCTACGGTAGCAGCATGATGGTCGCCCTGGAAGCCCACACATCTCTCGAGGCCAAAACAGCCATTGCAGCGGCGCGTGGTGTCCAAGACCATCAGTGGGAGGGCACAATGAGCTCGCGCAGCGGCGCCGGCTCGATTCTGAGTGTCACTTCCGAGATGGGCCAACCTATCCATGTTATAGCTACCCGCGGAGCTCAACTCTGGGCCGAACTCGATCGTGATATCTTCAGCAAACCTCGCGATCAGCGGGTACCGGCTTTGATGAACAAGAAGAAGTACATCGTCGACAGATTGAATCGCGACTTCCAAAAGGTATGGTTCGGGATAAACCAAGACGGACCTACCGATCTTGGCAACATGACATACCTGGAAGTCACATCACGTCTGATCCAGCTCGTCTACTGCCCATACAAGGAGGGAGGTCATAACTGGGTGGACCCTTCTTATCTGGCTCTTGTATCTGATTTTTGCCGTCGCCTCGTCTCCCGCTTCCTGGGCTCACGAAACCAGCGGGCAGCGAGTCTGAACGACTACCAGACACTACAAAATCGGCCTCTTGAATACCTCTCGAAGCTCTCAGATCTCTGCCCCGAAGCCGGTCGGCGCCTGCTCTCTGTTGAGGATATAGAGTATTTTCTCAGTCTTTGCCTCCAGCCAGGGCAGAAACCGGTACCGTTCATCCCGGTTCTGGATGACAATTTTGAGACTTATTTCAAGAAAGATTCGCTCTGGCAATCCGAAAATCTCGAGGCGCTCATTGACGGGGACGTTGGACGCACCTTTATCCTCCACGGACCAGTGGCCGCCGCTTTTTCGACCCCAGACAGCATTAATCGACCCATCCGTGAGATGCTCCACGATATCAACGCCGGCATGATTGACGGGACCTTCAAAGTCGCATATGAAGGCAATACCGCTCAAGTGCCTGCCATTGAGTCATTCGGCGGCGCCATTGAGCTCCCCCCAGCGCAGATTCCCCCTGGCGTTGTGTCAACCAGAGATCCCAAGGGCATCACGTACAACATCCTGCCGTACCCAGACATCGAGCCACCTCCAATCGAAGTTTGGTGCCAGTTTCTGGCGGGCACGGAGCGATCCTGGCGCTACGCTCTCTTGACTACAGAATCAGTGGTCTCGGGCAACCACCGCATCGTCCCGAACGCCATCAGACGTCTCTTGAAGCCAGTATCGGGCTTCACGTTCAAGGTGTCGTCGCCAAACTCGCCAGAACGCACCAAAATCTCGGTTTTTGACAGACAAAATGATCTTGTCGCCGAAGTCGGTCTCGAATCTCCGGTATCCAAGATTATCGTGGTCCGGATTTTCAATAGACAGACGATCACCGGACGTCCCGCGTGTCTGAACTCGAGATTCGAATACCACCCCGAAGCAGGGTACGCTCCCATCCGAGAGTGTCAGGATGGGAAAGACGACGCCATTAGGACGTTTTACTGGCGGACTTGGATCGGCCACGCGACCATGCCGGCAGCAAACGCAACGGCGAGCCTCGAAGAGACTGCGGGCACCTCGTTCACGGGCGACCGCGTCACAGTCACCCGTGAGATGATCCAACGGTTTTCGGCCATCTCGGGAGGTCTGGTTGCGTCAGCAGACCAGAGCGGTAGCCTAGCTGTGCCTTTGGATCTCGCAATCATACTCGGTTGGAAGGCCCTTGTTAAACCACTCTGCTCAGGTGCCATTGAAGGCGACCTTTCGAGACTGGTGCACCTTTCGAATAGGTTCAAGTCCCTGGGCCCTATTCTACGAGAAGGAGATGGCGTCGCGAGCCATTCTTCCATCGTCTCCGTTCTCAACCAAGCCAACGGAAAGGTCGTCGAGATCAAATGCATCATCACCCGTGAGGAGCAACCGGTGATAGAGGTCACGTCCCGGTTCTTCATTCGTGGCAAGTTCCGAGATCATCAAAGGACTTTCGAGACCTCTGTCCTGCCAACCACTCAGGTTCACATCAAGAATGCTTCAGATGCCGCCGTCCTCTCGTCGAGGAGCTTCATCACGCTCGACCAGAGCGTCAATCTCGCGCTTTTTATCGGCCTAAAAGTGAACTTCCATCTGGAGACGTTCATTCGTTTTCAAGATGAAAACACCATCAGCTCAATCCAGACGCACGGAACCATACACGCCGTCACCCAGGATGGCGAAAAGGCAATCGGCGCCGTCACTTCGTCATCAACCGACGCGCAGAATTCCCCCGTCCAAAGCTATCTCCAGCGAAAAGGGAGGGTCCTTGGAGACGCGATGCCCCTGGAGAACCCAATCCCGCTCAACAGCGAGCCAATCATCCTCCCCGTAAGCCGCGTCGCGGAAACGTACGCCCGCGTCTCTGGCGACTTCAACCCGATCCACGCCTCCGAGAGCTTCGCGGCGTACTGCGACCTCCCCGGTACCATCGTCCAGGGCATGTGGACGAGCGCGGCCGTCCACGCGGCCTTGAATCGTTGGTACGGGGGCAAAGGGAGGACGCACGCATACCAGGCTTCCTTTGTCGGCACGGTGTTGCCGGGGGACAGCATCGCCGTGAAGCTCCGGCACGTCGCCATGTTGTCGGGCCGCAAGGTGATTGAGATCGAGGCCACCGTCGCCGGGACCGGCGATGTCGTTCTGACGGCCGAGGCAGAGGTGGAGGAGCCGCGCGCCGCGTACGTGTTTACGGGGCAGGGCTCGCAGGAGGTGGGCATGGGGATGGATCTCTTCGAGTCCAGCCCTGCCGCGAGAGAGGTCTGGGAGAAGGCTGACAAGTATTTCGCGTCCAACTTTGGTAAGTTTCTTCCAGTATTCGTTTCTTCCCTTCACCCTGACCACAACATCAGCGCTAATCGTTGCGCTCGTTTCCTCTTCTCCAGGTTTCGCTCTGAGCGCCATCGTCCGCGAGAATCCCAAAGAGCTCACCGTTTATTTCCGTGGCCGCCAAGGCCGCGCCATCCGCCAAAATTACATGGACATGGCCCTCAACAGCCCAGACGGGACCTCGCGCAAAGTCTTTGCCGAAATCGGCAAGACGACCACATCCTACACCTTTCGTCACCCCGACGGCCTGCTCTTCGCGACGGAATTCGCGCAGCCCGCCCTGACGGTGTTTTCCAAGGCGCGGTTCGCGGACCTCGCCTCCCGCGAACTAGTCCCCGCGGACGGCAGTGCCCTCTTTGCCGGCCACTCTCTGGGCGAGTACGCCGCGCTCTCCACCATGGGCGAGGCCATGACCGTCGAGGAGCTCGCGGCGATCACGTGGTTCCGCGGGCTCAATATGCGGCTTGTGGTGCAGCATGACGAGGAGGGAAGATCGCCATATGCCATGGTGGCCGTGAACCCGTCCAAAGTGCGGTCTGGAGGGGGCTTCACCGAGGATGACTTGCACGCTGTCGTGCAGTGTGTCACCTCTCGCACGGGTGAACTCCTCGAAGTCGTCAACTACAACATTGCCAACTTGCAGTACGTCTGCGCGGGAACGAAACGCGCGCTGGCGCTGTTCGTGGATGTCCTAGAGGCCGCGGCGTCGCGGGACGTGGAGGCCGCGGTCGAGGAGTGCGCCGCGAAGCTCATCGCGCTTCAAGGCCTGGACAGTGGCGCCTTGGAGCTCCGGCGGACGCCGTTTGCGGTCCCTCTCAAGGGGGTTGACGTGCCGTTTCATTCATCGTTTTTGCGCCCGGGGATTGACGCGTATCGCGCGTTCTTGACTGCCACTTTAAGTAAGCGATCTGTGAAGCCGGAGAAGCTCATTGGGCACTGGGTTCCAAACGTGACGGGACGGGTATTTGGGGTTTCGAGAGAGGATGTTGAGCAGGTCCACCAGCTGACCGGGTCAGGAGTATTGTCAACGTTGTTGAAAAAGTGGCACTTGGAAGCAGACGCGTAGGTGATCAGCCGCGTAGGCGCACTTGGCATAGTCCTGAGCGCGGAGGTTATTGATAATTACCTTAGCACATGATGCAAAGACCACAGCATAAGGGTATGAGTAGTTGAATTTCATTAAAAAGAAGCCACTTTACTAATGATTCTGACGGTATATTTGTGTGGTACTACGTTGCTTCCTTGACCTCAAGCCGTCAAAAGAATGCTAGTGTGAGTGCTACGAGTTGGTAGTTTTTGCAGGCAGATGCCTCAACGCGTAATTATGTGACATAGTGATTCGATTCTTACAGCACCTTTGGCTACGAAAAAGTCGAGGTCGAACTTCAAGGAGGTCCATAAGTAAAGGCCACACCACAATAATGAAGAACTCAAGACCTATATTTCGGCATAAAGCCCTGTTCTTTCGAGGATATTTCGGCCACCACCAAGGTATCCATCTAGGTCATGATGGTATTTAGGACCGAGAAGATCGGAATGGAGATGTAGCAGCTCTAGCCTCCTGCTATCTCCGTGACACTCTTTACCTCCATGGTAAGTAAGATGCTTATATCCAAGGACTTGGACAACGAACTCTTTGTTGAAAGTGACACCTTCTCAAGAGGCTGCAAGGATCAAGTCAATAATTGTATCTCAAGTCAGCTATGCAGAAGTGTGGTTATAAGATTATTCTCAATCGATCCTCAATGGGAATCAGCTGATCATGCTGTCCAGCACTTATCCAACCAGTCAACCTCCCCGCATTCTAAACCGTACTGTGGGAGGTTGATTCGTGGAAAAAATCTCTTCACGCTCAAGAGGAGCTGGTCCTAGCAGCAAAGCAACGAGTTCCCAAGACAGGCTAGATCTAAAATACCGATGGTCAAGTCCAAGACGAGGGGCCCCAGGGTCTACCGGAGGAACTTACAATGTCCATGAATGTCACGCCAATCTATCAAGTATGGGACAAGAGATCTAGACCGCCTGCTACATGTAGGATTGCGGGTTTTCGGGGGATTATTGATACGGTGTGCCGCAGGTGGGCTTTTCTCTCCAGCGGAATAGACATGGAGCTAATGTAGGGTTGCGGCGGGTTGTGTTCGTTATAACGGACTGCATGCAAGCAGCAACCACTTCTTAAAGCGGTTGCATGACATTAGAATCCTTCCATTATATGCGTCTCTCGCTTCGGGGTTAAGGCAGGTAAGCAAGTTAGGTTCAATGAGAGGCGGTTACCGGATAAGGTCCGGTCTCATACCCATGATGCCCTGTATCTACCAGCCGGCAAGGGTGCAATGCAGGGTCCGGACCCTTTGAGGATGCGGTATCTACCGCGTTGATGGAATCGTATCCTTGAATGGCTGTAAGTCTTGAACACCATCTAAAAGTCAAAGTCTTCACGCTCTTATCTCATAAGAATCAGCCAAAAACTACTTCACTTCATCATCTGCCTCTATTATTCCCCAAGCTATCAGCATATTGCAGCAACTCATCTTCAAGCACCCGTATTCAACATGCTATTGCCCATGTATATCTCCTTCAAGACTCTCTCAGCCATGCTCTTTGCCTTTGGATACGTTTAGTCGGCTCCTAAGCCTGCACCAGGCTTCTTCGATCTTGAGGCCGTGAACCTGCCCGCCGGGCAGCAGGATGTCAGCTCGGCCTGAACAAACTCCCAGTCTGCTGAAGAGACCACTTGGGTGAATTCCCACTCAAGGCAAGCCACACCAAGCAGGCTTTCTGCTACTCGACTATATTGACTGATATCTTGACAGATGGAAACAGGTGAGATTGAAGCAGAGTTCTTCAAAGCAGAGGTGAACTGGCAATATTGAACAGATCCCACGCCATCACACAAGCCAACTTTGTTTTGCATAGTAAATGAGGTGCGAAGACATTTCGATACAAGGGGCTGTGGTGGAACTTTTTGGTTTATTTAGGAAGTTGATATGACAGAGAATAGAAGGCATCATAGCATGAACGGCGGTCCTAATAGCATAGGAGGCGGAGCAAGATAGTCCAGAGGTTGGCGGTCCTATTCGAACCAAGGCGTTTGCTTTTCGATTAGTTAATGGATGGAAGAGGTCCATTTCGCTAAGGCAGATATAATGATCACATTGTCAATGAAAGGGGGTTTTCGGCGGCGTTGGCTTTTCTTAGTTGGACTCCTGCGTGAGTAATTACAATGTCAGGAAATTGAGGCAACTGTCTGATTTCCATCCTAGGCTCGTCCAATTCTGCTAGCCTGTGGTCTTTCGACAAAGCGGGACTTTGATACAGACGCGTAAGAAAGCTCGCTGGAGTAGATTTGCCGTTGGGAAACATATCGCACGAATTACAAAGTCATGTGACATCACTTGAGAGTGCGAAGTCGACTAAATGGGTACCAAGTCCTACTACTATCGCAAATACTTCTTCTAGCAAGACCTAAAAAGTCACATCATAGCCACATTCAAGGAGCCAAGAAAGCCAAGGCACTGGTGAACATGATGGTGCGACTTGTCAATTACTCCGAATCCGGACGTCAGTAACAGCAGCTATCTCGACGTTGCCTGGCTAGGAGGTTCAAATGGAAAGACGAGAAGGAATCAAGGTATCACGGTAATGGAAAACAATATGATGAATACTGGTACGTGTTGTATTGTCAGTCAGTATTTCTAGTACTAAGAAAAGTCGGATGTCTATTTTGCCCATTTGCGATGGCAAACTTCCCTATCTGCAATTCCCAAACGCCGCCCTTTGTGTCATAACACATGATTCATTCAGAGTAATCTCATCGCTAGCAATGATTTGACGAAGCAAAGATCTATTCATCGTCCACGAGCTCAGGGGTTCACCCCAGCGCTCGCCGCACTCTCTCCAACCTGTAGCTCCTCATCAGGCACGCCGACAGCCACACTGCTGGCAACGCTCATCGCCGTCAAAGACCGTTCCCTCTCGCCCCCCGGACGTCTGGCGCTGGCTATGCCAGCCCCTCCGGTGATGACGCCGACGCTGGTGGCATCCGCTGCAGCCGTGGCGCTGCTGGTGCTCTCGCTCCGTTCCCGCCCGGCGCTCTTCTCCCGGACCATCTTCTCCAGATCACGAATCCTCTGCTTGAGCGCTTCGTTCTCCTTCTTGGCATTCTCCAGCTCTTGTCGGTGCAGCGCCGTCTCCTCGTACCTCGACGTCGTGGGTATCAGGCCGGGCGACAGCTGCGACTCGCTGCCGCCCGGGGTAGCGGCGACCGAGGTGCCTCCGGTATGCTGCTGCGGCAGGCGCTGCTGCTGGAAGTATGTCAGGCCGCTACTGCTGCTCGGATCCAGGTAATGCTGTGAGGGCGCCGGCGACGAGGATAGGCTGTGGCGGGAGGCCACGCTATCTTGGCGGCCGGGGTTCGGGGGACGAGCGATGGGGATCGATGTGGTGGACGCGGAAGCTGAACCCGCAACAGCCGTCTGGCTTCGGGTGCTAGCGTTCGAAGCGGAGCGGTGGTGCCGGCGGGAGCTGTTCGACGGGACGGCCGGGGTAGAGAAGGCGGCGCCGGAGAGGAGGTGGGTGTCGGGTGCTTCGGTCGTGTTGGAGGCGGATGTCGAGGAGGCGTTGGATGCCACAGAGGCGTTCTGGGCAGTTCGGAGAAGTTGGAGCTCTCGTGTCAGACGGTTCACCTATCATTCGTTAAATAGAGTCATGCTGAGCGTGTAAGTCTGCCAACGTACAACTGCCTCTTGCTCCTTTTCCAACTGCATATGAAGGTCGGACGCGGTGATGGGTCGCGGGTGACGAATGGGCCCCGGGCCAGAGACGGATGGTTCTGGGAAGGCTGGAGGCGACGCTGCTACTACCGGAGCCATGGGCGGAGATCCTACGATAGGGTTGGAGGGCGGGTGGTTGACCGTGTTCTGGTTCGAGGGGAGGATATTGAGGGAAGAGGAGTCGGAAGACTGTGCTGGAAGTGGAGGAGGCGGCATGTGTTGAGAGGAAGAGCGCCGCGAGGCACTCAGAGGATGCGGTGAAGCCGGGACGGAGTTGAGATCAGGCATTGTGACTGCCAGCGAGGTTGGTGATGATGACGATGGATGCTTCTGAATCCTGGAGCCTGAAGCGAAGATGAAGCCTTTGTCCAGATCGAAAGTTGTCTGAGAATGGCCCCGATGTAGCTCAAACGCGTGGTTGTTTGTTTCTTTGTTTGGAGGTCGCGGTCAACACGTCCAGAGTCGTCCGATGTCACCAACGGGCTAATTTGTTTGTCAAGGTTGTTTGGGTTTGGAGCTCCGTCATGCTTCATGCTCCCATTCATGCGCTGTTGCCCCACACCGCCCCACGATAAGGGGAGGTGCAGCCACAACCCCGCTGTGCCACAGCAGGCACCAGCCACATGACATCTTCAGTCTCCTTATCAGTGAGTATCTAATCTCATTCTTATCGTCATTGGGATTGAAGTTTATCCTCTCCGTACACTAGGTAGACTGCACCCCGCCCGGCTGTCACTTCACAGTCCCCCGAGCTGCACGTGCCTCTCTCCTGTCGCACTCAACTCCCACAACCGCCCCCGATCTAGGCCACCACTGCGATCCGACGTTGTATTTCCGTGCGTAGTGCAAACTCTATGCGGGCCGGGTGTTACCGTTGAAATTCCCATCTACCGCGAATAGCCCTATCGACGACGGCACGTCTTTCAAGAATGTCGATGTTCGACTCTGGCACAGATACGACCCTGGCGCGATCATCATCCGAGCTCTGGATAACGGGTCGGATTTCTTCGACGACGATGGCAAAGGCTTACTGGACCATGGCATAAGATCCTTTGATCGCGGCCTTTTTTGACCTCGTCACGTCTACCGCCAGCACCTGGCACCAACTCAACCACAGAAGCGCCACAGTCAGGCGTTTGCCTGCCGGCCAGAACTCTCGGGCGGAGACGTCTTCTGCCATCCATGATCCGGCTGTAATAACGGCATCAACCCTACACTTATTGTAGACGGAACACGGAGACAAGTCGCAAACGGAGCCCATTCCACCGTTTTTTCGCAGATCACCCGCCGTTTCGCCAAATGTGGCTGCTTCCCTAGCGTCGGCGCCACATAGTTCCCCGCAGCTGCCCCCCCCCCCCCCTTGCGGCCCCGCACCCCGGCCCCCACCCCCCACCCGCCCCCTGCCTCCCGTTTTTCCCCCGACACCCCCCCGCTACCCCCATGCCGCGCCCTCCCCTGCGCCCGCCCCCCCTAGTCTCCCCCCCCCCCCCCCCCCCCTTCGTCCCCCCGGGCCCCCCCCCCCTCTACCTCCCGCCCCCCCCCCCCCCCCTTCCCTCCTGAAGACGGCACAGACGGTTGGATGGGAGTTGTGACGGCCATGCAAAAGATGCCAATCACCTTCGGCGCTTTTCCTCCGGACGTCTCGGGTCGGCCACGCGTCCCCTGCCAACAGAGCTTCCCTCTCCCCAGCGTAATCTCTCTCCCGTCGCTCATTGTCCGTTTCGAGCGGGCAGTTTGCTCATAGCTCCAGCGATGATATCACCTCTGGGCAGCCATTGTCGCTTCAGTCGGAAAGGTGGTCGGTTAACGACAGCGTTTGTGCAACGGGACACATAACGCTAATCAAAGTCGCTCAATGCTTGACCGGTAACCGGTCACAGAATCCCATTGTTCTGGCACGGTTTGTCCAACCCGCCAGACGTCGTCCGAACAGAGTCGCCTTTTTGGAGCTGCACCCACCCGACGACCACTCTTTCCACGCCTTGTTCCGCCAAGCTTGGCTTTCCCGCAATAGCATGCCCAAATATGATCGATCCCGCGGATACGACGCGGCGGCGGCGAAAAGCGGTACGGGACACGACTCAAAAATATGGAGCAGAATCTCTGCCATCGGTCTAGATCATTGTGGGTCATCCGTTGGATACCGTTCTTCCATTCCCTTTGGGGGGTCGCCTGCGATCGCCCGCTGTCAACGTCGCGAGCAATACGCAAAAAAAAAAAAAACAGGTTTTATCCCCTGCACAAGCCGCCGCCCGGTGGGCACCTGATGAGGCTGAAATGTTTCATCATTGGACCTCGACCGCATTGGCACTTCACTCTTACTGCATTGTGATGCTGCACTCGGCCGACTACGCGGATCGGGTACTGTGAATGGGCAGACGCCATCTTCCGCCCTTGTGATGTCGATGATGCGAGAATGCACGCATCGGGTGCGAGCACCGCACATTGACCGGGACCTCATCAGCCACACCTTCAGGCTGCTCGCCGGTGAATGGGCGCTCATCTCGGCCTGCAAGCTACGGTTGCTAGGTGTTGCATATTCGTCCACGGGCATGATACGGGATTCGCCAGACTGCAGGTCGCCGAGATTTGTCTTGTGACCCCCTGCTAGTCCAGACAGCCCCCAAGATGTTGAAAGCAGACGCTCACCCGTTAATTCGAAACGTTACCGTAAGGCCAAAGTCATGTTGAAGCTGGGACGAGATTTACTGTGTAGACTTGCGCGGCCGAAGTCTTGCAGCTGCGATGCGAAATTCCAGCACTCTATCCATATCCAATTTTTTACCGTGGAAAATACACAAGGAAAATGACGAACAACTGTCCAAGTGGGTTCATGAAAATTTCATTTCGGCGCCTACAAGTACACTGGAGAGCAGATCATATCCGCCGCTAAGTCTGACATGTCTGACATGCTTGATTCGCCTGACGAAGCACTTTCCCCCATCCCCCAAACAACACCGTCTTTTGAAAACGGTAGAATAGCAAACTCTTCATGAAGCGGTCTCGCGTTCTGTAAAAATGACAAAGAAAACTCATGACAAAAACCCTGGACCCGCTTACGCCTCCTCCGCCGAGTAAAAAACGCACATGAAACGTTTTTCCTTCGCCTGTATGCCGTTAAGTTTTTGATATGTTAAAACATTTCGATCGTCAAGATTTGGTTGATGCAGATTGTTGTGTTGCTGTACGCTCCCCGCTTCTGTTGTTGTCGGGAAACAGGGGCGCGGGGAGTGCTTGTCGACTTGGTGGACGGTGTTTACCCATCTCTACATCATGTCGCTATGCAGTTAGCCTTGTGGACATGGGGATTCGAATCTTTTTTTCCGAACGCAAAAAAGATGAAACGTAAAGAGAATTGCCCCCAGAGCGTTGAAGCGGCCCTTGTTGATTTTGGGTCTGGTTTTGGTCGACGTTTTTCATTTTTTTACATTGAACTAGGGAGAAACCGTCGCGGTCAGTCTCTCCTAAACCGCTTTTTTGCTCGGGTTTGTTGGCCGAGGTGGGTGCGCGCAACCACGAAAAACAAAGGAAAAAATAAAAAAACGGTCAACGGATTGCGCGCGGCGCAAACTTTTGCGAAACGCTCGCCGTCGGCTGAGATGCGCCCCACCAAGCCTCGGCTTAGAATATTGGTAGAGATGTGTGGGATAGGAATCCACAAACGGTTCCTATCCTCTCCCCCCAGTTTGCCAGCTCATATGGACAACAAAGGAAAGAAGAAAAACAATGGAGGCTGGACTGGGGGGATTTTCTAAGCTGACTCGCCGTTGCGAACACTGCTGCGAAAAAGCGGGGGGGTCCTGTAATCGGACCCCCGCCCAGAATACAACGATCGCGTTACATGACGATGTTTGACAAGAAGGTAGAAGCGCAGCGGGTAGCAAGTGCAGAAAATCCCGAGTCCACGGGTACGATCCCGGGACTGGGGAAACCTGACAACAGCATTGAACCAAACAAGAAAGCTTGAAAAAAGAGACATAGAAACGGGGAGGAGACGAGATATGCAGGGTGGTGGGGGGGAAAGAGGGAAGTAAGTACTCACAGCAATGCCAGCGTCAAATCACCGTGAATCTTGGCCTTGAGCGTAATCTCAATATCAAGATTCAAGTCAAGCCTCAACTTGAGCGGGTTCTTGCCCGCGCCGCCGCCGCCGCCCTGCATCTGCTGCTGCTGCTGCTGCATCATTTGCTGTTGCTGTTGCTGTTGCTGTTGCTGCATCTGCTGCTGCCTCTGGCGCTGCAACATCTGCTGGTTGTTGCCGCCCCGTTGTGCGGTGGTGTAGTTGCCGTCATCTTCATCTTCTTCTTCCTCTTGCGAGTCATAGTCCTCGTCGTCGTCGTACTCTTCCTCATCCTGCGAGTCGCCAGAGTAGTACTCATCGTCATAGACCTCGCCGTCCTCGCCTTCGTCAAACTCTTCGTCCTCGTCGTAGTACTCTCCCTCGCCGTCTTCCTCGCCATCCTGAAGCTCGGTAGGCTCCTCGGCGTCAGCTTCGAGCTCAGTGCGGCCAGAGTCGCGGGAGCGTACCTTTGCGGGTTCTTGTTGCTCCTTTGCCGTGTCGGCGGCGGGCTTCTTGTCATTGTCGACGACGGACTCGGGCTCCGCCTCGTCCTCGACGCCGGCTTGGTTGGCCGAGGAGGCTTGCTTCTTGTCGGTGGACTCTTGGCCGGGAGGTGTAGCAGGCTTTTGCTCTTCCGTTTCGGGCTTCTTCTCGTCTTTTTGTTGACTGTCGGCGGCGGCGGCGGCGGCGTCTTCGGACTTCTTCTCATCTTGAGACTTGTCTTGCGCCTTTGCAGCCGCGTCTTTAGGCTTGCTCTCCTCCGGCTTCTTCTCGTCGGTGGGGGCGGCACCCTCGCCCTCTGCGGAGTTGCCAAACTCCCCGACCGGCGTCGTGCCCTCAGGCTTCTGCTCTTCCGTCTTTTGGTCTTGAGGCTGCTGCTGATCCTCCGGCTTCTGCTCCTCGGGCTTGCTGCTGTTGCCCGGCTGGTTTTGGTTTCCAGCAGCGCCTTGGCCTTGGCCCTTCTAAAACTTCAGTCAACATCGTGACCTCCAAATTGCATCTATAATCACTTTATCAAAGAGAGAACTTACCTTGTTCTTGTTTCTGGCCATTGTGTCCGAGTCCATTAATGTGTTTGGGGGTGGTGGGTTGGCTACAGTGTAGCGGTGACGAGATCTCTCAATTGGCTTCCTATGAGATTCTCGTGTGTGAAGCTATTCAGATGATGTGTGCGTGGGCGGGCGCAAGGTGTGTGGTAAAACGTAAATGTGGTAACTGTAAGTTATCTCCCCCCCAATGTCAAGCAAACTTCACAATGTTTTCTATTCAATGATGTGGGAAATTTTCAAAAGTAGGAAAAATTGATCACTTGGACGAGAAAAGCCTTGAGGAAAAGCTAGGTACATAGGTTGGTATAATAGTGAAATCAGATCCGTGAGCAGTCATTACCTCACACGCCCCCCCCCTCCTCTTGCTCATGCCGTCAAACAGGAAAACCTGCACAGGTCTACGAGGCTGAACCAAACCCGGATCTGCCCTTTGTGACGCAATAGGGTGTGAATGTGTGGGACACTTTACACACCTACACTGGGTGACTGGGCGGTAGGTGAACACATGCAAAGGGTGGCCTGGTGAACAGGCCCCAAAGAAGGGGACCCAGCAATTGAGATGGAATACCTACCGGCATGGTAAGGGCAGGGGAGGCACAAGAAAAAAAAAGTGGCATGGTGAGATACCAGGCATCGGTCACAATGGAAAGAGGCCTGGAACTTCTGAGACCCGGGGTGAATGTCACTGTTGGCTGGTGATACCGGGGAAACTGTACAAGGAGGAAATCCCCGTGTACAGGTAGACTAGACTTGGACCCCGCCGCTGTGATATCACATTCGGCACAGGTTTTGGATGAGAATCAGGATTTTTTTGGGTTCCCTCCTTTCCCAGTGGCGGCGTGCCCTGTCCGAACTCCCAAGGAGTCCCGGGCTTCGCAGAAGCTCATTGTATGGAAAGAGGGCCAACCTGCCTGCCTGCGAGCTGGGGAGGGGGGCATCAACCCATTCTTCCCGATCGACAGGTTCTCCAGTGACAAGAAGAGGGGGGCGTGCAAAGTCTTCGGCAAAAGGTGAGGACTAGCCAGTGAGCTGTATGGCAAGCAGTAGCAGAAACGGCGGGCAATGGAAAAAGGCAGGGAAGAAAAAAAAAGGGAGAGAAAAGGATCAAGAGTGACGTCGACGGGTTGGGAACCGAAAGGTGTGCTCGATGAATGGTTGGTCGAAACAGCAGCATTGCGAGAAAAAAAGAGCTTCGGGAGCTACCCCGGTCGATCATATTCGAGGTCGCAATAGTGGAATCTGAAGTCAAAGCAGACTAGATAGGTAAGCTCGTGTGTAATCTCCTCAAGAGAATGACGTCGATGGGGTGCGTGTATAATCCAGAACGCATGGAGTCGTAGGTTGATGCATCGAAATGGAAAAGAATGGGTATACCCCAGCAGACAGACAGCGAACGGTCTAGACATGCATATTGTGGACCAAGCACCAACGTGAGCTTGGGTGTGGGCTGACCCCAGACAGGGGTACCCGAAACGGGCATCTCGATCACCATTTCTTCGACTTTTTTTCTCCCTGGTGGTATGCATCGTCTGTAAAAGAAGCACCACCACCACCATTTATGCCATCATACACCCTGACTGCGACCAGTCACATGGGACGGACTGACTGACTGCCC